CCAGTCACCTTAGCCTGATGGGGGGGGGGGGGGTTAAGGTGAGCTGCTTCTGTCAAGGATTCTGTCAGTGAATAATGACAGTCAATGATTGGGCACAAGAATGCCAAATGTTATCACAATAATTTTCAAGATAAAATGATCTCAAAATGGGGAAAATAGTCTGTTTTTCACTTTATTCCTACTGAGATAATGATTTACAACAATTAGAAAATTCAGTGACACATTTAAAGGGTTCCGATTAGCATCCCGTATAAAAACAATATGGCGGCTCCAGGCGAATCAACTGGATCAGTCCATTTTTAAGAAATAAGGGGAGTTCTGTAAAATCCAGTTTATTGAAATTGTCTTATAAGATAAAGTAATCCGTTTATAATGATTTTGAAAACGTTATCCAAAGAGTGATTGCGTTCAAAGAATACATGTACAACAGCCAATATAAATCCTTGTATTAGAAACCGGTTTGTCTTGCTTTGTTTCATTTGTAATAGGATATTTCATATGCCAAGCTGTGTGCTATTACGTTATGGGGAAATTTAGATGCCAATTTTTCCTTATTATACACAAATAGAAGATCCTGAAACTTCACCCATAAATGTGGAATTGATTTGTCAAAATAAAAATCACCCTTTTATAAATGTGTGACGATCTATAATATACTATAATATGCTATATAACAGTTAGAGGTGTTGACACAACGACCTCGAACCTGTGAACCCTTGAGTATTATTCCGGGATCGGGCCTTTTATACTAAACGGTGAGCAACACCAGAAACGAGCGTTCGATTTGCTAAACGATATGCGTCACCCTTTAAATCTCAATCCATTTATTCCATTTTTCCATAGCAGTAGAATACAGATGTAACATCACATCCAATGATTGTATGAGAAATGGGGAGGATTAAACTTTGGTCATGGGCAGGTAGATATTGATATGTTTTCTCCCTTACCATATGCTATCCAAATTGACTTTTTCAGTTTTTAACATCACATACATGTATATGCCAGGATAACCACATCAGAATTAAATTCTTTCTCTTGAAGGCCATGATTGAAGCAGTCTAACTGAAAATATTGAGAAATGTCCTTGAATCTGCTTCTTCTTATAAGAGCAAGGGTGATGGGAGAACCTCACTGTTGGGCTAAAACATTGCATTGCCTCCTTAATTTATGTGGTCACTATCTTCTTTCCATCCATTTCAAGGGTTTCAGTTTCCTCCTAAGACTATCCTTGTTCCGGTTCCACAAGTCTCTCTAGTGCTGTTTTAAAGGTGCAACAATAAGTGCAAAGGGGCCATTCAACGATCATGGACCAGTGTCAAAATATATTCAAGTTTTGATATTTCATCAAGACTAACATATATGTTTATTTTTTTCCAAAGAAACCCCCTGGATGAACATTATTTCAGCTGATTCCTCTTGAAATGTTTTGGATCTTAAAAACCTATAAGTGGGACTCCCTTTATAGAAGCTTTGAACTGAATTTACACTTCTTAATGCTGAAATTGATAGTTTAATCCATACATTTTAAGAAAATAGGTATGTCAAAGCCAAATATTGCCCTGATAGCTCAGAAAAAGTAAAAAAAATTGAATCTTTAACAGACCTTGTTGCCCCTTTAAGCTAGTGTCCTTGTAAACATCCCAGCTGTCATCAAGGCAATGAACTATTTACAGACTTTTACGTGGGTAATATCATATTTGCATAATCACCAAATTTTCTTTATATTTCACTGTTAGCATGTTTAACTATACATGCCCTGTCTATTATTTTGGCATCTACTATGTAGCTTAGTCATTCAACTTTGATGTTAATGAGCATAGATACAAACAGCACAAAACTGGAACAGTGAGGAAAGTATATCCTACTAATTTTTTCTGTGGAATTGGCAAGATTTCCTAAGATAGTTGGAACAAGAGGGAGCTGTTTTCCTTCCAGGCATCAAAACTGAAACCCTGGAGGAAGATGGCAAGAAGATAGTGACCTCACAATGAGGTAATGCAATATCTTAGCCCGATAGTGAAGTATCTGCCATCACCATTCGCTCATATGAAGAAGCATGCCAAAGACTGCTTCTGTTATGACCTAATAAGAATCATAGTCAATACAGTTGATTTTGATGTGGTTTAAACTGGCAGTAACTTGTGCTGACTTGGCCATGAACGAAGTTTAGCCCTTACCATTTTTCATACAATCGCTAGATGCATTCTGCTACTACTCTTAGTCAACTGATTTGCAGGAATAGAAGGTGTACCCAGAGGTTAAGCAAGTGTTCTTAAGCTTTAAATCTTTTTTGATACCCTAAAATTAGAAGACTAGAGTCCTTATTCATTCTGATGCATTCTTACCCACAGTTTCTATCACCACATGAATGTGGCTGGACTACTCTCACTGCTGATACTGAGGCCACAACATAAAATGTAGGTCATGGGGTAGATACCTGTGTCAAGAGAACAGATGCAAATGTTTGAAAGCAGATCTGATTTGCTCTGATCAGAATCCATAAATTGTGACTCCTTTGATTAGGTTTTATAGATTTGGATTATATACTCAAATGATAATATACAGAATCTTAACAATGCTACTACTCGTGCGAGTATGAACTGGACTTATCAAACATTTTCATATCTTAGAAAATGTTCTATAAAACTAGATAGTATTGCCATTGGTACTAAAAAGGAATAAATGGCTAGCTGTTGAGGTTCATTTTTTATAATTGTTAATCATTACTGTATATCTCAGTAGCAATAATATGACAAAACAAGACTATATTCACTATTTTGAGCTCATTTGAGTAGACAATATGATATATCTTTGTTTAAATTTTTAAGGTAAAGTTAGGTCATTCCTGACCTATCATGAACTACACTACCAATCTCAAACTGCATCAAACAGCATGGTTTCATAAACAGTGCTGTAAAAACAGTACTGAACACAGCTGTTTTCTAAAACAGTCCTGAGCTGTAAAAACAGTACTGTACTACGCTGTCCAAAACAGATGGTGTTAGAATAGCATTGTACATTGCTATATAGTGTTGGACATTTTCAGGAACACACTGTAAACTTATATTTTGATTAAATATTTGCTGCATGGAACTTATCATTTGGTTGACAGTTTTGATTGGTCAAGGAACAACTTGTTTCATCTATATGGGTTTAAAAGTTCAGTATGTCACGTTGTGAGATTTATGGGTTTCTTCTAAAAACTTGAAACTCAACATGTTGACAGATTAACAGTTTTCCTCACCCAGTGGTTTAATGAGATTAGAGAATAGAGCTGGGAACAAAGAACGCTCAACGCAGAGTTTCAGTGATCCAGCCAGTAATAGATAAAACATTCCCGTTGACCGGGTCATAGCTTGTGAGGTGCCTTGGGATACTGGGGTCAACTTCCAGAGTCTGGGGTTTGCATCAGCCAGCTGAATTGCTGATCTGCTCTGTGTTGTTGTAAGGCCATTAGTCATTTTGATTACTGGTCAGTTTGAGTTTAAAAACCTGCACTGGTAAAGAATTGGACCCTTTTTCGGCTTGGATTTAGATTGTGAAGATGTATTGTAATTTGTAACTGTTTGGACTAAACTTCAAAATTATTAAATAAAGTATGAGTATTAAGGAATCGACTAGTTTGTCATTCTTTACAAAATTAGATAAACTTTTAATAATGAATTGGACCGACCCAGGGGTCCAACAATAGTGCAGTACTCTGATGCAAGAAGATGTTGCGGATTGGGGGTGTAATATGAAAATGTCATTTTCTTATAATTTCCAATCATTTTTTCAATCCTTGAGAATGATATGATAAAACAGGACTAAATATACCATCTTAAGCTCATTTGAGGTGACTATGTCTCATATTTAGAAAATTATTAAGGTAAAATAAGGTTACCCCAGGGCCATCAAGAGCTTAAGTGAAAATTTTGATTTTTTAGATATATCCGATCATTACCTACATCTTATTGGAAGAAGTATGATAAAACAGAACTATATGCAACATCTTGAGCTAATTTGAGATGCATATATTACATATCTGGGAAATTATTAGGGTAAAATATGGTAACCCCTGGCCCTTTAGAACCGAAAATGAAAATTTGATTTTTTTTAATTTCCAATAATTTTTTTATATTCAATTAGGAATAATATGACAAAACAATACTTAATGCAACATTTAGAATTCATATGAGGCCCAAACATTGCGTATCTTGAAAATTATTAAGGTAAAATAAGGTCAACCCTAGGCCGCAAGGGCTTAAATATCCATATTTCGATAATTTATTTCTCAAAAACTACATGAGCTACACAAGCCATATATCATATGAGTGATTAACACCTATATCTCTATTAGTATGAATTTTTTCAGGATGATCAGACATCACATTCTTGAAATACAGTACTTGATGTCCCATATTTGACCCTTTGAAATATGAATTCACGCTAGATAATTGGGTTAAAATGTATTTTCCTTCCTAAACACCACTTCTAAAATAGGTTTTTCTCAATTTCAAGGCTCAAAGCAATCACCAAATGAAGTCATTTAAAGATATATACTTTACAACTATTTTTATTTATTTTATTATAATGTACCCCCTCCCCGCCTGATAGGGGTGGGGGTCAGAGGCTTACAAGCCATGAAGACCAACCCGAATCACTTGCCCCGAAATCATTTTTCATTCAGATCATATGTTTCTACAACTGTGCCAAGTTTGTTGCTTTCCTGAAAAAGTCGAACTACCAAAGGGACATCTGACTGCGCTATTTGAGGTTTTTCTCCTATAGAGGTTATTTTCCATATATCCCTTCAAGAAAAACTTGAATAGACAGAAAATGTGCAGTTTTCTGAAAAATTACCCTGTCACTTTTCAAAATAAAAAACTTAATTTTTAAATGTGAAAACTCAATATGATGCAATTTTGTGTTTTTTCAGATATATTGTACTTTATATGGAGCATCATAAACAAATTGAATGAATTATTACACATGTATTGCTAAAAGTAATTTCAATATTTTTTCATTGATCTTAAGATTTGATATACTCCATCGTCTGTTCCCATGCTCAATCACTACATTCTATCTGAGAACAGATCTGAAGCTTAATGAAGCAAAACGGATATACTCAGTGAACAGATCAATGTTTTACTGCATTTTTTCTACTGCATCTTCAGATAATTAAGATTAATTCTTCTAGATAACTACATTTTCCATTTGAAAAAGTCAATGTTTAATAGTTCTTTCGGCAGGTAATCTTGTTGTACAGGGTCCTTGAAAGCTGGGTTGTATTTGTAGTCCTTTCCGTAACCTGAAAGCCATGTAACCTTTGGCTCAACAAAACAAGGGCAATACAAGATATTGAAACAAGGCCAAGAGCAATACAAGATATTTAAACAAGGCAAAGGGTAATAAAAGATATTGAAACAAGGCCAAGAGCAATTCAAGATATTGAAACAAGGCCAAGGGCAATACAAGATATTGAAACAAGGCCAAGGGTAATAAAAGGTATTGAAACAAGGCCAAGGGTAATACAAGACATTGAAACGAGGTCAAGGGCAATACAAGGTATTGAAACAAGGCCAAGAGCAATACAAGATATTGAAACAAGGCCAAGGGTAACCAGAACAACTGCAACGCCAAAGCGTAGTGAATCCCATCGAACATTTTTCAAAACGGGCACCTTCTACCAAAAGTGTTATTAGACAGTGTGCCATGCTTATAATATTCACATACCAAATATGAACAAAATCGCTCTACTACTTTTTGAGTTATAGTAAAATACGTTAAAATGGTAGCCATTTTGAAAAATGGCCGCCTTCTACCAAAAGTCTCATTAGACAGTGTGCCATGCTTATAGTATTCACAACCTAAAAGATATTGAAACAAGGTCAAGGGCAATACAAGATATTGAAACAAAGCCAATGGCAATATAAGATATTGAAACAAGCCCAAGGGGAAAATAAGATATTAAAACAAGGCCAAGGGCAATACAAGATACTGAAACAAGGCCAAGGACAATACAAGATACTGAAACAAGGCCAAGGGCAATACAAAATATTGAAACAAGGGCAATACAAGGTATTGAAACAAGGCCAAGGGCAATACAAGATATTGAAACAAGGCCAAGGACATATATATTGAAACAACTGCAAGATAAGTTATTGAAATAGTGCAATAAAAGGTATTGAAAATGGCAATATAAGACACTTAACAAACCCAATACAGAAAATTGAAAAGGGCAACATAAATATTGAAACGAGCAATACAAGATATCTAAACAATGCTAATGAACCTGGGAAGCTGAAACCCTCACCAATTGCAACATGAATTTTCTGTTGGAACAATAAAAACAAGTGAATAATAGCTATAGCTTATCAAGTGAGCTAACAAGGCATTAACAAGCAAAAGGACATGATGCAATTATTGGCAAATATCCCTATGGTCAAAATGAATCATTCGTAGGTGTAACATGAAGAATAAAATGTCATATAATACTTTGGAAAATATTAAAGAGCTCGGACACACATAAGCTGAGAAAGGGATCATTTCGTTCAGTAAGGTTGTATTGACTTACATGGGGCTGTGCACCATTGACTTAACATGAGGATATCAGCAGATCCCAATAGAGGCCATTGGTTTCCATTGATTATCACAGAAATACCCAAAATACACTATGACCTGAATCAATTGCAAACTTAATAATTTCACAATACGACACAAATGGTTTATCTCATCAAATGTGCAAATATGAAGTTTGCAATCGATTCAGGTCATACTTAAAATTAAAAGATTGTACATTTTTTCATCATTTTTTTCCCTACAAAATGGCTATAGAAAAATGCTCCAAAAACAACTTTTACACTTATCAAATATCATACAAGTTTGTAAAACCAAAGATTATACTATTATATTTCATTATGTGATAAGATTATAAGATCATTATTTGGATAAGATGCAGGGATGCGTAGGATGTAAATGGATTTTGACAGACACAAAAATACTTCCTGGTTTGGAATCTATGCCTCTACACTTCATGATTGAATTATGACCCTTATAAGTGGCCTATACATCAATACAGTGCTGAATATAGGTCAACAAGATACTAGTGTGCATATAAATGTAATAATTGAAGCAGAATACTCATTTTGAAAAATCAGATGAATTATTTTTTTCCCATGGGGAGATCCCAATGGAGGGTGTATAAGGTCCTTTCACCATCTGCCTTTTGTTATAGACACCGAATACTGAACACCAGCCACCAAACTCCAATTTCCAAACACCATCCACAATAAAGTTGGAGACGACAAGTAAAACAATATGATACTAAATCCAATATTGCCAAAAATGTGATATTTTGATAACAATGATACTTTGCCTCCAAAATGAGGCAGAGGTAGGAGCTGGAACCAATGGTGTAAAACCAGTAAAGACCTCTAGTCAATAAAATGGATATATAAGTTCAGATGAGTTGGATATTTATTTGGCCCAAAAATTGTTGACAGAGGGATTAGATGGACAAAATAAATGAACAAATAGATGGACAATTAGGTTGATGTGAGCCAAAAGAGATGGAAGTAATAAGTTTCCAAGAAGCACACCAGTAAAGAGGTTCTGTATTAAAACTCTACACTTCAACAGAGAATTACTCTACGATGGATGGTGTACACTTTAAAAAGTAGTTATTTGAAAAGGATAGCCTTAATCACAATCTGAGAGTATATACATGTATATCACTTAAAACTACAACTACCTTATTTGCATTTATTGAGGCGATTTGATGAAAGAATGATGAAACATTTGATGAAGAACTTGGTAAAAAAGAAAAAATGACTAATTTGGCAATTTTTGAGAAAAATATCATTTTTATGTGTTTTTGTAATCACATACATATGAAACATTGCTATTGAAAGTAGCCAAACTCTAAATTTTCTAAAACTTACCCAAATCTTTCATAAGCTTTGTTGATGCATTTCTAAGATGAAGGGGGACACCTGGTAGTGGTCCTTTGTGGTTCTTGACACTTTCCTTAGCTTGCATATAAGCACAGTAAACTTCTACTGACTTTGGTGCCCTGGCTAGATATACGCAACATTGGGCAAGTATACACTGAAATGAGAATGATGTCATGCACTACCTAAACAAACAAACAAGCAAACAAACAAACAAACAACCAATCAAATGTCTACTTACATCACATGCTGGCATTCCTGTGAACTGACAAGCTTGGTATGTGGCTACAGCCTGAGGTAATGCTCCTGGATCAGACAGACCTATAACACGGAATATAAGGACTTGATAGATTAAGGACAATTTTAAGCATGAGGGTCTTGAATTTTTCATTCACTGTTCTATATAATAATTTGCCCTTGGTGACATCACATTGTGTTACCAAACCATAGTAACCATGAAATTGAGTTTTTGTTTAAGTTTAGACATTATCTGCTTAATTTTTCAAAATGGCCACCTTCTACCAGAAGTGTAATTAGACAGTGTACCATGCTTATAGTATTCACATACCAAATATGAACAAAATCGCTCCACTACTTTTCGAGTTATAGTAAAAACCCCGGGGGGTTCACTGTATATAAAACTCGACGGGGGTCCTAGGCTGAAGCCTCAAATATCAATCTGTTCCCATACCAATCTGTCAAATTTCAATATATTCCCATACCAACCAAAATAACGCCCAAAGGCCATACCAAATGTCCAAATATAGGACCAATGCCATACCAAATGTCCAAATATAGGACCAATGCCATACCAAATGCCCAATTATGGGACCAATGCCATACCAAATGTCAAAATGTAGGACCAATGCTATTCCAAATGTCCAAATATGGGACCAATGCCATACCTTAATTCAAAGTAAATGAAATATAGAATCAATGTCATACAAATTTCCAACTACTGGACCAATGCCATACCAAGAATGTTAGGTAACGTATCTACAATGAGCATTCTCATACCAGAAGAGCAAAAGTCCAACCATTGCCATACCAAGTCAGAAATTTCCGGGCATTCCCATACCAAATCCTAAAATATGGGTCCATTGCCATACCAAACGTTGAAAAAGGTACCCCACATGCGCCGAGGATCCCCGTCAAGGTTTATATATAGTGAACCCCCCGGGGTAAAAACCCACTCAAATATGAGATACATCACTATAACCCATACCTATATCTTCGCATGCCATAACGACGAGTCTTCGTGCAATGTATAGTGGGTCCTCACCTCCTTCTAACATCCTCGCCAGCCAGTAGAGGGCAGCATTAGAGTCAGAGCCCCGGATTGATTTGTGAAGTGCTGACATTATATTATAGTGTTCTTCCCCTAAAATTAATAAAATATACAATATACAGGGCGTTCATAAAGTTCTTGTAAAAGTGCTCTAAAACTTTTGTATCTCAGTCAATCTGGCTGTAACTTTTTTTGTTGAGAAACAAAAAAATTAGAGTACTTTTGCAAGAACATTATGAACGCCCTGTATACAGTAAAACCTGTTTTAATGGGACACCTTTGGTACCTCTGGAAGGTGTTTCACTTACAGAGTTTTACGTTACGTTTTCATTTAACATTAAGTCTGTTGGTCATGGAATTTTGAAGTGTTCCACTTACAGAGGTGTTCCACTTTACAGGCCTAATTGTACTCATATACATTTCACATTATCATTGAATGGAAATACAGTTAATACAGTATAGAGACAGATAGAAACATTCATAATATCTTCATCTCGGCATTACTATTTGCAAGTGTTCAATAATCTTTCAGAATTTCTGATTGAAGATTAATATATAAGGAATTGAATCCTAGGGGGGTCATTAACAAAAGCTTTCATGAAGTTACGATTTCGGAATCAATTAATGTATCTTGGATTTCACAATGTCATAGGATAGGGTGATGATAATTAAAAGAACATAGGAGTACTAAAGATCTCTGAACTTCAAATGCTTTTTTCTAGGGATGGGACGGTTCATTTCGGTTCAGTTCGGTTCGGTTTTTCCGATCATCAGCCGTCGGTTCGGTTTTTTTCGGTTCGGTTCATTCATTTTAAGGATTTGAATTGATTGACATGATTAGCTGCTTTGTCTCTGACTTAACTGCTGACTGTCACTTTCTTAATCTTCATTTCTTTTGGGAAAACGGGAATTTGAGATCCAGACGCCATATTTGAATGTATTGTGGGTGCGCACAAAATAATACCCTATATCGAACCTGCGCAAATATAAATTTGCGCAAATCTTTGTATCAATTATGCCACGTTATAACAATATTTTATAGATGGAGTTTTATGTTATAGTATTTCATGAACAATACATATTATTTAGAATACACGACTAAAAAATATAGTACCAGGGACCACATGATTGATTACCGAGGGATACGAATACGCGGATACGAAACGAATCTAGTAAACGAGTGAGCTAGCAACAGACAAGACAGACAAGGTAGGGACTAGGAATATCAAAAATGTTGTTGTAAAACAGTGTTTTTAACTGTTTTATTGATACTTGACCAATGAAATATTAATCCGAAAACGATCCGAAAAGCTGATCCGAAAGTAGGGCCGTGATCCGAAAACCGATCCGAAGGCTATGAACCGCAGTTTTTCGGTACTTCGGTTATCCGTCCCACCCCTACTTTTTTCTCCATGAGTTATTTTTTTCTCGCCTCAATATTATTGTAAATCAAGCTCTGTATAATATTTGATTGAGTATGTGAGTTATATGTTTCAATGATTATTTGATCTGTTGTTCTTCCAAACTATGCATAGTACTACCCCTTGAATAGACATATTCTCCAACATACCTGCCCTGTCATAATGTATATGTGATCTCTGGAGGCCATCTTTAATATGATCTTCTCTCACAATTACATATCCCTTTGTGACATCACATTCCTTGTCGCCATCACTGCTACTCCTGGCTTTAGGTGTTGATATACAACTGCTGTTGAAATGTGCCTTCCTACATAAAAAACATTGTACATTATCAATATGACTAACCTATTTTCTGATCATTTCCTAAGAGTGTTACTTTTTATTACTAGTATTCTAAAGTTTAAAGGCTCATTGTATGGAAAAAAGATGACAATAGGACTACTGTTGCCATGATGCGCTATTTTTGGATCTAACATCAATGTAAATTGTGAAAAAATTAAAACAATTGGACCATGGGCATTAGTTGAATGCCCATGATTGGACTAAAATACTGAATATGCAAAAAGCAATAATGAGGTAGGGGGTCACCTTTCACATTTGACAACTTTTGTCAAAAATCAATTGAAAATGTCTCAGAATGGTGAATAACTGCATGATTTTGAAAGAATTTTTAGCCAAGGGGGGTTCGACCCCCCTGGCTAGGGGCCTGACCATGAGACCTCCACAGTATGGGAAACTATAATGACTCAACTTTATTTGATTTGTACTTGAACTACTGTACCTTGAATTGACTACAGTTTGGAGACCATTCAAAGCACTCCTCCCATCACCATCACAAAAACAGGCAAGTGTATCCAGTGCATCTTGGGCAATGTACACCTTTGGCCTGAAAGAAATTTAAAACATTAATAAAGTGTTATTTAGGGGAATGTAAAATCGAAAATGCCAAGCTTCATTTTAAAAAAAACATGAATCGGATTTGATTGTATATCCCTATCTTTCATTAGCTTGTACCTTTCCTCCAGTGGAATGGATTCAGAGGGTACCGAGGAAACATTAGCAAGGAGGTCAACTCCTAAATGTCTGAGAGCCCTCTTTAGGATGCTATTGATACTATCAGTAGATAATTTCTCCAGAACAATCACCCGACAACGACTGAGTAAGGCAGTGTTCAATTGGAAAGATGGATTTTCTGTGGTTGCCCCTAACAACACAATAGTGCCATCTTCGACATATGGGAGGAATGTATCCTACAATGAAGAAGAACATGGCATATTTAATATTATTGGCCGTCATGTGAGCTGAAAAGGCATGAGATTAACGGCCACCTAAAAGAATAAAAGAATGAAACTCCAAGGAGTGAAACCAGAGTGAGAAATTCAAATATAAGTCGTTCAAAAAGTCCATATAGGTTGTATCATGTATAATGCTGTGAAAAAAGATGATGATGTTATGATTGAGTTATAAATGCATTACACACATGTACATGTATCTAAAATAACTGGTAATACACCATAACCCTAATTCCACAAAAGTGAAAATTTAATTAGAATAGGTACCAAATTACATTAAATTTCAATCAAAACATTATATTATATGATATTATCTTGTATTATACATGAAAAATTAAGCTGATTTTTAACACATGTATTAAAAAAGTTATTTCATTTTTGGAGGTTCTGTTTTTTGGGTCACCCTGTATTAAACAAATACTGGATGACCATGAGGTGGATATGCCAGAATACCTATCCGAGGATACATGTAGGTATTCTGGCATATCCACCTCATGGTCAACCAGTATTCATTTCATTATGCACCTCCGTTGAGAAATACTTTATTTTAAAGAATGGGTTTACTAAAACAGAAGCTTAGCCTAGTATTTTGTTTCGAGGATATTCTGGCACATGGGATGGTTGGAGATCTTGTTGCTAAGATACGGGATAGAACGAGATCTTGCTGCCACATATGGCAATAGATCCTGCAGCTCTTAACCAAACAGATTTGGGTATTTTAATGAGGTGCATAATAATATAATATACTTTTACCTGTTGAAGTTTATTGAAACGATGGATCTCATCTATAAAAAGAATTGTCTTCCGCTTGAACATCTTCAACTCATTCTTTGCATGCTTCACAGCTTCTTTAACATCTGCAACACCAGATGTTGTGGCAGAGAGCTTCACAAACCTATACTCATTTCCTCCTTTGGTGTTCTCAGATATGATTCTGGCTAGTGTAGTCTGGAAAAGTAACATGTTTTCAATGGGACAGCACCTTTTCCATTCAACCTAGGTTGGGCCATTGATGCCATGCAGCCAAAGGTCGCCCATACAACCAAATTTGGTCTTTTCACCAGCTAGTTTTCGATAACACGTCGTTCTGATGTTTTAATTGATGTTAGCATATTCCATATATCTTCGTTTATATTGATGTGGAATAACAAGCTATGATATTGGTTAACAAGCCAGAAATGAACATAATATTTATTAATCAAAGTGCATTTCTAAAATTTTCACATTCGTGTTATCTTCGGCCAACTTTGTAAAGCAAATCTTCAGCAATCTCTGGTTTTTCTTGAGGTATCTTCCATTGCATAACAAGAATCATTTTACCCATTTTCAAATGTGGAATTTCAAATTGTATGAGGCTGTGAAGGTCTTTCCACTTATGTCAAATTCAAGGTTTAGGTTACAAATATTTTATAAGTTATTTTAAAAGAGAGATATATATTCAGCGTGGTGGGTCATAAAACGAATAAGGCCTTCTAACATGAAGAAATGTGAAGAACTAGGCTGAAATTACAAAACAATGTGTTACAGACATCGATGCCAAATACTGATCACAACTCGGGGGTCACCAACTCTTGGTTGTATTTTCTTATATATGCTTAAAACATAGGCAACTACACAGACCTCTACCAGTTACCTCTTCTTGGTGTCTAGGCTCAATGAATATACTCAAGGACAAGACACAAAATCTTCGGAAAATTTATATTATTTGATTTTGGAGTCTTTTCTGAGAATGTGACACCACTCAAGGATGACGTCACATCAGAGATTACAAAGAAATCCCATGATGTTTCTTAAACTCCTGTAGAAACAATAACAATGTTTTGTTAGGCTACGCGATCCTTAACTTTCATTGGCTGTTTGTTGCGATGTGACGTAATTTGAGAGATGAACAACATCGGACACTGCCAGAAATTACCGAAACACTCCATTATCTTTACGCTCTGAAAATTTGAAACAATAGACTAGATGCGAGTAGAAATGATCTTGATTTACGTCATTTAATATTCAAAATTCAGTCGAAGTGATGTCATATTTGAAATCTACATGTAAAAATACATCTAAAAATATGGTCTCGAAAATTGTTTCTCAAGTTTGAAAATTTAATCTTTTTTGAAAATGTGACCTCTAGTTCGGGTTGATTTCCCATAGACCCCATATTACAAAATCACAAAAAGTGAAATATCTTTTCTTGTATTGGACATATAACATTTTCTTTTACTGGACATACTTTAATTTGCATAACTATTCGATACATAATGGCTATATGAAAATTGAATCACTAAAACAGATGTAATTTAAGTTAAAGGGAACTTTCTACTATACCCGCCATGCTATCTGACCCGAGTGAGCCACCTGGTGGTGAAACTGGTAACTACCTACTCGCATTTGCGTTATTGTCCCGGGTTTTACAGCGTCAATAATCAATATCATGTAACCATTCAAACTAATACATGAATAAGAGATTACAGAGTAAATATTGATCACTCAATGTTTGAGGAGAAATGGTAAAGATAAAGGTCAGTACGAGGGTCATGTTTTAGGGAAGTCATTTTTTGGATGTACCACTTTTGGCTTGTGTCCGAGCCCATGGTCCGATCTTCTTATTTATTCATTGAGCCTACTTCCAATAGGGGATGGATCTGGCTCCGGATCTATGAGCAACTAGACCAAAACTCAGGTAATTACACTGAAATCATTTTATATGCCAAACATCTTACTTTTCCACATCCTGGGGGTCCCCAGAATATCATAGATGGTACTTCTCGTGCATCTATCAAAGAGCGCAAAAGTTTGTTCTTTCCCACTGCTTGATCTTGGCCCACATAATCATCTAATGTTAGCGGTCGCATCTTTTCAGCAAGTGGAACATGATCATTGACCATATGTTTTCTGTGTTTATTTGTATTTAGAGTTTTCTCTACAAATTCATGTTTGAATTTCCCGCCATTAACTTTATCGTTGAAGGGTGTTGTTTTCAGAGATGTAAGCACTCCGATATCATTCATATCACTGGTATTTTTACCAGTCTGCTTGTCTTTTGTAAGATGTATTTTATTTTGACTGGTGGTACTTTTTGTTGAATCTTTTGAAGAACTTGCTGAGCTGTCAGATTTGTTTGGTCTTGTTAAAAATGACCAACTTTGAGCACTCGTTTTCTGACGTTTCGCAGGTTTGATAACATCGTTACTTTGCTCATCTCGATCAGAAACAGGTATAGATTTGTCCTGAACATTTAAACATTCATTAACATGCTCTTCTAAAGAGGAAACGGGAAAAGTTTGAGAACATATCGGACAGTCCATGTTTTCTGTTTTGTGAGGGCGCCACCTGCTTCCGCTTCCGCCGGTGCCGCCATTGAAAAATTGAAAGTCATCGGAAACAAAATTTTGAAATTTGATTGTTTTCTACTATATTCAGTGGATAATAATCTATAAATTATGCCTGGGGTAGAAGGACCAAAGGTTGCAAAGGTGGTTGTTCACCCTCTCGTGCTGCTGAGTGTAGTTGATCACTTCAATCGTATGGGAAAAGTTGGAAATGTAAAACGTGTGGTTGGTGTCCTTCTTGGTTCCAATAGACAAGGGATTCTAGATGTATCTAACAGTTTTGCAGGTAAATAGGAAATCTTTTATGTACCCCAAACATGGGTGGCTGAATTTTATTTGCATATATTCGAAATTTTTCTGAATTTAGTGCGAAAGGCACAGGTCGGAGTCATCATTCTTCGAAGGATAGTAGATCTATCAACAAGCAACAGGATTGGCAACAGGAATGGGAAGAAAATTACCCGAATCTTGCCTGAAATTAGCTCATCTTGGTGACTGTAACTTGCACAGCTGTGTTGTATACAGTCGGTTTCATGGTAAAAATAGCAAGAACTTACTTCGACATATAAGTGTTACCTGGTGAATGGGACCCTCACGTGCCTTCCCAATGGTAGTAAACGAACCCTAGTGTAACTACATCAGCTTATCTTTCCGTCCGATCAACAATAAGTACAGTTATACAAGAAATGTAAACTAAGTGAAAATATTCCCCAAAATTTTCCGAAAGGCATTCATTTCCGGAAGTTATGATACGTTATGGTGTCACTACGGTAAATTATTGAAAAAAATCACAAAATTCAAGTTCTGATGTGAGGTTCCATATCCATCCGCCAAAAGGTATGACTATATAGTCCATTTAAAAATGTGTGGTTTTGTTCTAAATAACGCCATAGTTGGCTTCTTGGGTACCTAGTATGCCACTATTTGGTATCAAAATAAAGAGGATGAGTTCTACTTTCATTTGAATTACCAAAATAGCGATGTAGGTCAAAATAGTTCCGGCGTGAGCATGTTTACTACGCGTATGCCCGTCATCTCAGAATTGAGGAAATGGTAGCAAACGCGAGTTACAATAAATGGACGCTGATATCTCAAAAAGTAACCTGACTCCCTATAATTTAATGTAGATCAATCGAAGTCCTATATGAACAGGTACATTTTGGTATATAACACCATGGGGGGGGTAAGCGTTTTATAGCTGATCACGAACGCCATTTGTGCAAAGTATTGTTCTGAATTTTCGAATTTGGTGCTGGATTACGGTACTCACACCTCTGGGGTACATATCGCCATTTTCGAATGAATTAGCCCATACAATGACTATATTTCTGCAATCCCCTATACATAACCTTCATCTTGACACTATATTAATGATGCCCCAGACAAGATAAGAAACTCAATCAAAATTTTCGCAGATGACACCAAACTCTATGGGGAATGTGTCAGTGCCGAACAGCGAGAGAGCCTTCACCAAGATATTGACACTCTAGTTAACTGGTCAAATGATTGGCAATTAAAGTTCAATCAAAAAAAGTGTAAAGTTTTACACTAAGGTGGTAAAAACGTAAACCAACAATACAACCTAGATGGTACCATGATAGAGTCAGTGACAGAACAGAAAGACCTAGGATTCACCATAGACAAAGAACTAAAATTCAAACAACACATCAGTCAAACTGCAAAAAAAGCAAATAGTAAATTAGGAATTATCAAGAGAAGTTTTAGTCACACCAAGGAGATCATAGTGCCACTCTACAAATCTATGATTAGACCTATATTACACTATGGCAACATTATATGGCACCCAAGACTCTTAGAAGAGGAGTGAAAATAGAACAGATACAGAGAAGAGCTACCAAATAATACCAGATTTGAAGAATAAGCCATATCAAACGAGGCTTAAAGAGCTAAAGCTCCATTCCCTCTACTACAGACGTAGACGAGGAGACAGGTTTATAAAATTATTAATGGAATTGACACTAAAGAGCATAGCTCATTTTTTACCAAGGCCACCACAACCACTAGAGGGCACTCCCTGAAAATGTACAAACACCACTGTAACACCACCCTTCGACAGGACACCTTTAGCAACTGAATTATAGAAGACTGGAACAGCCACTCAGAGAAGGTAGTGACCGCCCATAGTGTAGATCAGTTTAAAGGGAGACTAAACAAACTTTGGCTAAATTATCACTATGATATAGTTTAATATATATTGCATACATTTAAATTAAGATCTGAGCAACTACCGTACAGGACTTTTCAAGACCAATCAGCTCAGAATTTGATGATAATGATGATGTGTCTCGTGGTGAAGAAAAGCTATCAAACATTGTCTGAAGAGCAGATTTATCTCCGTAATTCAACTTTTAGCATGGCGACCTTGACCTTGAAAAATATAGCCATTTTGGCGATAATAGGTGATTCAAAAGTAAAAATTATTGCCTTTTCGTAGTTTTACTTTGACCAAGCCTAAAAAAAAATTGAAGTGGTAAACCTACCCTCATTTTTTAACATTTTTGTTGTCTAGAAGTGTTCCAGATGATATCAAAGTTTAAGAAAATTTGTATATCTAGAAATATTTTATAAATTAGTGCCATTATGGTTGGTTTGGGTGCTTTTTTGCCCTCATTTTTAGCCCATTTCTATGGTTGCCATGGCAACTATTAGGCTTGGGTAACTATGTCAACTTGATTTTTCAAGGACATCTGCCTGATAGTAGTTGGGCCAAGTTTCATGGGAAACGGGCCTTATTTGATATGCTGGCAGTGAGGTTGATTGTGGCAAGTAGTAAAACGACAAAACAACGGTGGAGTCATACCCGATGCTTGGATGTTCACATTTCATGCATGTTCGGTAATATAACGTATCATAACTTCCGGAGATGACATGCCTTTAGGAAATCTTTTTGGAATATTTTCACTTCGTTTACATTTCTTGTATAACTGTACTTATTGTTGATCGGACGGAAAGATAAGCTGATGTAGTTACACTAGGGTTCGTTTACTACCATTGGGAAGGCACGTGAGGGTCCCATTCACCAGGTAACACTTATATGTCGAAGTTAAGTTCTTGCTATTTTTACCATGAAACCGACTGTAGAGTCTTGTCAATTCCAATCAGCCTCAATTTAATATTATATCTACAGAGATTAAGAAGCATCTAAAGTAGTCTACTTAAAACTAGATGAATAACTGAGGTAATAGTGATAAAAGCCCAACGAGAGTCGGCGGTCTTGAAATAGACTTGAATCTTGTATCCAATCCTAAAGGCTTGTTGATACTAGGCCTATCCTTCGCAGAATGAAATCTTCCTGCTCTCTTTCATGCTATTAAGGTGCTATGGAAGTTAACAGGAAATGACAAAACAGTAAGTGACAATTTTTTTTTGCATTTTTGGACATTTTTTGAACAAAGATAACAGAGTTCGGGTTTGACCTCCAGTCAATTTAACTAGTTCCAAATACCATTTACAGGACCAGCATCACAATGTTCATGGTCAGAATGACCCTAAACATGATGAAATAACCTTTTTAGCCCTTTGAAAATGTGACTGAAAAATAGCTAAAAGTAGGAGCGTAGGGAAGGTCACTGAACAGAATCTTTTGAATTTTTCAGAAAATATGCCCAATATATTGCTCTTAATGATACAATCTTTGAAAATTTGATATCATTCATAGAAAAAGAAAAAAAATGAAAAAACTGATTTGAAAAGCGATCTATTTTCCTTTTTATGACCGCCATTTTTGTTTAAGACAATTTTCTAAAATTTGAAAGATTGTATCAGTTAGAGCATTATATTGGGCACATTTTCTGAAAAATTCAAAAGATTCTGTTCAGTGACCTTCCCTACACTCCTACTTTTAGCTTTTTTTCAGTCATCTTTTCAAAGGGCTAAAAAGGTTATTTCATCATGTTTATGGTCATTCTGACCATGCACATTGTGATCCTGGTCATGTAAATGATATGTGGAAATAGTTAAATTGACTGGAGGTCAAACCAGAACTCTGTTATCTTTGTTCAAAAAATGTCCAAAAATGCAAAAAGTTTTGTCACTTCCTGCTTCGTCATTTCCTGTTAACTTCCATAGCACCTTAACAGTGCTGTCTTTTAGGACATATTTTTGTGAAACCGATGCATTCTTTATTGGCACAGTGTCTAAGCGGGAAACGAATAGCTATATTGACTGAACCGTCCTTCAACCAGTAGTAAACTGCTTTTTTCGTTTAACATTCTTACCTAGAATATCTCTTAGATGTTTTAGTAAAACAAGTGTGTACTGAATTATATTTTGTAAGACGTCTTGAAAATGGTGGTGTAAACTCAACATAATTTTTCTAAAACATTTTAGCCAAGATGTCTTGGAATGTCGCGTGTAGTGTAAATAGGGCTAATGTTTCACAATTCATATATCATCATCCTCAGTAGCTGCTTCTGAGCCGATCAAGACTTATCTTATCCTCGATAAGTATATTTCTTGAATCAAGTCACAAAAGTCCATTCGAGTTAAAAGCAGAGAATCAGATCTCCATGATAATAGGCTCATAGATCATAAAAAGAATGGTGGTTCTACATCAGTTGTCTAGATATCCAACATTTCTTGAAAAGTTCAGTAAATTTGATAGGAATAGTCACCATTTTAGAAAATCTAAAAATAGGTAATTTGTGTATTTTTAGTACCATTTGATGAGGATGACAAAGACAAGACCGTGTGGTTCTTAGATCATGACTACCTGGAGATGATGTACACCATGTTCAAGAAAGTCAATGGTGAGTCAAAAAAACTAGATTCAAAGGTCATTAAATTGACTTGACAAATCTGGCTAATTTTAAGAAATAATCAATTGATTAAACCTTTGAAAATCAAAAACTTGTAGTCAGAATATCACAGCATCTGTTCATTAATACCTTTTAGACTCCCATTAAAAGTCTTCAAGATCTTATCTCCTTCAAAAGTGTTGAATCATTTCTAGAACTCTGAGGGAAGTGTGACTATCCGATAGGTTTAAGACATAGAACAAGATCAAAGCCTTCTATCAGTCCATTTTAGCAAGATAATGATGGTCTGAGTACCATTTAGTTTCCTCATAGAACTCTCTTTTATATATTTTCAGCTCGAGAGAGGATTGTTGGTTGGTATCACACAGGGCCAAAATTGCATGAGAATGATGTCCTCATTAATGAGGTTATGAGGAGATATTGCCCCAACTCAGTAAGTGAAGACTTTATTACCAAGATTGAATGAGCAACATACAATTCTTATCAGTCATGTATTCAACAGAAGAAACCTAAATATATAAACTTAAACAATAAATCATAAACCTGTGTTTTGGCATTTATGTCTGACAGTGTCTAAGAGGAAACAGATTTTTCAGTATAAACATTTGAAAATAGTCGTCCACAAATGAAAAATCCATGGTTATTGCAGCCACTCATTGCTTTCCATATACTTATATCTTTAATGAAACAAATTTTTTCACCTAACTGTACCTCTACTACCTATATGTGTAGATCTCACGTTAAAAACAAAAAAGTAACCTAGAAGTCTCCACTGGCAAACAAATATGGTTCCTTCGATTGCTGGTCAAATCTGAGTTATATGGCCAAGCCAAATTTATTTCACAGTCTACACCTTCATTCTAATACCCCTTGTGTTGTTGTTGCAGATTCTTGTGATCATTGATGCCAAGCCTAAAGACATTGGTCTGCCAACTGAAGCCTATATAGCAGTGGAAGAGGTCCATGATGTAAGTACATATGTTGCTTATATTTAGAAACATACAACTGGCCTAAAAGTTTTTGAAATGCTAATTTATAATGATCTCTCAACCAGTTGCTGTTGAAAATCTAAATCTTACCCCATTGAAAATCAGTTGTAAACTGCCAAAGGGTATTGCGATAACCACCCCCCTTTGTCTTGATCTTTCTAAAGTCGCAAATGACAGATAAGAGGGGGTCCAGTAAACTAGGATGGCTAAAGGATGCGAAGTACCGAGATATTTTGTTCAAAACAGGTTCTGGTTCTTGTGTTATGTAATATTTCATCTCAAAAATGAAAGAGGAATTGTAATACCATTACTCTAAAAGAGTTGTCCAAATAGCAGACACGTGTGTCATTTTGTATGAACTTTCTAACCTGTAAAGTGCATGTTAGAAGATTGTTTACTTTTTGTTGTAGGATGGCACCCCAACTACTAAGACATTTGAACACGTTGCCAGTGAGATTGGTGCTGAAGAAGCAGAGGAGGTCGGTGTGGAACATTTATTAAGGTATGCTCTTCAAATCAGCTTGAATAAAAAGTAAACATGCAGATATCATATTTTTTGTTGAAATCTGGAATGGATATATCGGATATATGTATTGTTATGAAAGTTAATTTCTACCCTTGCAAATCTAACATTATATCATGTTTCTCTGAGGAAGACCCTAACATTTGATAACTCTCATTATCCTACACTTAGTGTACTAAATGTATAATAACATTAAAAAATAAATTTGATATTTATTGGCAAGATGAATATCCGGAGGATATCATAACGATATACTCCGGGCGGAGGATATTGTGACAATATACTCTGGAAAACCCAATATGCGGAGGATATTGTGACGATATACTCCGCTTGTTGATTTCCTGCCAAATTGACTCTATTTGGCATGGAATTCATTTTGCAATGATATTATACATTTAGTACACTCCTTGTAAGTGTAGGATAATAAGAACATCCTATGATTTTTTTCAGAATATCATTTTAATCTACTCGGTGATATTGATATATGCACTCGTTCGCTTCGCTCTCTCGTGCAGATATCAATATCACCTCGTAGATAAAAATGATATTCCTCAAAATCATAGGATATCATATAATTACATAATCCTTAAATTTCTAGCGCTGTATGTCTACCCATGGTTCTTGTATAGTATTTCACTCGGGTTAAGCATGAGCTTTTAACAAAGCCCATGGGATAAACCTGATATCCAATAACTTCCATTGAATAACCCTAATGTTGCTGAATTACAGAGATATCAAAGACACAACTGTAGGCTCACTATCTCAGAGGGTGACCAACCAACTTCTTGGCTTGAAAGGGTTACACCAACAGATACAAGGCATCCACTCTTACCTTGAACAAGTCATACAACAGAAGCTACCAATTAACCATCAAATCATATATCAGCTACAGGTAAATCTGCTCTAACAAATGGGCCTTTCGCAAAATGACATTAGTCATATTCTGCCTACAGGAAAATTGATTCTCCAGGGATCTTCTTGTGCGACTTCAAATTCTGTTTTGATACAAACAAAAAGCTAATTTAATATTGGTTATTTTTTATTGGAATTTTGATTAATTGGATAAAGGTCGCATTTAATATGTTCGTAAAGGGAATTTAGAAATCATAACAATAAACCATATTTAAACCACAATTTTTGTTTTGAATTAGAGAAGTAAATGAAACTGAAATACTTTTAAAGAAAATAAACATTCTAAATTGTACTTTATCTGTTTGTGAAAATCTGAATTTTTTTTGTAAAATCAGATCACTTGTATTTTCAGGATGTTTTCAACCTTCTACCTGACGTGAATCTTACAGAGTTCGTGAAGAGCATGTACGTGACAACCAATGATCAGAGGCTCGTGATCTACCTCTCGTCTCTCATTCGTTCAATCATCGTACTTCACAACCTCATAGATAACAAACTCTCCAATAAGGAGGCAGAAAAGGGTGACGGTGATTCCAAGAAAAAGGACGATAAAACTAAGAAAGATGATAAAACTAAAAAAGACACTGATGACAAAAATAAAGATGATAAAAAAGATGTGAAAAAGGAAGTTAAAAAGAAATAATAGAAGTGACACTTAGTTGATATTTTCTTGAATATGTATTGTGTATATCACTCAACAGTCGACACTTTGGAGGACGTATGCTCAGATAGACTGTACAGTGAAATGCCAAAAAATAATCTGAAGTACTAAATGAAATAGTTGGTACAGTCTAGTGCAGAGCCCACAATTTCAAATTGGCTTATGTATTGGAAAAATTGGCGTTTGTGGACTAAATTGAATGTACATTGTTTGATATTCAGCACAGGGCTAGTGTAAATACTTCCATATTCCATAATAAAATTTGTATAAAACTTAAAGTCTTTATAGCAACAATCTTTTGTTATTGTGTTTCCATTAGTATTTGTAGAGAAAGTTCTCAAACACTGGAATGGAGATCCCAATTTGAATTAAATTTTGTGAAAATAACACATCACTATTTGAAAGTGATATTTATGCCTATTGCCCAGGTTTTCATACATTTCCATTGTGCATAATACCTCTTATTAGTCACTGGGTTGGAGCCAGATGGATTACCATTCAAACAAGGACAATATTCTATTTATATTGGCCTAGTAGGACGCATCATGTAATACTGGATTATTTAAATGTGGACCAATTGTTTCCCTATATATGTTGTAAAAGATGGTGTGTACGTCACACCCTGACCCAGCCTCTTGGTCTCAACTTCAGGCTCTCAAACTAAAGGCAACAATTTTTATAAATACAATACTATATTTTTCTTTATTTTATCACATGCACTATACAATATATGTGTTTCAATTAGAAATCGTATTACTAGTATATATAGGGTAATTAAAATGAATCTATCATCTATTGAAAGAAATCATAACTATTTAAAACTAACTTCAGACAATTTTATGAGATGTAAGTTCATATGTATATATATGATATGGCAAAGCTATTATATATTAAAAATATTTTTTTGTCAATTAACTTTTAGATATTTTCATCTCAGATTTTTATCAAGAATTAATAGCATTATTCCATTAGTCTACTGAGATCATTTGATGCCAACCATTTTGACATGACATTAAAAGACTGACATATTTCTGTAGTAAAGTGTGTTTAAAAATATAGCAGGTACATTTTAAAAAATATCATATATTGGTATCATTCACTTAAGTCAAATATATTAATATCAGACTAGACATATCAATATATAATGCTAATATCACATCAGGCTAGATCACGCTTCTCCTCCCTATTAATATGGGGTGCAAGAATATTTTCAAAACATCTAGTGGGTGAAGCCCCTTCTTGCTTCAATGATGGGGGTTGAATCAGATTAATTAAAGTAGCTTGGACACCAGACAAATGACCCTCTTTTTAATTAATTTCATGGATTCTAAGAATTGGGATTTTGACATAATAAAATTTGGTTGTCAAATTTCCTACCCTCGGGGCAAACAAGTGAGTCAATTTCCACACTCTGGGAGCTATCAAATATAGTTAAAATTCTGATTACCATTAAGATGGATTTCAAAATTCTCTTCACCTGGGATGAAGCATTTCAAAATCCCAACCTGTCGATGTGTGTGTCAAATTCATGACCCTCCCTGTGTGTGGGTCTCAGGCAAACATTTGAATGGTGCATAATATAATTGTATGTCATGTACATGTATTTTAACCATGACTAGAAAACCTGATCATATTAATACTTTCTATAAATGACACACCAAGTGCATATTATGTGCATTTGGCAATAAATGTATAAAATATAATATTTCATTTAGAAAAATAGAATCTCTCCAAATAAAAAACTTGGATCTACAAATCAGCCAATTTGATCCACAACAGGCTATATCACAAATCGTTTGTTTCCAACTGCTACTGATGATAATTTGGATGGAGAATAAAATCACAGTACTGTAGAATGATGTGACATGCTACACCATTATCTATTTCACAGAGCCTTTAAAAGTTCTAGTGTCACTGGTTGATTTTAAACTTGGGAATGATGAAGCTCTACTTTTCAATTTTCCTTTCAATTCAAAATTTTCAGCCCTAAGAGAGTTCAACTCCCTTTTGACTTTTACAAATTCCTTAAATGCTTGCTTGTCCTGATCGACACTAGATCGTCTCTTCAGAAATTCAATCTCGTTTGATAAAGCCTTCACTTCCTCAATCAATTCCTCTTTCTCCATGTTCATGATTTCCATACGACCATTCACTGTATCAAGTTCTAATTTCAACTGTGCTATCAGTTCCAAGTGTTCTTTTTCTCTAGATTCAAATACAGATCGTTCTTTGTTAAGTTTACCAAGCTTGTTTTTTAGTTTATCAACAAGGTCCTTATCCTGTTGAGGTGAATTTTGTGATTCTTTGAGCTCCTTAAGTACTGTTTCTAGCTTGATTTGTAGTTCTTTCCCCTTTTGCTGGGCTTCTGCTAGCTGGTTCCCAAGAGATCCTGATTTTCGCATCTGGCCTTGAAGTTTCTCAATTTCCTTCACCTGAAAGTAAATATTTCATTGGTTAATTTTGGTCACATGACCACTGACAGCATGGGGTTACCAGGAGGCTGTCAGTAGGTTAGTGATAGTCTTATTATTTATGTGCAAAAGTCTGAGTAGAGAGGAGTTGAGAGTTATAAATTCTTACAATTTTTTCCACAAATTACTTTTGCTCACATTTCATGTCATGCTGTATAAGACGTTGGCAATTATTTTGAAAAAGTGGATGTCCCCATTTCAATTCTAATAATAAAATATTCCATCCTAAAAGACAAATAATATATTTTACCTGGTTAGCATTTTCAAGTTTCAGTTGTGCATTTTCCTCTCTCAGTTGCACCAGTTCTGCATTTTGTGTCTCCACTTTAAGGATCAGCACCTGAAGAGACACACATAACTATAATATATAGAATTGAGGCAACACATATACAGAATTGAGGCAACACATGTACAGAATTGAGGCAACATATATACAGAATTGAGGCGACACATATACAGAATTGAGGCGACACATATACAGAATTGAGGCGACGCATATATAGAATTGAGGAGACACGAATACAGATTAGAGGAGACACATATACCAAATTGAGGAGACACAAATACAGATTGGAGGAAAAACATACACAATTAAGGGGACATATACAGAGAATTGAGAGACATCTATACAATATCGTGGAGTTAAAAAAATCAAGGAAACATACATGGAATTTAGGAGGCAATGTAACATAACTATTCCACGAGCAATTAGGGGCCTAGCAGGGTTTTAATATTTCAGTTTAGAAAATTCAAAACTGCATTTTCTCAATTTTGTCAAATGGGAATATAGAATACTAGTCCTGTTATTTTTGGAACACTGTATTCATACATGTAAAAGTCATTCATGCCAAAACATACCTTCATTTTGGCCTCATCATTCTTATATAGGTCTAGCTGATCTTGAAGTATCTTATTAGTTTGCACCATTGTCTCCAACTTAATTCTCAACTGAAAGAAACATATACATAAGAACTAAATTGTAATAATAACTATATGTAAATGTATAGATAATTGTGTAAGTAGATTTTTAAAGATTAATATTATAAACTAAGTTAATCAAGGAAACACAATGTGGAACTTCTTTTACAAATTACGAAAAAATATATCATAAAATTGTGATGCATAATTCAATCAACACCCATTCTAAAATATGATATAGATGGACTACCTCTCCTGTCTGCAGCTCTAGCTGTCTTTCTAGCTCCAATTTGTCCTCAACAACAGTCATATACTGCAACACAACATAAGGATATATTAGTGTACCTGTCCCAGTTCAATATAATTACATAATTGTGTGACCAAATACAACATAATGACATATTAATGCTCAGTACAATATGATAACACAATAGTCTGATCAAGTACAACAAAGGTTCATTCAGAGAGCTGGGTCATCTTGTGTAAGTGATTTTAGAATGATTTTAACAAAAACATTTCTATTTCACTTATTTTATGAAAATGACTCTATGGATCCTATATCATCCCTAATCAAGTTGGAATCTAGATCTAGTGAGAATGTGATCTAATGTAATCTACAAGTATATGTTTATTACATAAAAACGCAAAAAAAATCAAGATATAAAATCTGAAAACATGATGTGGCATAACAAAATTTAGGGATGCCTGGTTTAACACCCTGTATAAGGGTAGACTGTTTTTATTGTGTGTCCCAATCAATAAAACTTTGTGCTGTGTGTATGACCCTATATGGGGATTGGAATACAGTAAAAAGCTTATAAATCGATTACCTCTGCTTTATGTTTTTCGGTGAGCATTGCATTGATCTCATCAGATCTGTTCATGTACTGCTCCTGAATTTGTTTTATCCTCTCTTGACTATTCTCTGCTAAACTGTGTAGCTCAGCGCAACCAGCTAGCTTGGCCTAGAAATAAATGTATAATGTAAGATGGTACCAAATTTTATGTTCAGACAATTAACATTTCATTCCATCACAGGATAAATACAAATATTTTGTAGAACTATAGCAAAGTTCAACATATTTACATTTATTTCCCTGTATATTGTAAAGTCTACATACTTCTATGTTTTATAGCGGACCCATTGGTATTGATCCAAGGTGGAATTATATGTTATGACATATCCAGTTTCCATTTCAGTACAATTTATCTAACAATTATTTTTGAATAATATTTAATTCAAATTCTAGCACTCATTGAGTGGAGCCAACCATCTAGATTACAAACGGAACCCAAAGTAGTGATCTGCGCCCTTTATAGTTCTTGATCAACTAAATATTGTTACACCGTGCTAAGGGAGAAATGGGGTAGTAGACTTCTCGATAGGGGTTATATCACCCGGGAAGATTATCTCGGGTTTTCGTAAAACACCGACCGCCGACCACCGACCAGTCACTCTCCACAGTTAGGTACATGTGGTCGGTGGTCGGCTGACGGTCTTTTACATAAAGATGAAAAAATGCAAAATTAGAAGTAAAACTAAAACTGGGAATCCAATGACTATAGTACCTTTACTAGGTCGTGATTTAAAAACGTATAATTATCATTTCAAATCACGATGAAAACGTTACATCTTCGTGGTGTGTAATGTCATATTTTTAAGTGATGTTTCAGTTGTTAGAAGACCAATTTCATCCTGGTTAGTCACTTTGGAAAAAACGCACGTAACATTGCATTAAGGTCATTCTTCATTCATATGAAACGCAATAACAAAAACACACAAACATCGTCGATGTTGACGTCGTAACGTTATGTTTGATTTCTCAGTTGTTAAACGTCAACTGGTAAAAACTACATTTGATATGACAAAAAAAGCTTTCTAATGGTGTACTGAAATGGTAAGTCACTTTTAATCCCGATAAGAGAACGCATGTAACATTATATCGTGTTCAGTATTCAGTAGGCTATGACGATAACAAATCATTTTTGTTTCGAAATTGTTAAATTTCAGTAAAAAATTAGGATAGATTCCCGTAGAAACGATAGGTTGGTTAATGATAGGTTAGGACCTAAGGCAGGGCAATTAATCGAGAGGAGACGGTCATGACCAATTTGTTTGCTTGCCATTCGTTGCAAGGTACAAAATCGGTAAAAAACGTTGCCTAGTCCAACGATTGACATTCAAAATCAAATTATTAATATTCTAAGGCTACAAATATGTTCGGTCTTTTACATGATATGGTCGGTCTTTTACACATTTTCTTCAAACCCTGTTTTGAGGCTACCAGTGGAAAACACCGACCGGTCGGTGGTCGGTGGGGTCGGTCTTTTCCGAAAACCCGATTATCTCCTTGCATACTGTGTTGAACTACATGTACAGTATACATATACAGATATAGAGTATACTATATTTAGGACTATACTGTATCCAACTCACCTCAAGGTCATCAATTTTGACTTTTAATTCTTTATTCTCATTAGCAATGTCTTGTAGGAAGGACAGAGTTTGAATGTGCTTGGTTGTCAACCGTTCTTCCTGGTCGCCCTGAACTTCTCTGGGAACTCTCCCAGACCCATAACAATTCTGCATAATGGCTCCTGGTTAAATTGAACAACCTTATAATAGTGTATAAAAGCGATGTTGGTTTTCCAGATTTGGGTTTATCATTGAAGAGATATAGCAATAAAACACACGCATTTTCAAATAAATTGATTTGTTTACATCGCACCTGTTTATACGAATGATTACGTCAGGGCTATCACGAAATAAACATTTTATAATAATAATAATATGCTTCTCCTGGACAAAATTTGATCCATTTTAAAATCTTCTTCAATTCTTGCTATTTTAATAGTTTCTTTGTCGTCAAAACACTTTACAGACTGTTCATAGAATAATCTAAATTGTGACAACTAAGAAGGCGACTGAGTTTCCGGTCATTCCGGAAATGGCGGTTTTTCAAATATTTTCACAGGCAGAACAGAGACGATATTATGCTCATGTATGCTCAAAAGCATCGATTTTTATGATATTTGTGATTGCCCTGACATTCATCCCCCCATTCTTCATCGCCTATCGAAGTTATGGTGAGTACAGGATCTATACAATCATTTTCAAATGTCATTTCATTGATTTCAAATTTTATTTCATTTTTGTTGTTGATATTGGCAATCTGCAGGTTACAGCCATGTATCCGGTACACAGATAGTAATAAGTTCTACTATATGCTGATTTTGTTCATCAGATAATGAAAGTAAAATTGCCATTCCAATTCTTCATGGCTGTTGCCACTTACTATATTTGCACATAGCCATCTTTAGATAGATGGCTATTAGGGCTCGGACCTTTACTCAGGAATGACAAGTCGGGTGCAAAATGTGGCCGGATTCAGTCACAGACTTCAATATCCGAAAACCGAACCCATTTCTGTTCTAAATAATCACACGATTCTATGGCTGGATCATAGGCCCCGGGAACATGTATAAAATAGCGAGTCGACAACTGTATCACTACTTCAAGAAGTAGTGATACAGATGTAATACAGACCAGAAAGTCTTGCCAATGCGCATGCGTGTAACCGGAAATCTCATGGCATGGAAGCGCATGCACATTACCCAACTTCCTGAGAGGCCATCTTGAAAATTATCAACTCTTCAACATTTTTCATCAATTACACTGTTTCCCGACTCCAGATAACCCAATGTGTTTTCTGATTCAAGATACCCATTCTGAATATGTATCTGCAATGGAGAACTTCCTATTATCAGTGGTTATTGCGCTTGCTTTTCACAATCTGATAGGTTCATTTGCTAACTTATAACTGTATCATTTAGGGTGTTACTAGTATATCAGCCTTGCAGCAAATGTGGATAATCATGATAAAGTTGTATACTTTTATGAGAAATATCAATATTTTTGTCTGAAATTACTTCCATGACCTCTTTATCCTAAATCAAATTCTAAATTAGATGAAATTAGGGACACAAGGTTCTGTCAATTGAATTCTGTCAGAGCTTTTTACATTATTTAGTATTTATTGAGTATCAAATATCAAAAAGAAAAAATCTCTGAACTGATTAAGCAAGAGATACTACCTCAAATACTACTGATGGATAGATCATTGAATATCTAAAATTATTCCATAGTTAGCATGATATTCATAGGATAACATGTGAAAATAAAAACGGTATTTTTGTAATCAGTGGTAAAATATGATATTTTTGACAAATTTTCACTTAACCATAGCATACGGTTTTTTATCCATGACATACGGCGCCGTATGCGATGGTTTATGGATTTTTGCTACTTCAGATTCAAAAGGAGGCTAAGTGTCAACATCGCCGGATCGTTTGGAAAATTCGAATTAAATAACTTAATTTCCGACGATTCTGATGATGACTTTAACTATGGAATAAAAAGAACATCCTATGATTTACTCGTGATATAATTTTAATCCACTCATGGATATTGATATCTGCACTCTCTCGCTACGCTCGCTCGTGCAGATATCATATCCATTCCTGGATAAAAATCATATCACTCATAAATCATAGGATATCCTCTATGTCAACACCTAATATTCTAATGGATAATACTATTAACTCAATTTTGTCTCCACTATTTTTAGACCAATATGTGGGATTAAATTATAATGAGAAATGGAGTTCATATTTGATATTTACAAGTAGCAGTTGCCAATTTGTTGTACATGTTCAGATTTAAGATATGTTTTTGCAGGATTCTGGTTGCGAGTGGACAACTATGAAGAGCAGCCCCAGGTGCAGTTCAAGCATCAATTGCTTGTCACCATGGAGACATCAGACTCCTACATCACCTGGAGTACATTTCAGAACTATAACCAGCTTCAGCAGGCCAACCTCCGAATCCCTGTACTTCAGGTTGGTTGCTTTGTTGCATTGTAACACCATGCCTTTGTACCTATAGAAAGTTTTCCACTTGGGAGGACACTGTTCATTTGAAATTAAGTCCATTGGTCTTGGGACCCTGAAAAATGTTCCACTTGTAGAGGTGTTCCAATTTACAGCTTTCACTGTATCTTGGTTGTGTATATCAAATCATTAAAAGTATTTAGTATATTATCCAGTCTGCTGTATGAGGGGGCGATCCAAAAGTCTTGGACGCCCTGGTCTAGTCTTGTTGGTTTTTGATAAAATTACTTTAAACTTTCCAATAATAAAGACCAACAACCTAACTACTTTGTGTATTAATTTTATGGAGAAAAATATGTATGTTGTATATACTCTACAATAGTAATTGTATTTGCAGTCGCGTGAAGCAGACAACAATGGTGACGGTGTCAGAGATGAGCTGCAACTTAAGCTAGAGATGCCATTGCTGGACACAGAACACATCCAGGCTGTTCAACTTATACTCATCTTTGACTACATGTTGAGTGTAAGTTTTAGCACTATGTTGTTTTGTCATAGAAATACAGATCCATATGGGACATAAAATACAAATCCCTTATAATATGTTAAATATTAGATATGTCATCTTTCTACTTCTGAAATTTAGATCCAACCTGTACCATTATCAGGGGTTATATTAGAATTTCAGGCATCGGGCATAATGAAAAAAAATTACCAAAACTATTTGAAATTATAATTTAATAGGGAGATAATTGCAAATTTTTTCCAAACAGCATATTTTGGTAAAAACAAAATCACCTGTTGCTTAGGCCTGTTAAGTTTGCTTTTGAAACAGTGGACACCGAGAGTTCATATGAGTTCATATGAACTATAACCACGAATATTTTACAAAGAACAAATTAATTATAGATATAAGCTTTACTGGTTGAATATTTTCCACACAATTTATTTTATTGTGTCTGTTTATGCTTTCTCATCTTTTCAGAAATTCTCCACAATGCAGATGGAAAGTATGGGTTATTTGAGGCATGAGTCTATATTCCCTGGAGGTCAGCTTAAAGTTATAGGAGATCTGCTACTTGTACAAAGACAACCCTTGGCCCACAGAGGTCTGGATACCAGATTCAATGTAAGAAACAGTAAATACATTTGAAAGTGGTCATGTGCTTATTTTCAAGCAGGGTGGTATTTTGTGTTTAGGATGGTGCATTTGTCCAATTCAAGAATAGTTGGCCAAATACTCCAAAGTGCACTCTATTGTTGTAGAATTTTTGAAAAAAATGTCAGCTTTGCCAACTTTGATTGATTTTGATGCAGTTTTCATCCCCAGTACCAGATCAGCCTCTTGTTTTTTGTGTGCAGACATGACTTATTTCAACCATGCATTCCCATTTAGGAAGTGAATAAGGTATTAAGGGGTTCCTAAAGAGGGGATGGAACATTATTTATTTTCTGAACTTTTTCAAAGCCACTGTAATGACTTGAAATATATAAAAAAATATGTGCACTGTTTTAACTGTAAAAGTTTAATTATACAGTAACTTTCAAATGGCAAAATATTTTACATCTATTCTTAATTGTTGAATCTTACTTCTTTGTATTCTCATTTTTCAGACATCAATATTTGACAGGAACAGTTTATTTCTGGATGCATTTGATCTCAGCAAAGTCTTCACAGAGTACTCTAGCAGAAATGGTGAGTTATTTTGTACTTTTTGTAAAATAAAACTAGCCACAAGCATTTGTACTTCAGGAATGAAGAACCCTATATCACTCCTTCATAAAAATGACATATTTATTTTATTATGAAACCTTATAGTTAGAAACCCATGCCTCTCTATCGTTTCAAAAAATTTACCCAACGTGGCGGTCTCTGTTAATTTATGGCATCCATACTTTTCTGAAAGGTAACACTTTGAGGTTCAATTTTTTGCCGGATGCCCTTGCAAACTCTCATTGGTTGCTCTGTATTGTAGCATTCCGTTACCATGGTTACGCATCTATAGGCATCTTACCTTGGAATCTTAAATCATTTGTAGCTTTGTCATTATTTTGTCTATAGATATGATATTGGTATCAAATTAAACCTAAAAAAATTTCTCATATAATTAAAATATTCAATTATGCAAATTAGCTCATTTGCATAAATTGTGACGTCATAAATCTATTTTTGGTTCAGAATTTTCAAGTATAGCAATGTATCTTTAAGAACTGAAGCCGTATGGTAGAATTTCTTCAATGTTATGACTTTTATTCTATGAGCAGAAGGTTTAAGCAACATAAAAGTAAAAACAGATTCAAAATTGGATCAGAACTAACAAAGTTATTAAGCTTTCTGGGAAGCTATCATGAATGTTATCATTAAACAATTAACTTTAAACATCTTACCTTAGAATTGAAATGTTTGGTAGCTTTGTCATTATTTGGTCTATAGAGGAGGTCTTGGTATTGAATTGATCCTAATTGAATAAACTGTATGGTAACGATATTCAATTATGCAAATTAGCTAATTTGCATAAATTATGTCATCAATCTATTTTTGGCTCAGAACTTCCAAGTATAGCAACAAATTTATTAGATCCGAGGCTGGATGGTGTAGTTTCTGCATAGTTCGTCATTTATTCTATGAGTGGAAAAGGTATGAGCAACATCAAAAAATATTCAAAATTGAATGAGTATTTGTAAAGTAATTCAGCTTTTGAGGGAGCTGCTATGAACGTTACTATTTGACAATCATAAATAAAACACTGAAATATCAAAAATGAAACAAAGCTGATTCAAGCTTATTGAGTGAAAAAAATATATTTTACATGTCACTGAAGTAGTTGGTGTATACACTGACTAGGGCAGAGCATTTGTACTGAAAGGAGCGTTTTCAGTACAAATATGTACTGAAAAATGTACTAGTTTTGTTTCAGTACAAATTTAAGTATATTTTTGTACTGAAAAATGCACTGAATTTTTTTCAGTATATTTTTCAGTACAAATTCATGTACTGAAAAATATACTGAATTTTAAGTACAAATTTAAGTATAAATATGTACCGAAAAATGTACTGAATTTTAAGGACAAATTTAAGTGCAAAAATATACTGAAAAATGCACTGAAAATTTAAGGATAAATTTAAGTACAAATATATACTGAAAAATGTACTGAAATTTAAGTGCAAAAGTCAGTATAAAAATGTACTGAAAAATATACTGAAATTTAAGAATAATTTTAAGTATAAATATATGCAATGAGAAATATTTGTGCCCAATAATGGAAATAAGAGAAAACGTAAATGTAAGGCATACTTTATAAACTCTAAATCACTCAAAAAGTTCTTAGAATGGTGAAAAAGTGCATGATTTTAAAAGAATTTTTGGCCAGGGGGGGTTCGCTTGGACCCCTGAAAACCCCCAACAGGAATGCTATTACATTATGAAATTACTTTGGATGCTTCCTTTACAGCAGCCTTTAACCAAACTTAAATGAGTCTCTCTGTAATCAGGTTTGTTTTGCCTTGTCAAAATATTTTGTTTTGTTAGTGGATTAATAAAGTTTCTTTAGACACATCATTTAAAGCAGACTCTAATCAAACTGGAGAGGCTAGGTTTACTGTAATCAAGTGATTTCCTTTTTAGAAGTTATGTTTATGGATTTATTAAAAACGGCCTAAATCACTCAAAAAGTTCTTAGAATGGTGAAAAAGTGCATGATTTTAAAAGAATTTTTGGCCGGGGGGGGGGGGGGGGGTTCGCTTGGACCCCTGAACCCCCCCCCCCCAACAGGAATGCTATTACATTATGAAATTATTTTGGATGCTTCCTTTACAGCAGACTTTAACCAAACTTAAAAGAGTCTCTCTGTAATCAGGTTTGTTTTGCCTTGTCAAAACATTTTGTTTTCTTAATGGATTAATAAAGTTTCTTTAGACACATCCTTTAAAGCAGACTCTAATCAAACTGGAGAGGTTAGGTCTACTGTAATCAAGTGTTTTCCTTTTAATAAGTTATGTTTTGGATTTAATTATTTAAGACGCATCCTGTAATAATATCTGATTGCATTTTCTCCATCAATAAATTTCTTTTTAGCCCGATCAAACCTATCAAATATAATGCATAAATAAGGGTTATGTACTGGGAGGTTTTGGATACCCATATTTCCTGAGGGATAAACCCTTTATTTAAAACTGATCGTACATAACATGTGTATTCCATACCTTTTGAGGTTTCTAGATACATTCTACCTTATTAAGTTCTAAAATTCAAAAACATTAAAGGTACACATTTTCTCAGTCTTAAAAATAAGTTTTTCATGAGATTTTCACTCATATTGCTCGAGCAAATTAATTAATTGATATCAAAATTAAAATATATAACATGAACATAGAACCTCATTTGTTCGAGTATAGCAAAATCCATGGTAAAGATGTGAAAGTCAGGAAGATGTCGTAATTCAAAATCTAAGTATATTTTTCAGTATAAATTTACACTTAAATATGCCCTTAAATTTCAGTATATTTTTCAGTACATATTTGCACTTAAAATCACACTTAAATTTCAGTATATTTTTAAGTACATATTTGCACTTAAAATCACACTTAAAATTCAGTATATTTTTCAGTATAAATATATACTGAAAAATGTACTTAAAATTTCAGTACATTTTTCAGTACATATTTATACTGAAATTTGCACTGAAATTTTAAGTATATTTTTCAGTACATTACCCTTTGCATTCGTTTGACTTCACTTCTTAAAAGAGAGCTTCGTCTTCACTCTTTCAAACTAAAATAAACCTGTGAACTCACCGCGCCAATCAGTGTTCGTCGGCCAAATTTGACCGACGTTCTATATATGGTCATTCCTTCTGACGTCATCGTTGAGCCCGGAATTGACCAATGACATGCGCATATTTAATTAGAACGCATTTAGCGTATGTTTCTTCAAGCTCGCTGATTGGTGGAAGAAAGGTCAGCGCGTAGGTCAGAAGTGGTTTATTACCCAAACTGTCACCGGTACCCGTCGTGGGGGCGGGGCTACTAAACTGTAATATGGTCTCTACTAGGCAGAGTGTAGTTTAACTAGACTCTGCACGCAGGGTATCAGTACATATTTATACTGAAAAATATACTTAAAAATTCAGTACATTTTTCAGTACATATTTGTACTGAAAATGCTCCTTTCAGTACAAATGCTCTGCCCTAGTGATAGAAATGATATGGGTATTCATAATTTTGACTTTGATTGACAGGGGTCAAAACAGTTTTTTTTTGATTTTGTAACATGATTTATTGTTTGTGAGAAAGTTATGGATTCATCAGTAAGTGAATGGGTGAATGGTATGGTGAAATCTGTTATGTAATCTATAAATCATTGAAATGATTTGCTTCATAGACGTCAATCTATTTAAAAATGCGTAATCATCTACATGACCTGTTAATACAAATTGATGACGTTATATCACAAAATGTATGTCATTGCTGTTTTTTATGTCACCACCAAAAGCGGTGACATATTGTTCTCCATTTTTGAGATGGCGTTTGACATCTGGTGTCTGGCCTTTGGCATCTGTAACAAATGGCAGGTTGAGACATTTTGCATGTTTATGCCTTGTTTGAATTATTTACAAAATGTTATAAAAAATATCAAAATAATATATTTTTAAAAGCCTCATTTAAAAACACAGCAAGAACATTAATTTTGATTGATTGCATTGAAGTGGATTCAAAGATTGACTTTTTGCATGCTGGTGACGTTGCGCCATTCTTACACCTAAAACCTAACTGATTTTACCATACCATATGCTTTTTGAAGAAAGAAATCTTATTTGTTGAATTTTCTAGCACAAATCGACTCCCTTCACTCATTTTGTCAGATTACTGGCAGTAACATTAAAGAGACAATTTTTATAATCTAGAGTGTCTCAAAAAATGACCCAAAGGTATATCAACAGCAAAGATAAATCAATCAATATTTTCAGATATTTTTGCATGGTCATTTAGGAAAACCAGGTAAGTTTTCTCTCCAATACTAATTTTTTAGTTCAGTCTTGCCTATTTTTGATGCTTTAACCCTTTTTATACCATGTGTTTAATTTCCCCTCCTTACATTTCGATAAAAGCCTGCATTCTTACTGCTACATTGTTTATCATATATGACAATGTTTCTGGTGGAATGTTTTGAATTTCCTTTCACATGTTGACCTCAAATTGTTCTATGTCTCTTAGCTTGGGATAAACATAAACATGGTTCTTGAAGTCATTCCAGAGAAAATGTTTTGGGTGTCAAATCTGTTGAATAGGGAGGCCTTCTCTCTGTCTTTATATAGAGAGAAGAAACTGCTTTCATGTGAATTTTTGTGTGGCCCTTGCTGTACATGGAGGGGCTCAAACTGTCTGGAACCACAGAGTTCTCATTTGGATATCATTCAGTCTCTGTAACTCTGGCAGATGGAACTCCATTATCAATTAACTGCTAAATCATTTGACGATAATTGAGCTTGTTCTCTGTGATTGTTCTGCCATCTTCAACCTTGGAACTACTTTCTCTGGGGCTATTTGAAGGAGCATGTTAAGCTAATCCCAAGCCGAAAGACCTAGAACAACATAAAGCCAACACCCCAAAAGAAAGTCAAAACGTTCCACCTGAAACATAATCAAATGTGATGAACAATGTAGCACAAGGATACAGGGTGTCATCGAAATATTAAGTTAAATGTAAAGGGTTAAATCATCAAAATGCAAGACTGAACTGAAAACTTTGTATTGGGGAGGAAACTTACATGCTTTAGCAACATGACCATGCAAAAATATCTGAAAATATTGATTGGTTAAACCGTGGTGTTAACATACTTTTGGGTACATTTTTGAGACACCTTGTATTATTTATCATACCAAAGCTATTATAGTTCATAAATAGCATTGCATTTTATATTAAGTGTTGATGAAGCGAGGACTTAAACCCAAGAGTTCCTACATCCATGTGACATTTATTTCCATGTAACTAACAACACCTTAATAGTGTAACTTTGAACAAATTAATGTTTAATTATCACCATGTCATCCATGTGACATTGATATCCGCGTTAACATCACCTCTATGGCATTCATTCATGTTATAGCCATCTAAATGTATGTATATGTAAAATCGATATTCATGTAGCATTACCCATGTCAAGGACCCATATGGCAGTGGTTGAATTTTTCTTTTGTTAATCTATTTCATTGGTAACTTTCATGACAGGGATGCTTTTTATTCTTATTGTTTCCATCATCTTTGTCACATCTCCATGTTCACCTCACCAGTGTGATTGGACTCCCAAATATCATCTGTGTGACATTAATCTCCTTGTTAACATCATCTATAGGTGTGACATTGATTCAGCTCCTCTCAGCACATCTTCAGCGTCCAGGCCTACATGTACATCTGAGACTTTTTGATAAAATCTGTTACACAGGGCGTTTCAAAAAACGCAACAGGTAGTTTCCTCGTAAAATCACAAAACTAGTGATGACTACATCAATTTCATTCAATGTACCATAAAGCCACGTCCCTCCTCTTCATTCACATGTGGTAAAGGTTGAGTGAGAAATCCTTCCATTTGCACAGTGGGTCAAAATGGCTCTGGATCAAGTTTTAGATATTGCAAAAATCAGTACAAGGGCTAAGTACCTATTGAAGTTCCCCTGACTTGAAATGCTGTGACTTTTTCTTTTAGAGCTATCTCAGGAGCATCTGTGCTCACAATTCCTTCACCAGATATTGGGAAACCTCGAGAAAGAATTGCCCATGGGCTGCTTTTCTCTGCTTTAACCCACAGATGACTCCCGGCTAAACCATGCATGACATGGACAAATGAGCGCATCTTTATGTGCAAGGAAGTGGCGGCAATTTGGAGAGGTATAGGATGTATTCTTGCAAGAGTATGAGTATGAACACTTTACTGTCTATGCCACACCTGTCACACCTTCTTTCAATCGCCCCTATGCTCCTTGTACTGACTTTTGCAATGTTTGAAACTTGAGTCTGAACTGAATTTTGCCCTACTTTGCAAAATTAATGATTATTCAGCCAGCCATGACTCCCTGTGAATGAATGATATTCCATTGGCAAAGAGGAGTAATTTGGCTTTTCGGTACATTGAATGAAAAGGATACAGTCAGCATAGGTTTTATGTTTTCTTCCAATATTGCATCGGGCTCCGTACACTGACTTTTGCGATGTTTATAACTTGGCCCCAAGCTAATTTTGGCCCACTTTGAATAAATGGAATGATTACTCGCCCAACCATGACCAAATATCAATGAATGATATATCATTGTAAAGAGGAGACACATGGCTTCATGGTGCATTGAATGAAATCATGTTATCACTGGTTTTGTGCTTTTCCGAGATAACAATCAGTTGCGTTTTTTTTATGCACACTGTATTGATTAGTTCTTCATTAGATTAGATCATTCCATATTAAAGCTTCTAAACTATAAAAAGTGTAAATTAAAATAGTTTAGATTCAACCTCTGTCAATCATACTACGTGATTAACTTCTTTATTTTGCACTTAAATCTCCTGTTGTTACGGTTCTCAGTTTTGAATGGTATCCATAGTCTATGGGGATATACCTGAAATCCATCCATTTGAGACTCATATTTTTCATAGATTTTTGGTATTTCATATTTTGGAAACCTTTTAAAACAAGTTCAGATTACAAGTCCTATACCATACATACTTTGGGACATAGGAGATAGATGTAGGAAACCTATATGTAGATGTAGGAAGGGTTAGTTAAAGTCCTACAAAAATCAATTCTTTCAAAAATATTTTAAAGGGCATTTTTTCTTCGTGGCTATTTTGATCAATAGACTTTAATTTCAGGATTACTAGCACTACTACTGAGCTCTTTTATGGATTTTGTCATCATTTTTCATTGCATATCGAAGAGGTTATATTATGTAAAATTATATAAAAACTACTTTTCATTTTGCTTCTCTAAGTGCCTACTTTCAGCTATAACATAAATCATTCTAAGGTTGAATCACCAATGATTTTGAAGGTTGAAAAATTCCCCTAAAGTAGTTATCACATTAGCTGTATGGGCTCGCCATTTGCCACCGATTGACTTATTTTGGGCATTGATTTTTGGAAATGTTAACGTATAAGTTCTAAAGTTGACACTCTATCTGTATTTTAAATATAAAATGGTAGTTAAGATTTATTTAGTTTATGTCCAAATATCAACAAAATTTTGTTTCAGCTTTTTCACATGCTAGAAATCAAATGAAACCAGGAATACTCTTCCATATAGATTTTGTAAATATTGATATGTATATTAGTCAGCATATGTCAAAATAGCATAATTAAAGCATTACTATGTATTCATATGGATCATTGACAGTGTATGGTAAATTATATAAAATTAGATTTTAAAATACAAGATCAAGATCACATGATTTTGACCCCTGTGAATGATAGTCAAAATACATTTAATATTTCCACATACTTTCATTTACAGTTCAATAGAAAAATATGAACAAGTCATGCACATTTTTACTCAATAAGATTGAAAAAATATGTTTGTTTCTTTTTTTGTTATTGTAATATTTTTATAATTGTCAAACAATGACGTTCACAGTAGCTGCCCCAAAAGCTGAATAACTTTCCTAATTCTGACCCAATTTTGAATCTGTTGTCTCTTGAATGTTGCCTCTATCTTGCACTCATCAAATAAAGGTCAAAACTATGCACACATTCTGTCATTCGGCCTAAGTTCTAATATATATGTTGCTAACTGGGATATTCTGAACAAAAATAGATTGATGACGTCACAATTTATGCAAACTAGCTAATTTGCATAATTGAATATTGTAATCGTACAGGAAATTTTATAAGGTTTAATTTGATACCAATATCATATCTATAGACCAAATAATGACAAAGCTACAAACACTTTAAACGTCCATGGTAAGATGTCTGAATAAAATTGTCAAATAATGACATTCACAGTAGCTGCCTCGAAAGTTTAATAACTTTGGCAATACTGATCCAATTTTGAATCTGTTTTCACTTTTATGTTGCTTATACATTCTTCTTATGGTCTAAAGGACCAAACTTTGCCGAAATTCTGACATACGGCCTCAGTTCTAATAGATATGTTGCTATTCTCGAAATTTCTGAATCAAAAATTGATTGATGACGTCACAATTTATGCAAATTATCTAATTTGCATAAATGAATATCATTACTTTATGAGAAAATTAATTAGGTTTAATTTGATACCAATATCATCTCTATAGACCAAATAATGACAAAGTTACAAATGATTTAAGATTCTAAGGTAAGATGTCTATAGATGCGTAACCATGGTAACGGAATGCTACAATACAGAGCAACCAATGAGAGTTTGCAAGGGCATCCGGCAAAAAATTGAGCCTCAAAGTGTTACCTTTCAAAAAAGTTTGGATGCCATAAATTAACAGAGACCGCCACGTTGGGTAAATTTTTTGAAACGATAGAGAGGCATGGGTTTCTAACTATTAAGGCACTGTAAAATAATGTTTCTGCTCAGTTGACCATATACCTTAAATTAAATTAATGCACTGAAATACTCTTAAGCTAATTGGCTTAGACAGATTGGCTTATTTGAGTTCTTATTAGATTGGGGTTTCTTGAGACGTCTACAATATTGGGAGGACAAGATATGTGAAATATACCTGTCAATCTATGAAAATATTATGTTGGTGTGTGTATTTCAGTGACTACATTGTTCCAGTACAATTATCCAATATGGAGTAAAGGCAGAGCAGCTGGAAGTCCCTTCACGCTACAAGCTACAGTCAGATATCCACTAACTACAGTACAGTATCCTTTTCACTGAGAAAAACAGTATTGCTTTTTACAAAACCATTTAATATACAGCTTTTCACAATGGAGAGTGATAGGTAATTGTATACAGTATGTTGACCAAAAATTAAGAATTTACATTCTGCAATCTGCATGTGCCTTTAAGAATGGTATAAATTTGTTGAAAACTAAATGTCACAGTAAACCATTCATGATTGCCTTAATGACTTTTAAAGTTATCATTTTACCTCTTCAATGTTCAAGTTCTTGCTAGATACCATACTAGTACATGCTTTTGGTTATTGTCTTTAACTACACTCAGATACACTCCAGGTTTGTGGCAGCTCTTCAAATGGGCCTGGATCCAATACTTTGCCATACTGGTTGTCTTCATCTTTGTCTTCAATAGGATCAAAGCATTCGTCTACCAGAACCAACTTGTAACAACTATAGTCATTCCAGCCTTCAAAGAACACAAACTGTGATGTACTACTTTTGTGTAGAGTGTACTTTAAAATACTGACGCACATTGTACCAAAATCCATTATAAAGACAGGTTTGTTAGGGTTAGCCAAATTGATACCATATCTCATACTTTTCATATGATGCTTTTTTGAACATAATTAGCACCTGTCTCTATCAGAATTTGTTACTAAATTTTGAATTATGCATCAAGAGCTTGGTTTTGTGCTAGAATGCACCTATACACTGATCACAATTATGGTAATGGCCTGTATGTTCATTCAGATAGAAATCCATTCCAATATAAAAAATACAACTACTACTACTACTACAGTACAACTAGAGCTAATCGTTACTATGACTCAGTTATATGTGGTTCATTTAAGACAAGAATGTGTCCTTTATTCTATGCTTGGGACATGGAAATCATATATGCAAAATGTGCCGGATGCTTTTCCAAAATATACTACTTTTGTTTACGTCTCTGGCAAAATGTTGAGACATTGACGCCTATTTCCTTAATAAGAGGAGAGATAGGGAAATAGGGAAGGGCATAGTGGCTTCATGCTTTTGTTTCAAAAAAGATATCGTTTTAAAAGGAGGATATTTTTCAAAAGGATATTTTGTCTCATGCAGGATTGATCCGTCCAGTAGTGATTTAAACTCTGTGTCTAAGTAGAATTGTACTTGTATAACAAATTGCTGCATATAAAAATATTTCTTCAAAATATGAAAATAATTAATCTCCTAAGAAACACAGAAATATATGCATATATGGATATCTGTTAGATTTAGAATTATTGCTAGGAAACATGAAACTACAGATAAAGTGATGAAATCCCAAACAGAAATCCTAATGAAATTTAATTTTAGTATCACTATCAAGTCAACAAAATTGTATTACATGTATAATATTACTAGTGTAACCTTCATGGCTGATGTTATTTGGAAAATTTCAGCATGCAGCTAATCTAATTTCTGTGTGTTTTCTGTATGTTTTCAATGTTTTCTATATGTACATATCCATTCAAAGAGCTTTTTAGTGTTTTGTAAATAAAATAATGTTTTCATCATGTTGTGAAACATCAGTGAAATTGAAAAGTGTAATTATTTATTTGTAAATATTATTTTTCATTTTTATAACTTTGTATAGTTAGTTCCATTTAATTTTTTAGAAATAGTAATTTAATTATAAATTCATTGTAAATAAAAAAAAAATATATATATAAAGTAAATTAGTTTTATTTTGTGTATGAATAATATTTAACATTTTATGAGTGGGAATGGGTTACAGACAAGTTGCCTTTTTTATCCCCCTCATGGTTTCAGGATACCAGAATAAACAGATATAGATAAGTCTTTGGGATTTCCAAGTGTGTCCATCTTTTTCAATGACAGACTCAATCTAAATGACAGTGCTAAATGTCTTGTCATAATAATAGTCTTGACATAAATTGCCTGTCTTATCAACTATTTCTATCAGAGAATGTATGAGTGAAATACTGGTAGTATCCGTTTTTTTTCATGAAGAAGTCTAGTTATCATGCAGGGAAATCAATTGTTAAGGACTCTGTCGAATTATTAAGAGGACCTAGCATATCAGGTTTCTGCACTTACATTAAAAAAACATATCCCATATTGTTTTCCCATATGGAAATGTGCTATTCATTGTTTCCAGCCTAGTTTTGGTCACCAAAATTGACATCTTTCATATTAGACTTTCTCCATTGTACCTTTGAATAAGTTATGTATCTTTTAATTATCTTCATGCAAAAAACAAGATCCTCTCTTTAGAAAACACATGGAAGACTGAGATTTTGATATATTTTTCTTTTGAAAAATTTGTTGGGGCAGGGTCCATATCCATAGTGTTTTGGAGAATCGGATTGTTGTTTTACTTACTTGGGTCCTTACTAGGAGGAAAACATATTATTTTAGTAACAATGTTGTATATATTGTGAAAAATGTTAATATTCAAATTATATGATTGCCTTTCCCAATGGCCATGATGATCCCACTAATCTCCATGACCTCTTGTGGCTTGCTCTTCTTACTAATCTTTTAAGTGATTATAATTCATGAATTGTTAATGGGTACCAGAGTTATGCTAGATTTGTAGATAAACGCATATGTGTTTTTCATGGTCAGTTGTGGGAAGATTGTTTGGATACATACTAGAGAATGCATTCGGGAAATGTTTTTGCATTCTCCGCTTAGCATTTCGTGAGTATATGATCGCATTCTTCAAGGAAGTGGGCGTGACGTCATTGTGCGCATCAACCTGCGCAGAAGACGATAATTGGATTTTGACAAAATTTAATTTTTTCGGACTTTACGCATTCAAGTTACATTTACTGCGTAAATATGGATTATGTATAAGGTTTCAAGCTGCTATAAGGACTAACAATCATGGCACAATGTAAACAATCTGCCCAAGAGTTTATTCGTGATGCATTTAGTCCCATGGTTGCGGGGATGTGCAGTCATGATGCTGAACAAGTTTGCAAGAAAAACAACCTGACATTTGTTGAATTGATACAACCATTTTGTAGGTTAGGGACAGAAGGTAAGTCTCTGCAATCTCTAATGATCAACACGATCAAGTTAATTGGGAATTATATAGAACCCTGGCCTCTTGCAAATTGTAAATGTACAACTGTTTGGGCGTCAGTCAAGCCTAAAATAAACAATCAAAGAACCACAGTACAATATTCAATGTTTTTTGACATGCCATGGTTTATTTGTAATTTCACTTACTTAGGTTGTTTTTACCCAAATTTCTGTTGATTTTCAGGAGGTTTCCATGGAGACCCTATCTGTTGCAAGACTTATGCCTGACGTAACCGTCACCATGTTATTCAGTGTTTTTAAGTAGTGCAAGGATCCTGCCATCACTGTGGTTCTGTTATCATGAAAGCCTGGTATAACCGCGACAATGCTGTGTTATATTGCAATGCCTGCCATGACCATGGTAGTGTAATCGTGTGAGCCTGGCTCGACCGTAGCCTCTTTATATGACATTTATGACTTATTTCATGTTTCGCCCGTTGCTGTTAGTTTTTTTTATGGATTGATCATTTTAGAAAGTATATGTATGTGCTTTCGAATCGAACCTTCTTGAATGCCGAGAGTAAAGATATAGTTTGTTAGCAAATTATTCATGAGTTAAAAATGAGTGTTTCGTTGTGAAATTAATATACATTTTTATTTCTCAATTAACATGAGTACCATGTACATGTATATTAGTCTTGATTTACATATTTAAGGTAGTTAAACACGAAGAAAATTGTTATGGTGTTCTCTTGCTACTTTAATACAACCATGGTCATTAGAGGCCTAATTGTAACTATTGTCACAGTCATATCAGGCTTTAACATTGCCACGGTCATGACAGGCATTGCAACCATTGTCACGGTCATTTCAGGCTTTAACATTACCACGGTCATGACAGGCCTTGCAATATAATACAGCGTAGTCATGGTTATACCAGGCTTACACGATAACACTACCACGGTCATGGCAGGATCCTTGCGCTACTTAAAAACACTGAATAACATGGTGACGGTTATGCCAGCCGTAAGTCTTGCAATAGATAGCATGTGTTCCCATGTTGAAATTATAATTTTACCTGTTATTTCTTTTAATTGTTTTGCCTATTGTCAAAAATTCTAATGAATATCCCACTGATTCAGCTTCTCTTATGTAAAATGTAAATTGCATCTTTCCAGCTCACGTGAGAGACCCTGGGAATATATCACATACCCTACAGAATTTTCGAGTGGTTGTTCGGGACATGAGCCAACTCCCTCCCCAACCAACTCTGTCTAAAAAGATCCTGAATGATGCTGTTGCCTCAGCCTATATCGCAACAGATAGCTCATCAAGTAACTGCCTCTCTATCGGAAAATATGATCTCCAGTTATCAGGTAAAGCATTGCGTTTAAATTAATAAATTATAGGCAGGAAATCAACAGTATTGTAGATCTATTACTTTCTTATATTCTTTTCTCCAGCCATTTTCCAGTTAAATTTGCGAGTCTAGGTGTCACTCCTGTAAATCATTGAAAAATATTGAAAAAAATCACAAAATTCAAGTTCTGGGGTACATATCGCCATTTTCGAATGAACTAGCCCATACAATGACTATATTTCTGCGTTGCCCTATACATAACCTTCATCTTGACACTATATTTAACGTACGGTTTGCGTCTCGATTTTTATATATCACTACGCCAACATAGGGACTCATTTTCAGGTAAAATCCCTGCTTCACCGATGAAAATTAACGAATAAAGTAGTTCCAGTTTACGGGACTATATTCTTGCGATTTTTTTCTTAAAATGGCTCATTTAGAAAGTACTTGGCCTCAGCTTTACATACATACCTCAAACGACCACATTGCATACACTTAAACCTACTATACACACCATTGAAGTTGGCATGGCAAGGAAAAAAAGTAAAAGAACTGAGTCTTCAGTCACTATTTGCTCGCAACATTTGTTTGATGTATTTGGTGTATTTCAGCTAGTACACCTTGGTTTGAGGCCTACAGGGAATGTTTCCTCCAGATGGCGTACCCATCAGAGCATGAGTTCACTAAGCATTACTTGGGGTGTATGTTTGTTGTGTCTAGTGGCAATACTGACCCTATGGCACAATTCCATCAGATGACACAGGAACAGCACCAACAACAGCATTTGTCCCCCAATAAGCTACCTAAATGGTTCTGCCCTAATGTACTGCACTATTATGTTCTTATACATGATGTGACTGAAGCAGAACAGGCCAAGTAAGTGATTGAAATTAATAGTGGTAAATTAAGGAATAAACAATACTAAACTCATACTAAAGGCTTGTCCACAATCTTTCTAAATGAGCTGCAGAGAATTTTTGTCAGAATATTGTAATTTGGGATACCATGATTTTGTTTTCATGAAAGTTGATGGTACGTATCCAAAGAGAGTTGTGCGACTTCTTTCTGAGAAGTGGTATCATCACTCAGTATTTCTTATAGAGAACATCACAAGTATATTGTTCATATCAATGCGAATGTCTGCAATATTTTTTTTGATATATCATTTTGTTTCTTTTCCAGGGCAGAAGCTATATACCAGAGCATGAAATCAACCTATGGGCTGAACAACTGCCATTTGCTCCAGATCAACTCCTGCACTCCCCAATCTACCCAAAATTCTACCCCTGGATCTACCCCGGGCTCAAACTCAGACACAGGAGCAGCATTACCTGACCCCTGGGCACAGTTTATACAAAAGAAACCAAATGATTTTAGGGTTCGTATTAAAAGCATGTATGATCTCAATTAAAGTTTGAATTGCAGTATATGCAACATTAAAACACATTGTATAACCTTCAAAAGATACTTATTGAGGGCTATAATTTTGAAAGAACATTTAATTGTTATGAATGTTAATTGAAAGCCCATGGTATAATCCAACATTAATTGTACTTTTAAAATGTCAATAGTGAACAAGATGCTGGATTTAAAAAGGTGATATACCATAATTTAATGTTTGTTTCAGGATTCGGACTATGACCTAGCTAACCATGTGTCTGACCTGACACGACTTCCCGATGGATTCTCCTCTGGAGACCCCTTAAACAAAATTATACCCACAGACCCCTTAGTCAAATCGGTAGAAGATGCTGCTGAGGCATTTGAAGGTAGGATATTATTTTTAATTTCTTGTACAAGCATCTGAATTTATTTACCAATTATTAGAGTGAGTTCTACACATGAAGAAGTTTCATGAAGGACCATTTTGGTGACCGAATGCAAATTGAGGGATATAGATTATGGTATGCTTTCTGTGAATTGAATTTTACATTGGAACATGCAATTTTCTTTCAGAAGAGTCTGTATCGCATCCACTCTCTGTGGGTACAGACAACCCACTCCAGTCCTCAACCGAACAGAGTTACACTGACCCCCACCTCCCAGAATCCTCATCCACAGGGCAGCATGGGGCCTGTCTCACAGTCAGCGATCACGATAGGTTGAGGATCTTTGTACATGAGTTTATTATACGTGGGTTGGTGCCCTGGGCTGAGAGAACAATGAGGAATCTGAATGATCAGGTATTGCATGAAAGAAACAATGTTTTATATGTATAATCTTTTAAAACGTTGGACCAATCAGGCACTTAATTTGAAAAAACTCTGCACCAATTGAAAATCCCAGTATATTCAGTTAAACTGAATATAGTCAATGAGATTTTCAATTGGTACAAGTTTCTTTCTTAAGACCAGATATAGATAGTTTTATGTCAGAATTGGTGAAACTAAAATATAGGTATAATTTCAGAAAAAATCCTAATGAAATGTTATCCTAACAGTTTAATAATAATATGAACTATATATGTAAACATAGCAAATAAATAGACTAAGCATTAAACTAGAGCCAGTATCATCCTTTTTCATGTACACAATAATATCCGTATTGCATCTGGGACTCCTGGAAAGACAAAGGTCGATATTAATGACAATTGATATGTGCATGTATCATGCAAGTGGATTTTGAAATGTAGCCTTAAACAGTATATTTAATCTTTCCAGATATCATCAAGAAAAGGCATTCACAAATCATTCTTGGGTGCTACCCGGAGATGGTTCAGTGGTAATAAACCCCAGGGCCAGACTACCTCCACAGAGAAAGCCACTGTTGTGTACGTATCTCTTGTAATTTGAATGGAAATGATGTTTATTTGTTCCTGAATTTCCCATACCTTATTTATAGCGCCTAACTTTATACCTGACATTATGCCACTGTTGTGTATGTATCTCTGCTTGTAGTTTGAGTGGAAGGGGTGTTTATCATTAGAGAAATAAAGTGTCTATTTGTTCCTGAATTTCCCTTATCGTATTTATAGTGCCTTAAACTTTATACCTGACATTATGCCCTTTGAGTGCACAAAGTACATTGTTGAATACAAATAAATTATTGTTAGTGCTGACATTTATCTCTAACCATTTGAAGATTAGCCAAATATGTCTTTGTTATATCAAGAGACTTGATATGCAAACCTTCCCATATATTTCATGTCTGTGTTTAGCAAGTGTAGGCAATACACTTTTGTCCAATCCGTTTTGTTGACTGTAAATCAATATAATGTATGCCAATGTAAAATATAGACGAATAAAATATTCTTAATGATAAAAAGTCATCTGAAACAATTTTGATTATGCCGTGTTTTAGATATACCCCAGAGGCTCCAGAAATGCAACTAAGAAGACTAGGGGATCTTGCCTTCATGTTTCAACAGTATGAGTTGGCATACCAGACTTACCATACAGCCAAGAAGGACTTCAATAATGACCATGCATGGCTACACTTTTCCGGTTCTTTGGTACGCTCCATTTTATTTACAGTAATATACACATAACTATGGAACATGCACAATAATATGGGTAGATTTTTATTTGGTATTCAATATCCATATCATATTTTTATCGAAAATATCGAAAAAGGTGTATTTTGGCCCACCCTGTAGATGTCGCTGCTCTTATGGATCCCTTGACTTTTATAGATGTCTCTTTCTTCTTTTAACATTATTTTACACTTACTTGTATAAGGGAGAAGGCAACTGTTTGCTTATGCAAAAATACAGTCTCTATGTAAATAAATAAAAAATGAGGCATGAGTTACAAAATAATCTTTAATCTTAGATATGATGTGTTTGACTGTATGATTGTTATAGCCAATTATTCTTTTAGGATTCTATCCATAATACATGTTGTATGTTTCAGGAAATGGCAGCATTGTCAGTCTTCCTACAAGGTCCTACAAGTCAACGTAGTTTCCCTCAACATTACTTGGACAGTGCAATATCAACATATCTTACCACTTGCAAGTGAGTGGCTCATTTTGTAGAGAAAATCTTGAATTACATTTGATTTAATTGATTCAATTGACTTTTGTGGTATTTATGTTATATCTTATATCTGGGAAGACAATTGATTCACGAGTGATTTATTACCCCTCTCCTTATAAAGGCCTTTAATATAAGCCTGGTATTATTATCAATAATTTTGTGGCTGTATATTCCTAATGACCACCCTTTTCAAATCTGTCTAAAAAGTAGATCTTATCCAATTATGAGGTGTCTTAAAGGTCTTAAAAGGAATTTCCCCTTGCGAATTTTTGAAGTACATTGTACATGTATTAATTATTACTCTTGTATTTCAGATCCCCATTGTTTGCCACTCGGGCTACTCTATTGTGCACAGAGGCATGTAAAAGTAAAGGCCTGTACAATGAGACGGCTATGCAGTATATAAAACTAACCAGTGAGGTAATGTCTTTTAGGAATTCAGATTTCTTGTGCATGTCTATTTTTTTAAATTCGATTAAGTGTTATAAACTATACTAGGCATTACTTTGGTAAACATTGTATTGTTATATGTGGTGATAGTGGTTTTGTATAGGATAATTTATGATTTATTTGTGAATATATCCATACAAGGCAGTGTAGTGGGTGAGTGCAGATATGGATATTCACAATCAAAATTATATCAAGAATACTGAATAAATTATTAATTTGGTACAATTTTATATTCTATTCATTTGGTTGCGTATTGCCTATTATAGGACTCTGATCTACGGAGTGCGCTACTCTTAGAACAAGCGGCACATTGCTACATCAACAGTAAACAACCAATGGTGCGCAAGTATGCATTCCACATGATCCTAGCAGGCCACAGATTCAGCAAGGCTGCTCAGAGACGTCACGCATTGAGGGCATATGACCAGGCTCTACAAGTGTATAGAGAACGAGAGTGGACCCTAGCTGAGGTAAGATCTGTATGATTTGCATTCCATCTGGACTTGACCCACAACACATTTGGTCAGCAGTAGAAAACGAATAATTATAGAGAAGATATTTGGGTAAATGTTTAGGTTCAGTATATGGTTTGCATTCCATCTCGATTTGAGCCACATCATATTCAGTCCATTGTTAGAAATAAGTAACTATACTGTAGAGAAACTATCTGGGTAAATGTTAATTTTTTCGTGGCCCTCAATAGTGAGTCGAGTCTTTGAAATCTGAAGATGAGTGATTTCTGTTGATTTATTACTCCCATAAAAATTAAACTAAACTTAATACATGGTATAATGGACAAGACAAGGTAAAACAGACACACCGATGGACAAATGTTTTTATAGTTGGTACCCCGTGAGTCTAATACCAATGTTAATAAATCAACGGATCTGTCAGATTGGGCCCCACATGATCAGTGACATCATACTTAACTATGTCATAGCAACTGCATGATTTTTGTATAAATGAATAGAAAATGTGCTATTGTTGTCATCATATACATGTGTCATAACATTTAAATATTGCTTATCAAACAGCTACCACATTCAGTAGAGTGAGCTGGTTGCCACATTTATATTTAATAACATATAACATATTAATAAGATGGCATGTTCAAATACATCCATTATTAAATGAAATTGTTTCCTTTAGGTTTAAATGACCATTTCGCATGACCTTTAATTGTACATACACTAATAATTAGTAATAACATGAATCCTTGCTATTACGAATAAGCCATGTATTTTATGAAGTGGAGATCACCACAATCACTACCAACCAAAAGGTCACCATTGTGATCAATAGCAAGTCCACGTGGCAAATGTACTTTGTCCCTTGGGGTCATGAGATACCTTGTAAACTTCCCAGTGGGGTCCAACATGTTGATTCTGTTGTATGCATAGTAAGCTATGATGATGTTATCTAGTGAATCAGTGCAGACACCACTTGGCCAGTCAAATAGATTATCATCACTACTCTCTGGCCAATAGCTGTTAATGAGGTCTCCCATTCTGTTGAACATTTTTACACACTGCCTATCTGATACAATGACTGAATATATTCTGTTAGTTGAGAGATAAAATGGTTTCTCCAATATTCCAGCTCCTATTGTAGCCAGTATAGAGCCATCATTGTAGTCAATAATGAACACACATTTGGCTGCTTTGTCAGCAACAAGCAACTCACCTTTAGAGTTCATACATACATTGACCGGAAATTTAAATTTGCCAATGTTTCTCTGGTGCACCAAGTTTTGATTGAAGATAGCAACACATTTGTTTGTTTCTTCACATACAGCATAGCAATTGTCTTTGGTAGTACACACTCCAGCTTTGTTGATTTCCTTTGTTGACTTTTGAATCAACATTCTAGGATTGTTTACATAAGTCACAAGCATCAGCTGAGGGTCATGGTTTTCTACTACTAATATGTTTTGATTCTCACCAACACAAATACCCTGTATGGCACTGTATGCATTCATCTTATTTACCAAATGTTCAGTTCTGTATAAGTTAGACGTACACGGTTTTGGACTTTCTTTACATTGTAAAGATGTCGCTGAAGCTTTACCATGTACCTTATCAGTAGATGTGACAATTCGTCCCAGTTTAGATACATCCAAGTAGCCAGGTTTGTATGTACCAATCTCAAAATATTTGTCATGATGTTCAATGTCCACACTTGAAGGCAGTGACCTCCAGTCTTGTAGTGTTTGTTTGATATCAGCACTTGAGTTAACTATCTCGACAGGATGTCCATGTTTTTGTACGGAGGTCAGGTGAAGTAATGTACTCTCAGTGACGCCCCTCTGTAGCTCTAAATCACTTCTTTGAGATTTAATCTGTTTCAGGGTGTTATTATGCACTTCCTTAGCATCCCTTTCTAGTTTATTAAAGTATCTGTCAAGCTCACTTATCATAGCTCTGCGATCTGATTTTATTGAACTGAGAAGTGTCTGGAGTTTTTGCTCCGTGGTGCCAGTCAAATCATCTGAGTTTTTAAGTTGCTTATCAAGTAAATCTTTCCTTTGGATGGCTAGTCCCACCAATGCAGATACATTGCGTAGTTCTTCCTTTGCCACATCTTCAATTTTCACACATGAATGCCCAGAATGATCAGTAATACAACAGTCTCTACACACAATGGTTTTGTCAGTCTTGCAGTAGAACTTTAAGGGTTGGTCGTTGTGCTCAGTACAGTCAATATTTCTTTGAACCAGACTGTCTATTGCAATCTTGGAATCCTTCTCAGTATCCCCAGTCAATTTAACACGCTTGTGAGACTTCGTTGATCTCATTCTGCCGTGACATTTGTCACAAGTGTCACATAAATATTCAGCACATTCGATACATCTGGATACAGCATGTGTATGTTGTTTACCTTGTGCACAGATGTCACAGTTTATGCTAGATTCATTCAACTGTTCTTTGATTCTCTCCAGGGCTTCAGCCAATGACTTCATGGTGAAGTTAGTCCTATACGAGTTAGCACCTCCATTTGGAATGTCTGTTTCACACTTACACACTGGACAAGGATAGGTCTTTTTTCTACTCTCCTTTTCAGCTTGAATTCATACACCCAAGCATCCTTCACAGAATGAATGTAGGCATTTTAGTGACTTTGGTGTCTTCACTGTGTCTAGACATATAGGACACATCAACAGTTCAGTATATTCATTGATAAATGATTTAGCGGCTGCCATTTTGTAGCCTATATATTTTTAAGTCATATACACTGCACCTTTCTTAATTATAATTTTAACTTTGTCATGTTTGTACTTTGTGAACTAGTACCACAAGGGAGCAAATCAAAAACCTCAAATGAAGTGTTTAATAAGTTTAAAGTAAATAAACTGGGCAATAAAAGAAAAAATAACAAGGCTAAATAACCAGAATCTCAAAAAGACAAGTCTACTACACATTATGCAATGTCATCTTTTGAATATTCATAATTTAATTTGGGTGATATTTCTATATTTTTCATAAAAAAATTATTATCCCAGGAGACTGTTCTCCAAACCGAGACTTGTCCTTGAAAAGGAAAAATTTTAACTTTTTGAATTCACCCCTCGACCTGAGAATTTATTTTGATAAACGTTTATCTTCATTTCAATCAGTGTAGCAAACAATGCCATCTTTTATTTGGATGTATGAATTATTTCTTGCACACAAAAATCAAAAAGAAATAATAGTAATACAGTAAAACAGCTATAGAAAAGCTGTCCGTCTGTCTGTTCGTCCTTCCATTCTTCTGTCCAGACAATAACTCAAATACCTATGGGCATAAGACCTCTGCTCAAGAAGGAAATACCAATAGGGCTGTGAAGTTGCTTGTTTGATATAGATGTGTGCTAGGGAATATCACATGTTAAAAGATTGCCTTTGCAACATACACTTATTGTTTATGTTACAGGACCACATCAACTTTACAATTGGCCGTCAGTCGTTCAACATCAAACAATTAGATGCGGCCACTGAGGCCTTGCGGAACCTTGTTGTCAGGGAGAGTAAACAATCATTACCACAGCAACACAGCTTTCTCCGAGAGTATATATTTGTATATAAGGTATATATTTGACTTCTAATTTTAATCATTAAAAAACTTGTACAATTGTATTTGTAAAAAACAACATTCCACCTTCAAATGGCTTAAAATGCATCTGTGTTCCAGCAAAGCAATTCATTTAATACAGAAATAAACTACGAAAGGCTTTGAATGAAAGGGCTTTTGTTTCGTTTACGCCATTCCTTTTGGTGATGTGTCATTGACATCTGGCCCAATGTTTTACTTGTTCTTTTCAGCAACACCTGAATGAAAGTGGTGAGAGCAACAAGTTGCCTGTGTTACCTCTACCACACATCAAGAGCAATGACATCAAGGTTATAGTTACTGGTAGGTAGATCCTATATGTGGTGGCTCATTTATATCTTGACTAGCCAATCAGAACTGGAGAAATATTCATATTTATTAGATCAGATAGCAATGATCATCTGTAACAAATTGTTACACTTTTTTAACAATTTACAATACTAGGATCAGGTGGTCACATTTTGTCACGTCAATGCCTTGTTCTGAGAATATTCTCCTGTATAGATCTGTGATTTTGTTGTTCCAGGTAGTAAAACTCACAAAGATGGTTCTCCTATAGAAAGTAGTGAGAAACAATGGATACAACTGGAGAAACTCCTAGTGAACAAATCTATTCCTAACGAAGCCTTCAAGACAACTCCACAATGTTTCTCTAGGCGCTCCAACAACTCATCTAGTCCCATAGCCATTCAAGGAGGTATAATAAGTTGCACTGCTGAATGAATATTGTAGATTATGGTTGGTGCAACTTGACTAACCAAATTGCATATTTACCATTCCATATTAAATAATAACAATGAATGATTTGTTCAGGGACAAATGTTGTGGCATCTTTCCAAGTCATTTTCCGTTTAGCTCTCATTAATTTTTTCTATCATCAGTTGGGTCTTATGAATTTAGTGTAAATGTTTTGTTCACCAATATTTTATTTGATGTAAATTAATATGTATTGAGCAAGATGCATTATGGGAAGTATTGAATTTTGTGAATTGAATTTTCATTGGTGGATTTACATTATATTTCTCTCATTACAGAACCAGTTACCTTGGAGATTCCCCTATACAACCCACTAAAGGTGCCTCTATTGTTGAGTGATGTCACACTACTATGGAAGCTATTGCCCATTGACTATACCAGGGAGGGGGAGAACCAGGAAAAACTGCCTGAAGTAGTCACCAATGAGGTGGTATCACGGGGGAAATCTAACGTAGCAGACCAATTGGTTCATACAGAGGTGCTGAATGACATCACAATACCAGGGAATACAACTACACAGGTAGATCATTTATGGTATATTACTGATCATTCTTGTGATATTATACAATATTATATAGAGATGTTTATTTGTCATTTAAAATATGCATTTATTTTCATTGAATATTTATATTGATGATTATGGTAAAATATTTTAACCTATCAAAAAATCGATAAATTAATGAATGGTTTCCAGTTTTTGTATATTTTATGGTTTTATGGTGACATCTTTTATTTATCGTCCCTCTAGGTGACATTATGCCTTGAACCACAGCAGACTGGGGAACTGACCATAACAGGACTTGTATATAGCTTAGGATCTGGACAGAACTCAGACAAGACAGGCCATCAGAATAATATATGTGTGAGAGGCAAGCAAGTGCTTGAGACTCAAGGGCCACGTTTGAATGCCACCAAACTAGAGAAAACAACTTGTATGTATGGACCTGATAAACGACTAGACCTCATTGTGGCTCCACCAATGCCACAGTTGAAGGTAAGCTCAAGTTTTACAAAATTTCAGCAGATTTTAAAAATGTAGAACAGTGAGAAGTCAGAAAATTCAAGTGTTTCTTTTGTGATTTATTTTCAAATATGGTGCTTATTCAGAGCTTGCTACCCAGCTTTTGCAAAAAATATAAGCACAAATAGGCAACATTTATTTCTCTTTATTAGCCACCCTGATAAAATATCATGTGTGCCGATTCCTAGCAAGTCTATTATTCTTTAGTTGTACTTTGATGTTACAGGTGGAATTCACTGAAATGCCAACAACATTACTCTGTGGGGAAGTACGTCATATACCCGTAACCTTCACAAACTGTGGGGCAGTTGACCTGCATAATCTCACAGTCGGGGCTGCCCAGCCTAAACTTGTGACATTTGGGGCCCCAAGCCGTGACCCAGAAAATGGAACATATAAAGTGACATCAAAAGATTTTGGGACTGAGTTTCTTCATAATGGCGATGCAGCATCTTATGTTATGGACATTCCTATTGAAGGTGATGTGTTGAAGACTGGAGAGAGTGTACAAGTAAGTGAAGTGATGTAAATGGGAATAAAGCTTGAAGAATTACGTCACGGTTTGATTTAATGTCATATTGAGGCAGTTATCGGAAATTTTGTCATGAAGAGGCAATGATTTAATTGTAGAATCCAATTTTTAATTGATAGTCAACATAATTCCTCAGTAAAAGGATAATGTTATTTGATGATATTTATGCTTATCATCTTGCATTATGGGAAATATTTGTTACTTCCTGTAGGTGTCCATGTGGCTCCAAGGTACAAAAACAAGTGGGGTACAAGATATAGACTTACTATTTTTCTACCAACCAACACAGCAAGTTCCAAAATTGAACTATCGGTTGCTACGGCAACGTATATCTGTATACACGGTTGGGTCGTTGAACCTGAAATGTTCGGCGTTGAGATCTTGTAGCGTCACTCCTGGCACACGTGACCTTAGCAGTGCAATTATAGCTCTAGAAGTTGAAAATGCTAATCAGGTAAGATCTTTCAGTTTGTTTGAGATGTAAACAATTTTTGGAAAAAATCATAGAATCATTCTTTCTGTAGGTCAAGTTTGCATAATAATAGGGAATATCTAATTTAATTCCTTATCTTAGGAAACGAAAGAAAATCTAATGTTTGTATTCCTTATTCTTTTCTTTAATCTAATTCCAAATTGCTCCTCAAATTGTGATTATCTTTCTTATTTCTCATGTATTTCAGATTCATGACAGTACTATAGCAGAGTTTAGTATCCTACAAGTGTCCTGTGCCAGTCAGAAATGGACCTTGAGACACCTCAGTACACAAAGCAACACAGGTTAGCATTTAAAGCTTCATTTATTCTTGCATTAACTATTTGATTTCCCCATTACCCACTTCTCCAAAATGATGTGGGTGAGTTAAGAGAATTTTTCTTGTGCACACAAGAGGTTTTTGCATGACTAGATTAAATAATCAATCAAGGATGGAGGTATGTTCGGGGAGAGGTGGGCTTGTTGGAGCACAAGGGCTTGATCCAAAACTTAGTTTGATTAAACTTTAATACTTCTCTATAAAACGTAGTTATCCCAACGAACGAAGTTCGGTAGGGATATAGTGAAGCCCTCCATCCGTCAGTCAGTCCATCCGTCCGTCAGTCCGTCCGTCTGTCCGTCCGGAAGATAACTCAAATACTAGTAGACGGATTTTCTTCATATTTAGTGGAAAGATGTATATTGGTGAATAGTTTTACGCAAAAAAAATTTTTTCAAGATGGCCGCCGCTTTAAAAATGACGGGACTTTTTCGCAAAAATCATAAATTTTTCATTCTAAACCAAAGTAATTAATATAATTGTTTGAAATTTTGGTAGTATATTCACAACATTTATCTATTTCACATATATTCTGTGTTTTTCATCCTGACCCCTCCTGTATGGGGGGTCAGGAAAACAGAAATTTTCGCTAATTTTTAGATCTTTCTGAAGTATAGCTTTATTATACTCAAATGAAAGGCAATTAAGAGTAGATTGCAAATATTGTATCTTTTTTCTGATTCGAGCCTCGTAAAATTCAAAATGGCCATCTAATGTACAATTTCGCAATAATTTTTCGATCCCTTCAAAGTATGGCTATATTATACTCAAATTGAAGGATTTTTGGAGTAGATCACAATTATGGTATTATTTTTCAGATTTGTACCTCAGAAAATTCAAAATGGCTGCTTAGCAGGAATTCGCAATTCTAAAATCTAATTTTTTCAATTTTAACCAAAGTAATGAGTATAATTGATTGGAATTCGGTAATTGATATTTTGTTCGTTGGGATTTGCTACTCCGCGGAGTTGCCATTATCTAGTTTGATTAAACTTTAATACTTCTTTGTATAATTATAATATTTATAAACACTGTTGCAGTAATTCATTTTGGATATAATTGTATAATATTGATCTTGTGTAACTTCAGACATGAAGGTATGCAGTCATGAAAAGCTACATATGTTACTGAAAGCATGTCTAATATAATTGTACAATATTGATCTTGTGTAATTTCAGACATGAAGGTATGCAGTCATGAAAAGCTACATATGTTACTGAAAGCATGTCTAATATAATTGTACAATATTGATCTTGTGTAATTTCAGACATGAAGGTATGCAGTCATGAAAAGCTACATATGTTACTGAAAGCATGTCTAATATAATTGTACAATATTGATCTTGTGTAATTTTTCAGACATGAAGGTATGCAGTCATGAAAAGCTACATATGTTACTGAAAGCATGTCTAAATATAATTGTTGATACTATGTAATTTCAGACATGAAGGTATGCAGTCATGAAAAGCTACACATGTTGCTAAAAGCATGTCTAAATATAATTGTGTAATATTGATACTATGTAACTCCAGACATGAAGGTGTGCAGTCATGAAAAGCTACATATGTTACTGAAAGCATTTCTAAATATAATTGTACAATATTGATCTTGTGTAATTTCAGACATGAAGGTATGCAGTCATGAAAAGCTACATATGTTACTGAAAGCATGTCAAGCCAAACAGAAATGTGATAAAGAACAACTGGTCTTCACCAATGTTACATTTGATCAGCACCAGGTGAGTAGAATCCACCCTATGAATTACAATAACTATTACAACTTAACTACTGAGGTTTGTTACTCAACTACAGAGATTTGTTACTCAGCTATTGGAGTTTGTGAAAATTGTGGAACCAAACTGGATGACAAACTGTAACATCGTAAGATCAAACAAGTTTTGTCATAATTGCAAGTCAACTTAATAATGTGCATTTTTTGTTAACAATGTAAGAAGAAACATGTACACATATGTTTACCATTTTTGGTTTTAGGTTATATTAAAAATACTTTTTGTCATTTATATCAACTTGTTGTTCAAATATGATACTAGGATAAAAATTAAAGTTAAACTTGTCTTTATATGATCCAGATTGACAGTGTAGCGAGTCCATGTGCAGATTTTTACCTGAGGAGTAAAGCCATAAAGTCCCTTGAAGAGTATATGGATGAGGAACCTGAGCAGTACTCAAAGGAGGGTTCACAAATTGTAGATCAGGGGCAAAAGTGGGATGGCCTTGAGTGCACTACACAAATAGGACTTTCTCTTATTATACTTTGGAAGGTATTTTACCAAGGTTATTTTATTAGATTTCTGGTTTTTAGAAAAATAAGTTTGGGCAGTTGAGATGCTTAACTAGTGAACATTTGAGTTACAGTCTAATCTATCTGTGGATAAAAAATGTCTTCTGCTTTTAAGCAAGATGCATTATGGGATATGTTTTTTCCAGGCATTCCTGGTTGATGACATGGGCAAGAGTCGCAGTGTGTGTGGTCAGCACCATCTAGCAGTAGACACAATTGGAGAAGAGGTTCTTGATACACTACAAGCCAAGGTACAGTAACTAAAAAGCAACAATAAATAAATATTAAAAAGGTGAATTACCAGTAGTAAATGACATGCTTTTAAAGACAGACTGTAGCTACATTAATTTATCAAAGTTTGTTTCAGAGATGCATCATGGCTCAGTATACTTACTATAAGGTACTAGAATAGTAATTATTCCATAATTTGTTTTCAGCCTGCAGTATTCCAGAAGGCTGTACAGTTCTCAAAGTCTATTGAACAAGTTGTAGAAGCACAACCAGAGTCCAATCTCCTTGCAGAGATGCTCCACTGCTCAGCCACAACTCCACACTCACTAGTTCAACATGACTTCAAAAAACAAAGGTATTATATGCTTTCTTTTAATACATGAGTTTTCTCGGTGGGTGAGCGATTTGTTTTCAAATCTTGATATTTTCAGGAAGGAGGCCTATAATCAAGATCAAAATTGCAAACACCTTCCCCAAATCATCCTCCTATCAGGTATCCAGAATCTGTACCTCATTCTCCCCCTGCTATAACCAATTTGGAAGCGCCCGATTAAACTGATAATTATCTGATAAGCATCTAATTATGCGCAATGACTTATACATGATTTCTGTCGCAGTGTTGTGTCAGCCAATCAGATTGCGGGGGGGGGTAAAAAGAAAGAATATATTCTTGATTTTGAGGCCCTGTGATCGGAGGATGTCCCCAAATATAAACCTCTGGTTTTGTAATAGGCAGTGGGTAGCTCATGTCTTAAATCAAGAATAATGTTGGAATTGATTATTTATCTGGTAGGCAGGTTGTTGGTCATCTTCATATGCAATAGGGTCAAATAATTACAAGTCAGATTACTTTTTGGACCACCGATGTTGTTAAATAAAGAAATTCAGTGCGTTTTCCGAAAGTGCCCTTGATCTGTAAAATCTCAGGACAACTGATATACATGTACTTAAAGTAATCCCATTCTAATATTTCTGCCTGCTGCAATTTCATCATGTTAACATTCTTACTTTAAATATTTCAGACTTTGTTCAGTGCCGGTCGCCTTAACCCTCCAGAACTGCTCAGCATGCCCTCTGTCTGTCAATGTCAACACTACAGCTAGCACCAGGTATGTTAAAACAATGGGTATGGTACATGTACTGCACAGAGTGGGTCAGTAAAATAATAATTTCATTTATGAATATATTTTGAACAATTTTCTGGACATAACTGGCCATCTACTCCTCTGAAGACTTATTTTACTACTCAATATTCTTGAATGTATTTTCTTAGTAACATATACAGGGTGTCAAATGGCGTTGTGCCCCCCTTCCACAGCATTAACTAGGAGAAGTACACATACATTATATATATCATTAGAAAGAGCATTTAATTCTGGATAAAATGAACCCTAGATGACCAGGGTCAGATATTGCTACAAAGTTTCATAAGCATTTGAAATGCACCAGTATAGTGCTATTTTTATTGATTTTTAAAAGTTCCTGCATAGACCTTTTTGGTATTGGTGAATACCCGAGCAACAACTCTGACTTGAATGCTTCAGTTCAAATTGAGCCCATATTAATGGATAAAACAGAGCTACTTATGGAAGTTGAAGCTGTAGAGAACAGATATTCCATAGATATCCTCCAGGAGAACCTCAAAAAGTATTGAGATCTCTGTTCAAGACATTGCTCTTTTCAACGCTCTCTTAACTTGATATCCAGCCTGATTGGCAGCCGTTTAAAGCTGCGGGGGATGGTCAAACTCTCTTTTAAAAGTTGGTTCAAATTATGTGTTATTTTCTATCATCCATCTTCATCTTTTCACACTCTAAGAACAATTAAATGTATCATATGTATTAGACTATTAGTACTATCAATACAGTCCGTTAAACTTTTACTTTTCCAGAGATGAAGACAAATCCACATTCCCAGATCAGCGGTTAGGTGCGTTCACATGGGTACGACAGCACAGCCTCACCCTAAAACTGTCCCCAAACAGCTCAGTGACTCTTCCCCTAGCTGCAGGGGTTGGCCAACCTGGGGTCTACAACCTAGCTCATATAGGTGTCACTGCTAGGCTAGATCTCGAGTGTTACCATGGTGATAATATTAAACAAAATGTCTCCATGCCAACACTGTTGACAGTTGTTCAGTCCAAGGATGGTTAACTTATGGCTTCAATGAATGAACCTGTGGAATATTTTGTGTCATACTTTGCGAGAAAGAAGGCTGTCCAATTGAAAAAGTATCACACTGAGCTGTATAGGCAATTTAGGAGAGATCACTAGATATTAGTGACCTTTTTGAGTTTTTTCTTGATGAACAGCTGAGTCCAGAATATTTTCTGTCTGTACTATCAATGCTCATAATATTTCGATACCTAACAACCATGTTTCAGTTCACAAAAGCATCTCAATTGTTTTTTTCAATCCAAATTTAACAATATATTTAGGCCCAGAATCTTTATCTTAAAACTGGTTGGATCCAATTGCCTGTCCGTCCCTTACCCAATGTGATGGGTGCCATGTGATGTATGAGGAGCTGTTGGTGATGCATTCTAATTACTTAGACTATGATCGAGGAGGATGTCTTCCCTGTTGAAGTCTACATTTGGAAAAACATGTCTCATATGGTCATTAAGATATCAGGAATTTACATAAGGTGTTGTGGTGTTTTTTATCATTTTGCCCCTTGCAGTTGTTAACACAGCTTGGTATGTTAGTATTGCAGTAGGAATGTATGTACATGCAGAGCATGATTAATCCACAATTTCCTCTGAAATCTTCAAAGATTGATTTTTCTTTATTTTGACATGTGATGTAAAATGATTGATTCGTGGCATTCATGAATCGGATCATCGGTGAGTTAAAGTAAATTATTCAAGTCAACAGGTTTACGGTATTATATTAAACAAGCATTGTAACATCTAATCAAATACAAGCATCTGTGTAGATATATTCCACTACAAAATCATTTTCTTTTCATATTGTGTTCTCCCCTGGGAAATTAAGCCCTTTGACTTCAAGCTGGCTATGGGCTCGTATCAGTGATGGGATATAAGGTCTTACTCTTAGAGCATCCATTTAAAATAATTGCAGTTAGTATTTGTGTAATGTAGACTTCATTCACTGAGATTGATCATTTCAAAGTGTATTAGTTAAAGTTATGTCTAATTGTGTAATACTCAGTGATGTTACAGTGGTTTGCAATCATGTTCAAAAACTAGTGAGAGGGTCATGTTAATGCATTGGTTTCCTATAAAGATAAATTGAAACTTTGTGAATTTGAAAAATCAAATATTTGTATTCATGGAATTAGTATGTGCAAGGTCTCTGACCTCTCTTAGGCCTAACTATACACCCCCAATCCGCACTCCGAAATCACGGTACCATATGGTACTGTTTGAGCTTACAGTACCAAACGGTACCGTATATCATGGTACCTTACGGTGCAGTAGCCAAAACAGTACCATACGGTACTGTTTGAGATTGGCTGTGTACAGTAAAACCTCTGCATGTTGAATACCATTGAGTTCACAAATGTTCTACTGACAGATGTTCATAACATGAAATCAATGGATCTTGAGAATTAAAAAAATCCACTTCCAAGGTGTTCCACTTATTCGCACAAAATGATGTTCTTTGATTTATAAGAGGCAAATCACAAAATAATCAGATCTGCGTACTCTAATCTAATAATAAACAAGAGCTATGTCAACATTATGAAGTAAGATTTTTATTAAATCATGTCTCATTCTGACAAATTATGTTATAATATCTGCCTGTAAGGATTGATAATCAATAGTACAAAAATGGATTTTCTAAATGGATTTGTTGGCTAACCACAGCTTTTTGTAGTCACAGATGTGTCAAAATGATAATGTAGACAGTCAGTTTCGTAAAGTAATTCATTTTCAGGGTTTTTCTTAAGATAACAGTTTGCTATCCAGTCTCTCGTTTAACAAGGCCATGTATAGTTAAACATTTGGTTCACTGATATGTTTCCTTATAAGTTATTCTATTATATGTGAACCATTTGTTTATTTGCAGTTGCCTATAGCACAGGCTTCCAGTTATAATTAAGGGTGGATGGTGTCATATAATATAGCCATAGCACCTGCTTTAAAATTCGAGTGAGTAACAAGTATCATAAAATATTGAATTTTACTCATTAAGGCCTCTATAGATTAATTGCCTGTTTTGCAGGAAATAGCTTGACATGACAAGTTTTTAATTCTAAAAATGAAAAATACACTCAATAAATAGAACTTTGATAACATTCTTTAACTCGGGTTGTTTTCATAATACGAGCTATTCAAGGCTAAACAGACATTTAATTCATAAGGGCCTTAGCAGATGTTCCTATAGTTGTACATTTGTAAATATTCTAAATTGAATGTTTTCATATTATGTGAATTAAGATAAGGAAGAAATGGATTTATTTTTCCATTGCTATGTACATGTATATAATGTATGAAGTGCAATAAAACCAAATGAAGATATATGAACATAATAATATGTATGTGTCCATGTTTATAAGCATACAATACAGCATAGGATATATAGGGGTTATGCACTGGGAGGTTTTGGATACAGGGAATATCCCGAGGGATATACAATATATCTTCCCGAGGGACCGAAGGGACCGAGGGAAGATGTATTGTATATCCCAAGGGATATTCCATGTATCCAAACCGACCGTGCATGACTGGTGTATCTCATACTTGAGTGGCTTTAGGGTAGATATAACCTTTTCCACCTTTTTCAAATGACAAGATATTTATGTTTAACATTTGCGTAATATTCTTTTTGTTCAATACAATGAAATTGTAACATTTAAACTTAAAAAAATTAAATTTTAAAATTAAAAAATTAAAACTTGATAATTAAACTTTTTTAAACTTTTGAAAAATTCCCGGGAGCGGGATGGATATATTATATCTGCCCGCATTTGGCCTGGAGCGGGACATATACAATATATCCTGCCCGCTCCTCAGATACGATATATATTCCCGGGTGATATCTACCGCAAACCCACTCAAGTATGAGATACAACATGGTATTGAGAGATACCATTTTTATGTCACTACCAAGAAATGGTGAGATATTGTTACAGCCAGTGTCTATTTTTGTGACCCCCATTTTTCATGTGAATACCTTAAGCTTTTTGCTATTTATTGCTATTTACATGTACTTATACCTAATTACAAAAATTAGTAGATTATTAAATGTTTGGTATTACCATTCAATTCTCTAGTTGAAAGCCCATGGTATTCCTCAGAATAGTAGACCATTCACTAGAAAAATATTATTTTCATCTTCTTAACTAATAAGACAATATTTATGGTAAGAACATGATTAATTATAATCACATAGTAATTAATATGTTCCTTCTATAAGATTCATACCTAAAAGATAATTCAGTGTTGATAATTCAGCGTTGATTCATGGAAAAGAATCTGTAATCTGCTTACTGAAGGAGATTAAAGATAGGTTTGAATCTCATGAAGAATGCTAATTGGTGAAGAGACATAAATTTCTTTTGGTCAGAAGAGAACTTTGCATGTGTTGCTATAATGGAGTATCCAATATATCACTACTATTAAGCTGGTGATACATGGTTTAGTTAGTTGTGAGCAAAGTGCTACTGTAGTGTTGATACAATTGAAGATCCAGTCTCTCTGCCATTAAACGGTTGATACTTGAAATAATTGAATAGAAAATGTTAAATGTCTGCTAAAAACAGGGTGAAACTCTGGTATAATGAAGTATAAAGGAAATGTTTTAGTATAAAGGAAATGTTTTAATGACATTAGTACACAGTCTTATTTGGGATTAAATTATTTGGGAGGCTCTCAACTAATTTAACCAATTCAAAGTAAGGAAGAAAAAACATTGGTAAAAATTTTGGCTAGTTGGCAGAGATATCTTATCACTTCTGTTGTTTTAAAACAAATGAGATTAAGTCCAGATGTTTTAGATAACTAGCAGTTTTGTATTTATTACATTTCAGTCATCATCGAGCCTCATATGTACCTCACTTGGAAACACCATTCTGTTAAGTTTCTGGTTGTTGTGTGGTTTCTATGGTGACATGTTGGTCAATAGGTGTCTCCACTTGATCACTTATTTCTGTATGAAGTGACACCTGGCTTCTAGAATGATCCGTGTGTTCACTCTGAGCCAGGGGCACAAGACCATCGATTGGTCTGTGGCGTTTTAATGAACGCTTGAATGCTCCCTTTTTCGTGATTGTTGTATTGTCACCAGTGGATACTTGGCTGTAGATATATGTAAGGCCGGCTATAATACCACCTAAGATAGGACCAACCCAATAAACCTGAAATGTAGACAACTTATTAACATGATTAGTATTTACTATAATATATGTGTTAATTAATTTTGCTTGTTCATTGCATATTCATAAAAAATGTTTATTTATTCAAAGTTTAAAAAAGTCAAACATAAACATGCTATCGAATGAACAATCAGATTTGCCAATTTTTTTTAGGGGGGTGTATCTCAAATGTATAGTAATTTACCCAATGATCTTTCCAAGTATTGGTCACTAGTGCAGTACCAAAGCAGCATGCAGGATTCAAGCCTCCTCCTGTGTAGGGTCCCTGAAAATACATACATACTGTTAATGGTTACACCCCCCTCCAAAAGTTTGGAAACAGCCCTCCCATTGGACCATGTGTTAAAGCCTGCAGTTTATGTTTGGTGGTTTTGAAAATTCATCATAGTCATGGATTTTTGACCTATTAATAAAGAAATTCAAATTCTACAAAAAAAGGCTTTATGCTATCCAGTACTGTGTCTTTGCTACCAATTTTTGAGGAGGTTGTATGTTAGATTGCTGCAGTGTATTGTGTAACAAAATGATTTGAAATCAATTTCTCTATTTATTATGGTGAGATCAAATTATTTTATTTGAACATTTGTTTCAAATGTTTCTCTTGCGTAAATTTAAACAAAATTATTGTGAATTAAAACTGTAAGGTTATAACAACCCAATTTAATCAATTCCGAATTTTCTCTTCATTCACTATGCTCTCTCTGAACGTAATCAAGACTTAGCATGTGAAAAGCCGAAGGTGTCGATTTGTATCAGAACAGGTCTTTAAACCAGTTACTCAATTAGGCGCATCTGTTTGACATTAAACTCATCAATAACTGTGCATTCAATAGATTTGCCATCATTAATACCTGCTAAGGAATACCCAGAGTGTCAATGCCTTGTAATTAGGCTCTGAAAAAGGAGAGATAAATATAATGTTTTGATACTGATTAAATCTAAATGACCCCAAAGGTAGTTGTTTATTATTCAGGCCCGAAGCCAGGGGGGGGTCGATGGGTTCAAAAAATCTTTCAAAATCATGAAGTTTTTCACTATTCTGAGCACTTTTTAAGTGATTTTGGCGATTTTTGGACCAAAATTGTCACAAGTGAACCCCCCTGGAATTTTTCAAAAAGTGAACCCCCTTGGCAAATCCTGGCTACGGGCCTGTTGGAAGTTTCAATATGATATGAATGTCAGTTACATTTGCATGTTGCTGCTATTTTGATAAGGTAACTGGATTTTGATTGGGTGTATCCTGATGGGGTTAAGGCTTAATCTCCTCGCATTCTTTCAGTGCAATCATGACACCTTACCCTATTAGTAAAGAACGCAATGAACAAAATGATTTTGTGAATGGCTTAAGCAAGATTGAATGATTATCTCAGAGTATAGATGACGCTCTGTAATGAAGTAAAATCAAACTACATGTACATTATATGAAATACACCGTAGTAAAATACACGAAAATTTATGTCATCTGTTTGTGTAACTTCTTTGTTAAAGTACCCTGTATCAGGGTCTAAGTACATGGAATGAAGCTCTAAGCTAAATCAAACTACAGTATAGAAAAGGGTAGCCTCAGGGTCAATAGAGTTATAAAGAGAGGATAAGGATTACATTCTAATCAATTCAATAGACTGCTACAAGGTACTCAAGTTCTATGTACATTGCCTCTGGCCATAATTCACAATGCTTCTATATAATACTACATTATGTCATTGTGAATAGTAGATTGTTTTTTGTAAGTCTTTGTATTTGTATTGATGTTTTAACAATTGCCATACATTTCAAAAATTATAGTTATACATGTGCAATGTTGTATTCAAGGGTATAGTTGATTATTGGTGGTCATCTGGCTTAAACTTATCTTCTGAAAGTGAAACAGAAACAATCAATTTTCATATGTCTTCATGAAAACATATTACTATTGAAAACATTGAAGGTGGTTTCACGCTAGACTTGCAGGCTAGCAATAAAACCAGGAACAAGCTAAATAATTAATTCAAAAGTTAGACAAGCGTGATATTTTTCAGTCACAGAGACATATTTGCTTGTCTTGCAACAACATATTTTGTAACACTAACTGAAAGTCCTTTTCCGGGGAGTTATTGATTCGGGGTATTTGTTGTATTCTCAATTATTTTAACAAATCCTCTCATGCATAAAAGCCAGTAACGCACTAAGTGACTTTTACTTGTGAAAATTGGGTCGTATGGAAGAATTGAAATATATTATTTGCCTCACTAAATTCATTTTGCCGTACCGATTATAAATCCTGTAATCCTGTTTATGTTCTCATGGCTTTTGATTTTGACACAATTATGGTCATCTCTAATACTTTTACTGCATAAAGGCTGCTTTATTCTAATTTATTTCTCCTTTTTCTATATATTTAAATAAACTCATTTAACTATTGTACTACTGTATATGTTTTCTTGCTAATTTTCCATTAACTTTTGTCCTTTATTCTATTAACACTTCTCGACTGAATTAGTGATGATGAACTGACTTCAAATGCATTGATGATTAGTAAACTTGATTAATACAGGTTATATCTTGAAAGTGTTTGGATATGCATTTCTATGGTTTTTATAATTAAACTAAAACAGCACTGAACGTGTGTTTCTTAAGAAATGAAATGAGTAAAAAATTCATTCCAAAATATTTCCTTTAAATTATTTACTGGTGAAAAGATTAAATGTCATTTCAAATTCATTTAATGTAATTCTTTGGTCTGATTTCTGAAAAACTAAAAATGTTATTCCCTTGCTTTTTACACTGTGACCAGACATTTGTAGAATTATCAGAGTACAACAATAACAAAGATTCGGTTACAAAGCAGATAGAGAACTACTTAAAAATGTCTTAATGGCCTCAGTATTGGTCTATAATCATACTAAATGAGACTATAACAATATTTGTAGATGTAATGAACTCTGATATTGAGTTTTTGAGGTGCATAATTTGCTAGCACTAAAATCAAAGGATGGATGCTCGATTCAATTATATCTCGTTACTGTCCAATCACACAGTAATCATCTTCAATCTGGAAGTCTCTCGCTGAAGATAATACGCCAACGGAAATCTACCATCAATATAATGTCACCAAAGTTCTCTTTTAAAAAATCTTGAATTAGAATAATAATGTGATTTGCAAGGAATAAATTGATGTGAATAATGTCATACTTGATTCATGTCAATGGCCTTTATTTAGAATTAACAACTAAGTAAAATAATGAAAAACTTTTATTTATTGAGATCTTTTGTAATAAAGATTTTGCATGGGAGGGACAAGCTTGTGAAATCATCCATAAAATTAACATGGAAATCTATTTTTTAGTTTTTCGCATAGTAATATTTCATTTTATTGTAACCTTGGTGTACTCATACCACAAAAATAATTTTGTTTTCCATTTTGACCAAAAATAGGTCTTTTAAGGAGCTTATTGCCGAAATATACCTCATTCATGAAAACTGGTCCTTTTGGAAAAATAAGCCTTGATTTTTGAAAAATGGCCGTTTTCAACAAATGGATAAATATTTTTAGATTATGGTTTCATTTTAATCATTATACCTGAAATAAATAGGCCTGAAATGTTAGACATGACACCTAGATAAATGGGCATGAAATGTAAGACATGACACCTAGATAAATAGGCCTGAAATGAAAGACATGACACCAGCTTGCAATTCTCAATATGTTTCTCAAGATAAATGATATCAATAGTATTTAGACAAACAACATCATGTGCGTTATATTTCACAGTGAGATTTCTGATACTAGTATTGCCCAATGAAATGACTATATTGCTCTTTAATGATCTTAAAACACATTATATAAGTAAGGGGCTATCATAGCCTATATAAATGCAACATAATTGTAATAAAGAATTGAAATAAAATAATCAAAGGATTGAATTGAAAGGTGACATACAGTTTTGATACCATATTACATGTATTAAGCCTTGAATGAGTTTTGAAATCACAGTCAAAAATTGATTGACCTTACTTTCAGTTGACCTTGACCTAGAACTGCCATTCTGCCCTTTAACACACAATTATCTTAATTTCTTTTGATAAAAGGTCATTACTAAGCTACATTTGAGCTCAATAAAGATTTTCTCAGCAACAAAATAATAAAACCATTTGTACAAGTCAGTAGCTGATTGGAATTTGAGAACACGTAGTTCCAATTAAAAAAAGAAGATTTCTCTATTGAGATTGTGTAACATAACCCTGTTAGAGAATCTCTACTCTCTAGTGGTTTCTAAGCAGGATATATGCAAATCCAATCTTCAGACAGATCTCATTTATTGACAATAGATATTTTATCAGATTTCTCTACTTCTAGAAAGCAGTTCAACTTGAAAACACGTCATATCTGAATTATCTTCTTCCAGACTAAATTATATAACAATTTCATTGAATTTCTACTCAAGTAAATCTACTCAAGTTGTAAACCTTGTTTTGCTTCCTCCAGTTTCTTGTTCATATTTCTCAACTTTATCAAAACAGCATGAGGTCGTTGATATTATATACCAGGGATATGCAGTGATCTGAGATAATGCCATCAATACATGAATGGTGGAAGCTCAATCATTTAGAATCTCATACAGGAACCTTCAATCTTAATCAAGCTGTTACAGATTTGAAAAGTGGAATCTAAATCCTGAAAAGTTCTGCTTTTGATATAGATTCAGAGATCTAGTTTAACCCCATGGATGCCAGCCAGCTCTTAAAGAATCCTCACTCACTAGTTTTATAATCAATCATTTGAATATTTTATACCTTATATGGAAATCAAAGATGAAAAGGCGGTTTAAAAAACAGCAAGTATTTTCTGCTAGTTTTTCTACTTCATTATTTATGTACAGTATTTATCTAACTACATGTATAAAAACCTGTAAAACCTGCAGAATATGTGATAAAAACTGTCGGACGTACGGACGGACAGACGGACATACGGACAGACAGACGCGCCTAGGCCGACAATATGGCCACACACTATGTGGTGGGGACATAAAAACTGTTCAATCAGAGCAAGTATGACAGATAGATCTGAAGCTTAGGTCCCAAAGGGAATTCATTTGCAACAGAGGTATCCATCATCATCCTGGGAATTCAAGAGGTTAAAGCCAACTTGACTTGTCTTGTTTTTCCAAAGAACATCAATGAGGCCTCAGTATGTTTTACAGTTCTAAATGAACATTTCCAAAAATATTTTACTTAAAAAATCTCGTTATATTGCAAAGGTAACAGAACTACCCCTTTAAGGAACTGCCCCATTTAAAGAACTACCCCTTTAAGGTTGGCCCATTTTTAAAAAAGCAGGGGAATGGTTTTGGCTACCCCTTGGCATTTTTCATATACATCCCTGGAAGTAGTGATCAAGTCTTATAAGTCTCTCTGATACAATAAACATTTTTTTAAATAAAATAATATTATAAATCTCACCGCAAATAAATGGCTAACCATTTCAGCTAACCCAATATAAAGTGAACGTGACCCCATGTCCGTCCTCCGAGTGTCCATATTGGCGAAGTAATTATAAACAAGGAATAAAGTTGCGATGAATTCTGCACCAAAGGCTTGTGGGAGAGTTGAGATTGCCTTAAGGGAGATCAGTGGTTTATCTGGGGGTAAGAGTCCTAGAAGTATTCCAGCCCCACATACCCCACCCAGAAATTGTGCGATAATATACACAGTGCAGCGCAGCACTGTGACCTTTCTACAAAACAGCAGGGAAAGCGTCACAGCTGGATTTAAGTGTCCTCCACTCAAGTGACCCGTACATTGTATTCCTGATGCCAGTGCGACACCAAATGTTAATGCAATAGTTAATTCTGAGATCACACCATCTGACTGACTTTGTGAAGTTTTTGAGCCATCGGACACTGGAGTTGTAGGCTGAGAGTATGTGTTAAAGGCTCTTGTACTACTTCCAGTGATTACATAAAGCATCGTCCAGAGATATTCACTTCTTGCAGCTTTCCAGAAATCAGGATTTTTGATTTCATCTTTAAATGACAAGTTTTGGCGGCATATGTTGCCCCTACCCATCCAGGCCTGACAACAACCCATTGGTAGCTTATAGCACCCTCTATAGTAAATCCATGTGCAAGTGATCTTTTTGCCTTTAAAATCTATTTCAAAAATTCACCATTGCATGAATGAACTATTTCTTGTTTCATTTTCTTTATAAAACATGAAGCGCAAGATTAACCTTTTTAAATTCTTTAAATTGTAAACTTGTCATGATAACTTATTTACTAAATTCTCCATTTCTTTACGTGAAGATCAGCATAACTCCCATGATAGTATTCACTGCAGACTATTCCTCCCAGCATTAAGCCCTGCTAGTCAATCAGTGTATAAGCTTAATATTAAATCCAATAAGATAGGCCAGACACACTCATAAAATCTAACCTAAGAAATTATAAAGAAAGCCTGTGCAAGAAGTTTCAAGATGTCTATTTTTAAAGTACAGAGACATCGAGCAGAGAACTTAAAACTGTAATTAGCAGATAAGACACACTGAAAACAATAATTCCTTTCGACAATGAAAAATAATGTGAACACATACAGAAGAAATGTTCTAGATCCTAAGATGTTTTATCTTAGTGATTTCATTGGTTCCAGGATAATTGTACATTATATTTGGATTTATTTCTCACGCAAACATTCTGCAAATAGGAATTATATGGAAAGTGAGGCCTTCTTGTCACGCTTTGGAAATATGACACTTGTAAAGCAACAAATAAAAAGTTGTATCTATGAAAAGAAAAAATAAATTAATAGTTTGATCAATTCCAGAGAACACCTATTCCTTCATGCTGAGCAATGTTTTAGCTTTGCCCAAATGCTTTTTTATGCTGTAATGATTTTTCAAGACTAAAAAAAGGATCAAATATACACAAATTCTGGTACAGTTTATGTCTTATCTCCTATACTGGTAATGTTAAATAGGCAAAGACATCCAGCATAGAACTTAATTAGCAGATAAGACACACTGAAAACTATGATTCCTTTCGGCAATGAAAAATAATATGAACATACACAGAAGAAACGTTCTAGATCATAAGATGTTTTATCTTAGTGATTTCATTGGTTCCAGGATAATTGTTCATAATATTTGGATTTATTTCTCACGCAAACATTCTGCAAATAGGAATTATATGGAAAGTGAGGCCTTCTTGTCACGCTTTTGGGAACATGACAGACTTGTACAGAAGCAACAAATAAAAAGTTGTATCTTTGAAAAAAATAGTTTGATCAATTCCAGAGAACACCTATCCCTTTCTTAATTTGGCAGATCCGACAAATTTTTTAAGTCCACCAAATTTAGTAGCCGCCAAATTCCTTGGTAATTTAGTACCATGTAAATTAGTACCACCAGTGCATAGTAATATTGCAAGTCCACCAAATGTTCGAAACAGCAAATCTGCATAAATAAGTAGCACCAAATTAGAAGTGTGTGAAGCTGTTTCCATCTAAGAGAACTTTTTTATTCAAAATAGAAATTTCCATTTTGAAAACATTAAAACATTGTTTCATGGATTACAATGGCAACCTCTTGATTAAGCAGCACCACAGATTCAACTCTGTGGTAATAGATGCGAGAAATATAGGAATGACAAAATGGATCACGCAAAATTAGTGTGAACAGATTGAGATGACCGCTTAATACTGATCCCTTATCAAAACCTGGTGAGATTTCTATGAGACACTTATTTGTTCTGTTCACATCTCACACAACTATTTGAAGAGTGGTTTCCCTGTCAAAATCTCAATAAATTCATGTAACTGATCCCTGGTCTTAACATGATAAAGGTGACATCTATTTGAAACTCCAAAACATGTTCCAAAGAAAAACCAAGCTCGAAATCTTATACTATTAGTATTGTGCCTATCGACTCCTCCTTCTTACATACCCTATCACTGGATGTGAAGTATATAGGAAGTGAATCCATGGAGCTTTAAAAATATCACCATTGAAGATGGTAATTATGACCCATTTGAAATTGGTATTACCTAACAACTGGCATATGATGTGACATCTATTTTTCCACGGAATGCATTATTTTTATTTCAACTGACTGAAAAGATAAATGTCTCTCTCCAACTGCCTGAAAATTAACGGTGGAAATCCAGCGTTGCTTTAACCATGGGACACCCTGTTCATCCATATATATGCCTCTTCCAATGATAATGTTATAATGTAACTGTAAAGCATTAAACAGAGTCAGAAATAAGCTTTCCCAAAATGAAGATGAAGAAAAAATAACAATGTAATACATTTAGTGAGGTTGTTTTCTATTTTTATCAATATTTTCATTGAGAGTGGTAAATACACGATCATATATACTAAACACATTCGTAGAAATGACAGTATAGATATGAAAATAAAATAATCCATCTACACGTATATGATATATACAGTAATTTACAAAATTATTTACATAATGTCACTGGCTGGTACATGTACGTGGTAGGCTGTGTATCATTTATATATCACACATACACCCTGCGAAAATTTTCTCATGGCTTTTCACAACAATGTCCCAGCTCTCAGCAATACATTTTCATTGATGGCCTGGTTTCTACTAGAGTACTAGAGTGGATGATTTAAATACACTTTCAAATAAACCAAATGATGAGGACTACATGACATGGGCATCATCTTGTATGAGATCAGCAGGAATAAAGGATTTATGGTCCACCTTCCTTGTAATGTGTATTACAGATCTGCCATTTCATGGAGTTCATACATCATATGACATCTTTCAATGAAGAATCACGTTTGTAGTCAGTAGGATTAAAAGTCCCAGTGACTTTAAAGTCCCTTCCAGGTAAGACTGGACATTAATTTAAGGTCCCACTGTCAAAGTAATTTCCTGAATGTGGCAGGACTGGGGATAACGTCTGACTGGTTCTAGTCCCTTCCTAGTGAATGTATAACCAGGGGCAGCAGGATCAGGATTACAGGTCCCAGTCACTCAAGTCCCATCCAGGTATGAAAGGAGTTTAAAGTCCAACTCTTTCAGTCCTTTCCTGGATGTGGCAGGTCTAGGAATAAAGGTCTAACTGGTTCCAATTCCTTCTTAGTGATTGTATAACAGCTAGGGGCAGCAGGATCAGAATTAAAGGTCCCAGTCACTCAAGTCCCATCCAGGTATGAAAGGACCATATCTAAGATCCAACTCTTTCAGTCCTTTCCTGGATCAGGTCTGGGGATAACGTCTGACTGGTTCCAGATCCTTCCAAATGACTATAACCAGGGGAAGCAAGATCAGGATTTAAGGTCCGAGTTGTTAAAGTCCCTTTCTAGCAGGAGTACGTCTCGGTGTGGAAGGACCAGGAGTTCTAGCACCAGGTGTCACAATTACTTGTCTGAAATAAACCAATCAAAACTTTAAACCCTCTAAAATCTTAAATGATATGTACATGTATGAATTCACTAAAACTTTTATAAAAGTATGCATAATTTTGTTGTCTGTTTTACTTGTTTATCCCCAAATGGCTGCTAAAATGCCGGTTTTAAACACCTATCCAAGTTTCAACCTTATCCAGTAAACATGGCAGAAATTTGGGCACAATTCATGGAATAAGTCAACAAGGCATTAACATAACAAGATGTCACCACATTGTAAGTTTATTGAAAGTTGTAACTGCCAAACACTAACTGCCGAGCACCATCCATAAAAAAGTTGGAGACCATAACAATATGTCAACACTTTTGGTAGTGACATAATAATTGTATATTGACTTACTTTGATGACATGCCACCTTTCTGTTGTTCCTCTCTTTCCTCCTTCCTCAATCTGATCTGTTCCTCTGCCTTTCTCATCTCCTCTTCCATTTCGGTCATCTCCTGCACAGCCTGCTTCTTACGCTCAAGCCTGGTCTTAGTTGAGTCTGGAAATATTATGGCAGTCATGTTTTTCAAATAAAGTGTAATTGAGTGGAATCAGCAAGGAATAATGTAAACAAGCAATCTACAGTATGTCGGAAAACTCAAATTGGCAATGCAATAAAGTCATATTTCAACAATTGTTACTCAAATTGGCAATGCAATAAAGTCATATTTCAACCATTGCAACTCAAATTGGCAATGCAATTAACTCATATTTCAACCATTGCAACTCAAATTGGCAATGCAATAAACTCATATTTCAACCATTGCAACTCAAATTGGCAATGCAATAAAGTCATATTTCAACCATTTCAACTCAAATTGGCAATGCAATAAAGTCATATTTCAACCATTGCAACTCAAATTGGCAATGCAATAAACTCATATTTCAACCACTGCAACTCAAATTGGCAATGCAATAAACTCATACAGCAGTTCAACCATTGTACCTACCTTTCACACTATAAAACATAGGGCCCAGCTCAGCCAACCAATGTCCATCCACTGCTGTTACACACTGCATGTATTCTTTGGCTGTCATGATCAACTCATGGTAGACTATATAATCTGGATTGAAACCCATGCCAAAAAGGGCAGAGGTGGGGTGAAGATGGCAAGGCATTCCTGTTCTACAGTTTACATACTCCCCAAGGCCCTACAAACAAATAAACAATGAGTTTTTTAATAACTAAATAAAAAAGAGCAACTCTGCAAATCACACTGAACAAAACACATTTTCACAATTATGTTGTCATTTTGACATTACATGAAATATCCAGGAAATAGAAGAGTAGTTTTGTCTTCTTTTGGAAAATTCCACACCCATGATGTGACGTGACACCGTATGTAAAATTCTTTCTTGAGCCATGGTCTTATAAGAACATAAAATCTGGAACAAATCCGGTAACTCACTGGTATTTGTGCCATCAGAAAAATTATAATTTCCCTGAGAAATGGTGGCCATTTTGAACTCAGCATTTCTTCTTGACCAGAGGCTCTGCCAATAAGGCATTGGCACATGAAATCTGAATGGAATCTGACAAGTTGTATGAGTTATTAGAAACCTTTTTTTTATGAAACAAGGCGGTCATTTTGAATTCAGCAGTCCTTTTGAAAATTCCTCCGTGTCCAAATGGTATCAGCATATAGTACTTCAACCAAATCTGTCAATGATTACAATTTTTAACAAAATGTTGGCAATTTTGAATTGATTGGTCACTGTTGGAAATTCTTTCTTGAGGTCCTTTGCTGTTGAATGGTCTTTGAGTTGTATCTTGGACACACAAACGAACAGAAGGACAAACGGACAGATGAACGAACGGACAGACGGGTTCTCTGTTACACGATCAGACTTCATTCTGTTTTTGTAAAAGATGAAAAATGATAAAGATGTTCATTGTACATACTGATGTCAAGCATTCAGGTTTGAAAGTGTTGCAAAAATTAATACATACTAGTCTGTTTGTTATGGTATTAATCATAGGTTTTATTGGTTGGAGTAAGATTTCTTTGGGTGTATTTATTGATTGTAGAATAAAGTTTCTGCAATTATTTAGGCATTTTACATGAGCCTAGTACTTTCACACAAATTCTTAAAGGTAGAACGTCAGTGTCGATCCACTTTATTTCTACAATTCTGATTTTCTTGAGAAAATCTAGGTGAAAGATTTACTGATGTATAACAAAAGATGTGAAAATTAGAATATCATTGCTTTCAATGGGAAAATTCATTTTTTAATTAAAAATTGCACAATTCAGATTTTTGCAAATTGTGATTACAAGTATTTTATGAGAAAACAAAAGAATTTATGCTAATTTTTATGACAATAAAATAATTTTGAATTTATGAATCAGTAGGTAAATATTCTTGATAGATCAGCATTGAGTATGTCTAATATAGTATTGTAGTTCAAAAAGGAAGAAAACAAAATTAAAAAATTATCACCACCGCCGGGATTAGAACCCACTACCGCCCAGATATTGGCCTGGTTTCAGATGGGCGAACTGACTGTGCATCTTAAAAAGGTCAGTATGACTTTATATTTACATTTGATAAGAGTGTGTTTGTATTAAAAATGGGTTTCATAAAACTTGAATCACTATTCAAACAGAATGAAAAGATAAGCATATTAACTTTAGAATGACTCATTCACCGTATATATCCTACTGGACTAGAATGAACTTTGCTCAGTGTGATAACATTAATACAAACGAATCAGTTTACATTTAAATAAGATTCAATAAAAAGCAGAACAAGTCGCCCAGTTTTGTGTATATGGTATCTTTATGAGCAATAACTAAATTAGTCAAAATTAAGTGGATTGAAGATGGCAACATCATTAACAACAACACAAGATGACAGAGATACCCTTTAGACACGTGGCTGGAATTGCAAGTAATGACAATGAAGGACAGACAGAATGTGATACTGGACTAAACAAGAACCCCATTAGAACAATAGATACACACGAAGTAGAAAAAACACATGGTCACAGGTCAGAGGGTATGAAGAAGAGGAGGATAAAGTTGACAATAAAATGACAGATGAACTAGCTCTTGGAAACCATTCTGGGAATACAGTTGAAAAAGCACCATTTGAAGAGTTATTACCAAGAGAGAAAAAAATACTTAGAAGGTATGATATTATTCACATCCTATTGACATAATCTTAATTATTTTCTGTTTTTGATGATTAAGCTGTTTATATTATTAATTTACATCCTGCAATAATTCGATGGACAATTAATTTTTCGATCATGTAATAAACTATCATGTAATTTTCCTCGATATTATTAACTTATTGATATCAAAACATTTGGTGATCTTACATGAAAAAATAAGATGACATACTGTGCGGCATGTATGTAATTATAGTAAGTGAATTGATTAATTTTTTGATAGCATCGTTTATTTCAGGATCCCTTATGTGAAATTCTATGGGATGCGAGAAGATGGTTTCTATACAATTCACATAGTTGATGGGTATATGGATAAAGCAAAAAGTATTATTAAGAAGCATATACCTGGATACAGGTTCAATTTTGTTCCCTGGAGAAAAGAAGAACGAATTCAGCTTTTAGGATGCACAGGCACACCTCTCCATATCAGGGAAAAACACAACCCGACACCTGAGTTCATATTCAGTCAATATGGAACTCTTGGAGGACTCGCTTCAAATACAATAGATCAAAATGTGTATGCACTTACAGCTAGCCATGTCGTTACAGCAACAAGAAATCCTTCACTGAGACAAGAGTTTATAACTTGGTCAAAGGAGGATCAATCTGATATGTGTCCTATAGGAAGAGAAGTTCCATACCAGATACCGCTCATACTTGATCCCAACGATCCCTTGGACAGTATTGTTCTTTCAGGTGATGATGACTATGATGACGGCGATGATGATGAAGAACCCCAATATGACATTGCTCTGATCCAAATTAGCGATCAACATCAAGACATAAAGCAACAATGTGAGCCTTGCTCTAAATGCTGCACAAGAAAGCCAAAAATTAAGGAACTTTTTGAAGCAAAAGTGACGAAGTTGGGATCTATTCCCAGTAATACAAATGGCAAAATAGTAAGTTTAGCATCAGGAGGTGAAATTGAAACTGATAACAAACGGGCATGGTGTCCTAATTTAGTTGTGATTCGCTCCGAAACAGATGATGCTACCTTCAGTGAACCAGGAGATAGTGGAACAATAGTGCAAATTCAAAATGGTTCCACTCCGGGAGATCACAGCCCAAGCTGCTACATGATATTTGCGGGTTGGGGAGTAGAAAGCAGTTACAACACATGGGGATGCCCAGTTTCTCTTGCATTTAACTTGAATGATGCCTTGGATGAACTTAAAAAACAAAGTGGAGATAAAAAGGAGTTCAAATTGTCCTGCTGTAAATCTACAAACCAAGAGGCAATCGCAAACCAAATAAAAAATAATAATTCAATAAATCAAAAGAACGTGAAAGAATATGGAAAGCAACCAAAAACTCATGAAGAAATTGATCAATCGCTTGTAAAGAGCATTGAAACATGTAAGATATCATATCGCTCTCTTACATCACGAATGAATGGAAAAATCCATCCCAATACGTCAGATTTATAAAAAATGAAAGTTTTTGATTTTTTAAATCTGTTTTTGATTCCAACTCTCTGGAGTAGTATATCCCACCAAAAAACAATGGCAGCCATTTGAATTGAGGGGCCATAATGAAAATTCCTTCTCGAGCAGAGGTCCTGATGCCTCGAAGGCATGAGCCTATTTTTGAACCAAATCTGTTAATCAGTGTTAGAGTTATTGCCTGAACACACGAACAGAGACAAACAAACCAACAACTACAGATGGCTCCCCACAAGGTTGGAACTTAAGACAAGACTTATTTTATTTTTAAGCAATATTAGAGTTAGTATTAAAACAGTAACACATTTTTGAAAATATTGCAATCTTCAAAAACTTGGAATGAATTCACAAAGAGTTATGGCATACATGATTGGAATGCTTCAATATAAAAATGTGAGTTTTGTATATTATATAATAATATAAGTTATTGAATGATTTGAAGTGCAACACAGGATACATTCTGCTTGAGAAATTCCATATTGGAAGGAGACAAAGTCGAGTGCCAATACAGAATATCTAGAGCAGAATATATCCTGTATTGCACTTCAAATCATTCTATAACGTTTTTATCGTGTGATCCTCTGTGTTGCTACTGAGAATGTCCCCTCTGTACCAATATTTTCTGTATTGCGACGGAGATGATCAATGGGGACAATCTCAGTAGCAATACAGATTGGTACAGCACAAGAACTGACCAATCAAAAGGCTTCATTTTTATACCTAAATACATAATATGGACTCACCTTTAACCTAGCTGCTTGGTGGAAATATGCTGAACAAATACATTTCCTGATGACGTCCCACTCATTGCCAGTAGATATGAGGTCCATCTTCTGTTGTTCCATGATCTCCTTCAGTTGGCTTCTCACTTCTCTCACTTTTTTCATCGCCTTCACGTGGACAAAGTGCTCTGTGCACCAACTGGATGAATATCTGCAAATACAATGACATTATTGTACAGACCTTCCCAAGTTATCATGTACATGTATATGAACTACAGGGTGTCAAATAAATATGTTCACCCCCTTAATTTCAAAAATATTAACTTTTGTGCATTAAAGTCTTGTTGAGCTAGTCATCTGACACTTCTTGTGGAGTTGCTCCATGAAGCTTAGTTTCAATGTGCTAAAAAAGAATTCAGATATCACACTGACAAAAAAGTTGTTCAAAATTATGTGGATGTTAAAGCTAGGGGGAGAACATATCTGTTCGACACCCTGTACAAATGTAAAAAAATACTGAATTTTTAATGCAATTTATAATTAATCCTCCATACAAAAGCTTGTCAAAATACATACTTGTTTCTTTTCCATTGCTGGTAGACATTTAGAAAAGTGAGATGATCACTTTCTGGTACTTGGAACTTTTCTCTTGCTCCATCAGATTCTTCCTCACGTTGCTTTGGACGGTAGAAAATGGCGGGAACTGATAACATGGCCACAATAGTCTGAAAATGTATGTCAAATAGTCAACAAAGTCTTGTTTCATATGAAAGCCCTATACTGACCAAAACAGCAGCTTTACTCCATCGTAGAATGGACTTATTTTATCGAAATTAACTCAAGAATATCTCTCATTCTATATCATTTTCAGCAATGACTTCATGCATTAATGTGATACTCTTGGCAGTCTAAATCCACTTTTTGAACCCCTTGCTCATCCTCTATAGTGCCCCGGTAATATCACCTATGTGTGCAAGTTATATTTTTTGTTCAATGGATATTTAATATTTTTTTTTTAAAAATGTGTTCAACAAAAGTTGCTTCAACATAAGCAGATGTTTTACTCTCAGGTTTTTCACTCAGCTAATTTCTAAGTTAAAAGACTTTGGGCAGCATTGAAAAAGATAATTGACACTGGGTTCATCACATGTATTTACACCGAATATTCTTACCAGTACTTCATCACTGCAATTCATATCAACAGACACTAAGAGTAGTTTAGACAAAGCTGGGTCCAGCGGGAACTCTACCATTTGACGTCCCATACTCGTCAATGCCCCTGTGTTGTCTAAAGCACCAAGGATCCACAGCTGATACATTGAGTTGAGAATATTGTCCTAAAAGTGAAAAGAATAAATTATAGAATGTGGTCAAATTTTATTGAATCTCAACCAACTACCAAAATAAGGCAATCAAAATCAACGAACTCAATCAATTTGATTTATAAGGATGCCAAATTATTCATGAGTGCTAAATTATCCTCTTAAAGTTAACCATATATTATCATATTTAACATATTTTATGGTAACAAAAGGCTAGTAAGGAATGCCCTTACATATATATATTTCATTAAATATACCTGAGGGGGTGGGTCCATAAAATGGAATTGCAGTAAATCTTGTACACCCAGTGATTTCAACAGCAGTACAACATTGGCAAGGTTTGTACGTTGTATCTCTGGTACTGAAGAAGTTAACATCTCATTTTTGTATTGTCTGTTAGTGTACAGTCTGTAGCACATACTGAAAGTAAGAAAAGAAGCAATTTTTATTAATTCACTACCAAATAAATATATGACAAAAAGAACATAAATATAACTCTGGAATCAAACACGAATGCTCTGTATAATCTGCACTAAGTAGAGATTTTGTCCCTATGTAAAAACTTGTAGACCAATGAGGCATGGTGGGACTTAACATTATTTGAGACCCTGTGGAACTTCTTGGTGCAATTAATTGGGACTTTGCCCCATTGGTGTATGATGGACTTTACTCACCCTGGCATTAGCCTCAGTCAAATGAACTTTGACCTCAATGTAACAACTTACCCTGGTCCTGTGCGACCTGCGCGACCAGACCTCTGGTTGGCATTAGCCTGACTGATTGGAAACACCTGTAGTGCATCCATACCAATCTTAGAATTGAACTTTGACCTCAATGTAATAACTTACCCTGGTCCTGTGCGACCTGCGCGACCAGACCTCTGGTTGGCATTAGCCTGACTGATTGGAAACACCTGTAGAGCATCCATACCAATTTTAGGATTAAACACCTTCAGTTTACAGTACCCTGCATCTACCACCACCTGTATTCCATCAACTAAAATAAGAATAAGATTGATTTAATGTTGGATTATTTGAAGTTTTTTAAATAAAGAATCCAACAAGGATCATTTCAGTTTAAATCTGCAAACTTTTTTCCAAATAAAGGGTTTATGATTATTTTCAAAATAGAATTCATGTTCTATGTCTTTGAGATGAGATAGTTGAGTACCATTGAAGGAACAGTGTTTATCATAGGTTATGTTTCTCATTCTAAGAGTGAAATTCTTAGGGGATACAGAGCAACATTGGCATCACTAATTAATTCTGTTTGGATGATTTACAACAAAGTTGATGTTCCCTAAAAAATGAAAAAATGGAAAAAATGTCAGTTCAAGGAAAACCCTGTTTTTACATGATGACTTGTACTAAATGTAGTACCTGTTAAAGATGTCTCTGCTATGTTAGTTGCAACAATAACCTTCCTAATCCCTCCTTGTGATTTCTGGAATATCTTGGCTTGTAAATCACTGGGTAACTGGGAGTATATGGGTAATATAGACAGTTCTGGGGCTTCATCCAACTCTTTCAGCCTCTCTGGAAGATCATATACAAATATCAATAAATTCATTGCTTAATAATCACAAGCTCAATACTAGCCATCTTTTTCCTCACTTTTATTCAAATTTCTAAAGTTCATGGTTTGATTTTACAGCCAAAAGCAACAATTAGGTTAACATTTAAAATCAAATAGGTTCTGATTCTTAAAAAGGGCTTTCAGCTTTCAAAAACTCAATAATTTGCTTATGTATTTGTGACAACATTGAAATCTTGACCTGGTCCCTTGTAAAAGATTTCTGGTTTTCCATACAACTACAGGATTGGAATGCTTCTATTTGTATGCAACGATTGAGTTATATCTACCTTCAAGTAGCTCACATGTGACCTCAATATCCTCTTGGCCTGGCATGAACACAAGTATATCCCCTGAAAATATATCATAGAATCAAGTAGTTTAGTGATATATAAAAACATGATAAAGTGATTCACCACATACACTGTATAATAAGCCTACAGAAGATTGGATGGCACTTAGAAACTGAAATGAATTCCATAAATATGTAAATCTCACAATTACAAGAACTATTCCAGAGAACCTAAACAACAGGGCAACCCCTGATTTGAAATATGTAAACCCCCAAATATGTCTCAGAACCGAATCTCAACCCCTGCATTGAAATATGTGAACCCCACCTACCTGGTAGATCCTGGAGGTGAACCTGCAGAGTTTGCTTTACAGCAGAATCAACATAATCTTCCACTGTGTTCTTACTGAAGAAAACATCAACTGGGAATGTCCTTCCAGGAATCAAGTAAACAGGAACATTTCCAAAAAACTCAGAAAACTTATCTGAGTCCATTGTGGCTGAAGTTACTATAAGCTTGAGATCTTGCCTCCGAGATATCACCTGGGAAAAAGGAATATTTTGTCATAGCCTAAATGTACATAACATACGGTATATATTTTGGATTCCAATTAGTATTTATTTGAACAGAGTAATGAATAAGCTAGGTTTTCATCATAATAGGCTGAGGTGTTTTTTTATTTGGAGTTTAAAATGATTATTATGTGGGGGCTACCTCTCTAAGAAGTCCAAAAAGTACATCAGTGTTAAGCGACCTCTCGTGAGCCTCGTCCATTATGATGCAACTGTAGTTGTCAAGGTCACTCTCTCGCAATGATTCTCTCAACAAGATACCATCTGTCATGTACTTTATCATGGTTTTCTGTAAAAGGTAATAAAGTAATCTACAGTGTTGCATGTATGAGTAAAGTATAGGATGCAATGAAAATGTTATTGTAGTAACTATGTTACTGAATTTAGGTGCCTTTTTTAAACTTGTTATGTACAGTTTCAATCATTTCAAATCCACCCACTGTATGCATGTGTGTAGATTGTAAAATGTAAGAAAAGAATAATAATGATAATTCTAAAAAAAAGAAAAAAGGGTTGTACTCAAGACTTTTTTATTGATATAGTACATATAGTACATTTTATTATTAAATCAAAACTGAAATACTTTATTAAGCACTGATTATCATCAATAATGAACTGATTCAAAGAACAACGTATCATATTGAAAGTGATTTTGGACTGTAGTTTCTCAGAATAAATATGAGATTTTTCGTTAATATTTCCTAATACTGTCATGAAAAATATTTTAGGCATAACAAAGATAGAATCTTTGGGCATTTTGTTCCTATGGTTAATTACCTCATTTGTGCAGTCCTCAAATCGTATAGCGTATCCAACTTCATCTCCCAGGTTGACTTTCATCTCCTCAGAGACTCTTTTTGCCACAGACATTGCCGCCACTCTACGTGGCTGCGTACAACCAATCATACCAAATTTGGAATAGCCATCCTCGTGTAGGTACTGAAATTATATTTATAAATGAATTAGATGAAATTGTTACCACTGATTCCACAGAATATGATAGAAAAAATGAAATACAAAAGGCTTGAAAAACATTGTTGTTTGGGCTTTCCTATTTCTAAAACCGATTGCATGTTTGGTGAATACTTTTAAGTGCTGTTTCTGTAATTTAAAGGCTATAATGATCAAAATCATTAATATATGGTCAATCGTATCGACACAACATCCATATTTTCTAAATCCATGACGAATTAGGGGTAGGGCTACACATCAAGGTGTCATTATTTGCAAAATTAATTTCATTAGAAGGGTGAGGGGGAGGTGTTGAAAAAAACAATGGAGTTTGAGACAATGTAACTTTTTTTTAATCAGAATCAGAATGAACAATTGGTAATGTCATTTTATTAAACACTCTTGTGTTATGGCAGAAGGTTGGATAGCTACAAATGATGAAAAGGTTAAAAAACAAAACTTTAAAAACAATACAAGGAAGGATAATAAAAAGAAACACAATACTCGGCCCAGAAATTTTCTGAACCAGCGTAATAAATAACATGAGTAATTATTGCATACTGTCTCAAAAGTTATATCCAAGATAAAGTTCTTGAGAAACTGGAAATATAAAACAAATAATGGACTTTTAATCAGTGATATTTTGATTCAGCAGTGGGATCAGGACACATTACTTTTACTTCATTGAATTTCATCGGACAAACTAAGCGATATTTGGCAAAAAAATGTTGTAATTAAATACTTCCTGGTTGCACTTTCTTAGAACATCTGTTATCCAATGCTTATTGTGGAAGGATGAGTCTGAGCCCTGAACAATAGCAATTACTGTAAATATACTTTTTTCCTTTTTTGTTTCATTTTATTTTTCAAATATAGTATTTATTTAACAATTGATTTATTTACAAGAACTTTTGAACTTCTCTAGTTTTAATTTACATTTTCTTGAAATCTTGAACAATTTTAAATACATTGGCATAAAACTGATTCATATAAAAAATTAAAATTTTAAAACACAAGAGTGAATAAATGACCAAGATTACAGTTCATTGCGGTATATAATAATAGAAATTATCATTTTAAACATTCATTTATCACAAAACTCCTTAGACAACAAACATAAAAGATGAAGCTAGTCATTTTAATTTCGTTAATTTTTAGTTTTTCAAAATGTTACAACTCTGTAGTTGTATACTCAGGAGTAGATCAACAGACCCAAGCGGTAACGAATCGGCTGCAAAGAATCATGAGTAATCCAGGAATAAACACAGAGAGTAAACGTTATCTTGAGGCTGCATTAGGGAATATAAACAATGGAGTAGTAACTGCTTTAGAAAGGTAAGGTCTTTGAAAGTATAAAGATGTATATTGAGCTATGTTTTTTCATTTATTGTATTGTGCATTACAGTGTTTGCTTGTATCTTTAAAGATGGCATAATTAATGTCGTACAACTGATCACTTGTTCTATTTCTGTGGTCTTTGAAAGAGGATGCTTCTTGAACTGATTTTAGTCTCAGACTGTCCTATCTTCATTAAAATTAAATAAAAATTATAATTCTAAGTCCTATCACTAATCTTAATCAATCAAAAGAAGAAATTACAGTTTGAAACTGAGATTTGAATTTATTTTGTACATACACGGTGTATAACCCAAACGCTCCTACATGCACGACGGAGCGTTACATTTACGCGGAAACGCTCCGGAGCGAAATAAAATGGCGGCTAATGAAGATTCCACTATGACCGTAAGTATTGTTTCTCTCGTTTCTCTTACATATCATATGTTATGGTGAAATATTATGTACCATTCGATGAACAATACCGTGAGCAAAGATCTTATTTATTCAACTTCTGGTGGTAAACTGTTATTTGCTTGATCAAAGCTCCGTAGTGTAGATCGAACGAATCTGAAGATGACGTTTTGACCACAAATTACGAATTAAACCAGTATTTCTATGAAAACGTTAATCTTTCTGTTAAAGTAGTAGATCACAAACTCGTATATTCTCATTTCCTAAAATCCCAGTCCAAATCCATTACTTGTTCTCGAGAAATCGCTTGTTTTCCTCGAAACGCTCCGTCGATTTAGAACACAATTTTAGAAACGCTCTTACCATTTTGTTTTGATATCATTTTCAGATTATTAGAGAAGAGTCCCGAATCGAATCTATCTCTTAAAAACGTGTTGTACTTGTTAGGCAAATTGAAACATCTGAACCTGGTGGTGCTAAACGTGCAACTAGCTGATTTAAGCCTATACATTAGATGATGTCATGCCTACATATGTGCTAAATCATAAAACTATAGAAAAAAACGAAAATTTATATGTGAATTAATCTTTCTTCTATTGATGCCAAGGGGTATAATAGATCTTTTCTTTCTCTTCCTGAAAAGGAAAGGCAAGCTATATACTTTCTAAACTGATCTAGACTACCGGAGCGTTTCCAGTTCACTGTGTTAATCAGATCGGAGCGTTTCTTGAATATGAGAATGTCATCATTTTTAAGACTGGATTTTCGGTCATCAAATCACTATAACGATAATGTATGGTGCGTTGAAGCATTGGAATTTGACTAAAATATACGTTGGTGCTCTAATCTTGGCTCAACTAATCAGATGTATCCGCAAAAGGGGTTTTGACCGGTAGAATGACAAATACGTTTTTGAATTTTGATAACTATACTGCTTCGTATAGCTCTTCCTAATTGCTTCAAATGTCAACAGCCAGTCACGTACAACATGAATATCACACCCATCGAATGGTATACTCGAAATATGTAACTCGTGCCTCTTATTCCCATTATTGGGGAAATCGTCAGACGGCTCATCATTCCCGCCAGCCAGTTTTCCTACTCCGGAGCGTTTCTTTGTTTAATTTCAGTAATGAAACGCTCCGTCGTGCATGTAGGAGCGTTTGGGTTATACACCGTGACATAGGGAAGGGGACAAATGACATCTTTAATTTTCTATGTTATGAGCTTATAATATAACCAAGAATTTCTATTTTCAATATCCTCAAAAACTATTTAAAAATTCTGATTAATGGATTTTTGTGTTATTACACAATATTATATGACTAAAAATTCACACATGCCAGTTTGATACTTATGAAATTACAGGTCTAAACAACATTAAAAGATGTGTTCTGTATGTTATTATACTGATAAAGGTGATATGTACAAGCATTGAATAAATGATGTGTGAATAACAGTGAAACCTGTGAAGTAGAACACCTCTGTTAGTAGAACACCTCCATAAGTGGAACACTTTTCAAAGTCACATGACCAATTGATGTTAAATAGACCCCAGTAAGGGGAAAACCTCTCAAGTGGGATGAATTAGATGTCCCAAAGGTGTTAACCTGACACAGGTTTTACTCTATGTATTATTCCTATGAAGTAATACCCATCTAAAGGGAATTCTCCTGGAACTTAGCTACAAGGTGATCCAGAAGTAACGTCAAAGATGCAGATGTTAAGTCACCCATGGCAAATTATTTGTTTCAGTGGAAAATGGAATGGAAAATTGAACAATCAACATGCTAATGAGTGGTGCATTTTTCAAAATGTACAGCATATTTAAGAAAATAATAAATATCAACGTTCTCGACATCTTTATATAGTCATTGGACAACTGATAATTGTTTACATGTTTATTGAGAAGTGTTCAATATATTAAGAGGTTTCAAACATACACATGGGAGACAGTGAACTCAAAAATTGGTCTGTATAAACTTTCACAATAAGTTATAACATACACTGGATCTAAGTTTTTCAGTAGGGTATGGTCCACCCATTATTTAGAAACCATGGGTAAAGTATTGGACAATAAAGAGAATTTTTGTAACTTCAATTTTCTAAATAGGCAGAGGCAATAACATTTTAATTTCTGTTGAAATGGATATATTTTCACAACAAATACTGTATTTTGATAAAGGAACATGGCCCACCCAACTGAACACCCCAATGGAGCAAGAGGTCGACGTAGTGTTCCATTGCATGCGACTGAATGCTGTTGTAAGGTTGCTGTCCCTCCCCTTCGTACTCAAAAACATCGTACAGTCACCAGATGGCGTGATGCATACAGGCGTGTTCGAGACGGCAGTTCAAAATGTGGTTTCTGGGGATGGAAGCGGTGCACTAGATGGCGCAATGAACATTAGTAAGTAAAAATAATACAATTTCTTCAAAAATGACATGTCTGTAAATATTTTTTGGAAGTCATTATTTTTATTTGGAAGTCATTTCTAATAAGACAAATGACATGAAAATAAAAGAGCAATTGAAATAGAAGTCTATATAAAATTTTATATATGACTTCTTAAGTGACTTTAGGCTTCCAAATAAAAACAAAATTGTTATTCAAATTTGTTACAATATTAAGTAAAAATCTTAACAAAGACGTTGGTTCTTTGATTTTTGGCAATCTAGTGACCCTCAATTTTATTCTACCCATTGCTGAAGACCTCTATCACTTCAGGGTTTCAGTTTTTAAGAATGATCAGAAAAATTAATCACATATTGCACAATAAATCATAAAATATATGATACTAAGTATATCTAATGTCTTATTACATATTGTCACATTGTATTTCCAGTCGTATCTCCTACAGCCATACTGAACCATATTTTGTCTACACTCCTCGTTCATGCCCAAGGGACAAAGAAGTCTGTTGCAGAGGGTTCATGCCTCATAAAAGATGCTGTACAAGTATGAATTCAATCTCCTATTTTAGACTAGACTCAAATAAACTTCTTAAGTTGAGGGCAAGTTATTGTAATTTAAGGTAAAAGGGTCCTCCATTGGGATAGTAGAGGGTCTATGATTGTAAGTTAAGGGTTAAGGGCATGTTATTGTAATTCAAGGTAAAAGGGTCCTCCATTTGGGATAGTGAAGGGTATGATTGTAAGTTAAGGGCATGTGACTGTAATTAAGTGTTAAAGGCATGTCGTTGTAATTTAAAGGTAAAGAGTATGTTACTGTAATTAAGTGTTAATGACAAGCCATTGTAATTTAAGGGAAATGAGTATGTTACTGTGATTAAGGGCATGCCATTGGAATTTAAGGGTTGAGGGTATGTGATTGTAATTCAAGCAAGACCATGTCTAAATCAATATCTTATAATTCCAGATGTTCTAGAAATGATTCGGCTGTTGGATTTATTTGAGAGTCAGCGTGCACAATTCGAGAACAATATGAAGAAGTTCTTGGTATCTCATGGCCACAATCCTAATGGGCAATGCCCTAAATCATGTGGACCTTAACTACCTTAGGCTCATACAATTAATTGTCTGTTTAGCTTACCAAATCACCTGATCTGAAATAATCTGAATTCTTCCACAACTCAAACCTTCTCTGTAAACTTTTTTGCATAACCAGATCATCTGAAACTTTTCTCCTAACAATGTTAGTTTTTTAATTATTCTCCCATTTTTGCTGCAAAATATAAAAATCCTGGTCAGCAGGTCTTTTCCAATAATAATTCTTGCTAAACAGACAATTAACAGTCGTGGCCCTAAAGATATATTAGCCATGTACACATACAATATATAGCAGTAAGGACTCTTAGCGACATTCTTAAATTATGACAAAATTAATAAGGCATTAACATGCAAAATGTCACCACTGGCCATTTGTTACAGATGCCAAACACCATCCACAAAAAAGTTGGAGACTATAACAATATGTCACCACTTCTGAAGGTGACATAATAAAATAAAATCAGCGTTTAAAAATGTTAAGAATTCAAACTTCTATTGATTGCATGTATCTTACCTGTGTTAATTGAGTTGTTTTTCCTGAGCCTGTTTCTCCTACTACAACTACGATACTGTTATCTCGGATAATCTTCAGTAACTACAATGAGAAACATAAAATCACATTCATGTTAAATTTCTTTCAAACATGTATCCAAATGTATTAAATTTCTTTCAGACATGTATCCAAATGTATTAAATTTCTTAAAACATGTATCAAAAATTATGGTTTGGGGATTTTACAAACTATTATCTAATAGAAAATCTGTTCAAACATGAAACAATTCTTGCTCAAAATTCAAATTCATGTACCACACCTTTTGAGTCAATTGTAAATTTGGTTAAAATATTAGTCCATTTTAATAAACTTAATTAAATAAAGACACGACAGTCGGAACTCTCAAAAGAGCTGGTTTAAAACATCTAACAAAATATGATAGAATAAAACTCTTAAATTCAGATTATTTCTGAGCTTGTTAGTCTGTTTTCAAAGCAGAATAACTATTACAATTAAAAGAATATAATACAGTAAAACCTGTTAAAGTGAAACACCTTTGGTACTTCTAAAAAGTGTTCCAATTATAGAGCTTCATTTAACATTAAGTGAGTTGGTCTTGGGACTGTGAAAAGTATTCCACTAACAAAGGTGTTCCACTTCTAGAGACTAGAGGTGTTCCATTTTACAGGTTTCACTGTTCACAGGCAAATTACATCTGGCCCCATACAAGCTCGTACATGCCTCGAGAATTATGAGTTATTACGGACAAAAAGGAGCACGATCTTCAATCTTCATACAGGCTCGTACGGAGCTTGTTTTTGAGACCTCTGCAATGCTCGTAATTGTTCTTTTCGAGGACCGTACGAGGATGTACGAGGCTCGTTATCAGACTCTTTAACAGCACAAAAAAATTAATTTTATGTCATGTTATATCATTCACGTATCACGTATCTATGTATGATTAGGTGACAGTCACCACAAGAGCAAGTATGGGGATCGAAAATTACGATTTATTACAGGGCCAATTACGGGCACCATACAGTCAAGTACGGGGGTCAAAGATTACGGACTACTATGGGCCTTGTAATTACAAGCTCTTACGAGGCTCGAAAATTACAAGCAATTACAAGACATGTAATAACGAGGCCTGTACGAGGTTGTACAGAGCCAACTGACTCAACGAGCTCCGTACGGCTTGTACGGGGTCCGTTGTAATTTGCCTGTGTACCCCATACTTTATCCCTCTCCCATTAAGATTAACAAAGGCCACTCACTGTTTGTCTGACTGCAAATATAGGTAGATACTGACGCTGCTGTGATATTGTTTTTTTCTGTGCAAACTCACTCATTGCTTCATTTTTATCTTTCATATGGTCAGCAAACTTGTGCTCTGACCTCCCATCCACATCTCCATGCTCATCAACCTAGATACAGAATAAATCACCTAGATACAGAATAAATCACCTGGATACAGAATAGATCACCTAGATACAGAATAAATCACACAGCTTTATACTTGGATGATTATACATTTTATGATTACCATTTCTGTTAAACCTGTCTTCAAAGGATTTGATAGCAGAGCTTTTTTATTTTTGCCATTTTGCTATCTTAATGTAAAATATGCAATATTTGATATTTTAAAATGAGTCTTAAAACATTATAAGTGTAGAATAGATAAAAATTGTTGACGTTAGAGCAATTCTGTAACAGATGTTATCCATCACTCTGAATGGACTTTACTTGTGAGTGAAATATTTGTCATTATGGGTAAGTCAAGTTTGACTTTTTTTTATAAAACATGTATTCTATCACATGAGAAAATGTAGTTACATTACCTTTACATCTTTTTCTTCCTCTTTCTTTATCCCCATGATATCCCCAATATTTGTCCCAGCCACTTCAGCCACCTTGCCCTGGCCTTTCTTGGCTTCTTTCAACTCACGGTGCTTCCTGACAACAGCGCAGCCTTTACGGGCTACAACTGCAAGGTCAGAGGTCGGATCCTACAAAGGATTGTTAGCATATATTTGTGGATAAACCAATACTATAATGTAAATAAACCAACCAAGACAATTGGAAGTTCATAATACAAGGGATGCATGGAACAAGTGCACATTTACAAAAGGTTATTTATTAACATCAAACAATAAGCTAAAAAATAATGATATATGACCCAAAGTCAACTTTTACTCTCTAACTGTGAATATTCTCCCTTTAAACTTACCTTGATTGGGACCACAGGTTCAGGTTGCTTGGTGAAGACAGTCCTCCCATCAAGGAATGGTGGAACTATATTGTGTACCAACAGATGGACTCTTGCTTCATTTTCTTCCTCAAAATCCTCATCAAAATCAACTTGCGTAACAGCTCCACTGCGTAACATCCTGTTGGTCTCCCACTTTTCGTTGTCCTGAACAAAGCATTTAAAAAGTTTTATATTGTGTATTGTTATGTATTCCATACCTGGTGAGGTTTCAAGAACAAATTAACCGGGAATATATTCCATATCAGGGCAAAAATATTTCATATGTCCCGCTCAAACGGGGATCTGGAATATATAAATCGTCTGGCCCTCGGGAAGATATATTGTACATCCCTCGGGACATTCCCTGTATCCAAAACCTCCCAGTGCATAACCCCTATGCATGTCGTTGAAATACTGGGTTATGATATTTTATTTTCTTCTTTATTCCATTTTAATATACAATATGTAGACTGCTAAAGTTAAAAACATTGGTGGAAGTTCTGTTTGGTCCTGTATTGGTTGACTGGTCTCCCATCTATGACTATACAAATAACAGCTTGTCATATCCACCTCCCCATCATTCAAGATTTGTCAAATATTAACCCTTCAATAATCTGATAAAGCAAATGTAAAATATATCAATAAGTGACTTTATAGATATAAAATGCTTATGTATGTAATATACAATCAAAAAGCTTAATTAACATACTCGATGATGTTGTCGAGCTCTTTCTGACATTTTCTTCTTCTTTCTTTCTTCCATTTGCTTTTCTTTCTTTTGTGTGTATGCGTCAGATGTGCCAGAGAATGGGTTGTGGTCATCATCGTAGCCCTCATCCAACCCATACCTGAAACACATTCACAAATCCCATTTGAATACACATGTAACTATATGGTGTCATGGCCTAATGTCATGGGTCAAAATATAATGGCAGCCATTTTGAAACAACCTGTCACTTCTAAATTTAGCTTTTGAGCAGAACTTATAATCACATAGGGCATCTGCGTATTACATATAACCAATATTAGTCAAATCGTATTTGAATTAATGCTTGGATGAATGGAAGTGTTCTCTATACCTCCAAAGTTTGTTTAATGGGATGATAATGCAGTTATTCAGAAAAAATGAAGTTTCAAAATTGAAGACTGAGTGGAAGTCAAAATGAAATAAAACATGTCCTATTAATATATGTGTTCTTCCTTTTTATCAATATGATGTCTGGTGTGGGATCCATGATACAAACTCCATTCAACTTATACACATGTACTTAATGTTAAACCTGGAGCTATCATCCTTCATTAGGGAACACTTATTTAAACTATAATAGAGGATTTTTTACAGTATGGTAAATAGAATTACAGTATAGTTACCATTCTCTATCAAGTCTCTTCTGTTCTTGTTCCCATTCATACTGATCTTCTTCAGTTTTAAATTCGCCCTCTTTAACATCTAGAAATATTTAATATAGACATTAATATTTACAGATTTTTCAACATATTTCATCGGAAATGTAGATAGACAATAGGTTACTTGTCATTTTCTCATAAGATAGACAAAATAAAATCCTGAAATTGGCACAACTTATTTTTCAAAAAGTTAAAAAGTTCTTTATTTGAGCAATTGATCATTCAAAAATAATTAAAATTCTCATATCTCATTTTGGATTTCATTAGGTAAGAATAATAGCAAGTACCCTTTGCATTCGTTCGACTTCACTTCTTAAAAGAGAGCTTCGTCTTCAATAGTTTAACTAGACTCTGCACGCAGGGTAAATAGCAAGTCAAGTTCATCAAATTAAACAGATACATCATCATTCCAAGACAAAGAGTGACCTACCTCCTTCATCCTTATCTCTTGGCGTATACTGTATTTTCTTTCTATTGTCTGCCCAAGTGTTGTATTTGTGGGTTGGGGTGGGAAGGGGTGTGTCATCAATCTTCCTCCTAAAATAAACCAAGTTACATATTTGTTGGACTATAGTTATGCCATTAAAAGTTTATCTGTTTTGTCATTGGTTTTATTTTTTATTTATTTTTTCCTTCCTTGGTATGTGATTAGTGCCCCTTGTCAGTCATACAAGATAGGTTAACTTATTCATTGAAAGTGTACAATGATTGAAGACCTTGAACTTTTGATCATTGACAAATACATTAATGTACTTCTCAAATATTCCTTCTTTTTACTTAAATGTGTTTAAGGAGCTTTTAAATATTGAATATGCTTTTTAAGACTCTTATACTGGGTCTAGTTTAAATTAACAATAGGAATTTAGAGCTCTTAGATTCTGTAGTTCGATAAGCAGTGACTTGTGACCAAATTGGAATATGAAGTTGACACTCAAAGTATATTGACTTTTGAGTAACTGCAATTCTTAAAATGTTGTCACTTGTTATTTATGGTACAAATACATATATGCTCACCTATCTCTTGTTTTATCTTTGTTACTATGACGGTCACTGTCTCTGAACCTTCTTTCACTCCTGTCATCCCTTGATCTGCTGCTTCTATCACTCCTCTCACCCCTATATGATCTCTCACTTCTATCACCAACTCTCCCACTTGAACTGCTGTATGGAGTTGGAAGATCCCAACTTGATTTCTTTGGGGGTGTTGGGTCATCGTCATCCCAGATTTCTCTTGAAGGAGTATCTGTAACCCATAATTCAACGCTTGTAAAATAAGATTATATGCAGTAGATCAATCAGAAGTTTATACATGTTTCACTGAACATTTGAATGCAGCTTATACCGTTACTCCTCAGACACCTAAAATTGTCTTGTTACATTTTGGGAGTATGGGGGGATCATGCTATAAGACCTGCGAAGCCCGACCATGTCTAATTTTTGAAATAATTTATAACCCAGGTGTAAGTGATGTGGTATCGAAAAAGCAATATTGTTAAGTAAAAACACTATAGTCATAATAGTATGGGTAGCATGTTATTTCAAAGACCATACAATATAATGAAAAAAGGCCAAGGGAGCATGTAGGTCTTAGACAAGACTTAGTAAGAGGAGGAGAAACCCCAGGGTTCAAAGATGACATACGCTTGTAATGTAAATCTGTATTGAGATGACATCGTCGCTGATTGGTTTAGCGAGTCGATCGTTAATTGGTTTAAAACTAGGTCAATTTGAAAACTTTGAAAACCAAGATGGAGAGTAAGTACTTCCGGGAAAGGAGGTGCGCAAAGGAGGAAATCGTATGTCATCAATTGAATCATGGGGTTTTCCCTCCTCTTAGACTTAGTTATATAACTTGTGCATAACTCTTTAAGAAGCTGAACCCACAAAAAAAAGGCCAAGGAAGCATGTAGTTCTTAGACAAGACTTAGTTATATAGCTCTGCATAACTCTTGAAGAAGATGAACCCACACATTATAAAACTAAATCTAAAATAGATAACAGTGTATTCATATTGAGAGGTTCTCACTAAGTACTATAGGACATCAATATGTGTTCTCATTTTGGGATGTTTACCCTCAAAAAATGCAACTGTTGAACTGACTCCATCTGAACAAGTACCTCTAGGTTTGTATTTAATATAGGGTGTGTCATATTCACTGTCACTCTTCCTAGATGGAGTTTCCTCCCAATCTCTCTCTCTGCGCCTTTCAGACTTGTCCTGGTGGCGACGTCTTTCACTCCTATCATCTGCAATATTGTAAATTTTCAATTACATGGCATGATTGGAAAAAAGATTGATCACAGAAGAATTTGGTTATTTCTAAAAAATGTTTTAATTAAACATTACTTTCAATTCTTTTTTTCAATTAAAATTGCACTATTCAGATTTCTTTGAAAAATTGTGATCATTATATGGGAATACAAAAGTATCTATGGTAATATTCATAAAGATTCACTGTCTGGATCTTGAGAAAAAACAAAAAACTTTCAATATCATGAAACAGTGGGAAAATATTATTTTATTGTATATAATGACTCATTTAACCAAAAAATGCCTTGATAGATCAAAATGAGTGTGTCATATAAAAAGAGAACATGATTGAATTGTGGGCTGTCATCGATTGTGCCACACAGCATTTGAGCAATGAAAGAGAACTTTTCAAATAAACAAATATCAATGTTTTATTCAGTTTCCGTTTTTGGCATTACAGAAGCGCGAACTGACTGCGCAATGGACAGTGAAGTTCTACTTTAATAATATTTTTGAATACAAGTTTATGTAAATGTGACAGATCTACCTACCTCTTTCCCTGTCCCTTCTACGGTCTTTTTTATCACTTTTATGCTTTTTATGTTTTTCTTTACTTGATGCATATACACCCTTTTCTCTCTCTTGACGCTGTTTGCTATCTTTGCGGTCTTTGTAAGCATCACTAACGCCCCCTGTATGAGAAGGAGTCTCAACTCTAGAGGAACGGTAGTGTCTGAAAAGGTAAAAAAAAAGGTTTATTTTGTATATTCGCAACACAACTAAATAAACCATACATGTAAAATAGGATGAATTTTCAGGTGAATTTATGCTTAAATCCATCTTTAGAGTCAGTCAGATGATGATATAAGACATATAGGTATAAAAAGACCCACATTTTCAGTGAAAACAAAACAAAATAGGTGTATTTGTAAAATAAAACATGAGAATTTTGCTTGTCAAGTGCTCCAATTTTACCACCCAGTACCTCTAAATGGCTGAATATGCTCCTTCATTAATGAAATGTGCATTGTGCAATCAATTACTGCTCAAATTATATGAAAAACCTTGAAATGTGAACAATTATCCGAACAATAATGGCCAGTCCCAGTGACCTTCGGATCAGACAGATTTTATTGTATTATCGTACTGTACCTTTCTTTGTAATCTTTATCAGATTTCCTATTCTCCCTATCATACTCTACATCATCCTCAGTATCATTATATGACGTTACTTTGGAGCGTTTAGCTAAATCCTCATCCTGGGCCTGCTTACGTTTAATCGCTGCAAGCCGATCAAGGCCAAGAACTGAAGTTTGTGGGAGTTTAAATGTATGTTTAACGGAATCTGACGATGGACCTTTTTTCATTATAACAAGGCCGCCTTTTTGTGGCTCTGAGCCTTGGAGTCTGTGGACACCACTATCATCATCAGACATGTTTATCCGCTAATGTTGGGTCTGATTCAATTATTGAATATGTTGGTGACAATTCTGAAATTAAAGATTTTACTCATGAATTATTACATGGTTGTAGTTATCATGGATCTTTGTGTTGAATTAACATAGTTTCCTTGAACGAATCCATTTTGTTTAAAACGATAATTGTGTCACAGCCTGTTTCAAATATGTCCAGGAATTTTAATTTGCTTGAAAAAATATGTGTTCACCTTACAATAGTGCTGAGCTTGATAAATACATGTAAGTAGTGGTTTTTCAAAATAAATCACTTGTCAGTATCGAGCAAAGGTAACAGCGGCTACCTTCGCATTGAAGATGGTGGGAGGTAAGCGTCTGAATTTTGATACTTTTAGTTTTCATTGAATTAAACTACTTTATAGTTGATCTTTTGCCAAACTGGTCTCCTAATTGCAAACTTCAGCAAAATCTGTTGACGTTTAGACCTCCCTGCACCACATTTTCTGACACCCATTCGCTACCATGTTAATACTCTTCTGAAAATTGCAGAAAGTATCAATTTTATCAAGGCACTACAGCCATTCACATCAAAATCTCAAATGTTGTTCAATATATTCCTGATCCATGTAAAGACTTTGAGATGGTACTTTGCATCGTTTATGAGAAAATAATCATTTAAAACTTGATTCAAGAATGTGCTATACATTGGTAATGCTAATCTGTGTCCGTTTTTAACAAGATTCAGGCTTTTGTTAGAATCTATTCTAGAGGACCTATGATCTTCAAAATTTCAGACGCTAAAAGACACTGAAGACAGGCTATCAGGTTTCCATCTTCAAGGGAGCATAACTCTGTGATTAAAGATGCATTTTGCCATAGGTTTCTCCCCTAGACAATCAATGATGTCCTATTTTTATTGCACATATAATATCTCACATACCATGGATATATCTTGAGAATAACTTTTGGGTATATTATTGCCGAAATATCGGAAATAATCAACAGAACAACCAAACTCAAGAATTAAACACAATCGATTCCTCGGCTATCGAGGGGAATCCTCATTGAGTCACACAAGCGCCTTGAACCAGGCAGCCAATCAGGTTTATGATAAGCAAATTCAATGACCAATCAGATAACAGGAGGAGTTTCCCGGAATATTCCAACTTCAGATTGAATTAATTTCTTCAAAATAATTAGATCGGCCAGCACAATCGCAAAATTAACACTGAAAGAGGGGGATTTGGGACTCTTCTTCTTTGGTAAGTAGATGGGTATATGTGTGGTGAAACTCAATATGCAAAAAATTCCAGAGGGGTCTTGATTGTGCTATCGTATGGCATAGAGCCTCTTTAAGACATATAGAGCCGTGAATATTTTTTGGGGTGAGACCTGATGACCTAAAATCTAGCACTTGCTATTCTGGGGATGACAATTCTTCAATAAATAATTCTACAATATTCTAAATCTGTTGAAGGAGTTGATTGAGATAAACGAATACATCACACAATAAATCACCATTTAAAACAATTATTTTCTCAGAAATGAAGGAATGAACCATCTCAAGAGTTTGTATCACTCATAAAGAAATATTGTTCTGCATTATAGGTGACTTAAAGGTGCAACAAGTAGTGATGAGGGGCCATTCAACGATCATGGACCAATGTCAAAATATATTTAAGTTTGGATATTTCATCAAGACTAACATCTATTTTTATTTTCTACAAAGAAACCCCCTAGATAATCATCATTTCAGCTTATATTCCTCTTGAAACAATGGTGGATCTTAAAAATATAAAAGTGGACGTCCCCTTTTTGAAGTTTTGAACTGAATTTACACTTTTTAATGCCAAAATTGATAGTTTATCCATACATTTTAAGAAAATAGGTATGTCGAAGAAGATGTTAAGCCAACTGTTGCCTTGATAGCTCAGAAAAAGTTAAAATTTTCCTATTTTCTCTCTACAAGCCTTATTGCCCCTTTAAATGAAAATCACTGAAGTGCCTTTGGAAGATCAATTGGTTTCAAACATGATAAAATTTTCACATTCTGCAATTTTGGGCATCAGAACATGTGGTAGAGGGGGTCTAAACTTGGACGAATTTGACTGATTTTTTTGTGCTCAGTAAGTTCTATCAGAACAGAAAAAAGTCCAAAAAATGAAACACCCTAATTAATGACCTCGTGTATGACAATTTGTCCATGTATCATGAGTAGGCGCCACAGTTCAATAGCCTTTCCCAATGGCCATGATATTGTGGCCATTACGCATACCTATATTTATAATGACGCAGCAGCAAACTGCGATATACTATGCACCTACCCTCTCTTTGAATGCTCCGAAAGCACTCTGCTACGTTTTTAGTGAAGTAATTTGGTATTTCATGAGTAATTAGGAGATTTGTGTCAAAAATTTGGAACTAATTTTGAAAATTAAAATCCTCTTTATGCGCATACACGGTATCGCATGTCAAACTTTCAACTAATCGAAATCATTATTTCAATACTAGTTTCATAACATAAACGGACAATTATATGAATATATATAAATTATATGAATATATGAAAAGAATATGATATCTAGCTACACGTTTAGTAGCTTTAGCGAAATCTTATAATAATAATTTCGTTTCTTGGTGTTCATGTAGATTTGCATAACAACGAAGTCGAAATAAAAATCGAAGTTGAAATTGCTTGGACATTATACTTATAGAACAAAGGATTTACGATAATTAAGAACTCAAGAATTACAATTTCAGCTGTATAAATGAGACAGGAAAGAAGTGGGCTGGTCAAATAAAGGGTAGGTCTCCAACTTACATCATAATTTTAACATTTATGAGTGCCGAATTCTGCGACAATCTATTCAGTGGTATGCGAGATGTCCCGGGTAGGACTAGGGACGGACTAGGGACATCTTCAAGTCTACAGTTCAATGATATCTTCTACCACTAAGGGAAGGTAACTGGGATTTTGGTAACCATATCATACATTTCCAATTACCTTCCCTTAAGCGGCGGAGGATATTCTAAGGCGGTGTTTTTATTTCAACAACATTTTTTTTGAAAAGAAATAAATCGACGTTTCTAAAACGTCTAGGTTTTACGTTTTCACTATTATAATTAAACCTTCTTTTATATAAAACGTGAACCCTCTATGATCCTATGATAATTTAAATGCAAAGATCTGTGTTTTAGGCTTTATATACTCACATTTTAAGATTTACATCGTTTGCTTTGTTTTTTACATGGAAGCTGACATCTTGGACTGAAAACGAGGTTGTTGCAGTGATTATGCGAGCGATCAATAAATTTGAACGCAGCTTTGTTCTTATTTTTAGCGCTTAAATTCAATAAACCATTTTGCTCTGAATCTCACTGGCGAATTTGTGGGGGGCGCCCCCCACCCTTGGTTGGGCCAACAATTTTGAGCCAAAAAAGGCTCTAAGGCCCCAAAAAGTAGGCCTTTTTGATCATTAGGCTACTGGGCCTTTTAAGGCCTTATTTTTTAATTTGAAGCCAAATTTTGAAGAGAATGGGCCTCAAAATTTCAACAAAATTTGGGTCCATTTTGGGTTTTAGGGGCCCAAGTTTTTTCTTTTCTTATTTGCCCCCTTTTCGTACATCCAATAATTTCATATTGCCAACCTGGATGACAGTTCATTTTGGCTAAGTTACATATTCGAGTTCGAAGAAAAAATTAGAAATTGATAGCCAACACATTAATTCATTGATATTGGGGGGGGGGGGGGCGATCCTGAGAAACCAGAGGGGATGGGGCACAAAAATGTCAGCGCTTGCGCATAGAAAAAAAATCGTTGGCCCCAAATTTAACAGTGCCCAGCAGACTTAATGCCAGGCTTAACAATTCTGGCTTTGACGGTTTTATGACTCTATAGGCCACTATCGATCTATCTTTGACTAGACGAATTTCATACACTGTACCTATAAATACCATGCACGTTTGCATTAACGAAGATTGAACAATATTTTAGAACTTAGTAAAAATTGAACCCTTCAAAGACTGTATCACGACCCATGTACGCGGGACCGTGAGTACGAGGTATGATTTTTTTGGCCAGCTAGATAGCTAGTGGAAGGGTAATTTAATAGCCATACAAAACGGTCAGATTTTATTTAAAATGAATAAATCCTCCGTTGTGGGTCTAAGTGAATAAGGGAAGTTATCCTAATAAAAGCCAATGTGTTTGTACATAGCTGAAATACTCCCCCTGTAGCACAGCGGAACAGCCGCTGATTCGTACGATTAAATTTTGTGCAATTCATTTGCGCAAGAATTCAGAGAATACATTAACAATATTTAAACTTGTGAAATCCGCGAAATCTAATAGCAGCAATATTGTGATTTCTCAAAATTCGCAAAATTAAATAGCGTCAAAATAAACCGGGAGTACAGTACATCGAATTCGGTCACTTTGTTCTAGTTAACCTGCACAAAATCCAGGCATCATTTCTATTCAGTGTTTTTTTAAATCGCTTATAACGAAAGCATAATATCAAACACAATAAACAACGTATTGTATAAGACTAAGATGTCCAGAATATTGTCTGCAATCGGACGAAGGATTGGTAGAAGAGCAGTGATACCTGAAATGTTGACTTCAAATGTTAGAGGACTCTCGTTACTTTCAGAAGACATCTTGAGGTCGGATGTGGAAAAATGGAAAAATGATAGAGTTGTGTTCGCATGGGTACGAGTTATAAATATCAGTTACTCACATTTTTCTACAGATGGGCTGCACCTTGAATGGGGCCCTTGAATATCTCAGAAAAATACATTATTCGATTATTAATTGTTTAAGTGGATAAAGTGGCCACATATGTTTCAATTCATAGCGTAATCCATACCCGTAGCCAGCTTTTGGCAAGGGGGAGGGGGCTCGAACCCCCCTTATGTTATGTACCTCCAAGCATATTCATACTTTCAGGGACTATGTACGATATATAGTTAGTTGATATAGAAAGTTTGATCATGTTTGGTAAAATAGTTACCATGGCAACACAACTTGCATGCAAAAATTGTAGTTATTTCAGACTAACAAGTAACTTCTACTCTCTTAACCAATCAAAATAAAGTTGTGTTTGAAACCATTTTAAAGAGCGTTCAGTAAAACAACATGATTCAAATGATGAATTGGTAATTGGGTGCTATGGTAACACAAATGATCATGGCATCGTTCTTTGTAAATATACCTTTGTGGCTCCTTTTGTGATTTATTAATTCCGTCACATATTTTCTTTTGCAGCAAGGAGAAGACCACAGGCCAATAACAAAGGCTCTAGAAATCAAGGAGGGGTCAACCATATTTAGCATAGCATCTGCAGGTTACAACCCTTCGATGCTGCTTCTAGAAAACCCAACCAAGGTTGTCATGGTTGATAACAACCCTACTCAGATTGCCTGGTGTATGCTTTACTTCAGTGCCATCAAGAATCTTACATATGAAGAGTTTCGAAGCCTGGTTGGATTCGGTGAAGGAGCTACAACCACCCCCGATGAAAGAGGAAGAATTTACGACAGTCTTAGAGGTTCATTGCCGAGTAAAGCATTAGTCTATTGGGATTTCCATCGTGACAACATGAGCAAGTCGGGAATGTACTTATTTGGGAACTACATTCGTCTCTGGGGTTTGGGAAGATTCGTACCAATAGCTCATAGCCAGGAAACTTTGGACAAGTTTTTAAGTTTTGCAGATATTGACAAGCAACGCTCTTTCTATGAGGAACAATGGGACTCATGGCGCTGGCGAAGAGCCTTTCAAGAAGCGCTTGCATCTGAGCATTTCCCAGCTGTGTTTCGACCGTTCATGGATCTACTTGCTCAAAAGTGGTTGAATCGCTTCCTGGAAATTTGCATTAATATTCCTAATGTAGACAATCCCCAAATTGAGATACACCTAACTAACAAAATCTCGGGAAAATACGGTTTACCAGATTTCTGGAGACGAGAAAATTTCGCCCCGATCCGTGAGCGCCTTGATAGGTTTGAACTTATCCACATTGACGTAAATGAATACTTCGAACGTACATCTGAAAATTTTGATGGCTTTGTTCTATCAAATGTAGGAGATGTGTACAGCAAAGGTGAACACGACCAATATGTTACAAGAGCAATTAAGCGTGGAAAGCCTGGAAGTAGGATCACATACCTCTCTATCGCCGGAACAAATAAAGGATGGCCTGATGCTGAAAAGGACAACATTCGTGTTGAGCAAGAGCTGTCTGAAAGTCTGATACAAGGAAAAGAACGGGGCATTTTCTGGGATGATTTACATATTGCTACTTTGAAATAATCAAATCGCAACTACTCAGAATAGTGGAGTATGTGCTGAAAATAGGTGTTTACTAGACAGGTTTCTAGGTGTTCACTCAAAGTGTTCATTAAGGTTTTACCGTACATGTATGAATTTATTTATTGAAAATTGAAATGAACATATGAATCCTACGATGAACATCTATATGAACCCTGGGATGTATCCACCCCTATTCCCTCTTAGCAGTTAACTATCTAATACATGATTTGTTATTGTCATTATTAACACGGTTAGGTGCATCCTCTTAAAAGTAACTAGCCATTTAAGCACACCATTGGAAAGCTTTGTTTGTCATTTGAGCAGATTGACGTTTAACAACTGAGAAATCAAACATTACGTATTAATCTTTAAAAGGATGACGACGCGATTTTAAAGACCGACAATATTAAGTTCGTTTTTTCATATTGAACATAAAATATAATGTTACGTGCGTTTTCTCATCATGATTCAAAGTGACTAATGAGAATGAAATAGATTTTCTCAGTCATTCCACATATAAGGAGACATTTAAGGTTCCAAACTTTTGAAAAATGAACTTTGTTTCATTGCATTCATTTTCAGATTTTGATTTTGTTTTATGTATCCTCTATAAAATCCCCAAGTTTTGGCATTTTAACTTTTATATATCAAAAGTTACACTATTTTGAAAATAAGAGGTGTAAAATTATAAAAAGCGTATAGTTTAAGATTCGTTCTGGATACCTGTTTTATTCTAAGGGGATTTTAGCTAACTTGATATGCGATGTCTTCCTCTGGTAATCTCTATTCTATAGATCACTAAGAAACAAAACTATTAATTGCATTTGGGAAATCACTAATCATTTTAATCAAGAAATAACATAAATTTACGTTGTAATGCATAAATGCCGTCGCTTCTCAAAAAATTGTTTTACAAAACGCAACACTGTCATGTATTCTCATGATGTTTAACACAACATGTGAAAAGTTATTTTGGGCATACAATGAAACTATGGGATTTCGCTTTCAAATCATCATATATTTGTATGTGGCAAAGACATCTAGTAATAATCAGAAATAAGTTAAACTTGTCAGTGCAAAACAACGTCGCTTAAAGTAAAAATTGACGCAATTGTTAATCCACCGAATCTTTCTCGTATATATCCAAAGTCTTAAAACACAAGCTCCTGTCCATTGTATTGTCACCATAAACCATTTTATATCTTTTAATAGAGATACAAAATTACAAAATTACAAAATAATAACGTATCTTAATATCATTATCAAAACATTTTAACTCGATCAATACCATTTACTTATTTGTTTAGAAGAATATAAACTCGTGATATGACCAACTACAAACAATAACAACTTCTTAAACAACAAAACAACAAAACATAAAATGCTTCATTGCAGAGGCATATGAAAGAGAACGTCGCATAAATCTACTTAACATTTCGTTCCTTTACAAATGTCAAATGTTTACTTCACTGGAATAAGGTTTTAGCCAACGTTTTCACTAGATGTCACTGGCGGCGATTTTCATCATTCGTGCGTGCTTCCCAGTTGCAAGTGGGTCTGAAATTTTACACAAAATATCATTTTCCTTAACCTAAATTAGATCGGTTTTCTTGGGCCATTGGAATAACTGCCTTTTTTCTTCATGAAATTAATTTCTCATCTCTGTCCACAATCTTTCCAATATACCAATTTCTATCATATAACGCAGCACAAAACTCATCTTTGATGTATCTCATTGCTGATATTTCGTTGTTTACTTGTGCATTATTGTTTACATCACTTTTCTCTGAGCTGGATTGATTTTTAGACTTTGTATTAGTGAGTTTTGCTCCAGTCCACTTGTCACAAAAGTCTCCGTTTAAACAGTGTTTGCAATAACAGCTGACATCGCTCATCATGACAATGTTGTTCCCGATCCCAGAAATTGCATGTAGCTTGAATGTCCCTTTCAAAGGTTTGACTTTGTCACGAAGTTCAAGCTCATTCTTTCTGACTGCGCATCTTTCGGATCTTTAACCAAATGAATTTGACAGCCTTCATCTGATACGTTACTTTTCAAGGTATTTTTGTCCCTCGATTCTTTTCTTTCTTTCTCTTTAATTCTTTTGAATTTCTGGTTTAGTCTTGGCCATATTCAGCAACAAATTGTGAATTCCCGGGTTAGTTACCACTATTAAGACAGAAATAAAACAAGTATTAAGCGACGTTATCAAAAGCAACGTAGCTTAATTGATATAAAACTCAAGTCGTAGCGATTTGGGAAAAAAGTTGACATCATGTTTTAACAATGACCAATTAAGTTGCTTATTTAGAATATCTTTCAACCGAATCGGAATATCTTTCAACCGAATCGGGATATCCTAGATCTTTGATTAACCAGCTTTGCTTAGGCAAAAGATACAGGTGTTGTACTTACGCGATTGCTGTATTATTTAGGGATTTTTATGAAGAAATCCCATTTCATTTGATTGCAAATAAAGTATGGCGTATCATGAGATCACGTGATGATCTCCTCCACTGGGTTAGCAGCATTTATTGCTGAGTTAATCAACTTATTTCGCACTTTCCGTAACGTACCTTATTGCAACGTACATGAGGAAAACTCATTACATGTTCCAATAAAGCAATATAACAGAGCGAACAAAGGTAATGAGCACATTATATTGAATGTCCGCCTTGTCATATTCAAGAATTTATTTACTAATTCCATCAAGCTATTACAAAATGTTGGGAAATGTTGTAACGTACCTTAAAATCCTTATCTTTTGAATTGAAAAATGACACCTTTATGACCCATAACTTTTGTTCTGGATAGAATACAGTTTTGAAACTTTGCATGCATTTTGATAAATAATTTTCTGATAAAATATCACTTTGGGTTAAACATTTAAGTGATTCGTGCATTCTCTAGAAATTGAAATATCTAAAGTGGTATTTTAGAAAAAAAACTGGCGACATGGGTTCCAGGCATCTGATTATTAGGTTGGAAAGGATTAAATTACTCGAAACGTTAGTAAAATGCAGTATATACACACAGGTATCTTTTCAGGAAGTTTGGATGTGTTCTGAAATCTATAACTACTTCAGTTATGCTTATAAAACATCACTATGCACTCTGGCGACATAACGTACCTGAGGAATTTGTCAGCAAATTAAGTTAAAAAAAATTCTCACTTACCACCAAACAATTAAAATTTGCTGTTTGGTGGTTGTACAAGTGGGTATTGGTCCTAAGTAGATGTTCTTAAAAGAATTCTATATATATCTATTAACGGTTGAGAAAAAACCCTTGGCGACACGAATGTCTGCTTATATGTGGAATGACCGTTCTAACAGCTGAGACATCACTAAAAGTATGGCATTACAGACGACGATGTTACGTTTTTCATGTGCGTTTTTCATCGATCGTAATTTAAAATAGCTAAACACATTTTAATCACGACCTTGTAAAGGTACTTTAGACAATGGATTCCTAGTAATTAGTTTTATTTTCCTCTTCTTATTTTGCATATATTCATATTTTTGTGTAAGATCGACAGCCGACCAACGACCATGTGTACCCAAGTGTGGAGAGTGACTGGTCGCTGGTCGGTCTTTTTCATAAACCCTATACAAGAGAGTTTCCAGGATAAAAATGGACTCAGACGAGTTTTGGGCCCACCCAGAGGAGGGGGGGGGATGGATCCACTGGATCCGCCAGTGAAACTAGTCTGATTAGATTTTGGGCATGCTGGGTAATCGAAGCGACCATATTGAATTTTCTATACCGAAAAATTGAGTGTAAAGTCTGTCTACACGTTTAAGCCAAACTGTTTCAGAAATTCATTTCGGATTTTCAGGGATGTTTCTTCGTATTAAAATCTATTTTTTCATTCTGTTTTCTCTGTTAAGTATTTTCAACAAGTTTGTAACCAACAATTCATTTCACATTTTCATCGTTCTTAATATAGACTATTTAAAAGAAGGTTGCGCTCGTCCCCATTTTTGGACGTTTCTTACCAAAACCTTGCCTGTAAAATCAAGTTGTCTTTGCGTTTTCTATGTGATATAAAAACTCAGGCTCTCAAAATGCAAGTTCTTGCTTAATACTGCAAATACACTTTTATGTGACAACATATTACAACGAATATATATTACACGATGCTGGCTTCATCGTTTTCTATGATGCCATTGCAGTTATAATCCCACACAGGAACGAATCCTGCTATTGGAACCTCATACATGACACAACACAACTTCTGGTTGAAGACGTTCTGTCTGCTTTCTATTTCACACTCCGCCATCTTGTATGATGAGACAATGGTGCCACCTGGTGAAGGAATGTTATCAAAGTGCCTCTCACAGAACAATTGTCCCAAAGTCTTTGATCTTGGTCCCCATGGGGTGTCTTCAATGATGGTGTGCGAGAGTCCTCCTGTTCCCCAGAATGATATCGCTGTCGTGAAGCAATCTTCAGGGCAGACACGAAACATTTCAAGACATCCTTGGCAACCACTTGTAACCACGAGGCTGGTGTCTGGGAATTCGTATATTAGTGAAGTCTCCACGCAGCTAAATGATGTGTTGTTTGTACAGTTCTTTGTTACTTCAAGCATCAATCTACACTCACAGCTTCAACAAAACAAAGAAATAATCAGGCACCAGCTTTGATTAAATTATTAAGTGTCGTAATGATTAACGCGATTGATTTTATTGTTCTAGATGATATTTTAGTAACATACCTATGTAAGGATTCTCCAATTGTTGTCAGAACAGGTTGACTTAAAGTTGTCGATCTCAGAGCTGTAGTTGGTCTTGGAGTTGTGGTAAGTTTAGGAGTTGTAGTTGGTTTTTGAGTTGTGTTTGGTCTAGGAGTTGTGGTTGGTCTAAGAGTTGTTGTGGTTGGTTTAGGAGTTGTGGTTGGTTCTGGAGTTGTGGTTGGACTAAGAGTTGTGGTTGGTTCAACTCCCATAGTTGTGCTTAGTCCGGGTATTGTGCTTAGTCTAGAAGTTGTGGTTAGTGTAGGATCTGTTGTAATAACGACCAGCCTTCTGAACTTGCACAGTGTTCTATATTCAGAGTACACGCCAGCGAATGAGTCTATTTCACTCTTCCATGCGCCAGTGTGTCTGCTTATGTATGCAAAGTCATTGAACACTCTTGGTTCATTTAATGCCCATGCCACGTTTCTAAAAATAAGATTTTTACAGATAAAACCGGGAACATATATGCAAACACATAAATAATGTAAAATTAAAGGAATACATTACGATGTTTATCTCTGTGAATGATGACTGGTTTGAGAGAAACATGTGTTCAATTCAGTTCGCCATATCGATACCAATCCTTTTCAATTAAAGTCAAGTGAGATGTACCCTTCGGTGGAGGGGTGACTCAAAATATTAGGTGGATATTACTTACGCTACCGCTGGATCCCAAAATGTTCCGTCAAACCAAGTGTTCGTGTAGCTTCCTATCCAATAAGGGTAATCTTTCTTACTCATGATATTCTTGAGAAAGTTCTGCAATGCAATTGTTATTTTTTAATCAGCGCATATTCTTTTCACTCGACCTCTCATTATTTCTAGTCTAATATTGCATCTACAGGGCGTTCAATAAGTATTGCTAATTTTGCTATATTTTTTGTTCTCTTTGCTTTTTCTTCATAGAACTTTCACAACATAAGGTACATGTATCTGACTTTGAACAATAAAGATTTCAAGTGAATTGAATTAGTATTAGTAAAGTTATGGTTACTAAGGTAACCAGTGTCATTGATATGCGGGGCAGTTCTGAAGTCACTTTGGACAACATTTTGAGTATTGAAAGCAGTATAATGTAAAACTTCATGATCCATTTTCACTTCATGAGGTGCTCAAAAGAGGCCACCCTCGAAGCGTGTGGCTAGGGAGGTGCAGAAATCACTGCAGAAATCAGTTGATTGAGATTCTGGTGTGATATTCCTCTCAGATCTCTTTTCGCTGGGGCGAATACAGCAAAATCAAGTGGGACATTATCTGGGGAATATGCTGCGTGGGGCAATGGATCCCAAGCTCTGTTATTGAATTTTGGACAATAGAGGATCTGTGAGCAGGCCATTATCCTGGTGGAACCTATATGTCAATACTGCTTGGCAGGACAGCCTTTCTATCAGCCATTTTGTTTCAAGGGGGAATGACATCACCATCTACTCCTTTGATAATTAATGTACTATACATATTGTGATGTCATTGATCGTTGTTAGATAATACATATCATTTAAACTGACAACATCAGGATTTGACCATAGGAGCAGTTTTTATTCATCGAAGTGTTACTTTGATGTATAACAATAATTTGTCATGTAAACCCTTAAAGTTGCCCCGCGTACCCGTGACAATGGTTACTATAGTAACCATAACTTTGTCAATACTAAGTCGGTTGTCCGGAAATTAGGATAGGATAAGGTCAAATATGTGTTACTTAGGTTGTGCAAGTTTCATGAAGAAAAAAGGAAGATAACAAAAGTTATTACAAAATTAGCAATACTTATTGAACGCCCTGTACATTTACCTGTTCTGCTATTGTTGCAATGCTAATTATCCCCAGTCTGCTATTTGTAGCCTTACATTGTACATCTGCCAGTCCACGTGGTCGTATTCTTACAACACTTGTAGTGAAATAGTAACAGAAGTCTGGTCCTTGTTCCCAGTTGTCCCCAGCTGGACATACCTCCTTTCCATCAGTACGAGGTGTAGTCTTTGGCTTTACGGTAGTGGTTAGTTTGAAAGTGGATGTTTTGTAAGTAGTGGTTGGATTTGTTGTTATCGTTGTTGGTGGTGGTGGTGTAGTTGTTAGTTGAGCAGTTGTGGTTGGTTTATTCGTGATTGGTTCGAGGGTTGTTACGGATATTCTCTTGAACTTGCACAGTGTTCTATATTCAGAGTAAACACCAGCAAATGTGTCTATTTCACTCTTCCATGTGCCAGTTTGTTTGTTTATATATGCAAAGTCATTGAAATTTCTTGGTTCGTTTACAGCCCATGCCGCGTTACTGAAAATAATTTTATTGAAATTATATCTATGAAAGAAAATCTATTGAAATCATTCATTAACGAATTGTACTTGTGTAGGCATCATCCTTCAGGCATCATCCTTCATGTAAATGAAACAAAAATACACTTCCCCTCATGATTCCTTTGTGTTTCATATCCTGCCATTACACAAGCACTTCTCTGAAAGATGTATTATAATTACTTACGCTACTGCTTGATCCCAAGGAGTCCCGTCAAACCAAGTTTTCACATTTCTTCCTATCCAATAAGACTCATACCTGCTACTCATGATATTCTTGAGAAAGTTCTGCAATGCAATTGTCAATTTCAATCAGCCAATATTCCTTTATCTCTCATTGGTTACATGTATTTCTAATCCAATATTTCATCTTCATTTACCTGTTCTGCTATTGTTGCAATGCTGGTTATCCCTAGTCTTCTATTTGTAGCCTTACATTGAGCATCTGCAGCAGCCAGTCCGCCTGGTTGTATTCTTACAACACTTGTAGTGAAATAGTAACAGAAGTCTGGTCCTTGTTCCCAGTTGTCCCCAGCTGGACATACCTCCTTTCCATCAGTACGAGGTGTAGTCTTTGGCTTTACGGTAGTGGTTAGTTTGAAAGTGGATGTTTTGTAAGTAGTGGTTGGATTTGTTGTTATCGTTGTTGGTGGTGGTGGTGTAGTTGTTAGTTGAGCAGTTGTGGTTGGTTTATTCGTGATTGGTTCGAGGGTTGTTACGGATATTCTCCTGAACTTGCACAGTGTTCTATATTCAGAGTAAACACCAGCAAATGTGTCTATTTCACTCTTCCATGTGCCAGTTTGTTTGTTTATATATGCAAAGTCATTGAACATTTTTGGTTCGTTTACAGCCCATGCCGCGTTACTGAAAATAATTTTATTGAAATTATATCTATGAAAGAAAATCTATTGAAATCATTCAATCTACATGATTAACGAATTGTACTTGTGAAGGCATCATCCTTCAGGCATCATCCTTCATGTAAATGAAGCAAAAATACATTTCCCCGCATGATTCCTTTGTGTTTCATATCCTGCCATTACACAAGCACTTCTCTGAAAGATGTATTATAATTACTTACGCTACTGCTTGATCCCAAGGTGTTCCATCAAACCAAGTTTTCACATTTCTTCCTATCCAATAAGACTCATATTTGCTTCTCATGATATTTTTGAGAAAGTTCTGAAATGCAGTTGTCAATTTGAATCAGCAAACATTATTTTATCTCTCATTGGTTACATATATTTCTAATCTAACATGTCATCTTCATTTACCTGTTCTGCTATTGTTCCAATACTGACTATCCCCAGTCTGCTATTTGTAGCCTTACATTGCGCATCTGCAGCAGCCAGTCCGCCTGGTCGTATTCTTACAACACTTGTAGTGAAATAGTAGCAGAAATCTGGTCCTTGTTCCCAGTTTGCGTCCCATGGACAATTTTCTATTTTTTCAAAAATTAACAGATAATGCTACTACAATAAGCTTGTATTCACGAATTTAACTTTCGCCTGTCAAATACCGGATTAACCTATTATTTCATGGGCACTCATTTAATTCTTACAATTCCTTTCAATTTAATGAGTTGGTCATATATTAGTAGGTTAAGCCGGTAGCCGACAGCTGCCGAAAGTTGCATTCGCAAATACAAGCCGAGATGTACCAAATCCGAACGCCATTTGGACCTACTAAAAGTGTTCGGATTACAAAGTGATCACATTCGTCCATGTTTTTTATTTGCGTTCTGGATTTTGAAAGTAAAAAGAGAATCAGATCTAGCGAGTGGGGTTAACAAAAAATTGTCACAATTCAAGAATAATTTTGGGCTCGTATCAATCCTTGTCATGTCTATTTTCTAAAATCCTCAAGGTTCATGAACTTAATTCCTGGAAAACTTAAGATTTTTACAACAATGTATCATTTTTCTATTTTTATGGTTACCATTTTTATTATTTGGAGAATCTAAATATTTTCCTCCATTTCATGCATTTCTGCACTTTGAATCTTCAATAAGTCCACTAATTAATATAATAAAATATAAATCTGAAAAGTAGGCTACCCTTGCGTGATGTTCCACGGACAGATTTAGAAGATACGCATGTCATCAGTAACGCCAGAACCCCAACTGAAATAGACCATTTTAAATTAAGATTTATACTGTTTATGGTGTGTCAATCATTTATAATTCAGTTCTTTAAACCGTTTATTGGGCCATTTCCTCTTTTGTAAGTGTTGAGATTTCATGATGCGACCCACACCTGCACACTAAAAATGTAAAACTCCACGCTGCAAATGCCGCCATTCTAATGTTATTAGACGTGTTTTATCTTACTGTCTTTGATAGAAATTACTAACAATACTTACCAATTTTGAAACAAGACAGGAGTCGATTTGTATGTTCAGACATTGTCGTATGCTTTTAAACTTCGAATGTTCTTAATATAGACTGATATATGAGCTTTGGCACTATTTTGACTTTAGGGAGTGCTCTCAATGTTAATAATATCAGATAATGTATTAGTTCTTAGAAAGGTGAATTCTGAGAATTAGCCTGGCTTGGTTATTTTAATTGCTCTGAATCTAAGGGGGGGGGGGGGGTGTCCGTGTCACGACCACTCATTCTACCCTTCTGGATGCAAATTAATTTAATTATTGGATTTGATGTGCCGACATGTGGATCTTCTCTGAAAATAGATTTTTTCTCAGTGGACATGTTCAGCCATCCACTCAGATGAATGAAAATACAAAAATCATACCTGATTGTAAATTCTGTATAATGTGCATTGTTCTCATACAGGGTGGTCAAAAAACAGCAACCCTGTATTTTCCTCATATCTTTGTCATTTTATTGATTTACTCCCTGATACTTTACACACTCGTACATCATTCAATTTCCTATCAGCCTATAATATGTCAGGACCATTGGGCCTATAATATGTCAGGACCATTGGGCCTATAATATGTCAGGACCATTGGGCTGATAGTCACAATCTTACAGCACTTTAAACAACATGCCCCAGCATCGAGCTTAGGCAAACCTGCACAAGTTGTCTGTGACCCAACTGCAATCCTCAGTAGGTATGGCTTGAATGACAATTATGATCTCCTTTTTGAGGTTTGCAATTATCCTTAGGTTCATTTTGTACACTCTATCTTTGGCATATCCCACAGGTAGAAATCAGGTATGAACATTTTGGACGATGTAATATTGGCCTCTGGAGCATGTTGTTTAAAGCGCTGTAACATTGAAACTATCAATCTGATGGTCATGAAATATTGGCTGATAGGAGATTGAATAATGTTCACATGTTCCAAACATCAGGGGGCAATTTTCCTAAATGACAAAGATATGAGGAAACAAGTGGCAGGGTTGCTGTTTTATTTGACCGCCCTGTACCATTGTCATCATTTACATGTATCATATCATTAAATGTATGTGTCATATCCGAAATGTGAAAAGATAAACACGGGTTAAAACAGAGGGTCAATATTTCAGTAATTATTTAAACACTTATCTTTTTAGTGGTCTCAGCTAATCTGATAACCAGATGAAGCATCTCTTTTGTGTCTCTTTATATGACATTATCTTTATTTCAAAAAGAAGTTTGGCTTCTTATGTTTTAATATTTATAATCTACGTTATTAATTTGATTTTTTTACAGTTAACACCTTACACTGTTTTATTCTTGAAACGCAGCATTGAGTCGAGTAATAATGTGCTATACCTGAATTACAGATGCACAGGATAACAATATTGCAACCGACGTACCGATGCATTCTTTACCATTTCACATTATGTGTATGCCAACCTTAGATCAATAGAGCTTGTTTGTCACATGAAGAGCAAAATGTCCTCATGGTTGCTTGTTTGTTGAACAATACTAAGATATGAACTGCGCCTGGCCATTGTCGTCTTTGGGGTCACCAAGTGGTTGGTTGTCAGTGAACAACTTAACTTTCTAATAGACGTTCGGGTCTTTTTACAACAATTTTGACGGGTTCATCAGATTTTTTCCCAATGGGATTATCAATTTAACCTTTGCGTAGGGATGATATTCACTCTTAACAAAATATTCGATGCAAGCCCATTGCATGCTGTTTTGATATGGTTGTTTTAATTAATTATTTTCTATCAATCCATTCATGGAAAAATATGAGAAAATGTTTTAGTATGGTCTGATCATTTAAAATCTGATTAATCGCTAGATCTATGATTCAGCTTTATTCTGATTCTGCATTCATTGTTACAATGGTTAAAAATGTTACCATGGCATAAATGATACAAGGAATAAAACATTTTCAGTATTCGCTAAGAACCGATGGCTTGAAAAATTACCATGGTAACAAATGATAGGAATAAAACACTTTCAGTGTTCGCTGAAAACTAATTGCTTGAAAAATTACCATGGCAAAAAATGATAGGAATAAAACACTTTCAGTGTTCGCTAAGAACTGATTGCTTGAAAAATTACCATGGCAACAAATGATAGGAATAAAACACTTTCAGTTTTCGCTAAGAACTGATGGCTTGAAAAAATCAAGGTCATGTTAACTTAAAATGCATAAAATAGGATAGTTTCTAAATAGCAGAAAAAGCAATGGAATCTAGTGCTGCCATCTTTTATTCAGCTTTTAATTTGGGCTAGAGTTCCATTCACTTACATGCTAAAATCTTTAAGTGGCTTAATTTCATGATTTATCAAAGAGTCTTAGTTGAATCTATATAAAACTTAAATGATATACCACATGATGACCCTGTTTATCTACATGTTGTGATTAAACATGCAAATGTTGGTTAACATACAAATAATCCAAGGTTTTAAAGAATTTTAGCATTACATCTATGGAGATTTGGCCCAAGTTTTTTTTAAATTGTCATAGAAAATTATTCAAATTACATAACTGTGTAAATCAAAGCTAATATAGGAGAAAACAGTTCACTGAATTCAAATATGCCATTTAAAAGAAGGTAATGTAAGTCATTAGAGGTCTAATATGTAAATCTCTTAAAATCTCACGAAAAACGAGATTTAGCGAGATTTCAAAAGCTATATGGAAACTATACTATTGGTCAAATGTAGGTGTGTTTTTAATACAAAAAAACATCTGAAGGTCATGTATTCGATAATTGGATGTATTCAACTTACTTAAAATTATAAACTTTTGAAGAGAAGATAAATGATATTTGTCTATTGTTTCATCTCATCAAAACGCGATAATTGCCAATTAAGATTAAAAGACTGACATTGATGTGATCAAATTTCAAGATACAACACGGCTTTATAACCACAACAAAAACATTGATAAAGGCCATGTGGAAAGTTTAAACTATTTTTCTTACACATTTGATATGTGGTTAAGGGAACCGTTTTATTTGAAAATGCTGAATTTTTATATTTTTCTCAATAAGAGAATTTTAAGAAATAATAATATAAGAAATAACACACGACAAATACTTGTTTTCGGCAAAGATATGGGGTCAAAAAACGACGAACCTATATTTTTCTCATATCTTTGTCATTTTAAGTCCGATGGTGAAATATAATAGGCCAGTAGGAAATTGAATGATGTGCATTTGTGCCAAATACTAGTATTAGATAGTAATTTCCTAAAATGACAAAGTAAGTTGAATAACATTTCTTATAAGTCCAGGATGTCTAAAATCTCGAGTCTCGAGAGTTTTCTCGAAGTAGATATAGTTCACCCATCGTGATATCATGGCGTTACCTTATAACATCACACAATTGTCACAAAATGTGATAGAAAATTAAAGATATTTATTAATGTTAAATTGAATTGTTGACATAATTTCTTAATCTTTAAAAATGTTGATACAGCTTAAACAATATATGGGGCCTTTATGAACATATAAGTTGTTGACTTCAGACGAACCTTTGTTAATTTTCGCAATGACCAAACTTCTGCTTGTGTTCCACTCTATATGGATATTATGAATGATGTTATTTGTATTGTACCTTCATAGCTGGTGGATATCGGCGGATACTAGTACTCCAAGGAAGAAAGAATAAAAATTGGATTTTGAATCGTTATTTTGTTAGACTCTTATCACCATAGACCGTGTCTTTTCAAATTGACATGACAAAATAGTGTTGAAAAATTATGTAAATTATACTTAATGGAATAATTTTGATTTTTTGCACAATTTGTATTTATGATAATGTCGTCGCCACTGAAATTATCGTCCCTGTTAGTTGTAATGCTTGGGCTCAGCAGCATCTGTAGCCGTGTATCAGGTAATACATAATTACAATTGTCTATCTATATTAGATCCCTCGTTTACATGTAAATAATGCATCTCATAATCATTATAATTATAAAAGATAAACTCTACAGACAATTAAAATTAAATTGGGCTTTCGAGGTTTCACAAAGGAGGCATGCCCACGAGACGCAAACTGGGAACAAGGACCAGACTTCTGTTACTATTTCACTACGAGTGTTGTAAGGATACGACCAGGTGGACTGGCTGCTGCAGATGCGCACTGTAAAGCTACAAATAGCAGACTGGGGATAGTCAGTATTGCAACAATAGCAGAACAGGTAAATGTAGATGAAATACTGGATTAGAAATATATGTAACCAATGAGAGATAAAAGAATGTTTGCTGATTCAAATTGATAACTGCATTTCAGAACTTTCTCAAGAATGCCATGCGTAGCAGATATGAGTCTTATTGGATAGGAAGAAATGTGAAAACTTGGTTTGACGGGACTCCTTGGGATCAAGCAGTAGCGTAAGTAATACATCTTTAAGAGAAGTGCTTGCTTAATGGCAGAATATGAAACTCAATAAAGGAATCATTCAGGAGAAAAATTGTATTTTGTTTCATTTACATGAAGGATGGTTGTGAATGCCTATTCAAATAAAATTCATAAATCATGTAGATAGAATGGTTTCTTTAGATTTTCTTTCATAGATAAAATGTCAGTAAAATTATTTTCAGCAACGCGGCATGGGCTGTAAATGAACCTAGGATGTTTAATGACTTTGCGTACATAAATAAGCAAAGTGGCACATGGAAGAGTGAAACAGACACATTTGCTGGTGTTAAATCTGAATATAGAACACTTTGCAAGTTCAGGAGAATGCCCATGACACCAACCCTTGAACCAATCACGAATAAACCAACCACAACAGTAACAACAATCACTACTCCTAGACCAACCACGACTCCTAGACCAACCACGACTCCTAAACCAACCACAACTCCCAAACCAATCACAACTCCAAGACCAACCACAACCCCTAAACCAACCACAACCCCTAAACCAACCACAACTCCTAAACCAACCACAACCCCTAAACCAACCACAACTCCTAAACCAACCACAACCCCTAAACCAACCACAACTCATAGACCAACAACAACCCCTAAACCAACCACAACTCCTAAACCAACCACAACCCCTAAACCAACCACAACTCTTAGACAAGCCACAACTGCTCAAGTAACAATGGCAACAACAGCAACTGCAATTCCAACCACTTCTTACGAACCAACTACTCTCAAACTAACCACTGCCGTAAAACCAAAGACTACACCTCGTGTTGATGGAAAGGAGGTATGTCCAGCTGGAGACAACTGGGAACAAGGTCCAGAATTCTGTTACTATTTCACTACAAGTGTTGTAAGAATACGACCAGGCGGACTGCCAGATGCACAATGTAAGGCTACAAATAGCAGACTGGGGATAGTCAGTATTGCAACAATAGCAGAACAGGTAAATGTAGATGCAATATTAGACTAGAAATAATGAGAGGTCGAGTGAAAAGAATATGCGCTGATTAAAGAATAACAATTGCATTGCAGAACTTTCTCAAGAATATCATGCGTAAGAAAGATTACCCTTATTGGATAGGAAGGTACACGAACACTTGGTTTGATGGAACATTTTGGGATCCAGCGGTAGCGTAAGTAATATCCACCTAATATTTTGAGTCACCCCTCCACCGCAGGGTACATATCACTTGACTTTAATTGAAAAGGATTGGTATCGATATGGCGAACTGAATTGAACACATGTTTCTCTTAAACAAGTCATCATTTACAAAGATAAACATCGTAATGTATTTCTTTCATTATTTATGTGTTTGCATATATGTTCCCGGCTTTATCTGTAAAAATCTTATTTTTAGAAACATGGCATGGGCAGTGAACGAACCTAGGATGTTTTATGACTTTGCTTATATAAGCAGACAAACTGGCACATGGAAGAGTGAAATAGATGCGTTTGCTGGTGTTTATTCTGAATATAGAACACTTTGCAAGTTCAGGAGAATGGCTGTAACTTCAACTTCTATTTCACATACTGCATCAACCACAGTATCAAAACCGAAAACTACTTCAACCACTTCCGAGCCAATAACAACTCAAGAAGTAATAACAACTGAACATATCACAACTGAACTGACAACTCCAATACCACCAACCTCCAGAAAACAAACCACAACTGAAAACCCAACCACCACTCCTAAACCAAATACAACTCTTAAATCAACCACAAATGCCGAACCAATCACAACTCTTGAACCAACTACAACTCCAGACTCATCTACACCTTCAAAGACAATCACAACTCCCAAACCAATCACAACTCCGGAAGCAGTCACAACTTCTGACAAGATTACAACCCACAAACCAACTACAACTCCTAAACCAACCACAACTGTCGAGCCAACCACAACTCCTGACCCAACCACAACTCCCGAACCAACCACAACCCCAGAACCAACCAAAACTGCTGAATCAACTACAACTCTTAAACAAACCACAACTCTTAAATTAACCACAACTCCCGAGCCAATCACAACGCCAAAACCAGCCACAACTCCTGAACCAATCACAACTACTGAATCAACCAAAACTCCTGAATCAACCAAAACTTCTGAACCAATTACAACTCCTGAATCAACCACATCTCCTGAATCAACCATAACTCCTGAACCAACCACAATTCCCAAATCAACCAAAACTCCTGAACCAATCACGACTCCTGAACCAATAACAACTCCCAAACCAACCACAACTTCTGAACCAATCACAACTTCTGATCAAATTACAACTCCCGCACCAAACACAACTTTAATATCAACCATAACTCCTGAACCAACAACAGCTCCTGAACCAACCACAATTCCCAAATCAACCAAAACGTCTGAACCAATCACGACTCCTGAACCAATAACAAATCCAGAACCAACCACAACTTCTGAACCAATAACAACTCCTGAACCAACCACAACTTCTGAACCAATTACAACTCCTAAATCAACCACATCTCCTGAACCAATCACGACTCCTGAATCAACCATAACTCCTGAACCAACCACAATTTCCAAATCAACCAAAACTCCTGAACCAATCACGACTCCTGAACCAATAACAATTCCTGAACCAACCACAACTTCTGAACCAGTAACAACTCCTGAACCAACCACAACTTCTGAACCAATCACAACTCCCAAACCAACCACAACTTCTGATCAAATTACAACTCCCGCACCAAACACAACGTCAATATCAACCATAACTCCTGAACCAACAACAGCTCCTGAACCGACCACGACTCCCAAACCAACCACACCTCCCGAACAAACCACAAATCCTAAACCAACAACAACGTCTAGATCTACCACAACTTCCAAACCAACCCAAACTCTTAGACCAACCACAACTCCTAAACCAACCACAACTCCAGAACCAACCACAACCCCTAAACCAACAACCACAACTTCTAAACCAACCACAACTCCAAAACCAACCACAACTTCCAAACTAACCACAACTCTAAAACCAACCAAAACTCCCAAATCAAGCACAACTTCCAAACCAACCACAACTCTTAGACAAACCACAACCACCACCACTAATCCTACTACAACTTTCAAATCAACTACAACTCCAAAACCAACCACAACATCTCGACTAACAACAACTCCTAAACCAACCACAACTCGTAAACCAACCACAACTCCCAGACCAACTTCAACTCCCAAACCAACCACAACTCCTAGATTAACAACAAATCCCAAACCAACCAGAACTCCCAAACCAAGCACAACTGCTAGACTAACAACAACTTCCAGACCAACCATAACTCTCAAACCAGACACTACTCCCGAACTAAGCACAACTCCCAAACCAACCGCAACTCCCAAACCAGCTACAACTCCCGAGCCAGTCGTGACCTCGGGGGCTACCCCATCTCGTCCACAATCCACATCCTTGACACAATCATCAACTGTAATGTCGACATCGACATCTAAAACGTCCTCAACAAACACTCATCTAACAACGTCATCATCGTTACCAAGTAGTACAACAAATAATGTGACCAATGAGCCACCTGGTCCAACTTCGGATAATGCAACCGGAGATTTCAGTTGGGAGAAGTATGGTAAGTCTAATAACTGTAAAAGATTAAATATGATCATAAGTTGTTTTAAATACATATATCGTTTTCATACAAGTCCTCATTAAGTAGACATACTTCATAGATATATACATAGATATATGGACAAGAAACTGGCACTTACTCACTCGCCTTCTTTAATTTTTGTTTTATGTATAACTTGAAATGCTAGCCTATAACGCAAAATGCGCTAGGCAGCAACTACTGTTACTATTGTATACTTTTTAAATTGAATAAATATATAATGAATGAATAGATATATGACGTAGAGGCAATTTGTTCCGCAAACGTCTTACTCATCAAACTATCATCCCTTTCAAGCCATTTTGCAAGCATAGTTTACACCATACACAATTGCATGGTGACCTGTTTTTTTTATGACAATTGCAGGTGTTTTTGTGATTATACCAATCATCATATTGATAGTCCTGGTGGTCGTCATTGCAGTTGTTGTGGTGTACAAAAGAAGAAGTCAAAAGTACGTACTAAGGTATTTATGACGAGACCATCTGACAATTGCACACTTCAGACATAGCACTCCGAATCGAGATCACTTTCATTCAGGATATTTATGTTATACACAAAGTCGTATAGATATGATTAATTATAAAATCATTGTCGATCATTCATTTTACTTACTTTAGCGCCTAAGTAGTAGTGTTCAATATGAAATGTCTGAGTAGTTTAAGATTATTCGTTTCTTTGTTCAAGATTGTCTAACTTGTTACATGCGTATCATAAAAACCTTTAACTTATCAATTACATGTCCTTTCCTACACAGTTTTTGGTAAAAAGTTAATTTGGACCGTTATCTTGGCAATTGGATATTCAGATTTGTTTAAAACGTGTGTAGTTACCATTTTATTTGAAGCCCGATTGTTTCATAGACAGGGACATATCTGGCGCTTTACAGTGAACCTACATAACACTGTACATTATTGAAATTTCAGTGGTCCCAAGACACCGCCATTGGACGATGCTACTGTCGTCAAGTTCGATAATCCTGAATACCTAAGTATTGAGGAGGATATTAGTGATAAGATAGACATCCATCAAAATGGCACAAAACCGCGATTAAATGGCAGTCTAGATGTTTGATCAAAAAGAAAACTGACAAGGAGAACGATATGACAAACACTATATCATCAGCAAGTCAATGTTACATCATCATAGGACATATGAATATGCCCTTTTAACTTAGCGTTCATGGAGAAAAGCCATACGTTCTGGTAGAAAAGCAAATAACATAAATAGGCACTAGGTCGAGAGAAAGATGATGCAGCAGTGATCCTAAATGTAAATAAATACACAGACACAAAGATTTGTGAAAATTAAATAAAAAGACCGCCACTGCCATCTATCTGTAGACCTAGGTCCCATGACAAAGAAGATGCTAAACTTTCTGTACATATGTTTTATTTCACTTCACTTTCACTTATTTCACTACGTTCTGGTAGAAAAGCAAATAACATAAATAGGCACTAGGTCGAGAGAAAGATGATGCAGCAGTGATCCTAAATGTAAATAAATACACAGACACAAAGATTTGTGAAAATTAAATAAAAAGACCGCCACTGCCATCTATCTGTAGACCTAGTCCCCATGACAAAGAAGATGCTAAACTTTCTGTACATATGTTTTATTTCAATAAATTTATTTTGATTTATTCATCTTTGTGAAGTAGTAGTGAGCATGGCCTTACAAGATTCTTTAAAAGATCCGCTAAGCTAAAGTTTTTCATCAATGTTGTCCTTATTATAATTAAACGACCTAAACATAGACGCTGACCAAAGAAACGCCAAATGAAGCAACTAAGGCAGTTATGAGTACAACTGGTGATGCGATGACTGATGTCGCAGCACCATCAACAGATGCCCCTATATTAACATCATCGGGTACAATTAGAGAGTCTTTGTATTTGTTGATAAGGTACAGAGCCACGCCATTGGTCCAACCAAATCCCTTCTAAAAATATAAAACGACATAGACTAGACATAAAATCAATTTAAATAGTACTGTCATTAAAAAGACAATTAAAATAGTCATGGATAACATCTTTCTAAAAAAACTAAAATTTAATCTTGAACAGTATTTTTTATTCCTTGTCTTTTATATTTTCTAAAAATCAGTATACATGTTATGTTTTACCTGCACTTTATACAAGCCACCTTGTCCAGGGTCCCCTGACTGTGTTGCATTGTACTGAAACGTTCATGAGACATTTCAATAAGTAAATATGTGCTTTAGTACTTCCTAAATACATTTCATGTATAAATTTCTCAATTAACATTTTTGTTTCGACTTGTGTAAACTATTAATTTCAGTTAGTAAAGTGATATCCATAGGGTATTATGGAAAATTTTTTGCAATAAGTGGAAAAACCAGTGTAACCAGCATCATATTTTCGGCAAAATTTTAACCATGGGATATATACGGCGCCATATACAAGGGGTGATCCATATATATTCTGATAAAAATGCTCTCATTTTGTGATTTTTTCCCTTTCATTTTTTCAGAATATGTAGATTATGTAATTACACATACAATGCTAAAATATTATGGCTATACCTGAAATTAATTTTGAGATAAGGTTGCCATGGTAACCTGTATTTAGGGTAGGCAGGTCAGTTAAATTATAACATATAAAATAAATAAAGGACGATTCTCGGTTTGGAGAACGAAGTTCATCAATCTAAATGAGCATTATCCCTGCTTCGGACAAATTTGATTTTTTTACATAATATAGATTTGAATGTCTTCTTTTGAATAGTCATAATTTAATTTGGGTAATATTTCTAGATTTTTCGAAAAAAAATATTAGCGCAGTACACTGATGAACTTCTTTCCCCCAAATCGAGACTTGTATTTTATTGAATCGGTCTTATTGAGCATTATCCCTGCTTCAGACCAATTTGTTATTTTTACATCTTGTAGATTTAAAGGTCTTCTTTTGAATATTCATAGTTTAATTTGGGTAATATTTCTATATTTTTCATGAAAAAAATTATTAGCCCAGGAGACTGTTCTCCAAACCGAGAATCGTCCTTTGTTAATTTAATCATTCTTTGGTACCTATTTTAAGCAGATCAAAGGCATCCTCGGGTCATTGCCAACTACTCCTTGAACTGTTGCCCTTGTTTGCATATTTCCACAGTCTGATAGTTCTCTCTTCATAAATTGCATCTCAAATTATTGTAGTGTTATTCTCTGTCCGCAAGCTCCTCTTGCAACCAGATTGTGGATGATCGTCAACAGTGAACATGCCTTCCTCAAATTTACAATACTACTTATAGATTCTTGGAGCAGATATAACACCTTACCGGTACACTCTACAAATCCATGTTTGTCTCTGATGGTGTCCTATTCTTGATAGTACATAAAATCTAATGGCACTCCTAATGTATCTGTTAATGTCACACTCTGCATCAGCAAAACTAACTTTATCTGATATTTCATTTTTGATTTTTGTTGTGTCTCATGACATGTAATGCCAATTGGCCCATTATGTCATACATTGCTATTGTGGGTTGTTGTGATGTTATAGTGAGCACAAATAAACATTTGTTTAGCAACAAACAACTAGCAAAAATACCAAACTTGTTAAGAAAAAATATATGATTTCCGCATGCTTTAAAATAATCAAAATAACAAGTTATTATGACATTTTATGCGTTATAATTGAATTGACCTGCCTACCCTTAATACAGGTTACCATGGCAACCATATCTCTTAATTAATTTAGGATATAGCTATAGTATTTTAGCATTGTATGTGTAATTACATAATCTACATTTTCTGAAAAAATGAGGGGAATGTGTGAAAAAATCACGAAATGAGAGCATTTTTATCAGAATATATGGGTCGCCCCTTGTACAAGCCAAAAAATTGGCATCGACTCCAGTAGGATATGTACTTTGGAGAAGAATATACTGAATACTTACCTTTTCAAACATATATCCCGTCTGTCTCCACCCAATGTAGTTACTCTTTAGCCAAGTGAGGGCGAGAGTTTGAGCAATTGATTTCGACTCATTAGTGTTGAGCATATTGAGTCCCTCGATTATCATATGTTGCATGGGAGCCCATGCATTAGGGTAGTCCCATTGTTGACCAGTGTATTGATTTGACACAGGTATTCCACCTGGATATGATGTAAGATTATGTTTCTGTAACAAAAAACCTTCATATTCAAGATCTGTGAAAAACATGCACATTTTATTAAATAAACGTTTAACTTGTAAGTTATTACAAATTGTAGTTTGATTTATTTCATTTAAGAAAGTGCAGAATTGCCCTTAATCGTACAATGACAGGGTAAATAGAATGTAAAGGTCACTTGGGGATTTATATTTTGGTGTAAGAGGTCTCCCACAAAGAATATAAAGAACGTGAACTTTAAGGCGAAAAAGCATATGATGAATTTCATACCTTGACATAATTGATTATCCTCTCCTCAAGATTAGGTATAGAATCTTCATCGTAGCATTTGAAGTACAGAGGAGCAAAGCTCGATGCATAGAAGTAATCCGTGGGGAGATTTTCTTTTTTGTCCAGGTCAAAATCAAACCATATTCCTTCTTCCTCGTTCCAAAACAACGTTTGCATCATTCGTTTCCGATCTGAGATTACTAAATCAAAATAATTTGCTTTGCTCGTGTCACCTGAAAATAATTTATAGAATATGTGTAAATGCACATTGGTTTGAAATAACCAGTCGACTACACTTATTATGCTTTCGAATGAAGTACGGGGGGATATAGAGAACGGCTCGGTCGGTCCGTCCGTCCAGCAATAACTGAAATACCCTTGGCCCAATATGTCATATGCATATGGGCCATGTAAGTACAATATATTAGTAAATATAAACTTATAACATTTAACATTTTCCAAATCATCTGAATTTCAGTCGTACTTTTCCTTTGGAAAGTATGTCAACACAAAACGCGTTTATATTATGTTGTTTACTTGATTTACCTAAGATAGTGTAGAATTTTGACAAAAGCATCTCGACATGGCAGAGATATGCATTAAGGTCAACGGGGACAACCCTCATTGTCCTCACTGATTCCAATTTAAACCTACAAAATAATGTACATTTACCTCACTTTGCAAGCATGTTTACATTTAATTATCATATTGCACGTTAATAACTCTAAGGCTCATTCAGCATGTTTTGGAAATCAATTATTTTAAATGATAATTTAGTGCATATTGTCAATTACCTTAAAGGATCATCTGTCTCATATTGCATCCACCTTGATGAATGATCCCAACCTGACTCACAGGCAGCAGTGTAGTTCTCCATGAATCCTATTTGTTCACCTAATAATATATATTTTCAAACACATTTGTATTTTTATCATATGTACATTTTGTACTATACATGACATCTCTATACATGACATCTCATTCCCAGTGACTTCTTCAGCAAAATAATTTGCTCGGGAAATTGTGAACAGTTGGCATGAGAAGGCAAAGAAATTTCAAAGAAATTTCCATTGCAAATATTTTGTATCTCTGATAACCTTTAGTCTGGGAGGGTTCCGTTTCCTTTGTTCAGATTTTCAGGAAAGCTTCTTTGCCATGCATGTACAAAATTGTTTTCTCAACAAAACTGGACGAGGAGTCCCGATGGCGGCCATTTGTCCTTTTTTGAGTTACATAAATATTTTTATCGTGCATTTGGGAAAAAGTAATATTTAGGGTACATATAGTACATTTTAAAGCGTCTTTTTATACACGAATAAAAATATACTTTATTAAAATAAAAAACAACTTATTCATTTACTTGGAATCCTTTCGGAATAAAACACATCTGCTTCACATGGATTCATAATTGTGACTGTCCCTGAATATTGGGCTGATAACTGACAGTTTAATGAATTCGAACCCCCTTGCATTCCATACTCCACAGACCAGCAAACGAAAGAGGTTTCACGCAGACATAACTTCTTACATTCGGCATAGGTTAAGATGTTCTCGTAAATCTTGCCATTGGCGTTTTTAATACACACATGTAAGCCAAGGTCTATAAAATCGTTAGATGGTACTGAAAAGTAATGCAGTTTTTTGTTATTGTGAATATTGTTGATAAAGATTTTATAAAAAGGTGGTTTAATCAAAGGGCCTACTACTAGCGCATCGGGCCTACTCCAGTCTACCCGGCTTCATTTTCTCGGGCCTCTCTAAAGATAACTTGTCGAAAAGCATGATCTAATTTTTCAAAAAGCATAGTGATGAAAAAATGAGTATCTGAAATAATAAGCTCCTACTAACCATGGTGTGTCCGACAGAACTCACAAAATTAAGTTTCTATATGAATCAGTATTACCCCTAAGTTGAGAGCCATTTGCAACCACTATAACATTGACTGCTAATCTGAAGTTGTCAGTGACTATATCCATACTAACAGCTTGCTAAATGTTTTGCTTTCCTGAAAATCTGAAGTTTTGAGCCTTTATTTGACGGAACTCTCCCAGGCTATTATATTACTTTGATTAAAAAAACACCACTCAGTCGATAACAGTATTTAATGTTATTTTTATTGTATTTTGTTAAATATATTTTAAGGCTTACCCCTTGTCATATTATCCGTGTATGGTTCAGTAAGTTTTCCAAAACTTTCTTCATCACTGGAAAAAATAGAATTCCTTTGTGTATTGGTATAATCATAAGTGTTAAAGAGAAGTTATAGAAACAGGTTTGCATTGCCATCTTTTTATGGACATTCTTTCTATCACTCTGATACGCTGATACAGGCAATTGTATTAATATTGTACGTATAATCATAAATTATCGTCGGAAAATAGACAACAGAGGCGGATCTGGGAAACAGCAAGGGGCAAGGTGGGGCATATTTCAAGTCTGAAAAAAGTTCCGGGCCCCAAAACAAAAAAATGAGCCCAAATCTTGAAAATCTAAGGCCCATTTTCTTGATAACTTGGCCTAAAATTACAAAAGGACCACTAATTGGGCCCTAAAACTTTCATTGGGCAAAAAACTTTTTTAGCCCAATTTTTTCCAAGCCCACTAAGTGCCAGTGAACAATACAGCGTCTTTGAATACACAATGGATTAAATTTTAACAAAACCAAAATATATATAATGGTTCAGTTTGGCCCATAGAGTAGAAGGTGACTTACTTGGGTTCTCTATATTTTGCATTGAATCCATATACATTAGCAATATATGAGCTCCTTTTGTAATAAACAGATTTTTTCCTTTCAAACATCCAGAAATCATATTCCTTTTCTAATGCATCAATCGTTGACCGTATGTCTTCAATATCTCCAGTCGTTTCGTATATAGTATTAACCATGGCTGCCAATAGAGGGGGCTGACTCCTCGATATGTAATACTTCCGTCCGCCATTTGGAACGAACCCGTATCTAAATAAAAGTAATCATCAGATTTGTATTCATTAATTTATGAAATTATGAAAGCTCTTATCAATGTTTTGTTGTAATACGCACTCAACATGAACTTGTATGTGGTGTGGAAAGAAATTGTAAACTTCATTGAGTTGTATATGAATGTTTTTTGATTTGTTCATTTGTATATATTTTGATACTTTGAATTGACAATGTACTTGACTTAGAACTATGCAACTACTCTGTTCTTTTAGAATTGTATTCATGTTTTCATCTTTTTCATTTATCATACTTACTTGTTTATAAGTGCAACAAAGTTTTCTGTTAACCCTCGTGATGTCTGTAGCATACCAGAAGTCAGCAGTCCTTTTATGATCCAGTATGTGTCCCTAAATGTTGCAAATAGCAAATAGTCATTATACTTTAGACTTACAACTGGTTATGTATTATATATATATAATCATATAACAAATATATATATATAACATATATTCATGCCAGAGAGCGCCATCTTATGACCTGCCATGCTCTTTTTCGCTTATTCTATGGGGCATGCCTTCTAAAAAGTCTTCCAACTCTAAGTTAATTTTTTATAAAATGTGCACAATGATTACAACTAAGATTTGGACACCTCTTTCAAGTTACCAATATCATGAGGTCATGGGGTCACCTGAGGGAATACAAGTTTAATCATCCATAAATATTTAACTTTTAATAGTTTTATATGCAAAACTGATGAGGGAATGAGAACACATTACAAATTTTCATCAAAATGTTATCATTTCTAATTGAAATTGTTGTGTTTTCAATTGTTGCCCTTTGTTGTCACTGGTTAAGCATAGAAGACGACTATATGCTGCACATCAGTTGAGCATGCAGGGAGTCCATAAAGTCTCTCTACAATTACAATATAAAGTCTATTGTAAGTGTAAAGAGACTGCGTGGACATCCTGAATACTGTATTTCTGAAAAATGAACGATGCTCCATGTTGTTACACTCCCTTCAAACGATTTAGCAAGTTAACCTCCCGCTTAGACGACTAGACCACTTTAAGGCCTGTTTCATATCGCTCGAGAGTTTGTTAATTTTGCCAAACTTTTCGAGGGGTGTGTATTTGACACATTGACAATTACTGTTGGTATTTTGTTTATATGAACCTGTCTGTACATATTCCTCTCGTCTCTGACTTTCTATGTTTTATGATATTCTTACCAGTAATAAGATTCTCTGAAGCGTTCGCCAGGAATAACTATACCATTTGGTACATAGATCAATGAATGTCTGTCTGGATGGGTTTTTACATCATCAGTTATCTGAAACGTTGTGAAGAATAAAAGTTTTAGGACACTCTGAACTTTCATTTCAAACTTCATGTTCAAGGCAATGTGTTACTTTAGATTTCTTTATTTTCAATTAAACAATAATAACAGTAAAAAGTATCAAACTGCAACAGGATGCATATGAAAGACCGCACAATGTGGTGCAGCATGCCCAATGCTCACCAGTTCAGTGACAAGGCATTAACATGGAAAATGTCAACACCTGTCATTTGTTAAAGACACCGAACGCCCACCGCCGAAAACCGTCCACAAAAACTTGGAGACTACAACAATATGTCACGAATTCTGGTGGTGACATAACTAGCCCAATACACCATAAAACGTCAAGTGATACAACAGCTTACCTTCCTGCCTAGATCCCTCCAAAGGTCGTGCAAACCTTTTGCCCACTCTTTTACATTTGAATCTGGTATATTCTGCAGGAAGTCTGGCCTGTAAATGAAGTAAAACCTGGTTAATTAGATATGATCGATCAGTGTGAATTTCAAAATTCAAAGGTTTTTATGTAACACGTGTTCTTACTCATTAGAACAGCAGTCTAAAAAGGAATAGATTACAGATATCAAATTAAGTCGAAGCGTATGTCTAAATAAATCCTTTTATAGCCAACTTTTACACTCTTAAAAATTATTACTTGGATTTCCTTATATTGAGAAATTGTACTACTCATTTTAAGTCAAAAATTACTTAAATAATCTTGAACTACTGAATAATTTTTAAGTAATTTTTAAGTAATTCATTTATGGTGAATTTACTCATGCAAGGAGAGAAATTGAAATACTTACTGAAGTAATTGTAATACTCATTTACATAATTAAGCAATTAAAAAACTCAAAATGACAATATAAGTTTAACCTAAGTAAAATGAAGTAAAACTAAGTATTTAACTTTAAATAATTTTTATACTTGGGAAATACTTGGGAAATACTCAAGTAATTCATTTTTTAGAGTGTAATGCGACAATACAAATTAATGTCGTGCGATATTAATGTCTTGTTGTTAATGTCATGTGCTCTCAACTAATTGAAAGCCCATGTTAATGTTAATGTTAATATCTTCTTGTTTAATGTTATATTGCCCTTTAATTTGTCTGACTGATGACTTACTGATGCCAAACTGATGATTGAGTGTTGACAGACTCATTACTTACGTAAGATTGCTAATGTATGACTGACTCATCGTTCACTAATGACTGACGGTACTAGACTGATGGATGACTGATGGATTGACTAAAGATACATTTATCACCGACCACTGATGTGCTGATGAATTACTGACTGCTGATTACTTTGACTAATCGACAAATGATCAGCTACTAATTCTTGACTAACACCTGACTAATAACAGACTTACCTAATAGTAATACCTATGGAGGACTGAAAGTTGACTAGTAGCGGCTGACTGATTTGAAACACTGACTGATTAATTGCACCCCGGAATAGCCTGACAACGGTAAAGTCAGATACCGTTGTCACAAATGGCGGACAAATGGTTGTATCTGACTTTACCGTTGTCAGGCTATTCCGTGTGAATTGACTAAAATGAAAAATCTTACTCTGGGGTCCAGTCTGATGGCACCCAGGGCTTAAGCACTGCAGATGGATCTTCGAAGCTTTCATTGATGAACTGTTCTACCACTGCTACCGTCAACGGTCGGCTTGAACTTCTGGGTTGCAATTCATCAAAGGCACGTCGAATTACATCTGAAAATTGACGTATGCTCCATGTTTATCATCTTCGACAGTTCCAAATTGGTATATGAGTTGGAGAAACTGAAATTCCCTCTGAGTCAAGATGATATTTATCGGCATACTTTGCATACTCGTTTACAAGTTTGATTTAAATTTTCATACCTAAGAAATACAAGATGTTCAGACATATCTTTATCTCATTAATACTAAATACAAGATATAGGGAGGTAGGAAAGGGGGGTTGCATGTATTGATACTGTTATTCAAGATTATAAAACAACGTTAGTCTTTATTTTCGAATCAACCCGATAAAGATCTACATCGATGAAAACTGTTGATATGTATAATTGGCTCCATGAAAGATCAGCAAGAAGCAATTTAGATAGTGACTTCTTCAGCTGGTAAACTAACTTCAAGTTCAGGTAAATAAATACAGGTGCCCATTCCAAGTGGTTGACTTAGCGTCTCTAGTAAAAGAGTGCTTAACAAACATTTGATGCTATATGGTACGATTTAAACTCATTCGACTTATTGCACTGAATACTTACCAAGATCATCTTTTGATGACATATCACTGAAATATTTGAAATCTCCACCAGGGGGCGCCACTAGACCATTCTGAATGACTTCCCTTAGTCCTGATATGCAGTACATGGGGCTTAAATGAAACAAATAAGGTAAATAACTAAACAACATAAAGTCACACCACAATATTATAATAATTTAGGATTTTTAATGGCTCAATCTCATTTTTCAAAATCAATTAAAAAGACTTTTGAGTTGCATCAATAGACTTTGACATAAATCTAGTAAACAGCATGATATGTTCTCGATTAACTCAGATTTTAAGTCTCCGACGGATTCTCACCAAGGCTAAAGTCAAAATGAAATAAGAGACTGGGTGCCAAAGAAATTTTAAAATACGATTTAAGTACGTGGCATAAGAAATAATTCTTTTTGACTCAGCGAGCATTCACGAATTCAACTGTCTGCTATCGGCTGATGATTCGACCGCTAACTCATTTAAATATGAATATGAATAGCATCTGGTACTATTCATTTTTGAGTTGGACATGCAATAGCGGTCAAATCGTCATCCGACAACCGGCAGTTGACGTACGATGGTCGTTCAATAAATACTGATACAAATGGTCTAATATTTTTTATTTGTAAGGAAATAAGGTGAAATTTCCATATACAAAAGGAATCTTGTATGTCTTTAGCATCATACTGACCAAATGTTATGAATTCATGTATCCTGAGTGCCGTCTCAAACAAGTAAAAGAAAGTACATGTTTAGGTATTTAGTGAACAACACTCGTGTATCTTTTCTCCCCAGAGTCTAGAACTTTACTGATATAATTGGTCTAGTACATCGTAGCATTTTTCAAGAAAAGCTTTGGTATATAAATAGATATGGTATAAAATAGGAAATTAATTTTCTTATCAAAGTGTCTTGAAAATATAATAAGTTACTGGTCTTTCTGAATTTTATCAAGTTTTGTGTATTCCAGGATCAGAGTAAAAGATTGAACCACTTTAATATAAAAACAATCCTCTGTTTTTGTGTCATGTCAGTTTGGCCACTATTTTCCGTAACAGACAGTTGCACATGTGGTACTGACATTTGGCAGTGGCACCCTAACCCACAGTGAGTCTTCTGTTACACGGAACGCTTCTCCCGTAACAACATGGACGAACTTCCGCTGGAAGATAATACTTTTTACTTGTTTGTTTTTCAACCATGGATCTTAGTTATGCTTACATGGCGACTAAATCAAATGAGTTAGTCGCTGATGTTACCATTTCAAAATCTCTTAATAATGTATTTCGAGAGAATAACCGAAACCGAGTGATCATTCTTTGAAATCTGATTTTATAATGCTGTCCTGAAACCTTAAAAATATAAATTTAAATGATTTTGCAATACATGTATTTTGTCGAACCAAGTTATTCAAAAATACCACGCGTATTTCATGAAATATGTCCGCGAGAAGTAGCAGATTCAAGTTATAAAGGATATTTCCCCACGAGATTTCCTTAGCCCTTCGTGTAGCAGCATGGTGTAATTTAGGAGTTGCCTACTAAATATCCATGAAATAAAGGTCGTTTTCACCTTGAAGTTTTCAATGTATCATTGATATCAAATGAAAAATATTTAAGAAGATCAATGTCAAGAGAAGTGAAATAGCTGAAAACTCCAATATCTAGTTTAAAGGTCAATGTCACTAGCAACTAGCAAGCTAAGCAAGGCATGGTGGATCTGGAAAATGACTTTTTGAAATAGTTGGGCCCATTTTATGAAATTTCCGTTTTCAAAAACTGGTACATATTTTTCCAAAATTGTTAGACACATATACTGAATGCTCTGATAATTCTGGTCAATGACGCCCTTATCCAAAAATGATAAATGATAAGGAATTAACATTTGGGATTGTATCCTGGAATAAAGGTTAACACTATATATTGCTGGTTCGCGGTCAATGACATCTACGGGATAAACACATGTATAGGCTAGTACATCAATTATCATGAATATTGATAATCTTGCTTCAAGCCCCTCATAATTGTTGAAGTTTAAGGAGGGAGGGGGGGGGGACCAGGGTCTTGAGGCAAGACTAGAATATTGTATATGAACTTGAAGAGATCCTATGATTGTTTTCACTGTTTACACAATCAGTGCACTTGATATTTGTTTTTAAAAACTATATTTCAATCAGGCAGTGCTAATTTTACTGATGTTGATAATAACACTCGACGAGTTCTTCACCTCTCTCAATAACATATGGTGTTTTTGTGGTATCGTTTTCATGGTTCCACTTTTTTGCAAAAAATATGTATAGAAAAAAGGGTAATGTATTGTTCGAGTCAGTACGATTTCTGTTTCCAATCTATCATTTGCATCTCTGCAAACGCGGGTGGGAGACACGAAACACAACTGGTGCATAGTTACCAAGGTAACCTGTATTCATTTATCTTCATCTTTCGATAATTTTGTTGTTAGCGCTTATGTTTCACGGGAAAGAATAGAATTCCGTTAACACCGTTGATGTATGATAGAACCTGGATATGAGGTCATTCATCTGAATCCAGAAAAGTTTCTTAAAAAATGTAAATGAAATTACCGTCTTATTAATTCAGTATTCAATATGTATTATGTACCCATTGCTGATACTTGAAAAAGTGTTATCTTTCATAACCAAGGTTATGATGTCAGAACACAAATACACATACCTTGGGCACTCCCTTGGGTAATTAAGGCGATACGTCCCTCCCGGTGTCAGCATAGTAACAATCGCTATGACAATCAATTCTATATCCGTCACCATGGCAACCATCTTACTACCCGGTTGTATGTTGGTAGGTTGGGCAACTACATGTACTTAGCAACACTCTGAAGCTGAAACTGCCTGCAACATTTCTAAGAACAACTTAGTTTGTTGTCTTACATAAATGCTATATATACGTCTTATGAGAAGAAGGTACTTTCCCACAATCCCAGCTACGCGGCGATATGTATCTATAACCAAGATAACGCCGAGAACACTAGTATCGGATCCTTTACAGTCTGTGTAGCAGTGATGAAAATCTTAGAGGCTACAGGCATGAACTATATATATTATGACATGATTTATGACCCACTACAGCCCCTTTCTGTTTTATATTATCCAAGACATATAAAGAGTGAAGAATCATCTATTAAGATATGGCAAAAAACAACATCTTGTGTCCAGAACTGATATGAGACTGTTTTTGCCACCCTGTATCAAAAACCTCCCATTAAATAACCTCTATTTATGTCACTCAGGGTGGGTGGATTTCATTTCAAAGATAGTCCCGGGTGAAGGTTTTGAATGTCTCCTGGTTTTAAGTCCGATAGGGTCCTGGGTATGAAAGTCCCGGACTTTAAAATCTGGAATTGGAAATCCCACGGACGTGTAAAACTTAGTAACGAAAGTCTTTGTGGAAGGAATAGAAGTCCATTGGTGATTATAGTCCATAGTCTCATTAATATGAAATGGTAGGAATAAGTCCTATTGAGACCATAAACACTAGGATTCACAATCAATGGAATTCCTACGGACCGTGCTCCCGAGTGACTTCTATTACTTTTACACAGGAAATCAAGACCAGTAATCCTTTTTGGGAGGGGTTCTTCTATGGGTGGAGAGGGGCGGCTCCCTGGGCCCTCCATGTACGCCAATATTGAAAGAACATGCATCACGCTGTTGCCATGCTTTGTATGTCTTACCAATATGATTTGTCAACATTACTGTTTATATCTAGCCTTATGTTTTAAAGATGGCAGCACCACTAGGCCGCCGGACGAGATGGGTTGATCCATTCTGATCCATTGATTTATCAGTCTCTGTCCAAAGCTTGTGAATCTGTTCCAAATGATAGTACTAGCTGAAGATCACAAAGTGTGTAGTCGGCTTGACATGCTCAGTACAGGTGTTCTATGCATGCAAATCTTGTGTTTTAATTGGAGGACATTGGATTCAATAAATACGATTTTTTGCAGTTGTCTTTTTGGTTTTGATTTGTCCCTGGATAAAGTCACCTCAACACACTGGAATAGCCTGACAACGGTAAAGTCAGATACCATTGTCACAAATGGCGGACATAACCGTTGCTTCAATTAATTTTCATGAACTGTATGTTTAATAGAGCACCTAGACTAGATTCCTTTGGAACAACAATCAATCAAAGTGTCTTATACTCATTGCACAGTAAATAATGTTCTACCATCGAAATAAAGTATTTAATTTAACCGATCAAAATGAGATACGGGACAACGGACACTGTAATTACCATATGCATGTTGTCTTTCTAAATTACTCAAATTCAGATTCCGTTGTCATTGTCGATATCGAAGACGCTATATTGTGGCGATTCACGACCCAATTTGATCGAAATAGGAATTTCACACGATACATCATCATAAGGCAGCTTAATACATACACAGAATTAGCGACGATAAAATCGCATAAATGAGGACGTGATTAAACAGTTGAGCGACGGTTATGTCCGCCATGTGACAACGGTATCTGACTTTACCTTTGTCAGGCTATTCCGGTGTGCTCCAAACATCAACATTATATATCAATGCATTTACTAAGTTTTGTAGGCTACAGGGTGAGACAAAAATTAGAAATTAGTTTACATTTTTATTATTTCTGATCACACTCTGTGCAAACAAACGTTGAAAAGCTAGAAGAATTACTAGCCTACAGAGATGACAATTTCATTTCATATTTCCCGCATGTTTCCACAATACACATGTGCAGTGACCCATTTTATAGTCCACTCAGAAAACTATCATCTTGTTACCCTAGTATAGCGTCTTAAGTACAGGTCATAGACGCGGTACTATAAGTTGACCATGGACTTGGATTTGCAACAACCATGGGCTCTCTTATCTCCAGACAACTATCTTTGACGGAGTTATTCACTCGATTTCATATCTGTTTCGCCGTATCTCAGAAACAACTGAGAAGTTTTGGCCATCTACACCAGAGACATATAAATGTATCTGTTCGGCTACACTGATCAATGAACGATGAATTGTTTTATTTATGTCTCTGATGCGGCATGCCATGATTTTCTTCGGAAAGGATGCGGCGAGACATCTATGTCACGGCGGTCGTCAATTAATTAAAATAGTCTCACTTTCTTTCATGAATTGTGGGGGAGTTATCGGAATTATCATCTGGTTAAGAGAATGATGCAACGCTGTTGAAATACGAAAGATAAAAATACTATTATATTTACTACGAAATGTTTATGAATGAAACAACGGCGAACGTGATTGGTTGAGCATTTGGGAAGGGTTCATTTTCCATGGATATTAGACTTCTACAAAAACATTCTTCTCGTCTCACCCTTTATATGCATGGATTTTTAATCGTTTTAATACCTATGTAAGCGTTTTAAAATATATTGGATAAATAATGAATGACTTAATCACCGTCGATTTTGATTTGTACAACATTAAAATTGGAAAACCCAGGGCTGTCACACCTGCCTCACTTGCGAATGAACTCGTCTAAAAAGATAAAATTTAAGGTCGAGTCGAGTTTCGTTCAGCTCCGATTATCGTCAGCATGTCCATAAAAATCGAAGTGATTCTAAATTCGATAGGTCCTATGTAATATAAACATAATACGGAGTATAGTGAAGAGTGTTTTTGGGGAACGAAAAGTACTTGACTTTATCAAACGTGAAGAAGTTTTTCAAAATATGGCAGGCAGCGATGATCAGAGTCAGACTGTTTCGTCAGGAGATGGAACTGTGAAATTGAAGCAGAAGATCAACCTCTTGAATGCGGTTACTATAATTGTTGGGACAATAATTGGTTCAGGAATATTTGTGACACCTAAAGGAGTTTTGGAAGGAACAGGATCTGTAAGTAGATATTCTAAGTGGGGGGGGGGGGTAGATGGTCGCTCCCTGGGTGCTACTGCTATTCATTTCGGGTACCCTTCATTTCTACTCCTAGTCCTTAGCCCCCCCCCCTTACTTAGGGGGTGGAGGTACTAGACTCTTGATTCTAGATCTACTTGTTAGTATGTTATGGACCTATACCTTATCTTCCGTCTTATCAAGTGCCAGTACGCATTCCCTCAAGGCGCATGCTACACTTACCATATCTTTTTCAAAGCCTGCACTGGTCACAAAAAACAACCTAGTTTGGCCACCAACAATATTAAAGTTGTAGAGAGATCAAAACTAGAGGGTTGATGTAAATTGAGGAAGTAGTGTCGACAGATTTCCGAATGAACTTTAAGAATGGCTGAACTTCCAGTAGCTCTTAATTTCTGTCAAAATCGCCACTTTGATTTCTCGCTAGAAAATGTAAACTTGGGGATAAAGAAAAGTCCTGATCAACACACAAGAGCTGATAACTTACATAATATATACTCTCTTCGCAAATGGAGGACGGAGATGTAAGGAACATTTGGAGAAAGAAAGTAAGCAGCTGAATTCAGTATTTCAGTTTTAGACGTCAAAATTATCAAGCAGCATACTGTTGATGGCCCAAAGGCTGTTCTATGAGACCAGTCCAGCCTTTGAAAAAGGTAACCCTTACCCTAAAGTGTTGTAGTCTACACTTGGGACAGGTACAGGGAAAGGACAGGGACAGGACAGGTAGAAAATAACTTCACCAAAGAAGGGTTGGTTCGATCTACCCTGTGCGTAGAGTCTAGTTACAAACTACCCCAGTTTGTAGACTAAATTACACTTAAGCAGCCTCCCCCCATGACTGGTGCCCGTGATCATAAATGGTCATAAATCATTTCAAACTTACCACAAAGGTGGAGGGCACTCCCAAATATTGAACTATTGATTTGGGGTATCTGAGCTGCCATGGCTCTTCTGAGATATTTCTCATCTTTGAAGCTGCCCATGGGCATACCAATAATTCAATTTTTTGTGAATATCAAATATTTTTTGCGATCCTCTATTGTTGATGATTAGTCTCATCATTTTCATTACTCATTCTTGATTTTTCAAGATAAAGATTAGAGGGTTATTACAAACGCATCCTATCAAGTCAAAAACGCATTCATCTGAAAAATCCTGGTTATGTGCCTGACCCTCTAGCAATAAATCACTCCAGTATGTTAATTGAAGAAAACATGATGAAATCAGCCATGGACTTCCATGTATGAACAGAAATCAATATATCAAATTGTTGAAGCAGTCAGAAACTGAACAATGGACTTCAGGGATAAAAGCTTCTTTTATATCATTACTAGAAGGAAACTCAATTTTCTGATCAGTTCATATATTACCATTTGATTGTGTTTTCTGCTCATGGATTACAATCATAGAGAAAGTCTAGCAATTATTTATAATAAAAAAATATTTCATTTCATGTAATGAGCATTACATACCAGTTTAAAAATTATTGTTTTTGAAATTCATAATCATATAGTTTTATGGAAGTTGCAAATTAATTAGCGCGCATGTCATATTCAAATACGACAAACATCATTTTTGCCATGTGAATATTACCTCAAACATAATTGTTTCTGATATTCCATCGTTCATTTCATCCCTTGACTAACATCTGCATGTGAGAAGAAGTCTTTCACACATCATTTTCTTTCAGTTATTTAAAAAAAACATGTTTTGTTCCATGTACTTGTATTTATGAATTAAATAAGGCTCACAGATTAGGCTGAGATCATGTGAGATATTAAACTAAAATAAGTTCATCATTAAATCATATTTGGTCAGGACCTTTTTTGTATTTACCAAAAATCATTTAATGCTTTTAATTAGATGTTACCAGTCTGACTAAAGTCACCTTGATCGCAGAGTAGGGTAGACATTTTTTAGCTCATTTTAATCTTTATATAAGGAGTAAATAGTTGAATGTGATTTCTCAAATTTGTAGACCTATTATTATCTGTCAATTTGGTATTCATGGTAAAAACATTCACTTCTAGGTTCAAATGAAGAAGGCATCAATGGCATTCAACACTAATTATAAGTACTTACAAACATCTACATTTTCAAAAAAAGTTTTAATTTTGGACCACCCTAGTGCAGAGTCAAATTACATGCTAATTATAGATGTCAAGGTCTCTTAAGAATTGAAGTCAAACTAATATCAATGGATAGACTATAATAAGATTCAGTTGAATAAAACTATGAAAGCTCTTTTTAAAGGCCCTGTGTTAAGTTTGAAAATAAAGGTTAATCGTTCAAGTATTACTTACCATGACTTGAAAAACTATTTCAATTTATTTTTTTGAAAAATATAACTTTTGAGTAATTTTGTAGTTTTCAAATAGTTGATTTTCCCACCATTTAGAAACAAGTTTAGATTTTTGGATTATCAAATAGAAGACTTAAACTTCATCAAAGTGCACCCTGACCTTAACACTGAAAGACACAATATTTGGATTTTCCGTTCTAAAATCTTGCCTGTAAAGTCTTGTCTTCATGTTTTCAGATGGACCATTTGGTAGATCAATTTCAAATTTTCAGGGATGATTCTAAGTATGAAAATCTAAATCTAATTAGTTTTTTGACATTCTGGGTAAATGTCAAGGCAGCCATTTTGGATTTTCCATCCTAAAATCTTGTCTGTAGTCTTGTTTACATGTTTTCTGGTTAACTGTTTGACGGATCAATTTCAAATTTTCAGGGGTGATTCTTAGTATGAAAATCTAGAACTGTCTAAATTTTTGGCATTCTGGGTAAATTTTAAGGTGCCCATTTTGGATTTTCCGTCCTCAAATTGTGTCGGTAAAGTCTTGTCTACTCATTTTCAGGATCACCATTTGATGGGATCACCCATTGGTGGGGACATTTTGTACACATTTGTGTTCTTGTTATCCTCTCCATCCCTAATATAAAGTGATTTAACTTTGTTCTTCTATTCAGTGTTGACACATCACTCAGTTAGTCAACCCTATACACACATAGCCCTATTTTCTTGACTTGTCACTTCTTAAAAAGGTTACACATTAATTGTTAATGTAGATAATTTAACTTACTTCACATGCAAGAATTGGGATTTTTTGCCAATTGTATTTAATTTAAATAGGACTATTTTGAGTAATTTTGAGTTAATGAACCTGTGAACAGTGCTTCATTTTGTTTTTCAATTTCAGGTAGGCCTATCTCTTGTGATATGGGCTTTCTGCGGCGTATTGTCCCTGCTTGGGGCCCTGTGCTATGCAGAGTTGGGAACAACTATTATGAAATCAGGAGGAGATTATGCCTACATCCTAGAGATATTTGGACCTCTTCCCGCCTTCTTGCAACTTTGGGTAAGATCTTTTCTGTTGGCATCTGTAACAAATGGCAGGTGATGACATTTTGCATTTTGATGCCTTCTGAAAACCTGGTGTAGGAGTCAAAATTTGATGCCTTGTGAAAAATTAAGACACAGCCTGATGCCAGGCCAGTTAGTTGTGATGTGTGTTATATCACCTTAGCCTTAACTGGTGATTACAGGTAAAATCAGCTAGCTCTAAATAACTAACACTTACCACTTATCAAGTTTCTAATTAGTGCTCATCTTATTCTGTTTTTAGTCAATTAGTGATTGTTATGTAATGTGTAACTGCGTAAAGCGTGTATAATGTCCCCCATAATTTTTGGTCGCATTAAATGTAATTGCCAAATCGATTACTGATTCTCGTTAGTGACAGATAAGTTGCCATAGCAACAATCAATCGCGCCAAATCCTTCTTGCTATTTAACCTATTCTGATAAATGATTCCCAACATCAATACTTTAATTTCGATCATTCTATGAATATTTGTCCCTTCGTGTACATGATGGAATCCCTAATAATAGAAAGGCATAGTAGAGGTACATCTTAGTTTTCAATGACCTGCATTAGGCAGGAATTTCAGTAATTGCCTCAGAAAAGCCAAAAATTGTTAACCCTGAGGACGAAACTTAGTACCCAGGACCCAGGTCTATAATTCCCCTAGTCAAAAATTCTTTCAAAATCACACAGTTTTTACCATTTTTTAGCACTTTTCAAGTGACTTTGACCATATTTGGGCCAAAATTGTCGAATTTGGATCACCTAGATTTTTTTAAAACTGTATTATATCATTATTTCCAGAGAATTTCTGCAAGAAGCATTTATTTCATGATCTGCATTTGGATTTTTATTGCGTTAGCCTTATTTGGATTTCATTTTTACATTCAGTCCGATTTTGAGTATGAAAAGGTTTGATAGTTTGACACTTCATTATCAAAATCAAATTCTCATAATATAATAAACATATGTTGTCCTTGGCTACCCCAGGGTTTTCAAAGTTGTTTTTGTTTACTCTTATTTGAATTGTGGGAACGTCATTCCTTTGTAAAGTGTTCATGAGTTTATGTCTGTTGAGGTCACAAAGTTCTTGTCTTAACTCTTAATGCAATATAATTTTATTTATTCATTTATTTATTTCATAACATTTGTACCCTTTCTAAGATTTTTTGTATTTCAACTGGTATAAAAACATTATACCATAACAAAGGAATAAAACATTAAAAGTGCTCTGGAGTAATTTACAGAAATATAAGAAGTTTGTGTAGTTAAAATCTGTTTAATTTTTGTGCATGGTATATTTTAAACTGAAATAGTAAGTGTTGATTTTTCTCAATAAAGCTGTCCCATTTTTGAGTTGATTATCCAACATTATATATTTGGTTTCCAATTCTGCAGTTTTGCAACTTCTCGTAGCTCTATCTGTTATATATGTTTTTAAAATATGCGTTGTGCTATTGACCAATCCAAGACTTAAAAAAATTACGGAGCTATAATTTATTTTATTTATATAAAATTATATATTCCAAATATATGATTTATTATTTTTGAGAAATGATACAAGAATGACATTTTCACTTTTACATTTTACAATGGATAAAATAATTTTAAAATTGATATGATTGTTCAAATGATATTCTTCTATTTCAGGTTAATCTAATTATAATCCGTCCCACCGCACAGGCAATTGTTGCGTTGACATTTGCTTATTACGCACTACAGCCGATGTACCCTACGTGTGACCCACCAGCAGCAGCCACAAGACTGCTTGCGGCACTCTGTATCAGTGAGTAGTTTACATTTAACATTTATATCAAGCCAGAGAAAATAAAGACTTAATTGTTTACTTTTTGGCAAGCATCTCAAAAACAAACCATATCATGGATTTTTCAGATATTCAGTGATGCTTCTTAATACAGGCTTTTCTATATAGAATTTTAACTTGCATATTTACCACTAAAGACTCACATTTTCTCCTTATTTGTCATATTTGAATTATGTACATATTTTTCTATAAAAAGAACATGATTTATACAATTATTTTATTTTAATCAATTTGCAAAGAATTCAATTTTCTTTGAAAAGGTTGGGCTGAATCTCAATTGGCACAATGTTAAAATATCTTTAAAAGTTGGATTGCAATTTTAAAGTATTTGACCAAATTAGTGTTTAGGCATTTTACACCAAACCATCCTGAAATTTTGTGTCTGCATGGTTTCAGCATACTATACCTTCAAAATAAATCAAGTAAAAGAAAATCAAATCAAATTAGACCGAAACAGTTGTATTCCTAGAAAGAGCCATGAGAAATTCAAGAATCAAAGACTGCTGAGTTTGCTTCATAGAATTTATAAAATACAATCAATTTGCTTATAATGTGTTTTTAGGGCTTTGTCATTTTTTCATTCATTTCATTCAGGTCATTGACAGAATAAGATTAGATAGCTTGATTGATTCGAATTCAATTGGAGAAATAAATAGTTCAACTTCATTTGACCCTATCAATGAAATATTCAATCTATGGAATACAAAGTACAGTAAAACCTGTCTAATCAGAACACTATTCGGACTGGCTAAAATCTGATTCAAATGAATTAAGTCATGCTAGAAATTGAGACTTTCAAAAGTTTTGATATAAAAACAAATTGAATATGTCCGATCAATTTTGTAAGAAATATGGGATATTTTGTGAATGAAAAGTGTTGAAATTAGACAGGTTAATTTCTCAAATATGAGTATTCACTGTTTGAATCAGGAGGTGTTCAGATTTCAAGTTTTTTTAACATGGGAGTCAATGGGAGGAAAAATGGGACTGGAAAAGGTGTTTGGATCTGAAGGTGTTCAGGTTAGCCAGGCATTTGGATATACATGTTTCACTGTACCTGGAACACAAATAAGATATTGAGATTTGATCTTCAGATAGGTTGGTCCTTGTGAAAACATGTAACTGTATTGATGACCATCCTTTGTCAGTGTTTATTTCACTTCTTTTCAGACTCCAGCCTACAAACAAAATTTGAATATCACATTTAGAGGCTGGGGGAGTTCCATTATGCTTGTTTCTTATTGTACTTAACATCAATTTTTGTATTTTAAGTACAATTTTATTTTGGGAAGGCAGGGACAACTATAATGTTATACATTGAATTTTGGAATATTGACATGGCCCCTTAGAATAAATACTCTAAAAACAACTGTTTTACCTGAAAACACTGCATTTAGTCCAAGTGCCAGATGTAAAGGTTATAGAGTGCTGCATTTAATTGAAGCATGGGTATTTCATCATCTTTATTTCCGTCTACACCATTCATTTTTTCCTTGAATAAATCAGTTTTACATATTATCATATGCAGATGGAAAGATACTTTGAGATTTCATCAGACTCTAATAACAATCAACAGTACTCCCATAGCAGGAGGATATCACTCTCACCCAAGGTTACTTTAACACTAGGCATGTTGGCCAACACAACATACTCAAAGTTTCAAATTATTTCAATAAATCTTCTTAACACTTTTCTATACTAAGCTAACATTTGATTATCAGTTCAAGAAATTGAATTGGGGAGAAGATGTTTACATTTTACTTAAATGAAATAGTTGGAATGTTGAAAATATAATACACAGATTATCCTGTATTTCCCTCAAACCTATACTTTCAATCCTATGTGGTACCTTATACATATATAATTATTTATAGTAAATTTTCATTAAATTTTTTTGATTATCTATTGACGTTTCTTTGTTTTCGTAAAAAATTCCAAAATGGTGACACATTTTTTCTCAATTTTTCAACAGATTTTGACATATCTTGTCAATGTGTAAGAATTTTCAAGTTAAACTTGCCAAAAATCAACTTTTTATTATTAAGGACTATGAAAGCATCTCTTGAGCATTACATGTACATATAGGAGTACAATATAACAGAGATCAGTATTGGCATAAAGCATACAAGAGAGTATAAATAAATATGGATAAGTCAGTTACATGGTAAACTTAGGCTGCATTTCAGTAAAATCATAAGCTACAAAAAATCACAATCTTTTTCAACCCTCTCGACCTCAAGTAGAAATTTGAAAAATTGACGTATAGGGTTCTCCTTTAGGAGGCCTTGGGATATGACATCACATGGGATCACCATAACAACCAATTCAGTATACACCTTTTATCTGATTCCTCAGCACATACTACTGATATTCAAAGTTGATGTTGATAAGATTGCATTTATCATAGTTTCAATAAAATTGTTTTTTTATCATTTTATGATAAAGTGGCTGACCTTTTTCACACAGAATTCCAAGTACATGTACTCCACGCAGCCTAATTAGATGGAATAGTATAAGGTGAATAAAATTAATTAATGTTAAATGAACAAGTTAAATAAAGTTTATAAATGTTCCTGTCTGGAACATAATGGTTTTTACTCTGATGAGGTGGCCTTGAGTTCATCCAGATTTTATTGCCAGTATAAGTTCATTGTACTTTTAACAAATAAAAACCTTAGCTTTATATTTAAGCTTATAGAGCCCTTTCCTTTATATTATAGTTTCTGAAAATAATCTGATAGTATTAAATCAAAAGTTGGCACCTTCACTAACTTCTAACAATCTTTTTAAATTGACTTATCATATAAAGACATTTAAGTTAAGTACTTCAGTGGCAAAATTACTAGTTCACTTAGCACTATATATAGAAAAATAAATAGTTTAGTGTCAAATATAAAAAATAGAGAATTAAAAATAATCTATATAATCCTACCACATGGTGACCTGTAAACACTGGTCCACTCAAAATTGAATTATCTTTATTTTCCATGCAATCAGATTAATTTTTTTCAGTTATAGAAACCTCCTCTCCATAATGGCAACTAGGGGTACCGCGAGCGCTCGAGCTCGAGCAATTCACCTCCGATACGAGCTGTATCAATACATAAAATGAATATCTGTCGTATCGCTTTTTGACCGGAAGTCCCTTCTTACTTACCCAAAGGAAGGGAGAAACTCAGAGCTTAGAGATGAAAGACAGTCATATCGTGGTACCCCTAATGGCAACCCATGTTTTCATTGGATAGTACATATCAACACAATGTTTGGATCTAAATTTTGTTCCTTATTACAATATTTTGGAAATTCATGACAAGCATTGCCAAACATAAAAGGGGACTTCTTGTTGCTAAACTTATGGAAGGGAGTATATGTTTATGTACATGAACTAAGCTTTATTCACGAATGCAAATAGCTCTACCGGCTACCGGATTAACCTATTGATTTACATAAATTAATTTGTCAGTTTGAAGTTGCAATATTGAACAACCCATTTGTCGACTAACAGTGATCACATGACTATTCATGCCATTGTCAAATGATCGTACAGACTTAAAATGTGTTTTGTGTCTATGCGCATGCAATGGGCATACTTTTCCGCTATTTACAATTCACAACACCTCGATAGTCGGAGTTAGTTGGTGCTGTAATACCAGATTAAATCATTATTTAGCTCAGCTACTGGGTTTGGGGCGAGAGCTGGCAACTAACGGAACACACGGCAGGTACTATTCATATCTAAATGAGATTGCCATCAAATTGCAATCAACCCGCTAGCCAGTAGCTGCTATTTGCATTCGCGATTTCAGTATTTACAGAGAAAGACACAAAGTTTGCATCTTTGATTTGATTCTACTTTCCTAATGAATGTCCATTTTTAAAATTAAGAGAATAAATATTTCTTCTTTTCAAGCATGAAACTACATATGCAAGTACATTTAATTAGATTTGACAGATCTGGCATTATTTAACCACACATTCTGACTATCAGAATTCATGAGAAAGTATTGGCTGCATAGCGCACAGTTGAAATCACCAATGCATTGAAGAACCAGGTGCTGCATCAGTTTATAAGGTGCTGCACCAGTTGACAAGGTGCTGCACCAGTTGATAAGGTGCTGCACCAGTTAATAAGGTGCTGCACCAGCTGATAAGGTGCTGCACCAGTTGACAAGTTGCTGCACCAGTTGATAAGGTGCTGCACCAGTTGATAAGGTGCTGCACCAGTTGATAAGGTGCTGTACCAGTTGATAAGGTGCTGCACCAGTTGATAAGGTGCTGCACCAGTTGATAAGATGCTGCACCAGTTGACAAGGTGCTGCACCAGTTGATAAGGTGCTGCACCAGTTGATAAGGTGCTGCACCAGTTGATAAGGTGCTGCACCGGTTGATAATTTAGAGTGCTAGTGACCCTGTGTCCTGAGTTGATAATCTACTTACACCCATATGAATAAAATTGAATTTCACCCATTTGAGTACAAATTTAGGGATGGGACAGAACAAATAAACTACGGAGGTGATGAAATCAGAAATGGTTGATAATTTAAAAATGAACATTTTCCGAATGGAATTTTCTTTCAAAATAAAACCAATCACATTACTGGGCATGATTTAAAGTGAATATGGTAGTTCATAGTAAACTGAAAGTTGTTTCATTTTCATACCTTGTTTAACATTGTTTCCCATATTTTTAACATACAAACAACTGCAGAACAAAATCTTGCCATGGAACAGTTTTGGGTAACTTCCCCATTCCTAGAACAAATGTTATTAAGAACAGTCATTGTTTCTGTTTCCATATCTGGTACAAAGATATAGGAAGTGAAACCAGAGGCTTCATTAGCAGTATGCAACAGGCCATTTTCTCCAGTTGTTTTTTGGCTTATTTTATATCAAAATTGTCTGTTGGCTTGAGGAATTTGGCAACTGTTTTCATGCTCAATTTATAATTCTCAATAATTTGCCAGTTGTCCGTATTCATTTTACATGTTGCGAGAAATGATCGCGAAACATAAATTGAGCTGGCATATATGTCATGGGACTAAATCACTTTTATAAAGTAGACCAAAAACATGCATAAAACATAAAATATAAAACATGCAAAATTAGAACCATTAAAACATCAACATATGAAATAGATGATTAAAAAAGATATGTCTGCATAGAAAACGTGCTAAAGGCAAGTAGTATAACACAGGTTGATGTCACATTGTCTCAGATGTAAAGTTTTTATTTTGTTGTTTTATATTGATTTATAACTTTAATGATTGTCATTTCAATCTACGTAAATGGTGGGGTAAGGGGTAGAAGTAATTGTTTTCGAGTACATACTAGTAATATATCATTTGGGATTTGTTTTCCTTATAACCTCTCTTTACTAGGAGATGTTTCATTTCTTATCACTTTTTAGTGTTTTTTCTCTTTGTATTTTTACAGACAGATTAATATTTATGGGATATGACATATATTATTGATTGTACCAGTATGTTATGTAGTTGGTAGTTGGATATTTTATAAGGGTTGCATCCATATGATAGAACAAAAACATTGCCATGTAATTTGCATCCTTATTGCATCATCTCTTATCATTGACTCATCTGCTGCATATATTTACATAACATTACTTTGATATTTTTTTTCCAGATTTGTTTTTAATAATTGGATGCTATTAATCAATTTCTGCCAGTTTTGGTCAAATTATCTCAATAATTCATCCTTTTAACAGACAGAGTGCAAACAGCAACCATCTTGTGGTCATATGTTTCTTGATTAATATAATTATATAAATTTCAATTTGCCAGCCTACCAAACAAACACAACACAAAACACTTTTTTATGAAGAATACACCTACACTTACTCAGACATAAAATGTATATTGCTTTGTGGCATTTACCTACATGAACTTGCTAATTATCTTTTCATTCAATATAATATAATGTACCCTCAACAGATTCACATACTGTCTAACAGGTCTTTTGGCCCAGGATCTATTTAAACTGATTAAATGTAGTTTTATAAAAGAGACGCAGACGAAGCCAGACTCTATTCATTATAATTCATAATTATAGCTTGAGAATGCATTTCTGGTGCATGGTATATGAAGCTAGGCTTTTGCAATGTCTCACCTGTGCTACCTGTGCTAGATCTTGTCTCTATCAACCAATCAGAAGATTCATTTTACAGCGAAATTGCGATAAATCCTAAGTTTGACCACATATATTTCTGGGAAGTTTTATATTGTTTTTGGTCACATTACATAATATTACATAACTTAGCAATAATTTTTTTAAAGTGCAAAACTGGGGAAAAAATGTTTAAATTCTGCCAAATAATAAAGATGGTAACCATATTTATAGAAAAATGAATGCATTCAAAATTGCTTCAAAATCTTAGTTAAAGTCTCATCAATGATAAGCCACTATCTGGAATTATAGTGACAAACGAAGGATAGGATTGTAGGTCAAGATGGAAGATGGAAAATGGAATAAAGTGTGTTTTGAAATATTCTCAATCTGATTACGAAATACAGGATCTTTTCAAATTACAACTTATTGTCAGATCAATAAAATCAGACATGTCTACATGAATGCTATATGTATCACTATAATGATTGTAATTTATACGTGTATTCAAATGATGGATCACACGATATGTTTTTCCAGCTTAATAAAATGTCTGTTTATATTAATTGAATGCAGATGTTTACATCTTCTGTTTTATAAAACACACATGAATACATTCAATCAATTCATTTCTCTTTTATCTGAATATTTTAAGTCCTATAATAAACTAGAACTGCTGAAAAAATTGTCAAGGCTGTTATAGGTCTGAGAATTTAAGCTGAACCTCAACACCTGTATAGACTTATATATGAATCAAGATGATAGTTTCATATAAGAATTGGTGTTTGATAACCTGTTGTATATTTAACAGAGAAATCCCCAAACCCAGTTTTTTCCAAGGGGTCCTAAGTCTCCATCATCAGCTCAGCTTATACTTGAATCCTACAGCTTCTCCACCTTTTTTACCCCCCCTCCCTTTGGAAGCCCATGAAATAATATGAGGTTATATAATGGTTCTTTCTGTATATCGTGTTTATACTCGAGTGAGTATATGATATATTCACAAGTGAGCGTAGCGAACGAGTGAATATATTATATTCTCACGAGAGTATAAAATGCACGATATACAGAATGAACCATTATATAATCTTATTATGCCACTCTAAGTTCAATTACAGTTGATTCGAACACAATCATAACAATTAAAAACCATAAAAATGTCCCATTGACAGCCAACTCAATAATGGTGATGTTGATTTATGACGTCACTTGATTCTAGGAAATCATGATTTTTTTTCATTATCTCCCAGAATGCACTTCTACAGTGGTATACGCTGGAGTGTATACGGAGGAGTTGTATACGATGACGATATACCACTCTCCACTCTATATCGTTGTTATAGACCCATGTTATACAACTGTAATTGGACTTAGAGTGGTATAATGATTTATATACCATATAATGGAAGTCATCACCACTTCTTGTGAGTTTTATTTTGACTATCACATGACTATTTCCATGTTTTATGTTTCACACATAGAAATGAAAAACCACCCCTTGCGAGCTTAAGTTTGATTATTATGTTTAACCAATTGATCGATAAGACAGGAGTTATACAAGGGTGAAATTGACAATAAATTGAAATGATTATTAAGTGGACCTCTTCATGTTATTTGCCTTTATCTCTAGTAAATTAGAAGATATTTGCCTGTCAATACTTGCTGTTGTTGATCCACTTGATCCCTTTAGTAAGGGATAATGTCAAAATGTTCACAGTATTGATATAAAGTTGAGGGGGAGGGGGGGGTGTGTAAATGATTGGATGTTTATAAAGAAAGAGAAAGGCAAAAAAGGAGAGAAGCATGATGAAATAGAAATGTTTTGTCAATTTGGACACCACCCCCAGTTCTTTTATGTGTAGGATCGTATTAAACTTAAGTATGTCTTTTCTTCTCCTTCTTCTCATATTAATTTAAAATTCATCGCAAAAACATATATCCAGGTTGGAAAATGCATTCATTGTGATGCTTTCTTCTTGAACAGAAATGTACAGAATGTGTCTCTGTAATAGTTGGTAGTATGTTTTGTGAAAACCTTTTCAACATGCAATGTACATTATGTTTGGCATTTGTGACACTTGACAAATACATGTCCTATCTTCATTATGATGAATCACACTGAAATTGACAATAAATGATAAAGAATTTAATGTTTAGTATATGGCTTATATTTGGGCATTATACCCAGGAGTTCTTATTCAATGGTTGAGTCTTTTTCATCATAAATGTCAAATTTTCCCAAAAATTCTGGGCTTATTTGAGAAATGATTCTTTTTTATCAGAAATTTGAAAAATATGAATTAAGAGAGTTCTAACATCAAGACCTTGGAATATTGAATCTCAGAATCCCTTGTTCAATCTGTTAAATCCAGTGTTACAAATTATCCGTGTTGTCTCCGCTGTTGCTACTGGGATTAACCTACAGTTGACAGAGCCACATTTTGAAGATTCATTGTAATTATACAAACCCCTGTTCATAGCCATGTTTTTTAGAATATTATATTATACTATAGAATCTTTAATTCTTTGTAAAGTCTATCATTACTGATAGAACTCGAAAGACAGAACTCAGAACTTTTATTCAAAGTTCAGGAAATTACTATTGATTTATGAATACTAAAGTAGCAACTTGTTCAATATTAACTAAGACTTCAGGTTAAGTTGCGGTCAGGAACTCAAATTGCAAAGTAAACTTAGTTTTATGGGATTCCAAATGAAAGATTGGCTGTAAAACAATACAATCAATGATTGTATGAAGACTCATTAAATGAATTGGGAGTGCTAATCTATACAGCATTAAATCAAAGTAAGAAACCTAAACTGATTTCAGAGCAAAATTTATTTTTTGCTTTTTAAAATAGGCCTAATCAAATATTTCAGCCCAAGTCGCTTAAAATGTTGACGTTTTTATGACACCAACAAAAGTTAATTATGACATATTGTTAGTCACCATTTTTGTGGTTTGCATTCGGTGTTGTCATTGGTGTCTGTATAGGCTAATAATTGTTCCACTCTTTAAGGTGGAAACATTTTGCCATGGTAATAATGCCTTGTTAAAAGGTGTTTTTGGGGCACTTAAGCACTGGTGATCCACTCGATTACGCTGGTTACCAAAACGGTTCGTCCCTTCAATGTTCCGACATTTTGTTATCGTAACGAGCCGTTTCAGTAACCAGCATAATCGAGGGGATCACCAGTGTTGAGGCAAACTCCTAGATATAGGTTATCCAGTTAATTATTTTCCCATGTTGTCTTTTCCAGGTCTACTTACCATTGTGAATGTGCTGAATGTCCGCTGGGCCACAAGGATCCAAGATCTATTCACAGCTGCCAAACTTCTTGCCCTTGCTATGATAACAGTCACCGGCCTTGTCGTCATCTTCATGGGTAAGTTAGAGCATGAGGTTTCAAAAAAAGAAAGCCCATGGTACAAGAAAGCCCATGGTACGAGAAAGCCCATGGTACGAGAAAGCCCATGGTACCAGAAAGCCCATGATAAGAGAAAGCCCATGGTAAGAGAAAGCCCATAGTAAGAGAAAGTGTCAAATTGTTTCAAAATTGTGGAGGGTGAGGAGGTAGTTTATGATTTCAGTTTATGATTATGAATGTTACAAAGTGGAAATGATCAGATATATTCAAAGGAAATAATTTATACCTATAGTACACATTGTTCATTTTTAGAATGCATCGGGTAGAAAAATTATGGTAAGTTAAAAGCTATAGTGATATTGAGCATAGTGCTGTCATAATGTTGACAGTTTAAATATAACAGTCTAACCTTTAACAAAAGATAATAATAGGGCTAATTTGTCATTATCAATGTTTTGTGACAATGTGCGAAGTTCAGGTACATTGTACTTTCCATTTACAAACATATTAAGATATGAACAACCAATAACAGTGCCTGGCAAAACACACCCTTTTTATGAGGGCTGTGCCAGAAGTCCTGAACTAATTACAGGTAACTCCAGGTTTCTATTATTCAGGGGCTGGAATTTCATTTTATCAACCCTCGTATTTTCTTGTTGAGTAGAATACTCTGCTTCAAACTAATCTTAATTTATGTGTTTTAAAATGTACAGTGAAACCTGTATATAAAAACACCTCATGTTTTGTGTGTTGGTCCAATATCTTTAAACTGCCAAAGATTATCCTTGTTCATAAAAACTTGAAATGTGAATACCTGCCAATCTGAAAACTTTGGGCTGGTCCCTTTGGTGTTCAGATAAGACAGGTTTTACTGTATAAATTGACAAACACGTTTAACACCAGATAGTATCACAAGATCATAACATGCAACAATTGCTGAAATCAACATGAATTGGTCAACTGTCTGTCCTGTCATCACTTAGGTAAAATCTCAATGACAGGATTTTGCCAATTTGTAGTTACTAGTGTCATTCAGTATTTTCTCAGTGGAAAAATATTGACCTGCTTTATATCTTATCCTCAGTTCGCAATAACAATTGGGTTTACTACTTAACATCAGTTTTATATATGTTACCAAAGAAAGAAAATAAAGCCCAAGGTCAGGTGAATCTAAGGTTTTAAAGAGACATACTGGCAAATAAATTTTCAATGTGATGTTTAAAGGAAAATGGCAATCATATGACATGACAAAATCAAATGAAAGATACTCATTAATTAATCCAAAATTAAGATTCAAAAGACTATGAAACTATTACTTTATTATTACTTTAGAAATGAAAGCTTCTATGGATTAAGCGTTCAAAAGAGTATTTGTTACTTTATATATGGAACAATTTTGAAAATGACATATTCAGATACCCCTCCCCTGTGCTCCATTCAACAGTAATGTTCCTTCTACAGACAGTCTGTATTTTGTAGAAAGCTTAATAAGAAGCAGATATTGTTTTGACATCAAAGCCTGAGCAAACGCTAATTGCAGCCTGAAGACAGGCCTGAAGAACAGATATATTTACAAGTGTTACTTTCTAAACAAATAAAAGAATTTGACAATATGTTTACCTAGACTAGGAGTAATTAAGAAAGCATGACTGAAATGAAAAAAAAACATAATTAGATGTCTAATTATGGAGAGGAGATGTTAAAGAGTTCATTGGGTGCAATCAGCCCCCCCCCACACTAAAAGAGAAAAAAACAATTTGAACATACTGAAAATACATAATTGGAAATCATTACCAAAAAAACATCTAATCTCACCAATTGACTTGAGTAACACAGTTATAAAAAATATTGGTGGAATATAAGAGGACACTTAAGAGGAGGGAAAGCCCCAGAGTTCAAAGATGACAGACATAATTACCTCTCTTGCTTACCACCTTTGTTCGTTCGAATTTTCATCGGCTAGTAATCAAAAACTACACTTCGATGGGATGTTTTAATTGATATAGGCATATTCCGTACACCTTTCTTTATCTTGATGTGAAATGAGAAGCTATGATATTGATTAACACGCCAGAAATGAACATAATATTATTCGAAGCGTATTTCGAAAATTTTGAAACCGCCATTGATGACGTCATTTGTTTGTCGACTTTTGACCAATCAGCGACGATGTCATCTTAATACAGATTTACATTATAAGCGTATGTCATCTTTGAACCCTGGTGTTTCTCCCCCTCTGAGGACACTTGGCACTTGATTCTTGGCTGCATAGAAACAAGTGAAATGAACATGCAGCATTAACCATTGACTATACAAACCTGATAGGTGAAAACTGTTTATAGCAGTACAATATATTTAGCTTCTACTCAATAGCTTTGGCTTTTCAGTGTTTCCTCTGTATTTTCAGGTGAAACAACCAACTTTGAGAACTCCTTTGATGGTACAATTAAGGACGTTGGAAAAATCTCGCTATCTCTATACTCAGGTCTCTTTGCATATGCTGGATGGTAGGTCTCGTTTAGTTTACCCCTAAATTGGCAAGCTTATATGTTTGTTCAAAAATTATATTATATAACAAGTATCAGGTCATATATTCTGGGACATGTACTTTGCATCTAACAAAAACTTTTATGAAAATATTAGAAAAAAACTTTAAAAAAAATCCAGGTATTTTGTTGTTGTTAAAGTTTTGGTAATAATACGAGACTATGGCCATGTATAGTTTGCCAAGGGTAAATGTTTATTGAAATACAAAAAAGAAGCTACAAATTGTATCCAGGTGCCCTGTCAAAATATAATGTTTGTGTTTGTTATAAAGGTATTGCTACATTTTCGCAAAAGGTGTAAATCTTGCAAAACATGATAAGTACCATAAAAACTGTGACCATATTGAAAGGCATTTACATTTAAGGTTTGCATCAGGTGGGAGTTATAGGATACCAAACATTTATCATATTTCAATATACTGTGAAACCTGTAAAGTGGAACACCTCTAGAAGTGGAACACCTCCAGAAGTGAAACACCTCTCTTAGAGGAACACTTTAAAGTCCCATGAAAAACTGAATTTATGTTAAATGAACTTCTGTAAGTGGAACACCTCCCAAGTGGAATACATTTTAGATGTACCAAAGGTGTTCCATTTAGACAGGTTTGACTGTATGCATCATCTAGCATCTCATATTTTGTTACACTTTAACACTTACAACAGCATGCCATATATGTATCAAATATGCAGGTTTTATATGTATTTGTCAACAGAATGAATGCATGTAGTGAACATAATACCACTTTAGGTACATGTACATACTTTCTAAACTTACCATTATATAACTTCTTACTTGTGTGTGACATACATATTGTAAATGCCAAATCCCATTAAATGAATTATAATGTCCCATACAATAAGGCAATCAATTCAAACCACCCACTTAAGACTGAATCAAATCAAGAAATAGTGAACAGGCATTTCCAATAAATTTGAGTCTATTGTAATTTCCATGTTCAAATATTTTAGCTTCCTACTCCATTATGGATCATTGAAAGCATTAAAATTGCTTATAAACTACTGTCTATTAAGGTAGAATAAATCACCTGTTAAGGTCAGCGGCCTAACCAGGATTTTGATAGCAGGTACGTGAGGCCGAAGGCCGAGCAAAACTAGGAGGGTCTTGGGGCATACAAGGCCCCTGAATTTCCATTTCCATTTTCCAAAAATTGATTTTAGGACTTATGAACTCAATTATCAATTGGATTGTTTATGCATCAGTTAGAAAAATGTACAAATAATTGAACTAGAAACTTCATTTTTACTAACCCCATGGCAATAAGTATTTTAATACAAAGAAGATTAGTTCCATTTTGGTTTTCAAGCCATTTGACACCTTTGGATTTGGATTCAATCCTTACACCTTGCAAAATTTTGTACACGTTATTTGTTGTTTTTTGGATAATGGATAAATAAATCATGATGTTATAAATAAGCAAAACAGGCAAATGAAATCATATCAATTAAATCTCCAGTCAAAATAAAGAAAATTTCTAATGTTACTTCTCACTAACAGAATTGATCGTAGGAGAAACAACGCAAATGAATTCTGATTTGTCAGAGTCCTCTTTGTCAAATGCTTTTAAGAGATCGTTGAGGCTGTAATGTGTTAATTCATCAAATACTTCCAAATTATGTACAATCGTACATGTATTTATTTATTAAAAACCTCATTTTTCAAAAGCGTGCTATTACAAAACCATATGTCCCAAAACTGTAACAAAAGTCAGGTAGTGACGTTTTGCATGTTAAAGCCTTGATTTTATCATGTCACCAATGTTTTGTCACCACCACAAGTGATGACACATTGTTGAAGTCTCCAACTTTTTTGTGGACAGTGTTTTGCAGTAGGTGTTTGGCAGTTGGTTTTCAGCATTCAGCATTTGGCAATCGACATCTTTAACAAATAGAAGGTGGTGACATTTTGCCTTGTTAATGTTTAAATATGGGTTTTTGGGAAAGTAACATCGCTTATCAAACATTGTCAGGGATCTCTCCACACAATAAACTTTTGATAAGACGTGACCCATAAATAAATGAAAAAATAAATATGAATTCAGAATAAAATATTTTCAATTGTATCATTGCAGGAACTTCTTGAATTGTGTGACAGAAGAACTTCAGAATCCTTACGTGAATCTCCCCAGAGCCATCTATATTTCCTTGCCTATCGTGTCTGTTTTCTATGTCATGGCTAATATATCGTATTACACTGTGCTGTCACCAGCAGAGGTGATGGCTTCTAATGCAGTGGCTGTGGTAAGTGAGCTATTGTAATTCTACCCTTTGTAAACTGTTTGACTTCCACCCCTCTTAAGAAGAGCTAGGAATTTTACTTTGAAAATCTCGGTCTCAGGATGATATTATTTATTTCTATTTCTATTTGTAATCCCATTTGTTTAGTGGATGTCTTGTAAGAGGTCATTTCTTTCATTAAACATTCCAAATGAAAATTCATCCTGTGTTGTTATTGTAGACAGATATTTTGCAAATTATATGAAATTATTTTTTTGTGTTTATTTGTTATCAAATGAAATGCATATATTTTGGTGCATTTTAGACATTTGCAGACAAGCTGTATGGTGTTATGGCCTGGATAATCCCAGTATTTGTGGCACTAAATAAACTTTTGATAAGACGTGACCCATAAATAAATGAAAAAATAAATATGAATTCAAAATAAAATATTTTCAATTGTTTCATTGCAGGATATTATTTATTTCTATGTCTACTTGTAATCCCATTTGTTTAGTGGATGTCTTGTAAGAGGTCATTCTTTAATTAAACAGTGTTTTTATTATTACTCTCTATTGAGCTCCGAATGAAAAGTCATCCTGTTCAGTCATTGTAAACAAATATTTTGCAAATTATATGAAATTATTATTTTGTTATCTAATTACATGCATATATTTTGGTGTATTTTAGACATTTGCAGACAAGCTGTATGGTGTCATGGCCTGGATAATCCCAGTATTTGTGGCACTATCAACATTTGGTGGGGTCAATGGACTACTCTTCACATCTGGCAGGTATGGACAGACATGTCTAAAGTGAAAACACCTGGATCCAGGGGACACAATGAGGATTTCAGGCCTTTTGTTCAAACCTAAATCCTGGGCCAGTTATCCTTCAATTTTCTATACTTCATAACATGATTAAATCATCAGTTGGTCTGCAGTTGGTTGATCATTTCAGCAGGCTTTAATTAACAAATATCATGTTTTCACCTAGTGTTCAGGCCATAAAGCTATTCACAGACAAACTTGACTATATGCACTCTGATACATTCAAAGCAGACATTCTCTCAAATCAACACATATATTGACCCCTTTTCAATTTGTCCTACTAATTATCCCACCGAAAAATGTTCGAGAGGGATATAGGAAAGCCGTCCGTCCGTCCGTCTGTTTGTCCGGGCGATAACTCAAATACCGTTTCACGGATTTGATTCAAATTTTATAGGCTTATGCCTTATGGGTGTAGGACCTCTGCTCGAGAAGGAATTTTCAATATGGCCACTGAATTCAAAATGGCCACCATTTTTCTTAAAAAATGTAATCTTTAATAACTCAAATACTAGTTTGCGGATTTGGTTCAAATTTTATATGCTGATGCCTAGGGACAAAGGAGTTTCGCACAAAAAGAGATTTACAAGATGGCCACTTAATTTCAAAATGGCAGCCATTTTTCGTAAAAATATGTAATCTTTGATAACTCAAATACCAGTGAACGGATTTGGTTCAAATTTTTTATGATGATGCTTAGGGACACAGTTGCTCTGTTCGACAAAACATTTTCAAGATGGCCGCTTAATTTCAAAATGGCGGCAATTTTTCGTAAAAAACGTAATCTTTGATAACTCAAATACCAGTGAACAGATTTGGTTGAAATTTATATGATTATGCCTAGGGACACAGTAGCTCTGTTCAATAAATTTTCAAGAAGGCGGCTGATATTCAAGATGGCGGCCCATATTCATAATAAAAAACGTAATCTTTGATAACTCATATACCAGTGAACGGATTAGGTTCAAATTTTATATGCTGATGCGTAGGGACAAAGGAGTTTCGCACAAAAAGAGCTTTTCAAGATGGCCACTTAATTTTAAAATGGTGGCCATTTCTTGTAAAAATATGTAATCTTTGATAACTCAAATACCAGTGAGCGGATTTGGTTCAAATTTTATATGATGATGCTTAGGGACACAGTAGCTATGTTCGACAAAACATTTTCAAGATGGCCGCTTAATTTCAAAATGGCAGCAATTTTTCGTAAAAAAACGGTATCTTTGATAACTCAAATACCAGTGAACAGATTTGGTTGAAATTTTATATGATTATGCCTAGGGACACAGTAGCTCTGTTCAAGAAATAATTTTTGCGGCTGAATTTCAAGATGGCGGCCCATATTCTTAAAAAACGTAATCTTTGATAACTCATAAACCAGTGAACGGATTTGGTTCAAATTTTTTATGATGATGCCTAGTTCACAATGGTATAAACTAACTCTGTGCCAAATTTCATGCTTTTATCACAAAGTACACAAACATTTCAACATTTACACTAGCTATAATAAGCATAATATGTTTTGTTCGGTGGGATTTGCTACTCCGTGGAGTTGCTGTTTTTCTAGTTTTTGCGGATTTGCTGTTTTGAACATTTGGCGTCTACTTAATTTGGCGGACTTGCAAGCAATATTGAAATGTATACACAGCCATTCTGCAACAGTACCGAGCGGTACCGTTTTGGAAATGGTACTGTACAGTATCGTGAAATATGGTACCATACTCTTAATGTATCACATGGTACCATGATTTTAGAGTGCAGATTGGAGGTGTATACCTTCCTTTATAATTGAAATATGGAATATTGAATTTGGTCCCTCCTAAATTTGGCAGACTCCACCAACTCGAAACAGCCGCCATATTAAGTAGATGTACAGTGTGAGTACAATATGTATAGATAGAAAACATCTGGATTGAATTTTTTGTGAAATGTACGTATGTTTTTAGATTGTTCTTTGTTGGTGCCAGAGAAGGTCAACTCCCAGATGCCATGGCCATGATTCATGCCAAACGTTTCACTCCAGCACCTGCTCTCCTTTTCACAGTGAGTTCACTTCTGCAATAGTAAGATGTCACTATGTCAGAATCCTTTACCCTCATATCATTCCCTGTGACATGTGTGATGTCTAGCAAGTCTATTTTCTAGAAATCTCAGAAGTTCAGACCTAAGGTGGTTGTTTACAATACATTGTTGATAGGTTTATAATGAGCTATCTCTTATGACCTGTCTCTATGTCAGAATCAGTTGGCATCATACCATTCCTTGTGAATACTATTTTCCACAAATTTCTGCATTCAAAATCTTACTCAACATTTTTGAAATGATGTTGTCTCAGTTTTAAAATATGGTGATGTTGTACATTCCAGGGTGGCTTATCTATATTGATTTAAAAGACCTGATTCTGTAGATCTTATAATCTAGATGTAATTAGATATGATTATAAGACATGTATACATCTTATAATCTAGATTTTTTGTATCTTTTCAGGGTGGCTTGTCTATAGTAATGCTCGTCTCTGATGATATTTTCTCACTTATTAACTACATGAGTTTTGTGCAGTGGTTCTCAGTAGGTCTCTCCGTACTGGGACTTATATACCTGAGATATAAAAGACCTGAACTGCCCCGACCAATCAAGGTAAGAGAATACAACTCATATTAATCAATATAGAACACAATATTGTATACAATTTAATCAATATAGAACACAATATTGTATACAATTTAATCAATATAGAACACAATATTGTATACAATTTAATCAATATAGAACACAATATTGTATACAATTTAATCAGTATAGAACACAATAGTGTATACAGTTTAATCAATATAGAACACAATTGTGTATACAATTTAATCAATATAGAACAAAAAAAATATTGTATACAATTTCTCAATATAGAACACAATAGTGTATACAATTTAATCAATATAGGACACAATATTGTATACAATTTCTCAATATAGAACACAATAGTGTATACAATTTAATCAATATAGGACACAATATTGTATACAATTTGTATCAGTTTACAAGCTAGAGCTCTACAAATAACTTCCTCTGTCAAACAAGGCATATGCTTTTCTTATCCTTATCTTGTGTTTATGATGCATGGAAATGCAATATGAATGATGGTTGGCTTCTGATCATGATAATACTGCAATGTACAAACGTGATGCAACATTGTTTTGCTTTAAAATGACAAACATTTGATTTAATAGTTTACAATTGTTGACTCAGGTCCAAAGGTTGACTTGCTAAATTGTATTCTTACAACCATAACATTATTGTTGTTCATGGCTGTAGTTTTAAGAAAAACAATTAGTATTAACATCTACAAAAGAGACATTCAGTTTCCATGGATAATTTAATTCACACCCAATTGCCCAATCTTACCTGAGATATTGTGAGGTAGTAATACTTTTATTTTATTTGTTGTTTTTCAGTTCCCTATCATCATTCCAATAAGTTTCCTTATAATCTGTATCTTCCTATTGATCGTGCCTCTGTATGCAGCACCAGTAGATACAGGGATAGGTGTCGCAATTGTAGCTTCGGGAGTACCTGTTTATCTTATTGGCGTGAAATGGAAAAATAAACCAAAGAGTTTCTTAAGATTTACAGGTAAGATTTTGACTTAGGTTTATTCTTCAATGAGTGATGCAAAAGCATAAAATTATTTGTAAATGTCATGGAGGAGAGTAATTGGCTGATGGGATTCAGGGTAAACTGGGATGTAAATTCAAATTCAGGGTAAACTGGGATGTAAATTCAGATTCAGGGTAAACTGTAATGTAAATTCAAATTCAGGATAAACTGTAATGTAAATTCTAATTCAGGGTAAACTGCAATGTAAAATCAGATTCAGGGTAAAGTATGTAATGTAAATTTAGATTCAGGATAAACTGTGATATAAATTTAGATTCAGGGTAAACTGTAATGTAAATTCAAATTCAAGGTAAACTGTAATGTAAATTCAAATTCAAGGTAAACTGTAATATAAATTCAAATTCAGTGTAAATTGGAATGTAGATTCAGGATAAACTGCAATGATAATTCAGATTCAGTGTAGACTTCAATGTAAAATCAGATTCAGAGACTTCATTCAACCCATATCGCATATACAAAGTGCAATTTTCATCTTGCACAAATATGAATATAGATTCATATGTGGTAGTATATGTACCTTTTTACAAAACATATTTGATATTTCTTGCAGCTCATATAACTAGGACTCTACAGAAAGCTCTCTGGGTTGTATCACAAGAAAGTTAACCCCTTGCCTGCTGAGCTCTAGGAAATGATGCTTTACACATTACCACTGAGGCAACAGGGTCAAGTTTGGAAAGAAAGAGTTAACTCTGTGGGGGTTAACATGAATATAGTTCAAGGCATTTCATGAGGTGTTGGAAAAAAACATGTATTTGTGTCAGGTGCAAGCCGGCTGTTCATTGAAATTATCGTGAATAACGATCCCAAATGTAGCTTTCTCATTTTCTTCCGCATTATTATCCCATCGAACGAAGTTCGGAGGGATATAGGGAACGCCTCCGTCCGTCCGTCCGTACGTACGTCCGTCCGTCCGTCCGTACGTCCGTCCGTCCGTACGTACGTCCGTCCGTCCGGGCAATAACTCAAATACCGTTGGCCCGATTTTGTTCATATTTTGTACACATATACCCTATGGGGGTAGAAGTTCTGCTCGAAAGCCGATTTTCAAAATGGCCGCTCGTTTCAAAATGGCGGCCATTTTAGTGACGATTTTACAGTAATTTAGGTGCAATATGTAAAACTGTAATAGCAATATGTTTTAAATGTAAGAAAATTATAAAGGACATTAATAATGCTACAAATGTAGATATTAAAGAAGCACATGGCAGCCATCTTGAAAAATGGCGGCCTTTTCTCGTCATTTTACGATTTTTGCTGTAACTCAAAAAATAGTGGAGCGATTTTGTTCATATTTGGTATGTGAATACTATAAGCATTGCAGACTGTCTAAAGACACTATGGTAGAAGGCGGCCATTTTGAAAAATGGCCGCCATTTTAACGTATTTTACTATAACTCGAAAAGTAGTGGAGCGATTTTGTTCATATTTGGTATGTGAATACTATAAGCATGGCACACTGTCCTATGACACTTTTGGTAGAAGGCGGCCATTTTGAAAAAAAATTTTGAAAAATGGCCGCCATTTTAACATATTTTACTATAATTCGAAAAGTAGTAGAGCGATTTTGTTCATATTTGGTATGTGAATACTATAAGCTTGGCACACTGTCCTATGACACTTTTGGTAGAAGGGGGCCATTTTGAAAACAATATTTGAAAAATGGCCGCCATTTTAACGTATTTCACTATAACTCGAAAAGTAGTGTAGCGATTTTGTTCATATTTGATATGTGAATACTTTAAGCATGGCACATTGTCTAATAAAACTTTGGGGAGTAGTCGGCCATTTTGAAAAATGGCCACCATTTTTATGTGTGTTATTTTACAAGTACGTGTGCGATTTTTCAAAAATTTTAGAGGTGGCTACTTAAAAGCATATTATTTCTTCTGATGGCAACTTGGCTAGTGAGCAACCATTTTGAAAATGGTGGCCTTTCTGGTGTGTTGTTTTATGATATTTGCGCTTCGTTTGTAAAAATGCCAGCCATTTCTGTTCGATGGGATTCGCTACGCTTTGGCGTTGCCGTTGTTCTGGTTTTCATTTTATTTTTTTCATTGTCAAATGAGTGTAATATACAACTCAAAATTCACATCAACTTATTGAGCATAAATAAAAGTTTTTCGTTTAGTTTATGCAGGCAGTTCCCTGGGTAAGATCTTGTCCACTGGTCAATTTTGGGTAATTTGATACAGTTTAGTTGATGTTTCAATGAGATGGAGGATAATAACATTTGAAATTTCTGTATAGGGAAACTTGTAAGTAGGGAATGTTCTCTGTACTGGCAGAAATCATCCTTTGGATACAGTTGTCCCTTTAAAAGAGGTATTCCTTTGAACAGATTTGAACAGGCCTCCAAACTTTAGCCAGGGAACTGCACAGAGAAACATGTGTGTCCGTGTATGTACATGTAGGTGTATATTTACATGTTTTTTTGGAATTTGAGTGCTATGTTCATCGACATCATTCTTATATTGGTGTATGTAAACAGTATATGTATCATCTTGATTTTTTATTTACATGGGTTTCAAAGTTAAAATTACAGGGTGTGTCATAACCACTGTCCAATATGGCAATGTCAAGTAAATGTTACAATGGACAAGCTGAAGTGTCTTAACAACTGGTCTGCTGATTCAGTTTTGACCAGTGAGCCTAGTACCCTTATGATGCACCCTAGATATAACTGCAATTGAGAGTTATTTATATAGTGTAGTTAATATGCAGACAATAAAATTGTAATTTAAAGGGATGTCTGGAATTTCCGCAATGTAATTTGGAGTTAAATAAGTTGTCAACTGTAAAATGCATGTTTATAAAGATATGTACATGTACATAAGGACATGTTCATAAGGATATGTTCATAGTACTAAGGGCATGTTCATATGGATATTTTCATTGTACTAAGGACATGTTCATAAGGATATGTTCATAAGTGTATGTTCATAGAACTCAGGATATGTTCATAATGATATGTACATGTACTACATGTGACAGCCAGAGTTGCGAATCTCGATGACTAACATCTTAATTAAAGAAATTTGTACAATATCAACTAAGAGGATTCAGACAGCATACAGTGCAGTGCCAATATGATTCTTCCAATGAAAATATTTCTCTCAAATCATTTTCACATAAATGGTTCATGTACTCATATATTATTAATGTGAGACTTATTTTTGTTTTTACCTCATTTTGAAGATCTACTCAGTGCTCTTTTCCTGTATTTAATAGGTTGTATGTACCTAGGCAGCTAAAAGTAGTAAAATTAAAAGTACTTGTTCACTTTAAGAACTAAAACATTCTGAGGATTAGAATATCATAAATGATTATAAAACATTATTAACTGACATGGGAATTCATAAAAACAGATATGTAATTACTACATATGAATATTTTACAAAATACACTGTCTTATTCTCCTATCAGTGTTGATAGACCATACAGTCTATGAATGTTATATGCATACTATAGATACAATTGGATTGCACCTTATAGTACTAAAGGAGCAGTGTCATTCTCATCTTCAATATCTTCAAAATGTTTTACAGATACAGGCCCTTTAAATTCATTGTTGTCAGAAAAGGGCAGAATGCAGAAAATATATGTGACAACAAGTAGTCATATCAGGAGTCAGTTACTAATAAATAAAAAACTATAATATTACCTTTACATTTTTGAGAATGTATGCACCCCTTATATGGCAAAAGACACTGAAACACTGTAGTCAGTAGTTATGTAAGGAAAAGTTTTTTTTTACTCAAAATTATAATTTTCACATGGAAATATTATCACTTGTTGACTGCTAAAAGAAATGTATTTAAATGGAGACTTATTTCAAAGAAGGTATTCTAATTACTTAAAAACATTTCAATCCAATGTTTGCATACTATTTAGTACTATTGTCTACCAATTACATGAGATTAGACTAAGGGGAATGGTTAACTATAGAGATGTATGCTTACAACCCACGATTACAATTTTGTTGAAGTTTTTGGAAAGGGTGACCATTTTTTTGATCTGGGTACAATTTTTTCGGGAAGTAAATTTTAGGGGGAGGGGGTGAGAAAGAGGGGACAGTATCAAATATAAAAGATGTTCATCAATATACTGACTGACCCAATCCCTTGGTGGTATAGTATGATGCAATGAAATTATTTAATTAAAACTTATTTATTTTTGCTGACAGTCAGATATGTGTTCACATTATAATAAATCAACAGTGTATCACCAATTAAAGGCTTATTTCTGAATTTTCATATTTATTATTTGGTAAGGATATAGGGTAACCTATATAATTTTGATATTTGATGGATATGATTCTTATCCATGCATGACAGATGAAGTGTAACTATCGGTTACAAACAGATGCATTGCTGTTTTTATGTCACCACCAGAAGTGGTGACATATTGTTATACTGTCCAACTTTTTTGTGGATGGTGTTTGGCGGTTTTCGGCGTTTGTTACAAATAGCGGTCAGTGTTTGTAACAAATGGGAGGTGGTGACAATTTGCATGTGAAATGCCTTGTTATAAAATGCCACATGAATTCTTTTGATGTCTTCATATAATATGAATTGATGTTAGATTAACTATTAAAAATAGGAAGTATGATTTGAAGATAATTGGATCACAACTGCATTTTATATGATTATTAATACAATACAACAAAATAAATTTTTCATGGCATTTCTATTTTGGCTCACATTTCACGAATGATCTTGTTTATCAAAAACTGGCATTTATTCAAAGGTACAGCCTTTGGGATTGTCCAACCATGACACGTTTTCTATTTAATGTGGTCATTCAAAAACGTAAGATGAGTTTACATAATTATTTTGTGTAACCTCACCATATGACATTATAGTCTTTCAGTTCAAATATTTTCAGATGTAAACACATGAACTTTCAATTAGAAGAGGTATTGCTTAAAACTGAAAATACATGCTTGAATCTTTGTTAAATTATAAATGTAGGTCTCAAAACATGCTGAGCATGAATTTTTGTGACGCAGTTTTTACGATCCTGGAATATCTAGTACTAACAGTGTACATAGTACAATGTAGTATATTGTTCATGAAATGCAGTGTTACTTTTATTTCTCATGTGATATGTAATTTGTGAATGGGGATATCATATTGTGTTTATTATGTTATAAAATTGTGTTCATGTATGACATTGTGTTCATGTTAAAATGTTAATGCCTTTTACTTAAAGAAATAAATTATTGAACAAGGAATTGTAAATGACTTTTTCCATTTTATTTGTAAATATAAAAAGATACAAATTTTTTAATATAAATTACACTTCCCTTCTTAAGTTTGCCACACCCACTCCTTGATTCAGGACAAAAAGTGAAAGCCTTGTATGTTTGACTATTTGAAAGTAATTCTAATAAAATCATTCCTTACTTAATGCAGCTGAAGAAATGATTTTATCATGAAATAACAGTTCACAACACAAAGTTAGATAAATTATTTGAGGAAAAATCCCTCAAGTAAACTTTATAAAAATTAATGCTTCAATCATATAATTCATTCACGTCATTTTGAGTTAATAATCCACTCAGCATCATAATGTAGTTCCTTTATGGGCAGTTAGAATAATGAAGGTATGCCACAGCAGCACTTACTGTGCACCCCCACAAAAATATGGCACTGCTCTTCTTAAAACTAGCATCTTATTTTTTCATACATTTCTTCACAATACTGTCAAATGTAAATATATAGAATAGTCCAATCAGCCTAAATATTCCCATTGAAAGTACTTGTATGACAGCATCTGACAGGTGTGTGACAGGTGACATTCCAGCATTAACACTGGTTAACATAAGGCCATCTATTCCCAATGATATGTTGAACTTCCTCTTCTGTAAATAAAATATGATCAACAGATATAACTACATAATCTAAAACCCATTAATATGCTGATTTTAATGATCATTTCATCTCTTTACTATGACCACATGTATTAGCATTCATCAATATACATGTCCTGGATGAGAGCAGAGATATATGTCTCTGATGCAGTAGAAATAATCTTGATTTAAATTTAGTTAAAGGGATATCATATTTGAAATCTACATCTAAAATTGCATCTAGAAATGTGATTTAAAAAAGTATTTACCAACTTTGAAAAATTAATCTTTTTTGAACTTCTAGGTGTGACACTTCTAGGTTGGGGAGATTCCCCATAGATCCCATGTTACAAAATCACAAAATGTGAAATATCATTTCTTGTGTTGAGCAGATATTTTCTTTTACTGGACATATTTCTGTTTGTATATCTATCAGACACATAAGGATCATGTGAGAATTGATGCACTAAACTGATAATATTGAAGTTTAAAATAATAAAAAAATACCACAGGGCTAGGTACATACATTTTCTGTACCCCTAACGACTGAACAGAGAGGGGTTTGAAAGCTTTGTGCCTAGTCCTAAGGTATTTATTACTCAATACCTGATCTGAGGTCATGAATCGAACATGAAAACGTGCAAAATCATCACTTTGTTTCCTACTTCCAGTTCAGCGTTTAGCACTGAATGAAACACTCAGTGCAGACCAGGTATTGTATCAACGAATAAATACTGGGTGAAATATTGACTTTGTTCACAGTTTATAGAAGCTGTGAATAATACAGTCATGTTTGAATTGAAAATATAAATCTACAATACATGCAAAATAACACAACCATACTATACCTTAGCTCCCTCTATAATTGTTTGAGCAACTTGTTCTGGTTGGTACACTCCTGCAGCTTCAGATATTAATTTAGTCTCTTCTGGCTGAAACACATACATGTACATGTAATTTATATAGTAAATCTTGGTATGTATCAGGTACTTGTATGTTCATAATGAAATGATTATTTGGACATTTTTCAAAAATGTCAGTAAAGAAATAGAGAGTGTAAAATGTTTGAAGCATTTTTGAAGTGCCCTAACAACTCAACTCCCTTTCACTATCATAAAAAACAAAGTCACAATAAAAATGCTTTCAGGATATATATGGGAAATGTATGACCAAGGATTTCATTCCGCCCATTGCCAATCACCTCAACCCCTTCGCATTAGTCATATGCTACTGTATCGTACTGTAGAATCATACTCAAAGATTCCCTTTCTTTATCCCTTAAATGATTGTTAGGCTTTACCTTAGATATGTTTTCTGCTGCTAAACCTGGTGTGTCAGTATCTGGTGGGTAAACTACACTGACCATCACATTATATGGCTTCATCTCCATGTGCAGAGACTGTGCCAGGCCATTCAGTGCAAATTTGGAAGAGGCATAGGCTGTGTAGCCAAATAGCCCAATCTGACCTGCCATTGATGAGACCATTACAATCTGCCCTCTGAGTTGCTCCTTCATGGATTTAATGACACATTTTGTGGTGTAGACTGTTCCCAAAAAGTTAAGATTCAACATATTCTGGAAATAAAAATTGTCTGGTACAACCATGACAATAACATCACCAAATTAGCTAATACACAAAGCTACCTTAGCTATGATACCACCAAGTAAACTCAATCAACTAATTTTTGGGGACCCTGATCAACGAGATAAAGACCAGACTTGTTTTTTCATGACTAGCTCAGAGGCAGGCTTTGCAAAGTACAAATAAATACAGAAAAATAATTTCTTGAAAATAACTATGTCCCAAAGTACATGTATGCCTCAAGGAAGTATAATAGCCTACCCTATTTTGATTATGTTTTGCCTCATCTACAAACTTAGATTTGCCTCCCCTAGTTTGGATCCTAACTAATACCCTGATCCCAAGTATGTATCCCCTCAGTTGAACCTAAGTAAGGATGTTTCATACAATACCTGGAATTGTTCAGGGGTTGTATCCTGGAATGTACTAGCTTCTGCATATCCTGCACAATTCACTAGAACTTCAACCGGACCCAGCTCCGCCTCAGCCTTAAAGCATGTGGTATCACTCTCATTTATATTTCAGTAGCAACATATAGGAATAGGCACACAGTGAATGAAGAGGCATGATAGTGAGGTAATTTATAAGCTATTTTGTTCAGTGCACATGTAAAAGTTCGATCAATGGTTATCTTGAATTATAAAAATTGTTGTTTCATTCCCGGGTTTCATTCCTAAACGTACTTGAGAGAACCATCATTATAAACATGTCTGTTTTTGTTTTGATGTTTCCACTTTTTAAAAACATATTGGACATTCATATACCGTACCGGGGAATGGCATACCTGATTTATAGCTGTCTGCAGCAAGTCATAATCTTTTGTGATGTCAACAGATTTACTGGATACACGCTAGAATAACAAACAAACACATTTATGCCAAGATTGTAGGATGAATGAATTGGATAACATGAAGGGCTACTGAGGTCATATTTCTGTCTTTAAATTCTTCTTACTTTGAAAACTTGTTTTGCTGATACACAGTCAGACTGATAACTCTCATAAACTTAATCTAGTGAAGATTTATTTCAATATCTAACTTGGATGGAGAATGGAGTTGTTCTTATTGTTTGGATAAGATTTTATTTCTTATTGTTTCAATTTGCAATAAAATATAAGGTAGTATAGGGTCTAGAATAAATGTTTCTTATTTTATCCTACCTGATTACTGTTAATTGTGTATTTCTTGAGTTCTTCTCTGGCTTCTTCTAACTTTGTCTGAAAAATATATTGACAATATAAAATATAATATATAAGTCAAAATGATATCTAAATAAGCAAGAAATTTAATTCTACTTTTCTACTTTTTTATCTCTTCCTATGCCTGAACCAACCCCTCCCCCAAACCCATCAGTATTACATATATGGCCCATATTTCAAAACCTGTAATGTGCTGATCATAAATAATACCATTTTCTGGATCAGTCTGTAGATGATAAGTATACACAGAGCTACCTGTGTATAGTGAACACCCTTCAAACACAGACTTCTGTATATAAACACCTCTCTGTAGCAAACACCTACCCTCAGTGAACACATGGCTCCATAGATATTCACTGTACACAGGCTTTACATATATAAACATGTAATAATTTACATGCCTCTGGTATACATGAGGCCAAAACCATGATGTAAAACTAACATATATTCACCTTATTCCTAGCAATGATAGTAACATGGGCACCTTGCTTAACTGCCTCAATAGCAACTGCCCTCCCTATACCACTGCTACCTCCTGTTATCTGTAATAGCAAGAAAAACCAATAATCAGTGACCGAAATATCAGAATTACATACTGACTGGAGACCATCTCTAAAATACATACTAGAAATAAACCCAATGTATAAATGAGGTATTTAACAATAACATAGCAATGATATTGACAAATTTTTTATGCTTTACCGATGAAAGCAGTTACGAGTGTTAATATTAGTTTCTTCTATATGCAGTTGAATATTTGATGTTTATACATGTAGATATAGCTATAGGGTTTAAATGTAAATTGACTATTCCGAGCGGAGACATCGTTAATTTGGCACACATAAAAGACTAAAAGTTCATTACCTAAGGGTGTGTCAGTTATTATTTGCATGACGCATTGCACTGAGTAAAGTTTTTCAGTTTGTCTATTTCACAAAGCACAGCATTGCCCTCTGAACTTTTGTGAAACACACAGAAAGTTGTATCAAGTCCTTTTTGGTCATTTACGCCAAAAAACAACAAGAACTTATAAAAAGGATTTGATACAACTTCCTACTATATGTTGGAACACAATCTCTATTTCCATAGGATAAGGATTATGCATCTTTCTAGATTCAATATTAGGGTATGCCTGTGGTTTTGCATCACAGGAAAACTGAATCAACTGACGGTATAAAATTGCTATACCAGCACATGTTATTTTCTGGTACAAAATAAAGTATGAAGACATGTGTCAATTGCCTTGTGAATATGGCATATATTTTCCAGGTCCTGCCACCTAATAGATGTCAGGAGTTAATAAAGGTTCCTGTGTTTTGTACTATATCTCAATTTTTAGGAAATTATCTAAAAAAACATTGAAAATGAAATGACATTTGATTTGAAGCAATTTTATACACGTGAGAGATATTGATACATACCATAACATGGGCGTTACTTAGCGATAAAGGTCTTGGGTTGAAGAAGCGGCAAATAATTGCATATGCAATTGAAACACATGCTAAAACTAGCAAAATGAACAGTAACATTTCAAATTTTTTTACTTCCTCTTTTCAATTTTTCTGCCTCCTCTACAGGAGAGCAGATTGTACTAAAAAGCGAACGTTTTGTTTTTAACAATAAGAACGTTTGTATTTTAACGCTTTAAAAGCATATGCTAATGGAAAAGTACTGTCTTATAATCAATTATTCCCAAATGATTTTAGTTTCCGCCGTATTTAAAGATGTCGCGTCGATTTATCTGTCCTCCGCGCTAAGAATTCTGGGATAGCTACATTCAAAATGTACGCGAAATACACAAGCAAACAGGTTCAATTGGAACTTATTAAGCGGGGTTTGGATGCCTCCGGAAGGAAAAGCGTGATGTTGGATAGGTAGTTCTGTTATCAAACATTCATATTCATTTGGAAAGCCGATCGCCGATTTTTCAGGTTATTTGCTGTCTGTAAATGTAGGTCAGTTGACCTTCAGCTGTTTCACCGAAAAGGCCTACAGTTTCATCCTCAATTTATAAAATTATTCGGCGCTAAATACACCCTCTATTTCGGTTTTATGTGTAATTATCTTTATTCCCGTCAATAAAGGATATCTTACAGCTTAATATTTTGGATTTTTGAAGTTTTATCAACTTACCGTGCTGAGTATTTGCTACTTACAAACTGTAGTACATTTACACCTGACCTGATCAATACATACAGATGTACAGCTGGGTTTACAACTGCAATTCTTGTGTTCTGAGATTTTAGGCTTGTTAATAGGACAATATCCCCTTAGTTACCATAAGGAAAAATGCATTATTCAAATTACAGTGCATCATATGTGTTGTTTTTTGTAGGTGAGCTGCCTGGTTATCATTAATTTGCTGTTTCATTGTTGCCTCATCCATCCTACATGTACTGTATCCTACATTTGGGGTTTTGAAGTTGTTGGTAACCACTGGAGGAGCACTGGGACACCTCAACTACCTATTGTAGACATCAAGGGCCAGCTAATTTCATGGTTAAGGGTCATCCCCAATGAGCCGATGATTCACAATATTCCTTATGGCATTTTTACACAGTGCTTAGAAAGAGGTAACATCCTTTTCATAGTATTCTTACTTTGCAAATCTATACTTTCAGACTATATCAGCATGATAATCAGGTCTTCAAAAGATTTGGTGTAAGTAATGTTGAAGATGAGGTGTTTGGTGGTATTGATGATTGGCCTACCACTAATTTCAAGACTCTTACTGTTGAGCACCAGTGTTTAGTGCCCAAAATATCAGATCATACAATTACTAATTATTTCATCGAGAGAATATCTATGGACAATCAAATGTCAGGAGATATTGAAGCTTTGAAAAAGGGAAGGGCAATGATGAACGGGCTTAAAGTAAACGCCCTCAGCATTAATCTAGAGAATGAAGATGTCTTATTCTTGACGGGGTTTACAGCTGCTTCAATGAAAAAAAAGGTACATAATATAATCAAGTTGTTGCACAAATGTTGATGTTAATGATGTTAAATCCTTTATTTTGTTGTTGTTTTAGGTGACTTGACAAACTTCTGTACTTGCTCATATTTGATCCAAGTAGAACAAGCCATATTCTGTAATTGTGCCAAGTAGTGATGATCAGATACAGATCTGTAATAAGCCTATAAGTAATTCACAGGTAAATATCTTACACTTTATATATCTCTTTCAATTATCTGTAATATAAATATTGCAGGTAACTTACAACTTCAAGATAAGTTTGAGTAGGAAAGGTGAAGGCATTCTGCAAAGTCACTGTGAATGCCCTGCTGGTGTAGGACCAAATGGCACTTGCAAACACATTGCAGCAGTGCTACTTATGCTGGTCCATTTTGTGGAGCATGGAGAGAGATTGATGGCTAGTTCTTGCACACAAAATCTTCAAACATTTCATCATCCATCTAAGCCATTTACAGGTACTTACATAATGTGAACTATTGTTTGTATTAAACTTTGATGATTTTATTTTTTCAGCTATTTTGTTGATGGTTCTTATTTGGGTTGTACTAACAGTTGGTGACCTTCGCCAGAGACTTGATTTTACAACCTGTCATTTCTATTTGGAACGGGGTTGTTTCTGATTTTTATTGTAAATTTAAGTTAATAAAACACATTGTACTTTATTTTAAACAATTTACTAAAAATCCTTGTTTTGTTCAGTGCACTGTTAGGCCATAGAAACAAGTCCAAGCATATTTGACAACTCTTCCAGACAACTCATCCCCCATAGAGGCAACTTGTCCAGTTAACTCATTCCACTTATAGACAACTCACCCAGTTAACTCTTCCCCTATATACAGGGTGGGCCAAAAAAATTGGAACATATTTTCCATCCATTGTAACTTTTTTGTCATTCATGTATTATCTTCAATACTTTAGGAAATTAAAAAAAACAATTTATTGTCAACCTCTTGTCTAAATATGAATTTACTAGCTCAATATTTAATTACTCAACGAAGGGTTTTTCCGAACATGTCCTCCACCCACCTGAACAATCAGGCTGTACTGTATTTGACGGTCATACAGTTTAAATGATATGTTTTGAGACATATTGTGCCCCTTTCTAAAAAAGCTAGGGTCAGTTAATTAAGCTATATTATCCAAGTGAGACATGTCTAGCTTCTCCTAGAGTTAACTACATATGTCTACATTGATGGAAATTGTGTTGAGACCATTTGAAGGGTACATATTGTATGGTATGACGGATACTGTAATACAGCAGTGATGTCTCAAGCAGAGAAAATTTGGAAATTTTTCATGACACACACAATATACTAATCATCACCATGACAAGCCAAAAATAATTATACATACATATTTTTATCTTTATAATTTTCTCAAATAATCATTTTACCATTATCTGAATTTTTGTGGATTGAACTGCAATAATAAAGGAAATTGAATAAAAATAAAAATGTTTCAATTTTTATTGGCCCACCCTGTAAACTTGTCATAACAAAAAATAACTGAGCAGACTTGAGCAAGTCTCTGAGTCTATATCTTGGGACAACAGTCACTTTTCTTTTATGGTTACTTTAACTTACTTTGTGTGAGATTGTCCAGCATAAAATGAATTACTGGTTATATTGTTATTACCTTTTCATAGTGGTGATCAAAGTTTATTACTTCTTGGACTTTCTGGTCAGGCACAAAAGGGTGGATCTTACAGAAATTAGGGAGATTGCTCTCAAAATATTCTAAATGATACCCATATTATGGTATTTAAACTGAGTTCTTATCAAAATTACATGGAGTATTCCTATCCTTTATCCAGTTAGTACCTCATGGGGTATCATTTGAAAATACTGGTTTGAGCACTTTTCGGCAGAGGTACTTTAAAGATGGTATAAGGGGAAAGTCCCAGGATCTGATCTAAACAACAACATTATGATTACCTTCATAACTCTATTCAATTTATTTATGATTACATTCATAAATCCATTCAAATCATTTACAATAAATATAACATAATCAAACATTTTCATTCCAAGACATTTACATCACAAAGATGTTTACAATTTCTCTGACTACTTTTGTAAGGATCTCCAGTGAAAGCCCAGGACTTGAATATGGGAAAAACAAAGAGAAAAGTAACTGATGATCCAAGGCCAACAAAGTACAGAAATATGGTGGGATACAATGACTATGTCAGAAATGCTGTCATCAACCATTGCTCCAATGAAAATCATGATATCACTATGAGATTCATGTACCCAAAGGCACCTGTACAATATATCAACAATGACCATGATTATCTTAAACTACCTGTCTTAGAACAATGGGTTGAAAATGGTTTGAAGGTAAGGGGCCGTCTCATAAGTTTTCAACCTAAGTCTACACTAAGTTGTGTTCATTTACTCTTAACCACCCACCTATTCTGTCTTAACAAAACATTAGATATTTATCTTATCCCACCCTACCATATCGTATCCCACCGTACCATATCGTATCCCACCGTACCATATCGTATCCCACCGTACCATATCGAATCCCACCGTACCATATCTTATCCCACCGTACCATATCGTATCCCACTGTACCATATCGTATCCCACCGTACCATATCTTATCCCACCATACCATATCGTATCCCACCGTACCATATCGTATCCCACCGTACCATACTGTATCGCACCGTACCATTCCAGTCTGATCAGGGTGGTTTCCTCCGAGCGCTTCTGCTTCCCTCCCACCTCCCTCTCTATCTCCCACTTGCCTATACACTGTTATTGCCTATGCCTGTAGGAACAAGCCTATTATGCCCCAGAGGTGATTGGCTTCATGGTTGAAATAAATAAAAAAAAAACTATTCTGTTGACAGGTGACTGATGATGACATAACAAGAATTGAGCTGACTACAAGGTCCCAGTCACAAAGTAAAATATGGCATGATCAAAGAAAATGGAGAATTACTGCCTCTAGATTTGGTGAGATTTGTCACATGACATTGCGAAGGGACAAAGATAAATTATGTTACTCTATAACCCATCCCAATGGTAAATTACATGCTATGCCAGCAATAGCTCATGGCAGAAAGTACGAAGAGTCTGCCAGGAAATTATTCGAAGAGAAGTCTGGTAAGGTTGTAGAAGCCTGTGGGCTAGTTATTTGCGAGGAAAGACCATACCTTGCTGCCAGTTGCGATGGATTTATAGGAGAGAATTCAGTTCTCGAAATCAAATGCCCATTCACTGGTAGGAATGACAGCATTGGGGTAACTTCTGCCTTTCCATTTTTGGAGGAGAAAGATGGAAGTGTGAAACTCAAATTGTCTTCAAATTATTATTGCCAAGTTCAAGGGCAACTTTATGTCACCAAAAGGCAAACTTGTTACTTTGTCGTATACACTCATAGGGATTTACTCATTGATGTTATCAATTATGACAAGGTGTTTGTTGATCAAAGCCTACTCCCAAAGCTTGACACTTTTTACAAAGTGTCTTTCCGTAAACATATAAGTACACTTTTATAGACCTAAATACATGTACCAAGCTGAGCATTAAAGTACCATAATCAATTAATCTAGCCCAGATGCAGTGATGTAAGACTGTAAGTCATAATGATAAATGTTCTTGAAACCACTCATCGAAAATCAGGTTCTAAACAGTAATTCAGAAAATCATCCTTGAAATATTAAAGATACACTGGCTGCCAAAACACATTTTGGAGCAAACAAGTGAACCTCAGGCACAAATGCACTCAATCTAAAGAATGATGTTACCTCTTCCCACAGCCACCTTGATATTGTGTACACAAGCACAGATAAGTGGTTCAAAAGAATGAAAAGAAAAACTAATTCAGGGCCCCTGGATTTTACTTTTCTATTTTCATTCAGTTGAATCACTTATCACATGCTTGTGTGCAAAAGTACAAGGTGTCATTGGGAATAGGTAACATCATTCTATAGATTGAGTGCATTTGTGCCTGAGGTTCACTTGTTAGCTCCAAAATATGTTTTGGAAGCTAGTGTATCTTTAATGAACCTACTGTAGGGAAATTGAAGTAATTTCTTTATGATGTGCTACAAATTGAAGTGATACTCCCAATTTTCAAAAACCATCTCTCAAGGGTCCTCATGTTCCCTTATTACAGCCATGCACTGGATCGAATGATTATGGTTGTTGTTTATGAAAAATGTTAGACTAAGTACAGAGTGAGCAAAAAACAGAGCATTAGAAAGTGCAAATAAACTTTGCTAATTGTTAAACAGAGTAAATGTAAATGTTGAAAAATTGCGTAAAAAATCTCACAAGAGCTACATGTACACACAATTTAGAATTTCACACAAAGCTTTTACCATCTAGGATCTGTTTTTTGATTCACCCTGTACAATTACTATTATGCTGTATGGACACATATATCAGATATTCAATAATTATCAACTGTAAATTCACATGGTATTGGAAGTTAAACTTTTAACTTGATTACTAACTTTAGCGAGTCTAACTACATCATGCGAGCCTATTCACAATAGACTCGCGAAAGTTGGTAATCAGGTAGCAAACAGTTGTTAGTTTGCTACCCATGTCACGGGATTTGCCTTTTAATCTAAATTTTATCATTTTAAATGTCTTTCCAAGGCCTATTATCCTTTCCACATGGATTCTTTTTGATGCCAAACGTCTGTCATCTATTACAGTTTTAGCAGATAATTGGGACTTCCCCCTCAGCATGTGAGGTGTACGAACCAATACTTCTTTGTTGGCAAACAAGTCCTGCACCTGGAACACATTTATACATGTACATAAATTAATGTAAAAAAATGTCAAGTGTAAGTCAATCTCCATTTATATAGAATAATGAAATAAACAACCATTTCTTGGCCTACTGTATTTGGAAGTTGTGTGATGGATTCCATATACTCAATGTACTCAGAGTCTAAAATAAAATGTGGTTACAAAAAGTGTTTATCAACTTTAAAAAATTGATTTTTTTTTTAAATGTGATTTCTTGTTCGGGGAGATTCCCCATAGACCCCATGTTATATAATCACAAAAAGTGAAATATCTTTTCTTTTAGTGGACAGATAATATTTTGCTTTACTGGACATATTTTAATTTGTATAACTATCAGATACATAAGGGTTATATGAAAATTGAACTATTGAAACTGATGATATTAAAGTTGAAGGGCACTTTCTGCTATACCTGCCATGCTATCTGACACGAATCAGCCACCTGGTGGTGAAACTGGTAACTACCTACTCGCATCAAGGTAATTGGGTGACATCTATTAGGCTATACTAAACTAAAGTTTTTGATGATCTCAAACTAGGAATCTAACATACCATAAGTCCTCTGTCTGCCATAAGGGAGTCTCCGGATTCCAATATGTCTTCCGATAGAAGAGTTGACCTCTCTATGATTTGCCGGTCCGAGGCACTCCCACCATAGCTGTCACTTAAATAAGTCACAAGCCCACGGGGTGACACTCCTACCATAGTTTTCAACGTGTTGGTGTTCTTGTAACTTGAAAATGTGCATCTTTGGTCATTTATCTCCTTTGGCTTCTCAATGGGCACCTCGGTTGCATCCAAGATCATACCTGCCAACCTAAGACCAAAATTTTGCGGTAGATTTTTTTTAAATTGCTGTATTTTTGCGGTAGATTTTTTCAAAATACGGTAGTTTTTGCGGTATTTTTCAACAAAATTGCGGTAGTTTTTGCGGTAGATTTTAGAAAAAAACGGTAGTTTTTGCGGTAGATTAAAAAAAAACGGTAGTTTTTGCGGTAGATTTAAAAAATACGGTAGTTTTTGCGGTAGATTTTAAAAAAATACTTTAGTTTCAGAGGTTTGGGGTAGATTTTTGAAAAAAGTGTAATTTTGCGGTAGAAATTTGAAAAAAGCGGTAGTTTTGCGGAAGATTTAGAAAAAATGCGGTAGTTTTACGGTAGATTTTTAAAAATGCGGTAGTTTTTACGGTAGTTTTTTGAAAAACCGGTAGTTTTGCGAAAGATTCTGAAAAAATGCGGTAGTTTTACGGTAGATTTTGAAAAAATGCGGTAGTTTTTACGGAAGTTTTTTGAAAAACCGGTAGTTTTGCTGAAAACTTTGAAAAAATGCGGTAGTTTTACGGTAGATTGTGAAAATTGCGGTAGTTTTTACGGTAATTTTTTGAAAAACCGGTACTTTTGCGGAAGATTTTGAAAAAATGCGGTAGTTTTACGGTAGATTTTGAAAATTGCAGTAGTTTTTACGGTAATTTTTGGAAAAACTGGTACTTTTGCGGAAGATTTGCCAAAATGCGGTATTTTTCGGTAGATTTTGAAAAATGCGGTAGTTAAACCTTTATACAATGCGGTTTTCTATATTAATACAATGTTTACGTGGTCATATTGTTGTTGTTATTGTGAATACATATTTTACTGCAAGAGTGATTTTGATAATTACAGTTTGTAAAGCAGAACTACCACCTGAGAATTATACGAAACTATTATTTTCAAGAAAAAATAGATATACTTCTATGTAAGTTCATCTCTCTGGTTAATATATCAGAAACAAGTCAAATTCTTTACTTCAGAGAATATTTTTAATTTATTGAGACTTTCGACTAATATCCCTTAGTCTTTTTCAAAATATAACAGCATGTATACATTTATGTGACGTCATAAACAGACAATGGAAAATTTAATTATGTAACAAATAACCTAGTAACCTAAAAAATAACAACAACAAAAAACATAGATACGAAAAAACGAATGACCTAATAATAACCTTAAGATAAATATATCATCGTTATGGTAACAATTAAACTCAAATATTACTATTGCATACTTTGCTATACCATTCTTAATTTACAATATTTTATGATACAAATTGTCCAACTGATACCCATTATCTCTGTTCATTTTAGGTTGCATTGTTTTAATATGAATTGCTTCCTTAACCCTACGTTTAAGATCATGACTCTCATTATCAATGATTTTTACATTGTTCCAGTTTATATTATGATCATATTCCATGGAATGTTCAATAACCGCAGAAGCAAGACCTCCAGTCGACAGTAATGTGGGTCTACGATGTTCTCTGATTCTAGTAACTAGTTCCCGCTTTGTTTCACCTACATAAGTGGCAATACAGTCTTTACAATCAATTTTGTAAATTACACCGGACTTAAGATATAAGGTGTACTGCAGTTCTTCCGTATATCCCTAGTATTTCCAACCAGTTACGGCGTATTTTTAAAAGGCATCGTGTCCGAGTATGTTTCTCATCGCAGAATACTATCAAGAAACAGTTGGTGCATTTAAAGGACAAAACTAATGATCAAAAGAAGTCCGGTGTAATTTACAAAATTGATTGTAAAGACTGTATTGCCACTTATGTAGGTGAAACAAAGCGGGAACTAGTTACTAGAATCAGAGAACATCGTAGACCCACATTACTGTCGACTGGAGGTCTTGCTTCTGCGGTTATTGAACATTCCATGGAATATGATCATAATATAAACTGGAACAATGTAAAAATCATTGATAATGAGAGTCATGATCTTAAACGTAGGGTTAAGGAAGCAATTCATATTAAAACAATGCAACCTAAAATGAACAGAGATAATGGGTATCAGTTGGACAATTTGTATCATAAAATATTGTAAATTAAGAATGGTATAGCAAAGTATGCAATAGTAATATTTGAGTTTAATTGTTACCATAACGATGATATATTTATCTTAAGGTTATTATTAGGTCATTCGTTTTTTCGTATCTATGTTTTTTGTTGTTGTTATTTTTTAGGTTACTAGGTCATTTGTTACATAATTAAATTTTCCATTGTCTGTTTATGACGTCACATAAATGTATACATGCTGTTATATTTTGAAAAAGACTAAGGGATATTAGTCGAAAGTCTCAATAAATTAAAAATATTCTCTGAAGTAAAGAATTTGACTTGTTTCTGAAATAGATATACTATTTTCAAGAATAAATAGAGACTAAACACTTTTTATTCTTCATTTACCATGCCTACAATGGACTGACAGCAACTTTGGATTTTAATGTTTCAGCAAAATGTACATATACAACTTTTTTACAATAAATCTAGATTGATTCAAAATACGAACACAATATTCATATCTCCACTTTTACTCACCTTCTAACCAGTTTTTTTTAGATATCAGGATGTTTGGAAATTCCATGAATGAAACATTTACTGAAATACAAAATATGGATTTTACACGTTTTTACTCACCATCTTAGATGATCTATCATTAACGAATTGAAATGACAGACATAATGTTCATATAACATTGGAATCATATGGTATTAAATATTGATTTGTTCACTCGCAAGTCTCTAATGATATCAATGTGTTTGTCTGGCACAAATAGAAAATAAGTACAGATCAATTATCTTTCAAAAATAATTTGTTATGAGCATTTGCCGAAACCTTTCCCCTGAGACATAGTTCAGATTCGGATATCACAATACTTTTATAATAAACCAGAACTCAATGCTTTATTTTTTAATTAAGCATTTGTTACTGATAATGTGTTCTGATGAAAAATACAACATTTTATCGTTCTGTAAACAAATTGATTAAACTACGTATAATGTATATGTGTCGTTCATTACTGATCATAACAAATCAAACTACGCATATTTCATACGCTAAATATGCATACGCATTTCCACTCATTTATTTAGATGAAGCGCAACTAAAATCATATTTTTGTTGCATTCGGAATAAATATCCGTGTACAAAAGGGTTTGGTTAACTACAAAAATCATGGCAGAAAGAATTCTTTCTAGCTAGTGGTAGTTGGTGTTTGGACTGATTACACGCAAGCTTACTTAGATAAATGCGCAATAACCTGATAACCACAGACCTGCCGATACCGGGTTGGTGAAGGAATATTACAGGGACAGTACAGGAAGACTTCAATTTTTCAGCATTTCCCAATAACAATAACGGGAAATTTTACGGTAGTTTGAACAAAAATACTGTTGATTTTAGCAGAAATACGGTAGATTTTCGAAAATTTACGGTAGATTTTCAAAAATTTACGGTAGATTTTACGGCCGTTCTCATGGAATAAACGAGTTTTTTACAAAGAAAATTTACGGTAGATTACGAAAAAAATACGGTAGATCTTTTTACGGGCGTTTTTACGGGAAAAAATGGTATTTTTTTACGGTAGTTTGTCATTTTTTTACGGAAAAACGAAAAATTTACGGTAGATTCCCGTAAAAATACGGTAGGTTGGCAGGTATGAAGATGCACCGGGTGTCTGGAAATGCCACTCCAAAACTCTCAGGCATGTTACTTCTCACTGTTTCCTTTGAGGGCCAAATATCCAGTTCTGATAGCTGATAATACAAAAAGTTCAACCAAGTGATAAATATACGGTTCACTGTTGTCCTGGGTAATCCAAATAAAATTCCCAAAAGTTCATCATCTATCCCTTGTCTAAGTTTCACTAAAGTAACGAGTAACTGATCAATGACTGCAACTGAGGAAAAAGAAGGTGTGAGTTCAAATTTTGCTGGTCCAAGGCACTGATAGAATAACATATAATGCTTGCTGTTTGAAAATGAGGTAAAATATTTCACTCTGTTGGGTTTGTTTTTAATAGTGTCAAATCTTAAAGGGAGTTCACTGTCACTGTCTTTGCTGCTCTTGTCGCTACTCTTTGTACTAACTTGCACAGATTTGTCACTATGAGTTTTACTCTGCGGCTGCGATAATGTTGGTGGGGTGAGTGTCTCTACAACTACTTCATTGTCAACTTCATTTGTGTCTGATATAACATGTACAACTACTTCATTATTACTAGATGATGGAATGGGTATGTTTGACGTTATAGGATCAATTGGTGCACTTGGCTGTGGATTACTATTTTTTGTCTTTCTTGGTTTGCTGTTTGTTGTAATGCGTTCGGGCAGATTCAGGGATGGGACAACCCCCCTTTTTAACCTCCTCCTACGGCTCCCTGCAATAACACAAAAAATTGTATGAGTATTTGTTTAAAAATGAAGGAAAACACAAGATTCCTTTCAAAGGAGTTCTCAATATGAGAATGAAATACAGTTGAATATCATTCTCATATTGCCACCCCTTATCTTGGCTTGCAAAGTGTGCATGTGTACAGTGTACATTTACTGTACATGTACAGTAAATTACTGCAATGTACAAGTACAGCATACATTGTACTACCAGGTACAGTATGTACACTCTGCAGTTTCACTTTGCATAGCATTCAGTGGTGTTCATAAATATTCTTGAAGAATTTGAGCTACGACATGACAGATACTGTACATTTGGCCACCTGGCATGAACATTTACTGTAGATCCAAGGGCCCTCTATACACAAGATCAAGTACTGCGCTGAAGTCCATGACACTATGTGTATTACTATGTGGCCCTATGCGTGGATGTATAGACATTTATGCAATCACTGTACATTACAAAATGGGTAAGCAAAATACAGCCAAATATATTTATTGTTTTTTAGATTTGGCTCTACTGTACCTCAGACTGAGGTAAATGACTTACCACTGCGTTGCATTACACTTACTGAGTGAAAATTGAGTAAAATGAGTAAAAGTAAATTTATTTGGAAAGAAGAGATATCAACCTTGAATATCTTTATAATCTTGGAGCTTGAAATGCACATGGCACACAACACTTTTGGGTCCCGGCTTCCAAAGATTGAATTTTTTTGTTGTATTTTCTGCTCTCTTGAGCAAAACTATCCATTTTTTCCTTAATTCCTTTTCTTTGGGGAAAGAATGTCCCCCTTGTTTGTTTGAACAGCCGGGTACGGCACAGTAGCCCGGCATTATGACAGGAATGGTCAAACTATCACGTAAACTTGCGAATTTTGGCAAGAATTTTTTTTACCGGAAGTCATTCTATTATCGCCCGATGGACAGTTAACGCAACGCCACCTATCGGTGGGAATAATTGATTAAGCTCAATAATCAATTGAGTAAATCATTCATATCTTTTCCACTGAGCCCCTATGTTTAAAAGAGGAAGTTGTTGGCTTTTTATTTATCAAATATTCAAGTTTCCCGCCATTTCAGTTTCAAATTTTGAAGTTTTAGTTTAATCATCAAATATTCCACAACTGACAACACACTATCTTTTTTAACACCATTGTACAATTTTCATGCGCTGGCGAATTAATTTCTGGCTTTTTTATCAACCAAGTTTCTTAATGATACGCATTGTCATGAAGTATCGCTCATTAAAGGGGCAATAAGGACTGTAGAGAGAAAATTCGAAAATTTTTATTTTTTCTGAGCTATCAGGTCAATATTTGGCTTAATACCTTCTTTGAGATACCTATTTTCATAAAATGTATGTATAAACTATCGATTTCAGCATTAAGAAGTGTAAATTCAATTCAAAGCTTCCATAAAGGGAGTCCCACTTAGGCTTATAGATTTTTAAGATCCACCATGTTTCAAGAGGAATATCAGCTGAAATAATGTTCATCTAGAGGGTTTCTTTGAAGATAATGAAAATATATGTTAGTCTTGATGAAATATCCAAACCTAAATATATTTTGACACTAGTCGATGATCGTTGAATGGCCCCCCTGCACTATTTGTAGCACCTCTTTGTGTCATATCTACGGCCTACTGAAATTTTGTTTTAATAAATTCATGATTTTTCGAACAAAGAGTCCTTCAATCACCAATTTTTGAAATCAAAAAGATTTTCACATATTACATTTTGATGAAATTGGACTACACTATAAGCCAGTGGTTGAACTTATTTTATACAGGGGTAGGGGTGTTTAATGTTATCAAAGCTTTATGCCAAAAACGTCTATTTTGTTCTATTTCTGGCGGAATAATATAATAAGCACATGTTTGTTATTCAACTCAAGCGTAGGCCTAACAGATTTTTGAGGAAATTGAGACATTTTTGATAAATCATGGGTTTTCAAGAGAAGGCCATGTAACCTCCAATACTGAACTTAAAGAAGATAATTCGCTTTGAAATAAACAGTTACAAATTTATGACTAGGATATTTAACATTTTAAATGGTCTCCATCGATCCATCGATGCTGAGCAGAATGCATTCCAAACATGAATAAATGCAATGTATGATCACTGGCGGCTCCTAAGCAGGTGTCCAGAATCCCGTGGATGGTCCTTAGAAGTAGGACTTATTGCAAACTTGGTCTCGTTACTAGTATCTGACTTTGCCTTCAATCTATTGAACAAAACTAAACATTACTGAATGATGGAAAACAGAATTTATTTCTTCAATGCTAATTAATACAAATAATTAACAGGTTTTACGATCCAAGACCCTCTCTGGTCCATATTTCATTGGCCATTGCCTTAATACCCTCAAAGGTCTCTCTACCCACTGGCGTAATGTATTCACGTGGGATCTCAAACCCAAAGCCCTCATCCGGCAGTTCTGGACAGTAGGAGTATTTAATTCCGAGTGATCCATACGACCAATCATCTGACCCGCCAGATGCGACATCTGTAATAATCGGTTATATGTCGTCAAAGCATCATTTTCCCGTCAGATCAAGCATTGTAACCACTTTGTTTGCACTTTATTCACTCATAGCTAGGCAAGACCTGTCCGATTCCAGCTAATCCGAACACAGTATTTCATATAACTACACTGCATTATATAACCAACAATCCACCCAAGGTCATTCATTGAATGGTTGTCAAGGTGACAACTTGACTCTACAGATTGAATTTGATGCTTTGTCAACTTGACCCTTGCAAAAGGTTTCATTGAAAATATGTTTTAGTGATTTCATATTTCTTTGGTGATATATTTTGTAATGTGCGAAAATGATTAAAGCCGAATTGTGGCTGATTCATTCTACTACTGAAATAACACCCATTTGAGGAATGATTTAGTCCATATTTCACTGAGTCCAGGGCTTGCCTAGCTACGTGTGAAAATGAATCAAAGCAAGATGTACGGTGTTTATCTGGGAATACGTTGCTTCTGCGTGTGCTTTCTGATTATGATCTGATTACGCTGTCACCATTGATAAATACTTTTTAGGAGTACTTAAAAACTAAGTAGACCATAATCATGATTCGGAGAGAATTGCCTTGTGAGACATTATTTACTAAAATATTTCTCCAACAAGGGGAATAGACATATATGCATTTATAAATGAGGCACTTAGGGTAACAACTGTCGTATCTGTCACATCTGCATATGATATTTATTTGCTCTGCAGCTCCTAGATCGTGTCTTCTGGGGTACAGAAGTAATTACCAGTCTCATAAATAACCACCGAGCTTTTTAACAATCGTTGAAAGGTCGTCTTTTTTTATTCGTTTATGTATTTCATTGGCCATGGCCTTCATGCCTTCCCATGTCTCTTTGCCTATGGGTGTAATGTATTGCTTGGGAATGGTAAAGCCATGGTGAAGGGCAGGTAGTTCTGGGGAGTATGTGTACTTTATACCCAGTTCACCGTAAGCCCAGTCATCCGAAGCCCCGCTGTTTTTATCTATATCAAAATATAAAAAGCATTTGAAATAAGGGAGCCTGGAAAAAATTAAAGGATCTACACTCCCCTCCAAAAGTTTGGTTACACCAAGTCCTCCATGTTTAAAAGAGCCTGTTTATGTTAAGTGATTAGAATTATCAGCATCATCAATCGCTGATCTGAGTATAATTTAATCAAAATTTAAAGCGAAAATAAATAGGCTATCCATCACTGCTACCCACCTAGTTACACAGACGTATCGTCAGTGTATCATGGCTGAACTACTTCCGGGATTTGAATTTGGTAAGATATTTTTATTTCTCGATTTACATCTACTTATAAGTCACAATGTGGATTATAATTTGGCTCGAAGTTATGGGAGATAGTCTAGTTTGAGAATGTGTCTATGGTTTTAGGTTTGGTATGTTAACGAAGACGCATTTCACATATTTAGTCCCTCGCTTTTGTTACACTGACGATCGGCATTAATATTGCCAATATTACACTGATATTGGTCGTTCGTCAGTGTAACAAAAGCGAGGGACTAAATACGTGAATTTTGTCTTCGTTAACATATAAAACCTAAAACCATCGACACATTCTCAAACTAGACTATCTTCCTTAACTTCAAGCCAAATTATTATCCACAACGTGACTTATAAGTAGGTGTAAATCGGGAAATAAAAAATCTTACCGAAACCTAGTCCCGGAAGTAGTTCCGCCATGATACACTGACGATACGTCTGTGTAACTAGGTGGGTAGCAGTGATCCATAGGAGAACCGTGATTACCTAAGCTTTGGAGGGCAGTAGAAAAGTATATAATGTGGGAAAATAGGTCAGCATAAAGTAAATAATGAATTTATTCAATATTCAGGTCGATGTTAACCGTAACCACTAGATTAGCCCTACCTTAAACAACTAAGCCCCCCCAAAAAAAAATTATACTTGCGAGAAAGATCAGGACGTGCTTTATCAAAATGGCAGGTAGGACCAAAATGGTATTAAAGGGAATCAAGCAAAGCAGTCAGGTTACACAATTGAGTAAATATAATTTGTCCTTTTTTTACTTCAGTTTTACCTGAAAATGTGTTACATGAAATAAATAAACATGCGTATGGACTTACAAAGAAGAATAGAGGATGGTCCCACAGTGTATGATCTACCATTAACAGCAAATATTGCGTCAGCTACAACTTCACCAACTGCGGCCTTGAATGTAACAATACACACTACTGCATATTATGAAATGCTTCAAAATTGAGATGTGTAAAAACCATTGTTTGCAACGTTCACCTTCGTGGAGTGTATTTTGCGGAATAGTTTTATAGTAAGGATGTCACAGGAACTAAATACTCGTCTTTTTGGTACCTGAGGTCCCGGGCCTAAGATACATGAGGTGGCGACAACCATTTTTCTTAGGAACAAGATGGCGACAAATATTTTCTTTATAAGTTTTTAGGTGGCGACTAGCCTTTTGTCTTATGTCTTGTTGCGACTGGTGTGACAATTAACCTTTTGTCTGTGATTTTATTTTGTTAAATACCTGATCGTCATAATCTCTAGGCACTTCGTTGGCAGTGTAGCCCCAGGGTGTGAACCACCACTGTCCATAGGAATGCATCGTCACGAAAGCTCGGAATTGATTGGCTCTCGGAGTAACGAAATCACGTACTCGCTGGGCACAGGGTTCTGAGAAAGCAGAATCGCCTCTATAGGTGTCACTACATGGCTCGGGACTCGCACCATCACCTAAGAAAAAAATTAAGATACATATTTTTTATTTTTAACCATAAATATACAACAATAATGAACAAATGAAATATTTAAAATTCGCTTCAAACTTCAAACTTGCTATTCCATACGTTCAATTCAACAAGGGGCTACAGTAAAACATTTGTGTCCATCATTTCTCTTACAACACATTAAAAGATGAGTACTTTTTGATTCTGTTCCGTTTTTTCTTCAGTTGAATGAATGTATGAGCCATTCAAAGGTATGAAATTTTGAAAATCAAACTGCTTTAAAGCGAGTATGGAGCCATGAGGGGTGTTCAATAAGTCAGTAATATCTGCAGAGTCGTTATGTTTCTCCTTTATTTTACCATTAGTGATATATAATATCTAATATTTTTCAATCATTGGAAAAACCGAGGTTAATTTTCATAGAAAGAAAAAATGTTATTTAGAAATTCACTGTTCAAAATGACAAATTCCACGTGCTGTTTTTACCTCCCCATTGATATCCGAAGTTCCTGTTCGGGTCAGCACCATAGCAATCCCAAACTGGATCAGTGGGTGTCCTTGTCTTACGCCAAAGTCTCTCCTAATAAACATGAAGGTATATACGATTTTAGAGACAGATGTGTGGGATAATGTCAAGCTTTTAATAAACGATGTCAGAGAACATAGGTGTGGGCTGTGGGGCTATCGACTAACAATTAATTTACGATATCATGTTATGCAAATGTGGGGCGTGTGACAAACAGTGATCATTATAGACGATATATACGATGTCGAAGGGGACCAAATGATGTTATATGTCAGTTAATGAGTAAAATGCACATACTTATATGACCTCACCAAACATTATCATACATGTATAAATTGAATTTCCCAAACATTATCATATGAATTGAATTTCCCAAACATTATCATAATATGAATTGAATTTCCCAAACATTATCATAATATGATTGAATTTCCCAAACATTATCATATGAATTGAATTTCCAAGTTTTTAATTTTTAATTTGAAGTTTCTAAACCTATTAAAGTAACTTTCTATGATTTCATCTAAAAATTAAAACCCTTGGAAATACTAAATATGGTTTAAGTGCCATATATAAAAATTTATTTTAGAAATATTGTGGATCAAAATGAAAAAAAAAAAAAAATTAAGAATAAAAACATATTCCACCGGAGGGATTTGAACCCAGATCTTTTGGAATAAAACTCTGTTTGAGCCCAAAGCTCTAACCACTACACCAAACTGCCATAGCTTCCTGAAGGAAGAAATTCTTAATCTATATAATCATGGACGAAAAAAGTCTTATTTACATGCTTAAATTTCTTAAAAATGATCAGCATTACTACTAATAATAACATTTTGCATGTCTGAGTAAGTATTTTGATCTACATGTAGGATAAATGTTGTTTTATTCAGTTTTCATTTTGGGTATGACTTCCTGTCAAAACAGTGTTAAAAATGCAGGGCTCAACAAAAATTTTCAATAAGAAAATGATATATATCCTTTGATCAGCTGTTTTTGGCACCTGAACTCATCCTACTAGAAAGGTAAGAGCATTTCCTTGAGACATATGGCTTGAAATCTCACATTTCTCCTTCTAAGTCTTAGAAAGACACTTTAAGTTTAAATTGACCGAGAAGTAAACAAACACTATAGATATTAATACAATCCCCTGATACTAACATTTGTGTGTGTGTATTCATAACCATCAGGGTTGTGTAGGGGAAGGATAAACCAATCAAATCTCTCCAAGACTTGTCTGACAGTGGCATCAGCTGCATTGTTAATCAGCTAAAAAATCATATTACAACATGTAAATACCATCTATGATTGTCTAATTCTCGAAATCGTTGTTCCCTCTTCAAAAGAGAAGACGCGAAAATCTTTCCTTATAAGGGCAAAATATTTCCCATGATGCAGTTCGCGGAGGAACAAATTTATACTTCCTTATTTTCCCTCATAGGTTTAACATGGGGATTTTCACACCTATTTTTCAAACGATATATTCGTTCATATTCCCGTAGGAGAGTACAGAAAAAATTATTAGAAACGATTGATCTCTCATTAATCTTAATATAACAGCTATTTTTTTCATTGTATTAATTCATAGCGTGGTGAAAACGATGATTGAAAAGTGAGAAAATATTCCGGAAGAGAAGGTCACGTGATCAGTAGACTAGTCGCCATATTGGAAAAAACAATTCCATTCGACTTTCAATACTTTCATGCCAATTTTACCGCACTACAAACTGCGACATCGATGCAACAACTGAATAAAAGTATTCATATTCAAATTACATTATAGAGTTACGTTGAAAACCCACAAACAACTGAACAGTAGACCAAAGAAGACGCGTCGCTATTATCTAGGTCAATCCGTTCAGTGGTCCGAAAGCAAATCTATAGTACTCGTTTCCGAATTTTGTTGTTCGTTGTACAATCTTTTATTGATTAAACTCGGTATACTGACTATTAAAGCAATGACAAAGAAGAATACTTCCGATGGTGTCATTGTTTTATTTAGCGTGCGAGTGTAAAAACAAAATTGAGTAGTTAGTTTGATTTAGAACTTTCGTGTCACGCAAATAGCTACGCGAAATGCATAGTGGGAAAAGATTGACCAATCAAATTTTGTCCTTTTTGAGTGCTTTTTCAGTGCATATTAGCGAACGTTCTGTTTCAAAGACCGAATCGCGAAAAGGAGAATTGACATGTTATTTGTTTGACATTCATAGTTTCATTTGATAATTCAGTTGACATTTTGTCGAATTTAATATGTTTTACTGTTACTCTGAAATGCCATTTTATATAAGCCTAATGCCGAATATGATATGACTGAGGATATTTTATCCCATCAGTACACTACATCCTCTAATACATTACATTACTAGCCGGACAGCCCTCGTATTGAGATGATAATAATTTATCGGACAGCCCTCGTATTGCATTGATACCTGATTAATAAAATAGATGGCAGTTGATGGGGATATCCACTCTCTGGCGTGTATTCCAGCATCTACCCAAATAGCAGGCTTCTGATCGGAACTGTTTATTCCAATCTAAAAAATACGGAACACAATTATATGGTACTGTGTACATTGAACATTTTCCAATGGCTTCGTATTCGTTGCCAAGTTTTTCTTCTCTCCCAACATACTAACAACATACTAAATACTACAATACCGACGTATGCAGATGACACCATGCTAATTGCATACCATGTGCCAGTCATGCAACAGCTCTTAAATGCAGTGTACCAATACAGTCTAAAATGGCGTTTTACGTATCACCCCCATAAATGTAAATCAGTAATATTCAGTAAGGGGAGATCGACCCAAAAATGTGAACTATCGATAGGTGGCGTAGATATTCCAGTCGTAGATCAGCTAGAACACCTAGGGCTCCCTCTTATACCTAACGGTAACTATACTAATTTCATAGAGAACAGAATTGGTAAAGGTAGAAGGGTGATTAACTCCTACGTTGGGGTGACATCGAGTCATATCAATCCATCTAACCCACTGACAATCTCGAAACTTTATTGGACCGTTGCAATGCCATCTATGTTGTACGGACTTGAAATTATACCACTGAAGGAAAGTGATTACACAAAATTGAGCCACGGGCACAAGGTAATTGCAAAGAAGATCCAAGGACTCCCGATAAATACAAGTAATCCTGCAGTTTTACCACAGCTTGGATGGAGCGAGATATCGTACATCATTGACCAAATGAAGTTAATGTTTATATGGCAATTGCTTGTTCTTCCAATAAGTAGCATTTACAAACGCTTAACAATCCAGCGTTTAATTGAAATCATCTCTAAAAATCTTCATGCACAGTCACCGATAAGGGACATTGTTCACACGTGTAACAAATATGGATTATTGCCAGATGTAATGTCTATGGTAAAAACAGCTCTCATTCCAAGCAAATCGTCATGGAAAAAGACTGTCAAAGATGCCTTATGGGATCACCAGTTAAATTCCTGGCATTTGGAAATGTTAACATATAGAAAGTTGAATGTATATGCAGACGTTGTCATGTTTATCAAACCGATTTCATGGTGGTGTGTGAGTAAGAGGTATCCGAAAATAGTAAAATATGTTCGTATTGTGATGACACTATTAGTGGGAGAAGGAAACTTGCAAGTGAATAAGGCACAATGGTCAAACGAGAATGACAGAACGTGTAAATTATGCAATATTGATGAAGAAACCTTAATACACATGGTACTTAAATGTGAAAAGTTGAATGAGGAGAGAAAGCCAATTGTTGATATAGTAGAGGAATATGGATGCAATACAATGAACGACGAAAATAAACTGAGGTTTATATTTGATGAGGGTCAAATCCTAGACGATGTATCTCTGATCGCTGTCGCAAGGTCAATTTTTATGATGTATCACAAGAGAGATATCTCCTAAGATATTATTTACCACTGAATGCATCACTTAATTTATATCTTGTCATTCTAAATAAGTCTATTCGTGTAATAGGCATTGCAATATGTAAATAACGTGTAATTATTTTTATACTTTATACTTAACACCTAATTATACACACATGTACAAATGTTCATCATATAAAATGTATGTAAATGTACTCATCAGAAATTGATGGATAAAATAAACATAATAATAATAATAAACATGTGCATCTTACCCCATATTTTACCCCATGCATATTCCATATATTTAGCCCTCATATTCCTTACCAAGCCGCACCAATACAATTGGAAAGAGTGCTCAATAATAAAATTGTTTTTACCTACCCTTATAACTCTCATAGTTCTACCCTCATATGAGTTGCCGATGTCGTAAGTCGTGCACTGCACACCTCCAGTGCATGAAGCAGCCTGGTTGGTGAGCCAAGTGTTGATCTGGATATAAAGAACAAGACCTAGAATCCAATATAACTATGAACGAATATTTTTTAGGTAAGTGCTACTGTTGGTATATCTTACATAATGATTTTTGATTTAAAAAATATGATTGACATAATGTAAGGAGCGCCAAGGCTTTTAAACTCCCCCTATTTCGCATGAACATGGATCTGGAAAATGACAAATTATTTTCAAACATAAACAAGCTTCTACAAATCATCTATCTGTACCTCAGATATTCTGGATTTTGAAACCCTGCGCATGCGTACGGAGGATGCTACAAATAGTCCAAAAGCAAGATTGTTGATTACCAAACTTTTGAAGGGAGTGTAACTTACGTCTCCATGTCTATTGAAGTCCTCCAGATCGATTGGCTGCTTGCCGGCTTTATTGGAGAGACGTTCGTAGTCTTCATCTATGCGACTGAAGAGAAAATGTAGAGGTAATGAAACATGCCAAGTCAGCAGAAATATTCATTCTGTAGATCAATTTTTAGTCTCGCTTCAAGACCCGGACTATCTACTCTAACAACTGGGTCTAGTACCCGGTGTGAAAGAAATTATGGTCCCCCAGGGATTATGGTCTCCCTTGCCCTTACTGGTCCTGATTGTGTATAAGATAATAAGGGAAAGAGGTCACCATATAATTCAATGGAGAGTAGGACCATAAATTAATAGGACCTCCTACCCTTTTATACCTGTCTTGTAATCACAGTCTGGCTAAAGGTTGTGAGAGTGGATAGTCCGGGGAGACTAAGATAATCCATTTCCTTTAAATGTCCTAATTGTATGTTTGGCACAATTATGTAAATAGGTTTGTTATTGGTATATTCATAGACACCTGGATGGATAGGCAATATAATACTTAATATAGCAATTGTTTTCAATCTCTAGTTTATCATCGGAATATGGATGGAAGAAAAATGCAAATCGAGAGACAAGACTATGTTAGAATCTGATTTGATGTGTCAACACTTTCAATGCACACCTTATGGATATTGATACTACACTCCCCTCCATAAGTTTGAAAACTGGAAGTCTTTCTAACACAAAAGTTCAAAAAATTATTACGACTTTATAGAATATTAATGAATTATTCTAAATCGCCAAACATAAACATGCTTTATACGCCATTCAAAAGGGTACGTCCAGTTGCCAAACTTATGGAGGGGAGTGTATTTGATTTACGCTCACTCTTGGAGGTTCTCCTGGATGACATTGAAGTTGACTCCCGCCGCACGGAGTTGCTCTGCTACGGTGTCATACTCTTCGGGGGAAACCCTCAGATCTGCGTTGTCAGAAACACCCCGGGGGAGTTTCCAGAAGTCGAGCTATAATCAAACATGTTTAAATCCTCAACTAAAAAGTATGGAACTAATATACAAATTCAAAGAATTTCACCATTTTTACCAACATTATATTGTAATATTAGATACTATATTATATTACAATTTATACATAATGTCATATGTAATATGACCGGAGAGTTGGAGGAAGAACGAGCACTTACTTGACCAACTGATAAATCAATAAATTCCCGATATAGCAGAGAAAACATATATGGCAACATTTGAAAGAAAACACAACTAAAACGAACCATCAAATCCAGCGCAAAAGTTCGTAAAGTAAAACTGTATCAAACATCAACTAGTCTACATAAGGAACGGTAATAAATCATTAATGATAGATCGGAAATCTTCAGACTGTCTTTCTAAATTTCAATTGAACAAGCATTTATAATGGAATGATTGCAACGTTTGAATTGACTGTATTTAATTAGTGTTAAATGTGACTTGTAACAAAAAGATTGATCGCTCCTTGGTTGGGGTTAACGTCTCCTCGGATATGATATAGCACCATGATTCGAATTCTTATCTTAATATTAACAGAGTGTTGGGTGTCAGCTGTACAGGGTGTTCCAAAATGCAACACATTGTTAAAAAATTAACAGTGCAACATTTACAACATTTTTTGCTGTCAACATTCCATGTCAATTTTTATAAAAGGTACTGACTTTATTTCATAAAATTCTTTGATTTACGGTTAATATATGGCAAAAAAATTTAAAAGAGCCTGGCCATTTTCAATTATAAAGAATTTGAACGTAATTTCTGCTTCTCAAATCTTCAAAAAACCTACAGTACTGGCGGTAGCCTCAACATTTTGTGGGTCACATGACCCAGTTCAATCAAAAAAGTGGGTCAAACTTGGAAAATGTGGGTCAAATTGAATTATGATAATAAAGCGTCATTTTCGGATAATCTAAAGTACAAAAATAAATGTGCTGCAATGAGACTCTGAAAATCAGCTTAGGCCAAACGGCTGGGTGAAACATAGGCCAAACGGCTGGGTGAAACATAAACCAAATCAATGGATAATGACCAAATAGCAGGGCGGCGCAAACTAGGGGGTCTGGGAGCATGCCATCCCCCGAAAATTTTGAAATTTAGACCCTCTCTTTATATAAACAATAAGAAAAATAAGAAAAAATTGTGTTGATAGAAAACTTTATTTTTATTTTTTCAGATAAATTATGCAGATTTTTGAACTTTTTTTTTGAAAGCATTTAACCATAAGATAAAATCAGTATTTTCCTGCCACTTGTATCAAACTGTACATGAGCAATTGATTTCAATAAAGCAGATCAATACATAATTTATTGTAATTAATTTTTTTCTTAATTACTTTGTTTTTCAATGTTGTCCCTTGTTCCTCCTCACTCTGGTGTAAATTAATAAACTCAATACTCCTTTCTTACACATTATCAATCTCAATGAAATATAAGGATCAACACTCTGACTTGTAATATTTTATTTGTTTTCAAATGTTGCCCTTTGTGCTTCCTCACTATGATGTAAGATAATGCCAAGAAGATCAATTGTATTAATTAAACAGTTTGTTTTCAAGTTTATGTGTAATTGTTAATAATAGTATCCATTGAAAGTTGGCAGGACAGTGATAAAGGTTTTTTGCTACTGACCCATTAATCTCAAAGCAATGCGTTTTGGTTTGAGAGGTCAATCAAAATGGTGGCCGGATTACAGTAAGATAATTATTTCAGTGTTTCTCTAAAACACTGCTGATTATCTGCCTATTATACTTAGATTTTGTCTTCACAAGGTAGGCCAATTTATATTCTTTCATTTGATATGTTAAACTTAATTGAAAGCCGGAGATTTTCGTCTGAAAGCCGGAGAATAAATCTGATCGGTAAGATATCGGTCAAAACATTGTTTTTTCTTGTGTATTGCTAATCTTCCTGGGAAATAGCGTTAGTCTATCTTGGGATCAAAGTGCGTCAATGAAACGCAATTATTTGTCAATTCTGCGTCAGACTTGATCAAATGTGCGTAAAAACGGTAAAAAACGGCGTTAACGCCAGCTCTGACCTAGTAATTCTTTTTGAAAATATTGCGTCAAAAATTTTACACAATTTGTTCTATATATATACCAGAAATATATGACGCCGTATTAAAACTAAATTCACTCAAGGTTATTTGTAATTTTCAATAATATCATTTACGTGGGAAATTAACTATACGAACAGGCAGAAAGAATTACGTGAATCGGCAATAATAAGAAGGTCGCCCATAAGGAGATATGTAAGTCTTCAGAGTAGCTATCAGAAAGGATTTTAGTCCAATAAGAAGCTCATCATTACGTTGTAATAATCCCATTGATGCATGTAATAATAGATATTAGCTGAAAAGTATGTGAAACACGATAGATACGTGTCCAATTACTGGCAGGGCTGTTATTATTCGGGGAAGCTGATCATCATGAATCACAAATTAAACTGACTGAATATTTATGAGTGTTTATTGTGAAACCAGAGGTAAAGCAGAGAGAAACGTTTCTCTCACTTTGGTCCCTCGCTACTCCCTCCCCTACACGCCTAACCTCCGCCGAGGTGAGGTAGATCGTGAAGTGGAAGATGGTTCAAGAGACTTAACGCAAGACTACCATTAACGAATTAATAGGGGCTGACATCGCCGCCCATATACTAACATTCTCGAAATCATCATCTCTTGTCGTAGGAGTTGAATGAAACTTACCTCCGGTTATTTCATTTTGTTTTAGCACTTTTAAATCCACTTATCTGATCTTATTTCTCTGTGAAAACAGATGTGTACCCCCGACTGTTCTTTTTATCTTAATTACAAATGGATTGTGGCGTTTTATCATTTCACCTGAGACTGCTATTATAAACGCTTTACTCTAGTTTATGGAAATCATCGAAAGGATTTTTTATGATACTGAACACTCAAAACTCATTTATTCTCATCCATGAGATGCCGTGGTATTATTTGTTAGATTTTGTGATCCAAGAGAGCCCAGTTTTTAAGTATTTCAATTATTTTTATATTTCATGTAAGTATGGATCATTATATCACCTTTGTTAATATCAATCGGTAATGACAATAGAATACAACGCCTATTATGTAATGAAAAGAAATTAAAGCTGATAGGCAACAGTTATTCTAGGAAGGTAGGCCCTCTCGGTTCAAATTAATTATTGAAAGAGAAAAGCTTTGACCAAGGCCAGGGAATGTAGGGGACGACCAAGCACCACACTACAAGCTATACAGGCTTATTTTGATTTCAAGAATAATATTGGGAATTCATGCGATATTTTTTTGTCTTTCCCCGTCATTTTTGGTATCTTTGTTATACTTGCCTCACTTTGGCGTTGATCGATGAATTTGGTTGCAGCGTCTAGATCTTCCTGCGTCGTTGGCGTAATACGCAACAGCTTATGCCTGAAATACGTATCAAAATTGTAAAATGTACATGTTTGATTTACTCCATGTGTGTAACTTGCGAAAAGGTGATTTCATTCACTTGCTTCTTGCGTGGTAGCCGAAAATTCAGCCTACCAGCCTCGGTTTAATCTACATGCAAGAGCATCATGCATTAGATTATCAACAAAATAATGATTCACTAGCTTCATTTAATTCAAAATATATAATGAATCGAAGAGGCGTTAGTATTTACACATAGATAGGCAAGGTGTGCCCGATTCCAGCCGATCCAAACACAGTATTTTATATAACTGCAGTGCATTACATCACCAACCTCTGGATCCAAGGTGCCATGGTAAGAACTAGACTCTACAGATTGAAATTGATGCTTTGCCAACTTGACAAAAGGTTTCGTTGAGAAACTGTTTTTTAGTGGTTTGGTATCTTTTAAGTGACTTGGTAGAGAGAAAGAATGTAAGCCTTAATGCATTGTGGAGTGATCATTCCTTTCAAGCGTTGTTTCCCAAAATTAACACTCCGAGCAAATTCTGGAAAGCAACACCTTCAAAGAATAGACATTCAACATTGCACGAGTCCAGGGTTTAAATTCTTAACTCAAAAACATCGCTTGAATAGCCCTGATCAACCATCTAACGTAACCACAAAATCATTTACTCGAAGTGTCTGTCATCAGTCTGGCAGGCACAAAAAGGCTCACAAATGCCACGACGACATTGCTTCAATGTAGTTAGTGTAGCTCGTTTAATATATCAATTACTACAAAAACATCACTTTTGTTATCTTTTAATCATTAGATGGACCAAAGTCTCGGAAGACCGAATATTAGATTAATCGTTGAGGGTACAAATTTACGGAACGTGTGGGATAATTGTGATTCGACAGTTTAACACATATTCCCATTGAACTACCAGATTATGTGGAAATCAACTGACTTTTTGCCGATTGGGACTCCAATTAAATTGACGGTATTAAAACTGATTATTTTTAAAATCTCATGCCATCGAATCAACGCATCAAGTCACACCTTTGAATCCCACAAGTGTTATAGTGCTTATATGGTGTTTTACAGTACACTTTTAAATGAATAAATGCCACGAGGAATTTCTCAACATAAATGCCGATGGGACTGGATTGCATTTTCGATACTAATGTAGGATAATTAGATTAGACTAGATCTAGTGAATGAGCTTTCAAAAAAGTAGTCGTTTCAATTTAAGATTATTTTGGGTTATTAAGGGTGACACAAAAATGCCATTCACTACTAATTTTGGAACAACTTTCTCAACAATTAAGGAATCTTCACAATTTTTTATGTGTATAGTGTTCAGTTGAGAAAAGATTGGTAAGCTTGCATAGCATCAACAACTTGGAAATTAAGAGATATCTTATTTTCCGCGGAGGCATGCTCTGACACAGAATCGCTCAAAAATGAAAATTAGAAAATCTGTCTATCTTAAAATTCAAACTTCAATTTCAGCGAGTCAAACTTGACAAAATTATTTCAGAAAAATGGGTAGATATGACATATTATTGATAATATATATGTCAGCTCGTGAAAGCAATCCAAAAATGACTCAAATAATGGCTAAGACAGAAATCCCAATTTCACAAAATTGTATTTTTGAACTTTTTTGACGATTTCACTAAGAGCATTCTTTGACGGAAAACGTGATACCTCTAAATCTTAAAGTTGTTGATGCTATCCAAAAACAACAATTTTTTCTCCATTGGACTCGCTACGTATCTACACAAAAAATCATTGAGAAAGATATACCAAAATACATCTAAGAGTAAAGAGATTATCTTTCAATCTAAACACACACGAAAAGTCAAGAAACAAATTCCAGTAACAATGAATAATGAGCAAATACCTCTTGTAAATAGCCATAAACAAGGCATCATTTTAGACAAACACCTTAGCGTTGAGAACACATTAACTCAGTGATTACTAGGTTAATAAAATGTTAAATCCATTAAAAGCACTCAAATTCTCAGTAAGATCAAAACACTTACAGACAATTTATATGGCATTCATTCTCCCACATCTCGAATATGGCAATATTATTTTTGACAGCGCAAATCTAAACCTCTTAGCAAGTTTAGATAGAGTCCAATATAGAGCGAGTCTTATTGTAAGTGGTTGCATCCAAGGGTCAAACTCTGAGAAGGTGATGGCATGTCTTGGATGGAGATCTAGATCCTTATCCAATCGAAGAAAAGAAAAAAAACTAGTCTACTAAATTGTCTTAAATAAAACGAGATGTGATCTCATTTTTAGGCAGCATCTTTTTACACATAACTTCAAAAATATTCCAAATGCCAAATGTAAATGTGGTCACTCTACTGAATCCACCAAACACCTATTGCTCCATTGCCCTCTTTTTAACATTCAAAGACTCCATTTTCACAGAGAACTAGGGGGACTGCCATCCTTTAATTTAAACTCTTTTAATAATAGAAAACAGGAAGACAGGGTAGACTTTCTTCTTTTTGCAGATCCTTCTCTTCACACAATTACAAATAAAAAGGCTATTGAATTAACAGCCGAATTTTTACACTCTATTGTCAAGGAAGTTAAATAGTCCAATATTCATTAATTTGTACATATATCTCTGACCTGTCTCCACGTTTTCACGATTATTTTCATGTTCATAAATATGTTCTATATCTATCATTTTTACATTGTGACCTAAGTAGTAATAGTCCGAGTAAATGATAATGCAATTTTAGGCACCAAATCAGGCACGAACTTTGACCCCAGACGATTACCGAACGTTACGCCTACGTACGCCTACACCTTACCCACGGGGCCGCATGGAGACTGGAGACTGGAACCAAGGAGGATTGGCTCCCAGGATCGAAACTCGATATTTTCCAACAATGAAAACGTCGAAATGTCGTTATTTTCTGAAATTAAAACCGACTATAAATTCAAAATAAACAGTTCAAAAGATTCGAACCAATATCTCGATCGTTTCTTGTGAGTTTTGGAATTTTTCGTTTGGAAATAAGACCAAAATTCACGATTTAAATGTTGAAGTGAACAAAATGGCGGCTGTTTGAATTCGAATTTTGTATTACGACATACCCATATATGGGACAGAATATCGGTGGTGCACTCTGGGAGCCAATCCTCCTTGGACTGGAACCTACAGTTTAGTGACGTCTTTCATGGTTCCGTCCTATAGGACCCGATGATGAAATCTGATGAAATATGGGATTCCCCAACGTTTCTCGATCGTACCCCAACGTAATACGGGATTCCCAAACGTTTCCCGAACGTTTGACTTCCGTGGATGACTGATTGGTCGCTTGACTTCCGGAGTGAGGTCAGTGTGAATTTTCTCGGATGAGAAGCTCTGCTTGGTCAAATACGAATGATACAGTTTCGTAAAAGTAAAACGATTCTCGAACGTTTAGACGATATCCAAACGTCTTTTTGACGTCAGTGTTCCGTGGATGATTGATACTCTCCGATCGTTCGGTTGACTTTCGGAGACAATTGATAAGATAATAAAACCAAATGACAAATGATTTATCCGTTACCTATTACCTCTATAAAAAGTGACTATATAGCCTAGATTATAAAATACAAAATGGATAGAGGTACGTTTGGCACTCATTACAATGAATATGGAAATAGATAGAAACGTTGTTACTACATATTTGTTCTTTGTTTGCCTAGTATGGGAATACCATCACAGCAAGAAATCTGTATGTCACATATCAACATCCTACCAACGTTTCTCAAACGTATTCTCCGACGCCGGGTGAAGAGATTTCCTACACCCCCACAGTTCCAACGCCCCCATCCCTGGTCATATAGGACCTACTGGATGATAATGTTCAACGTTTCTCGAACGTATTCTCCAATGCTGGATGAAATACGAGATTTCCTACACCCCCACACTTCCGTAACCCCGACAAACTATGGACTTTACTTTCTACATTCCAAAATTAGGCAATGGAACAAAGTCGTATAAAGCTAGGCATGCAAAATTCTCTGTCATTTTTAAAGACATAATAGAATACTTTTGCTTTGATTTTGAATAGGCAAAACGTATTTATTGCCCAGTTCTCAGTTAAGTCAGTCAACAAAATCGTTAAAATAAGTATATTCTTACAACTAAGGGGCAACAATGTGTCATAAGGTTCTAAAAAGGACATTTTATAAAAAATAAAGAATTTTTAAGGAAGTGGCGAGACAATTCTTTCACAGATGACTACTTTAAGATGTATTGTTGTTAAGTCTCGACAAAATGGAAGATACTTACTAAACTTCTACAAGCAAAAGTCAGCGTTTCTACGTGAAATGCAGTGAAATCCCTAAAGTGAAATGGATATTTCTACATTAAACGACACGGGAAATGACAGCAAGATATTGAAAATATAGATAGTTCTACGTGTACATGTATACACTAAATATTCGTCTTTTGTTTTTCTTAGCGTAGTACGGGGAATACCATCACAACTGGAAATCCAGAGGTCAAAGTAACCCTCGTAAACATAATACGACAGCCTACGTCACTCAATGTCTATCCTGGCTGTTTACGGGTTAGATAAATAGTTTTGCCTGTACATATTTTACGATATGAGAATACTTCATTTTGTTTTAACAATTTTTTACCCTTGCAAACATTTTCAATTTTACATTTCATTTTTCACTTATTTCAGCATATTTAGTCCATATATAGACTTTATGATGTCAGCGCACTACATATGTGTCCAACAAATATTTTACCTTTGAAAAGATTTTCAATTATATTTTTCATTTATTTCAGCATCCTTAACCCATATAAAGACTATAAGATGTCCATACACTTCATTTTTGTATCATAATTTTTTACCATTGCAAAAAGTTTCAATTTTACTTTTCATTTTTCACTTATTTCAGCATCCTTAACCCATATGAATACTATACGATGTCAACACACTTCATTTTTGTATAATAAAATTTTTACCCTTGCAAATATTTTCAATTTTATTGTTTCATTTTC